GAAGCTTATCTGCATACGTAGACAAAGGACCTAGTACTTGGCCCGGCTACCTATGAGTACTACTGACCCCGCACCCCCCCCCCTCTCTCTCTCTCTTCTTAAACGAACGCTAACACCCTTTGTCCCCAAAGGCAAACCAGAAGATGGGCCGAAGCTTGGTTCCCATATCTGATCATATTTACGACCTGCTACTGGACTCAGCTCTCCTTGTACTGGATTCTCGGCACCTTCTCCATTGATATCGGATCCTCCTCCCGCACGGGTGGCTTGTTCCGTGCTTTTGAAACCGCCGGCCAGGCTGTCTCGTACGCCATCAACACAAACTCGAAAGGCGACCCCAGGATTCCTGTCTACGTCAATGCCGCCATCCTCGTAATTACAATTCCCTGCATGGTGTTCCTCATCCGTATGGTTCCAAGGGAGCCTGCTAGCACGGACGTAGATGCAGGGGCGGTGGTGCTTGAAGGGGTGCCAAACAATGCGAACAAGACGGTCACTTGAATGTCATGTAGCCTCGAGAGTATTAGAAGCCGTGGTAGGGCCGGAGTCGTTGTGAGAGAAGGTTGCGGCCTGGATGTCTTCTGCCTTTTGATCTTGCGAATCAAAATATGCTCTCTTTCTTACACCAGATGCAAACCTTGTATCGGTGACTAGGGCTTCCGCTGACCTAACATTTGTCCATAACATAATGAACAAATATCACAGGAGTGCCCGAATCAAGTCAGTTTTCTTTCATTAGTCCTTGAAGTATGTCCTGCATTCAGATACTCTCTGTAAATGATGTAACTTCTACAAAACCTTTACCCGGTGATTTACTACTTCAACCAAGAGTCTCAATGTCAAGGGGCAGCAGCATATGAAAAGACTTTGTCCAGACATCTAAGAGAAGCCGAAAACCCAGGTAAAGAAATAGAGTACATCCATATTTACCAGGATGTCCTAGTCTCTTCAGGCATGTCCTGATGTAAATGACCTACTCTACAGCCTTCATGATATAAGAACCGCGCGCGCTCTGACCATGTCGTCCCCCTCGCTATGGGCCTTTTTCCATGTTCCATATATACGTGCATATCTATTTGTTGCAGTTATGATGTCAATCTCCTGAAGCAAGTCATCTCTTAAGCAAAACACCTCATTGGAGACTCGAGCCCAGGACCCAGCACACCAGCGTTTGAATCACTTGAGAGAGATGACATATTGAGAACTCTCGTTTTGCGGACCTCACTTCCTGTATTTCAAGGTTTTTCATAATGAGTTTCTCTATCAATCTGTATCAATCTGCTAAAGCAGGAGCTACAATTTCGGCAAGCCATCAACTGTGAGTGTTCCTGTCTTCTGGATCAGGTATTCCTCAATTGCAACATCCTTACCGGCTTCCTTACCGTAGCCGGACATTTTAATCCCACCAAAGGGAGACTCGGCGCACGAGGAGTTACCTGCAAGTGATGATTAGATCTCGATGCCAGACGGCAGAGGGACATGGATTAATGAGATGCCTACCGGTATTCATGCCGATCATGCCAGCCTCGAGGCTTTCCAAGAGCCTCCAGGTTCGGGAGACATCCCTTGTGAAGAAGTACGATGCTAAGCCCATCGACGTATCATTCGCCTTCTTCACAGCCTCCTCTTCAGTTTCGAACCTGTAGAGGCCCAATAGGGGACCGAAAATCTCTTCACGAGACGACAACATGTCGGACGTCATTCCGGAGATGATTGTTGGTTCGAAGAAATATCCCCTCAAATTTGCCGGCTGCTGCCCGCCGCAAAGCAGCTTGCCTCCTTTGCTGACAGCGTCTGCGACGTGCTGCTTCAGCTTGTGCACGCCACGGCTAGTGGTGAGCGGTCCCATTGTGGTCCCAGATTCGGCCCCGTGACCCACGCGGATTTTCTGGGTGGCTTCCACCATCATCTGCGCAAACCTATCGTAGACGCCGCTCTGCACGTAGACTCGGTTGGCATGGGTGCATGCCTGACCAGCTGTGCGCCACTTGAGGATCATGAGGGCCGCGACCGCCTGATCCAGATCACCGTCGTTGAAGATGATGAAAGGGCAGTTGCCACCCAGCTCCATGGTGAGCTTTTTCAACCCTTCGCTGCAGTGTCTCGCAACGATGCTGCCGACTCCCGTGCTGCCGGTGAAGGTCACCTTTCGTACCAATGGGTGCTTGCAAAGGGCCTCGCTGAGCGACGGGGTGTTGGCGTTATCGGTGGGGATGACGTTGAGAACACCGGGAGGCAGACCCGCGCGGAGAGCAAGGTCCGCCAGGGCCATGACGCTGAAGGGTGTTTCCGGGGAAGGCTTGACGATCATGGTGCACCCTGCGGCCAGGGCGGCGGAGACCTTGCGGACGATCATGGCGACGGGGAAGTTCCAGGGAACGAGAGCGACGCTCACGCCGATGGGCTGCTTGATGACAAAGGTGCGGCGGCCGGATACAGACGGTATGGCGATGGAGCCCCGAACCCGCTCTGCCTCGCCGGCGAACCACCAAGCGAAGCCGAGGGCATAGTCGACCTCGCCCACAGCCTCTGCCAGGGGCTTTCCGGTTTCGAATGTAATCAACTTGGCGATATCCTCCCGGGCGTTGGTGATGAGTTCGTGCCACTTGAGGAGGATCTTGGCTCGGTCGCGAGGATTGACGTGACGGTAGCTTTCAAAGGCAGCGTGCGACGACTGGACATACTTGTCCACGTCCCTTACTTCGTTCGCGGGACTGGTCGCCCAGATCTGACAAGAGCCCGGGTCTTTTTGTGGGGGGGTAGACAAGGCTTTCTGTCAGCCAGCTATCCACTCTCATATCTTTCGAGAATCACGGCTCTGGACTCACCCTCGACATCGAATCGCTTTCCGGACTCGGATTGGACCCATTGGCCGTTCAACAGTGACTCCTCATGGAGGAGGGACGGATCGTCCAGCTGCGATAAGGAAGATTAGTTGAGTGCCCAACATATCGGCCATGACAGCGGGGGGATACCTTGAAAGGCAAGTTCGGCTTCATTTTGGTTTCGTAAATGACAGATAGCTTAGCCAAGTCCTACAGAACAGCCAGTGTCGACCTCGGGGCTTGGCTGAGACTTATGTCCCTGAGCACATTGTCAGGCATGCTCGTGGGTTTTGACCTTGAAAGGTTCGATCATGTAGTTGTTAGTCACTGAGCAGGTCTTCTGTCTGTGGTTTGACTAGCCGGATACAATGCGAAGCATTCTGGGGTCCCCCTCTCACCTCGAGCCGCTCATTAGTCAGTGAGATCTTTGTCACAGCTCCCGACAAGTTACTAAGGTGTACCGAGCCGGCTGGAGATGGACCGGAAGGCCCAAGGCCATCATCATCCAACACCACCGAACACGTTCTTACTCTGTATCTTGCAATTGATCCTACCTCAGCTACTCAAGGCGAGCATTGACGAACAACAAGTTGTCTGCCGGTTCAAGCGGCCTCTGATTCCGGGGGATTACACGGAAAACCGGCTACCAAGTCTGCAGGTCCCCCCTGGAAGCCGGTCCTTGAACCGGCAATGAAATGCGGAGTAGTAATAGCCCCACAATGTTGGTCTCCGGCTGCCTAGGCGGTATTAGGTAGGTGGCACTCGTCATCTTGCCAATCCCCCAGGACCATGTCACAGTCACACAGAACCCTTTACACTACCCTTTAACTTACACACAGCATCCACGGACAGCCAGCACTGCTCGGGCGGTGCATACACTCCAAAGAGCCTCATCGGAGCCATACCTTGGCCACGGCTTGAAAAGCGCGTCTGAGCATGTCGAGCCCAAGGCTAATCGCTGGTGAAGTGGATCCGGATCATTCGTATTGTACCTATGTTTAGTGTACAGACTTGTCAGCTAATTGCCTTATCATTTCTTATCATTAAGATTCGGATGAGGCCCGTTTAATTGATAACATTGCTTATCTTTCCTGTAGTCATTGCCAATCCTGTTCTCCACTCGCTGATAAGGCGTGTTGTTGCCCGTCACTTCGCGTTATTTTGAACTTCTCATCTAACTATTCGTCCCGTCTCTGGGGAACTCTGATGATCCAATCTCCCTGTAACACTCCTCACATCATGTCTCGAGCCCTGACCAAGAAACATTCCCGACCTGATAGTGGCCATGTTGGGTCCAAACCGCAGTCTCACGGGTGTCCTTATCGAGCTTCACTAGCATGTGGTAAGACCCTTGGTACGTCCTGGACAATAAGAGAAAGTTGATCTTAACAAGACGATATCAAGATTACTGCAGGGTGAGAAAACGTCGCTGTGTGCGCAAGGACGCCAAAGACGGAAAATGTATCAAGTGCACGCGCCTGGGACGGTGTTGTACAACATCGACGGTCGATCGTACGCTACCACTGGAGACTACGAAGGAGAGGGAGTATGAGGGGAGCGAAGGAAGACAACCACGGTCTGCCGTACCATCTCACAGGCTATGCAACGACCTCAAGCGCACCGCGCTTTATCCCAGCCACCAATCGACCATCGGAAATAGCACTAGCTCGCAATTTCTCTATTACTCGGCACACCATCCGGACTCGTGGTCGGACGAGCCCATGAACTGGTCTGATCATATTAATGAGACATTGTCGAGCATGTCCTTTGAGCCATGTGTTGGGAGTTCCGAATCACTTGACCGTGGCAGTCAAGTCTGGGGCAGCACCTCACAGAGTTCGAAACCTCTAGCTTCCGACTTGATGGCGTTCTCAAGCCCGATGTACCCTCAACGAGTAACAGTGTTTGATGATGGACTTTCATGGCTGTTTCCTGATTATCATGCGCAGGAGGTCCTGTAATTCACATGGAGGAGAGCTTGGTAGAGTCAACTGGCATGGCAGACTTGTGTGTCTAATAGAGATCAGTGAGCCGAGAATGGGACTCATAGACCTCTCGTGCTCGTCCAGATGGTTTACCCTCAATGCGAGTCATAGATACCACATAAGTGAGCAAGGAGGGCCTTCAACATTGAATTTTGTCAATGACTGAAGGGGTGGTGAGACGTCTGTTCACGTCTCACGTACATGTATAAGAAAAAGAAATTGAGCATTGGATAGCGTTAGCAGTCCCACATTATGTAAAGCCTCTGAACAACATCGTCGGATTGTAATTGTAAGGATAGGATGTATTGAATTGTCTATACAAAGAGGGTGCCTTAGCACGGGGTGTGAAGAAGACCTTGAGGCTGTCATGTGTCCGGCAATGTCGATGCTGTCAACATACTGGCTGCACTCTGGTCAAGATACAGTTACTTGTCTAGTCTACAGGTATGACATAGAAGCAAGCAGGACACCGATCACCCACAAACCGGCATTGATGGGGCTCATCGAAACGGGCGCAGCGTTGGTAACGTGGATTGTCGTGGAGGGCGATGATCCCTTTGTAGACGATGTCGCAGACGAATCCGTCGATGAGCTGTTTCCGCTTGTGCCACTCGTTGAGCCAGTGGAGACACCCACCTTGGGCGTGCTGAGATCCTTGTTGTTCATGCTGGAAGACTTGGTGGCTTGAGTGCTTGTCGTGCTCGTTGCGCTGACAGACGCAGATGACGAAGAGCTGGACGAGTCGGACGCGCTGCCGTCAATCTTGATGCTGGTCCAGTCACCGCTGGTGCCGCTGTACGTGTAGCTCGAGCCGGGGTTGTAGTTGGTGATGTCAACCCTCTCGACGTACATGGTGAAGGGGCCCGCGCCGTAGTCGGTCACGCCACCGGCCCACTCGATCGTGCCCTTGGGCTCGCTGCTGTCGCCGCCAGCCCAGATGCCGAGACGGATGGTCATGGGCGTCTGCGGGTAGTTTTGGCCCCCGAGGGCGTCGGCGTAGGCAAGGGTCCGCACGGCCGAGCCGTCGACGTACCAGGTGATGGCCTTGGGGGTCCAGTCGATGGTGTAGTTGCGGGCGGTGGCCTGGGTGCTCGAGTCGAGGGGGATGGTCTTGCCGCGGTTGTAGACCGTGGTGTTGCCCTTGCCGAAGTAGTTGGTCTGCACCTCGTTCGCGCTGCCGCCGATCCACTCCCAGTCGACCTCGTCGAGGTCGTCCGACTCGAGGACGGCACTGCTGACGATGCCGGTGCCGGGGGCCGCCTTCATGATCACGGAGATGGAGCCGAAGAAGATGTAAAACTTGGACTCGATGGTCGGGCTGTCGCCATGTTCCTTGACGGTGAAGGCGGCGCCGGCGGAAGAGTAGGCGATGCGGTCCGAGCACGAGGTTGCGTTCCAGTCAGAGCTCGCACCCTTGGTGAAGTCGACCGAGTATGTGCGGCTGGACAGGCCCTTGTCAGGAGGGCAAGCTGCTTGGAGTTAGTCCTGGGCGTCAAGATCATCAACACGGGGCAGTGAGAACTGACTCTTCTCGGTGGGATTGCAGTTCGTGTACGTCTGAGCAAAAGCCGTGCCAAAAAGGCCGAGAAGAGCGGCCACTGCGGTCTTGGACATCATCTTGAAGAAGATCAATAACGTAAGGCCTTAAAACAAAGTAGTGATTAATGATCGGCGAGAAGAGATAATAGCGAACAAGCGATTGACAAGATGGCTAAGAAACGAGAGAAACTGTAAGGAGATTCTAAACACGCAGGAGTGAGAAACCCAGTCAGGACCATAGAATGACAATAACACCAGCCACGCCAAAGGGCACATAACCTCGGAAATACCACATATTTGATGTCGAGGCAATGGCACACTCGGCATCCGTCACGAGGAGACGGCGGCGCAGGGGTGAAATTAGTTCGTAAAGACTACGCAAACCATGATCCACTTACAGTGGACTACAACTGTGAAGACAAGCTTTTTGTCAGAAGTGCTTGGCTCTCTGAACCCACAAGGCGCGTTTTCGAGGTGGACCGCCGCGTATACATTCCACCCAGTCGACAACGCTAGAGCATCTCAGGGGACTCGGATGCTCCAAAAATGGAAACATTTGTTTACGAAGTTCGGGCGGCCCCTGGCTGCGCTAATAAAGTGTCCTTTGCCAGGGGATACCAAGCTGAGCAGCTGTCCATTCTTGCCACACGAGCTCTTCTAAAATGGCGAACTCGCTGGAAAGAGTGAACGTACTGGCTGGGATCATCTGATATTATACTCAGAAATGCCCGGTTCAAGTTGAGAGCAGTTACCTCCGCTTGGCGACGGGTCAAGATGAACTTGGATTGTCCACGACAGGGATGGAATTCTATGTAGGAAGCCCTATTGACCTGAACAGACTAGAGGGACGCGACATCAACGTACGGGGTAGACCAAGATTGCTCCCTGACTGGCACTGAAAAAGGACCATGCACCCCAGTCCAGTCAGAGATCCTTGCAATGCTATGCAACGGTCCTCCTGACTGACCCGCTTACAGAAGTGCGAGACTTTTCACAACGCACTCTGGAACCCTTGATGGCTCAAGTACGCCACATACGCTATGCTGCAGGTTGATGACATCCATGTAGAAAGAAATTGTGCTGGCTTCAACACAGGAGCAGTGCCTTTTATGTGACATGTTTCCTTTAGCTAGATTTCTTTGGAGTCTGTTGATCCCACCTCACTTCGTCGCAATGCTGTCGACGGACACCTTTCTCGCTTCTTCATTCAGAGCGTCGACCTCAGCCTTCACGTATGGAATGCCAGTCTTTTCCCTTTCTCGCTGCGCGATCTGCTCCAGTTCTCCGGGGAAGTAAATGCGCTCAACACCAGCGGCCTTGTCCGACCCGACCACCCTCTGGTAGAGGTAGTCCATACGCCCTCGGAATTCGTCCAGGCTCATGAATAAGTCTGGCTTGATGGCAACCAGGAAATGGCCCACGTCTGCCGGCTTGGACGGGTCGTAGGGACCGGTGACATGGCCTGCATACGCCGACCCCGACAGCACCCCGGAAAACACATCCATCATGATGGACAGCGCCGAGCCTTTCGGCCCTCCCATGGGTAGCATAACACCGCCCAGAGCAGCTGCCGGGTCGTCGGTTGGCCGGCCTTCTGCATCGAGAGCCCAATCCAACGGGATCTTCTCTCCACGTCTCTTGGCCTTGTAGATCTTGCCTCGAGCAGCAACTGATGGAGCCATGTCCAGTATGAACGGCGCGTCTTTGCCCGGAGCTCCGCAAGCAATGGGAGAGACGCCCATAAGCTTGTCTTTCCCGCCCCAGACCGGCAGAGCTGGACTGGAGTTCGTAAAGACCAAGCTCATCATGTCGGCATCGACAGCCTGCTGCACGACCCACGCAGCCATGCCGTAATGATTTGAGTGTGACACGCTGGCCATGCCAATGCCATAGACGCGCGCCGACTCGATGGCGGCGGCCATGCCGGCATGTGCCGCGAGGAACCCAAAGCCATTGTGGCCGTCGACATGAGCCACGACGGGCGTGATCTGTTTCAGTTCCGGGTTTGCCTTAGGGTCGAGGGCACCCTGTCGTATCCGCTCCATGTACGAAGGGATCCGGTTGACGCCGTGGGTGTCCACGCCGCGTAGGTCGGCGGCTACCAGGCACCTGGCGACAATAGCGGCGTTGCTCTCGGGCACGCCATTGCCCTGTAGCACAGCCTCGACAAAGCGCCGAGCCTCTGCCGCATCGACGTAGAGCTTTTCTTCCTGCTGTTCTGCCATTGCTGTAGCTTCTTGTTCCGGGTTATGCGTACGAAGATGATGTCCCGTGACGAGACCACCACCCCGCATGTTTTGTGAATTGAGAATGATGATACATATTTAAGGATCGTCTCACGGAGTTTGTCCGCACTAAGAAAATTCGCATGACGGAGTTACCCCGCAAGGGCTAGTTTTGCTGGGAAAAACCCTCTTAGCGTGAACTTTGCTTGGCCTCGATCCTCAACGGACTTTTTCCGTCTCGATGATATTTCTGCGTGCATTATCGACGGTGTCAATTACCACAGCACGCGCACGAGACATTGCAGAAGAGTGATGGCCGGTTCGGATAAGACGCAACAGGAGGACAGAGACGTCCGTGAGGGGCGGAGCGGGTCTCGCCTACGCCTAGCATGCCACCGCTGCCAGAAGCGGAAGATCCGAGTACGTGGCGACCATGCTTGGTCCCTGAATGCCCATCTCCAAGGCTGACATGTTGAATAACTGCTATAGTGTGACGGAGCCTTGCCATCATGTAGCAACTGCAGAAATGCAGGCGCTCCTTGCAAGGATGGGGCAAGTCTTCGAGCAAGGGAACTACCTCGCGCGTAAGATCTTCAATGTTGCGAACTGTTTGTACTCTTCACTGGGCATATGTTGACACTGTCTGCAGACACCTTTCGTCATTACGAAACCGCATTAGTTGGCTTGAGTCTATCATCAAGTCACGCCTTCCCGATGTGGACTTGTCTCAGACCGCGCCAGACATGGCGGTCGAAGCTGTGATTACCGTTTTGAGCGATCAGCATCCCCTTCGAGATGCCACAACTCCTGATCAACCTATGAGCGAGCCTGCAGAAGGTGGCCTGGGCCAGGCTCAAGACGCTGTTGGCGTTTCGAAACTCAGCGACGTCGACAAGGATCTTGAAGGAGGCCGGATAGCTGCCCATCAAGTCGGTTTGATTGCTCTCGGCGGTGGCCAGGATCACAGGTACATCGGACCATCAAGCGGCTATTTTCTTGCCCGCGTATTACTTCAGTCTTCCCTGAAAGTTGGCGATGAATCAGCTCTGGGCTTGATAGGTGATTCTGGCACCAAGACAGCGTTGCCCCTAGAGCTCATAGAGTCAGCACAGACTCCCATTCCGCTCCCGCCAACAAAAGAAGTCGCCTGTTCTATCTGCTCTGCATACTTCGAGATTATCGAACCTCAATACCCGCTCCTGCATAAGCCAACATTCATGGCCATGCTCGATCAGATGTATACGGACTCTACTTCAGACCCGCATGTCGCTTTTCAGGTGTTCATGGTCCTGGCGATCGGAGCATCGGTCTCTTCTAGGCGCTGCCGGCCGGGCACTCTGGGCGATGCATACGGAGTCGCTGCAATGAGTTATTTTGACCAGATCAATGTGCAGAACTCTCTACAAGGGCTACAGTGTCTTCTACTTCTGCTATTCTATGCGATGCATAACCCGTCTGCCAGGCTCAACATCTGGTATCTGAACTACCAATGTTTAGCATGTGTTCTGGACTTGGGCCTACAAAGAGACATCAGTGTCTTACCTGGCGTTTCGCTATTAGAGCGAGAGATGCGCACTAGAGTGTTCTGGTGCGTGTACACCCTCGACAGGATGATCGGCACAACTATGGGTCGTCCCATTGGACTGCGAGATGAAGCCTGTGAGTTCCGGGTACGTGTCCAGTATCTGTATGTCCTCTGAAAGCAGCAGACTGACGGCTGAGATAGCTTCCTCTTGACATTTCCGACGAAGATCTTATGTCACGCGATGCTCAGCCTCCCTACCCCAAATCTAGGCACATGTGTTTTGCACTTCATCTGTTCGAGCTGGCGAGGATCAACTCAGAGATCAAGTATGTGGCCAACAGTGTCGATCGGGACGTCCCGGCATATGCCCTGTCACCTCCAGATTACCAGGTCTGGCAAGGGAACGTACTCCAGCGTCTGGATGCATGGGTGGAAGCCATCCCTACCGGCGAGCCAGACCAGGAGTATCCTAGGATTCTGTGCCACATCCGCTACCATAACATCCGAATGCTCCTGATGAGCCCCAGTCCGGGCATCCCCAATCCGTCACCCACAGCTTGGGAGAAATGCTTTCACAGCGCAGTGCAGGGAATTCGCCTGTACAAGCAGCTGTACGGACGAGACATGTTTGCCGCCAGTTGGTCAACGTTGCATTCGATAACGATATGCGCCATTACGGTGATGTATTGCGTCCGAGTCAATCCCAGCATCGCCTTGCAGGCAGGGCTTGATATGGTAAACAATGATATCTCTACCAGCCTTAGCCTGCTGAGCGCAATTGGAGAACACTGGTCTGCAGCCAGGCGATGCTGGAAAATTGTCGACAAACTTGGCGAGCTGACGCAGCGTTGGGTTAAAGAACGATTCTCCGTTGCCCCGGAGCCAAGATGGGATCGATCATCATCCGGCCCGGAGCAAGCCTTTGTTACACCCAGCAGTACATCGCAGCACATGATGGCTGATGATGGTCTCAACACGAGCGGGATAGATTTGATGGACTCGACTGTCGAGGCGGGCGTATCAGTTCCATCAATGGAACTGAACACCATCCTTGACCAGATTCTGGGGCAAGGTCAGAGTCTCCTAAATGATTCTGCGGACCCTCAATTCTCCATGAGCTTTCTATTTGAGGATTTCATAGCTTCAGATCTGGATTTGGGTCAAATATGAGGGTAGACTCGGCTTCACCTAGGCCGTTCGCCGTTTCTATAGTAGAGTCATGCTCATGCTGTATACAATACATGTTCTTCATTGGCGGAAGTCTGCAATTTGTTTTTCTTTTTATTTTGGTCGTGGTTCTACCAAATTGACAGGATTGCATTTGCTCACAACTGGACGAGGACGGGGAAATTCCGGCTCTAGTACGGACTGGTGTGGGTGGATTCGGCGATCCCACTTGGACGGAGCAAGTCCGTGTTAGTACTTGTCGTTCAGCCCATGCCAAAGGACACGGATCGACTCAATTGATCAACATCAAATGCCCACGAATTTCTATCTGCGCCAATCGCGACAAATTGATTGAAACGGAGAACCGAACAATAATCAAAGAAGTCATGCATGATCTCACAGGCAAGGTAGCAATGGTCATTGGCCTCGGCCAGACCGGAACAGAGGGATGGGGCATCGGCGCTGCCTGTGCCGTCACTCTGGCTCGGCAGGGCGGCATCATCTTTGGCGGCAACAGGACGATCGCATCGACGGCCAAAACAACAGAGACCATTGCGAGCGAAGGCGGACAGTGCGACGTCATGGCCGTGGACGCTACGTCTTCCGAGTCGGTGCAAGCTCTGGTCGAGGCCTGTCTCGCCAAGCACGGCCGGATAGACATCCTCGTCGCCAACGTCGGCCAGTCGCAGCCGGGCTGTCCGGCGACCATGTCGGAAGCGACGTGGGACTCGCAAATGGACATAAACCTCAAGACCGTCTACATCGCCTGCCACCACGTCTTGCCAGTCATGGAGAAGCAGCCGTCGGGTGGTGCCATAGTCTGTGTCTCGAGCATAGCTGGCATGCGGTACATCGGCAAGCCGCAGATTGCCTACAACACCGCCAAGGCAGCCATCAACCAGTTTGTCAAGGCTACGGCCGTCATTTATGCAAAGCGCGGGGTCAGGCTGAACTGCGTGGTGCCGGGACTGATGGAGACGCCGTACACCCGGAGTCTCTCGACTCGTTTCGCTGCTGAGGGAGGGTATGAGGCGTTCAAGAAGATGAGGGATGAACAGGTTCCGATGGGACGAATGGGTGACGCATGGGATGTTGCCAACGCAGCACTGTTTTTGGTATCTGATGAGGCTAGGTACATTACTGGACAGAAGTTGGTTGTTGATGGCGGCATCACTTCATCTACAGGCCGTACATAAGAAACGAAATTTGGTGAAGAAGAATTGCCATGACCAAGCCTCCTTTGTGTGCTTTTAAACTCATCGAACCACGACCAGGGCAGGGGAGGGGCCGACGCGATATCAAACACTCCTTTTACCTACAAGACTCATACTGCGAAACCATGGCTACTTCAAGGATGAAAAGAACTTTCTCACTCTTCTAAGCGAGAGTTGTCTGTCCGGTAGTTCTGTAGTTTCGCACCCAGGTCTGTTGAAAGGTGGACTCGGGGTAAGTCCGCCACCAGTTTGTCACCTGCGTTCTGCCCCGCAACGGGCTTTCTCCGTGGACTGTATTTACATGGTCGACCACACTACACTATGACTAGTACCCGTCACCTTCTCTTTTGGTTCTCGTAGAAAGCTATATCTCTCTTAATTAGACCAGACACGTCTCAAGTGAAAAAGCAAATTTCACGTGCTCGTACTCGTCGTCTTCCCAATCATCATGACTGTCGTCCACATTGGTAAGCTCTCTCTCCTCTAGGTCATCGTCGTCGTTGGTCAGCCCGTCATTGACATTGTGTTGCAGTATTATTCAAATTCCGCCATGAGATATCAGAAGCACACAAGGAGAAATTCGTCACCGAACTAAAGAAGCTCAAGGCTCTGTCATGCGTACAAGATCATCGCTTGATCGTGGGAGGTCCTTCGATTACAGACCCCATTGATAAGAGCAAAGGCTACCATTTCGCCTTGTTGAGCTTTCATCAAGATAGGCGAGCTCTGGAAGAGTACCAGGCTAGCCAGGAACATCACGCGTCAGTCGAATGGTGAACAGTACAGTCCTGTAGCTGTGACTAACAAATCTTACATGCAGAGTCACAAGTGAATATCTTTGGCCATACAAAGAGGACGTTACGCGATTCGACTTCGAAGTCGCACCGGAAGATGAGTACATGTGTCACGCGATAGCTAAGGCGGCGATGAATAGTACGCATTGAGACTAGAAGCATAGACTTGATAGAGGCTAGATAATCGCATCAATAAAGGCTTCTTCCAATGGTGAATATACGAAGCAAGGCTGTACTTCTTCAAAGGGGTGAGAAGCTCTCAGGTAGGTATTCAGGAGCCAAACTGGAGAATAGACCATCAAACTCTTCAGGAATGCCGGCGTTGGTAACCTGCGTGACCCAGTCTGACAAGCCACCCTCATCTAAAGCACCTGTGTTGGCCGAAGGCGAGAGGAACGGCCCCTCCTGCTTGCTCCTATCATCCAACATGGTGATCGTGCGATTGGCCAGCTTCTCAAAGATGTCGCGGTAGGGAGCCGCAGCATCCCATCGCTCTGCCATGAGCACAAGCACTATAGTACAGTCTGTGCAGGTGCTGTTGACTTCTCCGTGCCGACGTGCTTCACGAGCAGCAGCAGATGTCCATAGGCAGTGGAGATATGTGAGGCCAGCAAGGAATAGCTCGTGGACGGCAGTCCACGTGTAGCTCGTCCGCTTTCCCAGATAGGACCGCCGGTAGCCGTTGCAAAGGCTTTCTGCTGCCTTGAGGCAGTCGATGAAGACGGACTTTGTGGCCTGGCGGCTGATGATCTGTACCCGGTAGAGCTGGAGAATCGCATAGTTGTACTCCAGGTCGAACCAGTCTGGGGTGGAAAAAAGTGCAAGAGCCTCGCCTGAGCAAGGAGTAACCGGAGGGATATTTGCACGCCAGTCCTCAATCTCGGCTCGGAGATGCTGAATGTGACCCTCGTGACTGTGTTGAACAGTGCAGCAACAAGATGGTTTCGAATAGATTGAGCTATGTATACGACTTAGTATTCGCCGGATTCGGAATGTATGGATCGATTGAGTGACGTTCGTTGGTGGATCGCTCGGGGAGGTCCGGGGGTTGCCGTGAACTCCATTTTCAGTGATGCACGACTCTTCGATATCCGTTGGGTACTAACATCTTAATCGTCAGCGATCAATCGAATTAAACTTTTGGCCTGATCAGTATGATAACATACCTCAGCATCGACCTCCTGGTGCGGTATGCCCTGAGGCCGCCCCAGCATTATGGAAGCCTGTGACTCCATGGCATAAGCGCACGAGAACACTCTCTTCCGCATTTCCAGTCGAAGTGGATTCGTTGTCGATTTCACCCTCCTGGAATTCCGATGGTATCCGAGGTCAATGCATTGCCGCAGAGCCAAGCCAGCCAGTTTCCTAGACCGCAATTAGAGTCTTTTCTGGGTATGAAACGCAGGCCTTTGTACAAACCAGTAAGATGTGCCGATGGACGACCTGAGAGAATATGATGCACAGCATAGGATTGCCTGTATTGACTCTAAACTGTCATGTACCAGAATGTGATCGATATACATTTGTGCTGAAGCATATAGAGCCTGAAAACGGTCAGTATTAGCATTCGAGATGCGCAGGATTGCACAAACCTCAGCTGAGTATCCAGAGTCTGGCAGTATCAATGCACCGATAGCGTACACCTGAAAGGGATTAGTACTGTGATAAACGTAGTTGTTGACTTCAACATACCATATTCAAGAAATACAGCGCAACAGGGTCTGTGAGAAAAGATGCAAAATCTGACAAATCGTTCACTAATGCTGCCTCCCAGTTCCGGAATGTTGGCTCATGCAAGAATGGATATTGAGTATGAAAGTTTCGAAAGTAAGCATCACTCAGCCTGACTGCGGTTTCATAATCTGGGAGTAGACATGGGCTTGGTAGCGTAGTCTCGATCGACTGATTGGTGGTAGCCGGGTACTGAGAATCAGTCTGCACAACTTGACGAAGAGACGAATTGATCAATCGTGAAAAGGCAAATGTTGACGATGAACCAAGATAGTATGGCTCGGCTCCCGCTGCGTTCAAGCTCAAAAGGCCAGCTTTTGACGCCAATTCATCCAAGTCATCTTCTTTGAGACCGTCGTCGTTCCTGCCGGATGTTGATGAAGGCGAGAGCGTATGAATCTGTCCTCCGTTCGGCTGTAGAGATCCTGTGGCTTGGGTCTGTTGTGGAAGAGACCCAAAAGGAACAAAATGATCATCGGCGAGATCCGGCCGGTACTGTCTGAGAAGGCCTTCAAGAAAAGCTATGCGTTGCTCGAGCGTCTCGAGATAGTTACGCGGCCGATGTTTTCTCGTTGCAGGATCTTCAACAAGGCACACTGCTCCTGTGATTAGCTAGAGTGAAGTGAGAATACAATTGACGGAACGGACTTGAATTAAAGCGACGGCAGTTCTCGCATCCTGCTGGATTATTGTCGCACTTGTCGAATTAGTTGACCTACAAGTGGTTCTTTGTCAAAGATCGACATACCTTCAGTTTCCGATCTTTGCAATTGACACAAGCCAGGAGAGTCCTATTCGTTGAGCGGAGGCGTTGACTGCCTCTGTTCGGCCTGTTCTTCGGAATTCCGTACATAATTTCATGGCTTGCAAGATCCATGCCGATGTGACATGTCTACAACTGCATGTAATTGAAGAGATGGATGGCCGTGAAGTGCCAAACCAGTGGGGAAGCTGGCCCTATTTGGGTTCTACAGTTGTCCGTCTCACGTGTCCAACTTATCAGCGGAGCGAGCTAGTTGAACCTTCACTTGCCGGCCAGCAGGTCTAAAGAGGATACTGCTCCACTAACCCGCCATTTCATGACACTAGATCAGCTGTCAGTGACTGGTTGGATGCAGGTGAAATTAAAGGGTATAATTAGCTTCAGCCTCCGGTTAGGTTTCTTGAGAATCAATTTAAGGACGGTGGAAATTACATTGGGTGTTTACGACACGATGTATTTACAACTCTTTCTACAATGCCTTTTGTAATCTATTGTATACTTCAGAATTAGAGTCTGGGGTAAACTGCCCCTGTTGAAGCTGACAGCTTCTTCAAACGACTCATCCTCAACGGTGTGATTTGAAACGACGCGGGCAGGCCTGTCTCCGCCCATGATCTTCCTCTCATCAATTGCACTAAACCCGGGACAGCAGTAAAGATGCGAGCCATACCACTGTACGCAACTGTAAGCATCATCGCAGGCGGCTATGATAATGTTGTGTCGTACTTACTGTCCGTGGTGACCAGCACAGATCCACTGACCAGGCAGGCCAGGCAACTCCCCGACAAATGGCACAGTATCAGCGCTCTACGCTCAAGGTTAGTCCTGCTGCAAAATCCTTCCACGGGGGAGTGCAATACCAAACCGATGATGCCGCTCCAGCTGTGCTTGTCATGTTCAGATGGGGTTTTCGTGTTAGGCCAGTCCATCATCTGCGAGCTAGTGAACTCCTGAACAGCCTTGGTCACAGAAGGGAAATTCGAAAGCCCATCATCAGTCCATCTTTCAGGATGGTCCTGTAGCCACCGCTCAAACCCAGCCTGTCCCGGATTACTACCTCCAAAAAGCACTGTACCTTCCAACGGGATACGGGGATTGATAGTTATGAGACCTCCGTTGGGGAAGAGTACACCATACGAGTTCTTGAGAGCCTTTGGCCCTCTGAAACCCGGAGGGGGGCTAATCTCATTGCACATGTGCGGCGATGGTCTGATGAGGCCTCTCATCGACTCCTCAATCGCTGGGCAGTATGCGTTGGTCGCGTGGATGACTTGGCTACATGCAATTTCGCCACGTTCACTGTGAACAAGCCACCTGTTTGGCGTTCCTTGATGTCGAACAACTGTGCGCACCAGTGTATGCGTCTGGAGATTCACCCCCTTCTTCAAAGCTTCCCGCATCACATGTGCGGCGAGCTTCCATGGGTATAGCGTGGATGCTTGCCAAGCATAGCATGCTTTGGCGTGCTTGATTCGCGATATCTACGCAGGTTAGCAGCGAAAACCTACAATTTGCTGGACGACTTATTACCTTTTTCGCTTCTTCTGGGTCATGCGTGACTCTGATGTGACTGACATCACCACCAGCTGCCTGGAACTGGTTGAAGGTGTCTTTCGCTTCGGCCGCTGCTTCCGTGGTCACCGGAACATCGAGAGTATCACCAACCCATAGGTCGCAGTCCACGTTGTTCTCCTTGACATAGGTGACTAGGTCAGACCAAGTTTTGCCTTCGTTCTCGAGGATCTGTGCCAATTAGCATTATTCGCCTTGGTGTGCTACTACCCGAATCTTACCCTGAGTGATTCCTGTGGACCAAACATCTTTGCGTAGTCGGAGAAACCCCTCCACTGGTCAGGCTTGCAGTGTCCTGCATTTCGACCCGTGGCGCCAGAGCAGAAGTCGCGCGCTTCTAGTACGACCACACTCTTCTCGGGCCAGGCTTCGATACAGTATTTCGCAGCTAGTGTCCCGGTCATCTGCATGGTCTGTCAGCAACCATTACAGTGGCGGGGATAATTACCACACAAGTCTTACACCAGATCCGATAATGACAATGTCGGCGGAGACGGGCAGTTGGGGAGTAGTCCTATGCCGAAGGAGGGGATCTCCCTGGACGCCTTGGAGCCAGCATGATTGGGATATGCCATCGCGCTTGGGAAACCCGGGGTTCTGGGAGTGCATCTTTGCCCTGCGAAGGTCTATTAGCTGTGCTTAGTATGGCTCTTATCGTGAGAGCTCAGAGGGAGGGCGAAAATCAAGAATGTGTTTATATGGCCGTATCTGAGGTCCACTCTCACTCTCGAGGGTGGCAGCCAACATCAATGCCTCTCAGCAAGCTGTTGCCTCAAAGCAATCTAGACATTCCCATTGGTGGGACGGACCGGCCAGCAGCACCCACTGAATCGGAGAGCAACTAGCTGATCACGATGATATGGTGTCAAGAGCCGTCTTGTTCGGCTCCATTCTTTTCGGCACTTGCCACCAATCAGGACGTCCAACCCTCTCCAACCTTCCACTTCCGGAACTAGGTACTCTAGTCACATCGAGACTTCACATTGCCGATAACAACACTGCCGAGTGCTTGGACAGAGGCGTCCCAATGGTCGCCGAGCCCTCAGGAGAAGGCGAGTGGAAGTTGCCCCCAATCAGATCGACTTGCCTAGTTGCCCGCCTGGCCTGCTTGCCAACTTATAAACATCCCTACCAGCGCCGAAAGGGTCGTGGTTCACCATGCCCTAGAACACAGCTTCCCCAGATTCTCCGCAATCTTCCCCATTGTTTCTTACCAATCGCCCAAGCCAAGTTTGTTTCAACATGTCCTCCGCTCAGGCAGATGGGACGGCCCTCTGGCCGCCTGGCACCGTCTATCTTCAGGATGCCTGTGCCACCGGCAGCGAACTGATCCTCCAACCTCGACCGACTGACGACCCAAACGATCCTCTCAACTGGTCTACGCGACGCAAGTACATGAACATCGGCTTCGTCTGCTTCTATGTGGCCATGGTGGCCGAGTTCATCAACGCGGCGACCCCGACCTGGGGCCCAATGAACAAGGAGCTCGGCTTCAGCTACGAGATCCTGAACGACAGCTACGCTGCTGGATGCGCTTGTCTGGCTACCGGCTCGCTCATACTGATCCCCTTCGCCTTGAAGTACGGCCGCCGACCTCTCTACCTCTTCAGCACGGTTCTGCAGTTTGCCCTCAGCATCTGGTCTGCCAAGATGAGGACCGTGGCAGACCTTATGCTGATCAATGTTCTGCAATGCTTCTTTGGGAGCCTGGCCGAGGCCATCGTTCAGATGACGATTGCCGATGTCTTCTTCGTGCACCAGCGTGGGAGGATGAACGCCATCTACGTCTGGGTGTGGCTGCTGTCGAGCTACATGGGGAGCCTGATCGCCGGCTTTGTGGCCAAAGGGCAAGGGTGGAGATGGGTGTGGTGGTGGAACGCGATCATCTTCGGTATTGCTATCATTCTCGTAGGCTTTGGCTACGAAGAGACCAAGTTCTATCCTTCCTCTACGCACAATATCTCATCTACAGGACTTCCAGAGAACGAGGCAGTTCCCTCCAAGGAAAGTCCCGGGGGCCTTGTCGACGAGAAGAGCGCTCCTGGTGGGCAACAACATCGCTTAAACGCTGAGTCTGCCGACCTGGAATCCAAGAAGGTCTCTCATGAGCCTTTAACGGACGCTGCCGGCGCTGTGAGGATCAACCCTAATATCCCAAGGAAGACCTACTGGCAGAAACTCGCCATCACAACGACCACAAGATCAGCCGCCGACACGAATGAATCCTACATCACCCATATCTGGCAGCCACTCGTTCTTCTGGTCACCATTCCGGCCATCACATTTGGTGCCTTGGTGTACGGTATTCTAGTCGGACTGGGTGATGTCATGTCGGCCACCATGTCGACCTACCTACCTCAGGAGCCATACAGTTTCACATCTGATCAGATCGGCCTCATGCATCTTCCCAGGATGATTGGGGTCACTATCGGTGCTCTCATAGTAGGCCCGCTGAGCGACTGGTTCATCGTTTGGCTCTCCCGTCGGCGGAATGGCATCTACGACCCAGAGATGCGGCTGTGGTGCATTGTCCCATTCCTCCCGTTTGTGCCGGCCGGTGCTCTTCTCTTTGGCATCGGCCTCAATAACCACCTTCCATGGCCTATCATTGCTGTGGGCCTAGTCTTGTATAACATTGGTGTCACACCCATCGACAGCATCATTGTCACCTACCTGACTGACTCTTACCGAGACGTATGAACCATCTAGACTATTGTCAAGTTAGGAGGATGCTGACCAGCTTCCAGATTATCGGAGACGCATTAGTCGGTGTCACGGTTGTGCGAAATACTTTCAGCACTGCTTTCATCTTCGCCATGACACCCTGGATCGCGACGATTGGTCTCAAATGGGTGCTTGTGACAATTCTGCTCATTGCATGTGCAATTCTCATGTTCTTCGGGGTGTTCATTCGCTACGGAAAGACCTTCAGGGGCCACACTGCTTCAAGATATGAGTACTACGCTGCGCGGCAGTACAAAGACAGGGCGGCTTCTTGATGAGCCTAATTATGTTATGGGTACATCAATCTGTTACACTGGAGCCTGTCTATCCACTACATGACAGCATCTAATCCTTTCTCGAGCTATGTGTTCAGAGTCCTGTTTCAGCAGACTTGCTCCCTCCCGTGCTTGCCTCAAAAGTTGGCGGCGGACCGCCACTAACAAGTGATCCGGCGCCCAAGGCGCCCATCCATTCTTTGTACTTCTTCTGGACGCCCAAGTATCCCACTTCATACATTGACTGCCCTCCCTGCTCCTCGCTTCTCGCCAGGAGCGAGGTGTTGTGCTCGCCGTTGACCTTGACCGTCTCCCCGGCGATCACCAAAGTCACGCACCATTGCAGGCGGTACCTGTGCGCGACATTGTAGGTCGTGAAGCTGGGGAAAAGCCCCGGTATGAACTTTTGAGGCGGCGGCCTCCCCAGAGCTGTGGCCCAGCTGCTTGCGACCTTGAGCTGGAGCTGCTCGCCAATGTCGAAGGGCTGCGCGTCTGCGCCAAACGGGACGAGGAACGAGCCAAAGTCCTCCTCCTTGAGCACACGCGCTAGGGCAAAGTCCTTGATCGTCTCGTCGTTGCCACCGCGCGGCGCCAGTGTGCCGGGGCACAACACAGAAGACGACTCTTTCAACTGCAGATCCAAGCCCTTTATCCTCACCTTCTGAGGCAGTTCTTTGAGCACGCCGCTCGTCTGGTCCCATATGGGGACCACCCGCAGCTCGAACGGGAACGGCTTGGGATGATCTAGCTGGATGACCGTCGGGCAGCCGATCTCGAGGTGGAACACCAGCTCAGGGACCTTGGAAGAGCCCATCAGCTTCTGCGCCCTCTGCTTGAGCGACAGGCCGGAGCCCTCCGCGCCGCCGCCGGGCGCGAGGCGGTGGCTCGTGACGAAGCTGCGCGTGACGCAGCGCTTCGTGCTGTGGTCGGTGACGGGGTACGGCGTGGAGCGCGCGCGGACCATGACGGGCATGCTCGCCGTCGCGGGCCGGGTCGCCTCGCCGTCGCTCCGGAACCGGGCCTCGAGCCAGTACTCGACGTGCCCGCTGAAGACGTCGTCAAAGAGCTGGCCGTTGAACGAGTAGGAGGAGGGCAGCGGCCGCTTGGCGATCTCGGCCGGGTCGAGCGGCAGGTAGCTGTGCTCCTTCTTGGCGGCCGCGCTGATCGGCTTGGGGGACAGGTTCGTCGGTATCGTGATGGCGAACGGCCACGACTGCAGCTCGGACCCGGGGATGTGCAGGGGCCCGTCGTGGACCTTGACCAGGGTCTCGTCCCGGTCGAAGAAGTGGAAAGGCGAGTTGTAGTAGTCGTCTAGGTCGCGAGCGTGGACGAGATGGACCCTGGCCTTGGTCCGGCCAAGCAGCGCGATGTCGAGTCCGGCCCGTGGACTGGCCGTCTGGGTCTTGCGTAGCACGCGCCCGGAGATGGTCTCGCCCGGGCGGTAGGCAGTGGGGAAGTTGTCCAGCTGTATTGCCAGGTCTTCCGATGCTTTGAACTCGGCCTGAGACATTGCGTGCGCGGAGTTTTGATCGTGGTCGTGCGTGTCTAAGGGGTTTCAGTAGGCTCAGTTGTTGTGACGCTTGCTCTTGACACTTTGCAGAGTTAGACTTAGACTGCCCTTTGTCCGGAGACGCTATTTAGACACCGGAGGGATGAGAAGCTCTGCAGCCAGGCAAGAAGTGAAGATAAGCCCCGGTAAAGAGGCCACCGGCGCATCCATGGATGCGGCAGTGCGATGACGCCGTGCTGGCAATTGGCCGGCTCGGAGCTGCGCAGCCGTTGGCGCAGCCCCAGAATCCGGGCATTGCGGGCCCCAGAATGAGGTCATCGCTCCCAGATGGGCCCTGAAGATCATCTCCAGCACTCCCCAAACGGTGGCAACAGGCATCCAAAACATCTAAAACTCCAGAACTTCCATTCCTGGAAACGAACAAGACAAATCCACCACTGTCGACGAAAAGTCTTGTGAGGTGAGATGTAACCCATTATCGATTCCTGATTGCGGCTTGCGTTTGTCAAATCTAGCATTCATTAAGCACACCATCATTTGGGCACATGAATGCGCAAGGGGTTCTGTATGTTCACTGAAGTGTGCATGGTAAGTTTCGTGTTTTCGTGGCTGGAGGCGGTCACTGTGAATTGAGGCTTCTGCAAACATTGAAGTTGTTGAATGTTACTTTGAATGTCATGATGCTGTCGGACCGTTTCTTCGCCGTGGGTTGCGCCAATATCGAAGAGACATATCGAATTGGGACGACAGCGCAATGAGGGGTCAGCATGGACAGAGATTATGTTAACAATGCATAAAGTAGAAATCATGCTCTGGAAATCGGAAAGGCTATCTATCCCACTACCTAAAATCGATGGTTTGATCTGATCAGCTTTGATGCTCAAGTATTTCGATTTCTGTTAGCAGCCTGTCAATGAATCTGACCATCATCCATCGCTTGTCACGGGCAGCGAATGACCCCACAGCGATTTCTCATCCTCACCTCACTCCACCAACACGCCACGATCAAACTCGCGAGGCACGAACACCCGAAAGGCGCAATCGCATCGCATCGCAGAATACCGCCCAGACAGAATGACGGAACCGTCCAAGCCGAAAAGATGGCTGAGCCGAATCAAGCAAAAGCTCTCCGGCGGGAAAGGCGCCGCCCAGTCGTCACCACACGCCGGCACGACGCCGTCGAAGCGGACCCAGTCCATGCCGACAAACTCGGAGGTGCTGGCGCGTCTGCAGCCGGACAAGTACCACTACGACCTTACCGTGCAGCCCGGTCCGCCGACAGCCGACTCGTCGGCCACTCTAGACCAGGCCGCACCCGTGGGAGATGCTTCCCAGGAGCCCACACGCAAGGAGACCGGCGTCAACCCTACCAAGAGCTCCGCTGCAAAGGCATCGGATCTTGTCGCGCCGGCCAAGGAATCTGAGCGTCCCCGGCAGTGCGCGATGTGTCTCGGCTACCTTGACTACAGACCGGGAGGGGAGATGTGTCAGTGTAGGGGCTAAACATCGACGACATGCATCATGGAGACAACCACGCTTCTCTACAAGGTTGGAAGAGGGAAGCATGGAGGGACCGCATGGCTGCAAAGTATGCAAGGGGGCACCGCATGCATTGTAGAAGCCATCTTTGAGAATCCGAATCAAAATGCATTGCTCTTGGGATATAAATGTTCCGACAATCCCCAATCATCATGACTTCATCCCATACCTGTACGCCTGATGTCCTTGCATTGACACCTGATAAATGCAGTCGCCCCAACCTCATTATGAATTACGAAAAGGAGGACGACTCTGGTCCGTACATTATGATTGCACGCCCAGCAGTGCGTTCAGGAGCGTCACCACAAATTCTGAAAGCGCAGCCACGAGCTAGAGGAAGATGCATGAGTATCTTTATCGCCAGAGCGTGAGAATGAGAGGCCATGAGACTTACCGGTGCGCCATCAGAGATGAGTTCTTGCGTCTGGTTCACAAAGCCCTCGGTGAGCAGGTGCTCCGCGTTACCCAGCAGGCCCATGACGTTCTTGATCGTGGCGGGCGTGATGATGGGCGTGATGGCGTCGACAATGCCGTTGATGTCAATGTGGTTGAGGGCGCCGAGCAGAGGCTTGATCGCGTTGACGAGGCCGTCGAGGTCAATCTCCAGCAGCGCGTCGAGCAGCGGCGTGAACTTCTTCAGCAGGCCCTTGATGTCGATCTCGCCGACAGACTGCAGCAGCCCGACGATGCTCTGGACCGTCTCGGGCTTGAGCAGCGGCTTGACGGCGTCGAAGATGGCCTCGAGGTCGATGTCCTTGAGCGAGTTCAGGATGGGCGCGATGTCGTCGACGAGGCCGGCCAGGTCGATCTTGCCGAGCGACTTGAGCAGCGGCGTCACCATGTCGAGCAGGCCCTTGAGGTCGATCTCGCTCACCGTGTGCAGCAGCGGGCCCGCGTCGCCGATGAGCGACTTGGTCTCGTTGACAAAGTTGGCCGTCAGCAGGTCCTCGGCGTTGTCGACGAGGCCGATGATGCCCTTGATCGAGTCGGCCGTCAGCAGCGGGGAGACGGCCTCGACCAGGCTCTTGAGGTCGATCTTGCTGATCTCGCCGAGCACGGGCCCGATCTGGTCCACCAGACCCTTGAGGTCGATCTCGCCCAGGCTGTCGAGGAGAGGCGTCACCTTGTCGAGCAGACTCTTGAGGTCAATCTTCTTCAGAGCATCGATCAGAGGGCCAGCGCCTGAGATCAACGCGTGCGTCTCATCGACGAAGTCCTTGGTCAAGAGGTCCTCGGCATTGTTCAGCAGCCCGATTATGCCCTTGATCGAGTCAGATGTGAGGAGTGGCGACAGAGAGTCAACGAGACCCTTGAGGTCAATCTTGCCCACAGCCTCGAGCACAGGTCCAAGTTGATCCATCAGGCCCTTGAGATCAATGTCCTTCAGGCCGTCGAGTAGAGGCCCGGCGCCGCCGATGAGAGACTTTGTCTGGTCTACAAAGTCCTTGGTCAGAAGATCTTGGGCATTGGCCAGCAGTGCTATGATGCCCTTGATAGAGTCCGATGTGAGTAGCGGCTTGAGCGAGTCGACCAGCGCCTTGAGGTCGATCTGGCCCAGAGACTCTAGGAGCGGGCCGAGCTGATTTACAAGAGATTTCAAGTCGATGTCCTTGAGGCTGTCCAACAGAGGTCCGGCACCACCGATCAGGGAGTGAGTCTGGTCCACAAATTCCTTGGTCAGGAGGTCCTCAGCATTGCCGAGAAGACCAACAATGCCTTTGACGGAGTCAGGTGTGAGCAGCGGAGACAAGGCATCAAGAAGACCCTTGAGGTCTAGGTCCTTGAGCATGTCCAGCAGCGGCGTGATCTGGTTGATAAGGCTCTTCAGATCAATGTCCTTTAGGCTGTCGAGCAGCGGTGCAGCGCCGCCGATGAGGGCCTTGGTCTGGTCGACAAAGTCCTTAGTCAACAGGTCTGCACCGTTACTGAGCAGGCCCTTGAGCATGTTTACAGTCTCGGGCGTGAGCAGCCCAATGACCGAGTTGACGAGGCCCTTGATGTCGACGTCCTTGATAATGTCGATGATGCCAGCCAGGTCCAGACCGTCGAGCGAGTCGATCAGCTTGCCGGCCTTTGTGATAAGCGAGCGCGCCTGGTCGGGGAAGGGCGGGCGCAGCGTCGCGGCCAGGTAGATCATCGAGTCGTGCAGGCCCTTGAGGAACTCCTCGCTGAGCAGGCCCATGATGGTGTCGAGCGTCTGGCCGAGGTGCGTCAGCGTCTTGAGCAGCTCGGCGAAGCCGCTGCCGTCGCCGTCGCCGAGTCCGGGCAGGCTGAGGTTCTGGCGCGGGTACAGCGGCGGTGCCCTCTTGCCGCCGGCGGAGGCGGCAGCTTCGGCCTGCTGGCTCTTCTTGAGCAGGCCATTGAGCTCTGTCAGGGCCTCGGTGAGCTCGGAGCGGGGCATGAGGACGAGGTTGCGGCTCGCGAGCATTTCATCGAGGGCGTCGAGGTCGAACTCGACCGGGGACGCGGTGCGCGCCGCGCCGAGGGCGAGGCCGGCCGGGGCCAGCGTCGCGCATAGGACCTTGAAGAAGCGCATTGTGCCGGGAGGAACCAAGGGAGGTACGAGGAGGCAAGGTATAGTCTTCTTAGGATGTGCTCTTGAGCTGTGACCGCCCAATGCTTCAACGGAGCAGAACAACACAAGGTGTGAAGAGGAGAAGAAGGGAATAAAGGGACGGGCAGGAGGATGGCATCAAGGTCCCTCACAACGGCTGGGAACAGAGATGTGAGAAGGCAGGCTGCATCGACGCATGCAGGAGCAGGAGAGACCGCCGATACGTCAAATATGAGACGAGCGCAAACTGCTGGTGGTGGTGCACATCGCGCTATCTGGGGGGCGTGAACTGTGCTGCTTGCTGCTCATCCTCTGCGCCTCCATCAACCACCTCCACTACCACTCTAGAGCGGTGGATGTTGGCGTCTTCTTCCCACTCACTTACACCATCCCGGGAGGTGTAGCAGAGTGGAGGCATGGCAGAAAATGTCGACAGGGGAGTGTCAGCTCTGTCTGCCCCGCCCGTCGTGAGGGGAATATTTGTCTAGGAACGGAGCTGAGGCTGTCGATCCCTTGCTCTCCCCCATTTAGTGCAGTCGAATGTGCGGTGCGGTTCCGGAGCAAAAGTCCTGACAGCCCAGGGGTCGGGTCGGGTGCTGCGTCTGTGCCCCAGGTCTGCTCCACGCCAACTACCCCATGGGTTCGGCTCGGGTCTGATCCACTGTCGTGTGGGAGAGGAGAGATGGCCAGCCATCGGCAGCATCTCGATCTGCTATCATCACATGTGTGCGCCTTGGAGAGTTGGAGGAGGAAGAACAACAGCGAAACGAGTCCCACTGCCGAGGCCTGTCGCGCGCTCCAATACGACCTTGCTCAACAGAGGAAAGTGGGAGCTGCACGATGACGATGATTTGCCGTGTTTGGGTAAATTGGGATGGAGTCGAAGATGGGGTTAGGTCGCGGCGGATTGGCGCGGGCTCTCGGCGGAAATGTGGCCGTGATGCAGTTACAAGTAGATCCAGACCAAGCTCATGGCATCCTTGCTGCTTTAGGATCGCCCCTGGGGATGGCTCGAGATGAAAACTGCATAGCGCACCTGTCACGCACCCCAGAAGCGGCATAGTCGGGCAATCAAGCTTATGTCGGGTTGGCGTGCTGCTGGTGCTAGTGTACGCTCGACAGGGGCACGACAGTTCATGAGGCCCATCATCTTTTTTCTCCGGCTCTCTCTCGGGATCATCCCCCCAGTCAAGCTAAACCATAATTCCACAAACCTCGCGAGGCTAGCACAGCTAGTCATTCTGACAAGCTTCCCATTTTGGTGCCCGACCGCCACTACGGCCGGCACCTCGCCGTCTTGCAAGACAGTCACAATCTCTCACTGCAACCATATGACGTTCCTATGCCCACTGTATCCTTCCACCTGCACTCCACACTCCACCATTTGCATGTCGTGATTGCGGGATAGCCTTGCAGTTGCTCTGCGTAAAAGAACCAAGGCAGCTGCACGCCAAGACGACCAGTCGGGAATAGTGAGGTGCAACTCTTGTTCACACCGCACTATCAACACGCTCCACACCCCACTACCAGACTTGTGCCCACCATTCTAGGCTTGTGCAGATGTGATTTGCATCGATTGTCACTGGATCGGGAGGTCAGCTCGAGGTCTCGTGCACGCGGGCGGTCAGCCCATGGGTGGGTAAAGTGAAGTCTCTTGCTTCTCCAAAGCGGACGATCAACCTGGGGTCGCGCGATCGGCAGGTCGTTAGGTCGTCGCTATGAGCTTTCCGACCAGTCACTGCAGAGGCAGATGAGGGGAAGCAACAGGAGCTGTTCTGCTTATCACCTCGGCCGACGACTTATTTGTTGTAAGCGGTAGATATCCAGTGGGCGTGCCTGGCTGTGTGAGAGACCCGTCGCCCGCCCCCGTCCTTGCCTGCCACCTTTTCTGTGCTTGCCGTCTGCTTGCTCCGTGGTGATAGTTGTGCTCAAGGTGCGGCAAGCTTCACAATGGACTCGTTCAAGGACAAGTCTCGTTATGAGTCGGGCAGCCACCGCGGCTCAACCGAGATGCGCCCTGCTGTGGCCGGCGAGGGACCGTCCAACGTGCGCCCATCGCAGGAAGGCTCCCGCGGCGACTCCAGCTCGATTGACCACGTCGAGAAAGTCCCTGCTACCCCTGCCAAGCTGTCCAAAAGGAGGCGCATGAGGAATCACTGCGCGCGATTCTGGCCGTGGTACCTCCTCGCCAACATCATATTCTTGGCTATCTTCCTGCCGCTCTTGTAAGTTCTGCTGGGAATCAGTGCCTCCATATACCGTTTCACTAACCTGACCTTCAGGTTCACCAAGATCATCCCGGCAATCGTCCAGGGCATTGTCAACAAGCAGGAGCTCCCAGTCTTTGGCGGTGCGTACATCGCAATATCGCCAACGCAACTCAACATCTCGCTCGACACGCAGCTCGATACTCCGCTGCCCGCCACAATCGAGCAGATGGAGGTGCATCTCTATAACCATGACACGCCCAACTTCTCACCCTTTGTCAATCTAACATTCCCGGAGATCCACACAAACCACAAGACGAATGTCAGTATCAAGGACCAGACTGCGACCGTCGCCAACCACAGCGAGCTCGTCAAGTTCTTCGGCAATGTCTTTGACAACGAGGTAGTCAGCATCGGCAACCGAGCCAATGTCAAGGTCCATCTCGGCGCGTTGCAAATGAAGGCGCACCTTGAGAAGACTGTCGAGATCCCGGCGCTTAACAAGCTCAAGAACTTTGGCATCATAGATATCCAACTCGTGCTGCCGCCTCTTGAGAACGGCACCAATATCAAGGGCCATGTCAACCTCCCTAACTGGGGACGTCTCGCTCTCGGACTGGGCAACTTGACCCTCAATATCTTCTCACACCAGTCAGATATCAAGCTCGGCATCATTGACATTCCGAATGTCAACCTGCCGCACGGCAACAACTCGTTCTCCTTTACGGGCCAGCTTGACATCGGCTACGCGCTGCAAAACATCGGCCCCATCCTGGACAGCCAAGCCGACCCGCTGAGCCGTGGCGCCATATCCCTGGGCACCACCGGCAATGCGACCATGATGAACGGCGAGCATCTGCGCTACGTGGAAGAAGTGCTCAACAACCGCCGCATCTTCTCGGAAATGCCCGTCATCACCCTGGCCAGCCAGATCCTTGGCGGTCTTCTGACAAATGGCAATGGCGACGGCCCCCCTCTGCTGGATGTCCTGGGCGACATGGTAGGTAACAAGACCTTTGTTGAGGAAGTGCTCCACAAGTTCAACTCGACGGGTGCACTCACGGGCCTCAATGCTACCAAGTCGGGCGGGAAGCCAAATCACAAGAGGAGATCATTACCCATGGCGCTGAATTTGTTTAAGATGAGCATGAAGATGAGAAAACATTGATACCAGAAGGGGGTAACCGGTGTTTCTGGTGTTTTTATATGTTTGGATTTGTACGAATTATCGCTATGAGTTTCCGAGCAACGTGGAAATGACAGCATTTGCGTCATACCTGTCAGAAACTAATATGAAGAGTTGAGAACATTGATCTATGTAACATATCAGCCTTGGGTTTGCGTGAACAGATCATGGTATGAAGAGCTTGCTTCAGCCCATAGACGAATGAGGGGCGCTTTATTGTCCTCCACAGCAGGTAAACGCGTATCCCGCAGCTCTGCGAAAGATTCTCGGGGCGAGCGGGCCCTTCCTGTTCCAGTAGGTGGGATGGGATGTTGCTGTGCCGTACCGACACGCTTTGGGAATGCGGAGATGTCAAATTTAGTGTTCGTTTGACACTTTCATAAATATGCTTGGCAAAGAGGCATAGGTATATAGTTGTAGCCACGGTCGCGCAGGTGGTTGTTTCGAATTCAGACAGGCTTCTCTCAATGTGTATGGTCTAGGCGTCTTCAACATGGTTTCGGTTCAAGGATATCTATCGTGCCTCCTGTGGTTCGCAGGCGTCATATCAGCTGCGTCCCTCCAACACATAACCGAGCCATTCGGTGACAATCCCACCAACGTCGGTTTCTACCTCTATGTGCCGGACAAATTGTCTCCGAGACCGCCAGTGCTCATCCACACACACGGATGCCATGGGACTGCAGAGGGGGCTTACAAAGGCTACCGGTTCCCTAAACTGGCCGATCAATACGGCTTCATAGTCATCTATCCAGACTCGCCCTTCCTCGAAAAGAAGTGCTGGGATGTGTCCTCTCGCGAGACGTTGACCCATAACGGCGGTGGCGATAGCCTAGGCATCGCGAGTATGGTACGCTGGACACTGGACAAGTATGCTGGGGATAGAGGCCGAGTCTTTGCGACGGGCGTCTCCTCGGGAGCCATGATCACCAATGTACTGATGGGCTCCTATCCGGATCTCTTTGCCGGCGGCTCAGCCTTTGCCGGGGTGCCATTTGGGTGCTATGCGGCGCCTGGAAATAACTCTGGTGTCTACTGGTACTGGGACTATGCTTGTGCCGCCGGCAATGTGACCCACACCCCGAGACAGTGGAAAGCGATGGTTGACGCAGCGTATCCGGGATACACTGGCTGGCGGCCCAAGGTTCAGGTGTTTCACGGGACGGTAGACGAGGTGCTGAACTACAACAATTTTGGAGAAGAGATCAAGCAATGGACAGCTGTCTTTGGCCTAGACTACAGAAGACCTGCGTCAATTACGGAGAATACTCCGAAGAAAGGCTGGACCAAGTCTTCCTACGGTGGTGGATGGTTCGAGGCGTTTAGCGCGTTCAACGTCACTCACAACATTCAGATGCAGGAAGATCTGGTCTTGGAATTCTTTGATCTGAAGTGCAATGGGCAAGACTGCTTTTCATGGGGAAAGGGTGGACCGCGAAAACCATGCTCCAAGAGAAGGTCGCCAGTGCAGGAACATCGTCGCTGAGAGACGGATATCACCAATATTGACAAATCTCTAGTTGGGAAGATACTTCCCGTGTTCATCTGAAGCTTCCTATCTATCTAAGATCCATATGACGCTCCGCTACTAATTAAGTAATAAGACTCCTGAAGGTGCTTGACAAAGGGGTTGTCTGCTAATCACAGTGTGAACCGAAAGAGGGGAGAGTTCTCGCCCATCTCGCTCAGCTCGGCTGGTGTGTGGCGAGCTTGAATCTCATCAATGTTCATGGCGTCCCGCCTCTTGTTCTCTCTTCGCATCAGGAACCAGTGGATAGTCGCCGGAATCATGGCGCCAAGCACAGTCGCACCAATCGAGAAGCCAAACCCCAGAGGATAGGTCGGAGCCTCCGACGCCAGGTAAATGTTGCTGCCGATACTGCCACCCCCGAACGAACCGAACAGCATCAGAAGACCAATAGCAGCAGCTCGCTTGGAAGGGTTAGGCACATTGACCGAGGTCCAGGCTCCGACGATAGGTGCTTGGGCCGAGTACCCAGCCGCAGCCAGGAAAATGGCAAAATAGCTCACTCCGTAGAGGTTCTTATAATGAACGGTGACCCAGAGGATGATGACGCCGATGAGGCCCAGGCAGTAGCAGCTCATTATGCTAAAGAAGCGGCGCTGGTAACGATCGCTCATCCAGCCGACAAAGACGCAGACGCAGGTAGCAAAAATGTACGGCGGGGTAGTGAGTGCCTGCGCCTTGACGGCTGTGTAGCCCAGGTTCTTGACCATGGTGGGCAGGGTATAGGAAAGCGAGTAGGTCGGCACGGATCCGCCCCACCAGAACAACATCATCATTAGGTATGTCTTGCGGTCCTTGGCGGCAGCGAGGACGTCGCTCCAGCGGAAGACGTAGGTCGGGGCGTCGGGGCCGGAGGCATACTTGACTCGGAGTTGGGCGTATTCGAGCTCCGAGGCGGAGAGCCACTTCGACTTGGTCTTGTGGTCGTATTGATGTGGGAAGTGACTTTGGAAACGTCAACACTTGTTTCGAAAGCTTTGTTCAAGGGTGTGCACTCACGGTAGGAACATGTAGGTCATCAAGCCTGCGACGATAGTGATGACTCCCTCAATAAGGAAGAGCCACTTCCAGGCCTTCCATCCATGAGCTCCGTCGAGGTTGCCGACTCCGTAGGCGATGACACCGCCGAATGCGCCCGCAGCGGTATTGGCACCGTAGAAGATAGCCATTCTAGCAGGCAAAAGTCAATATTTTCTTTTCAAGGACAGAAGCTAGAGGCGTCTTACCTAGTGGCAATCTCCTTGGGAGTATACCACATGCTGAGAATAAAGTACGAGCCAGGGTAGAGACCTGCCTCGGTCATGCCCAGCACGAGGCGAATCACGACATAGGAACCATAATTTTGAACAAGGCACGTCAAAGTAGTAACGAGACCCCACGCGACAACAATGCAAGGAAACCAGATCTTTGGTCCCAAGCGACGCAGCATGACGTTGGAGACAGGTTCGCAGAGGCCGTAGGTGAAGAAGAGGTACATCAGCGCCAGGTTAAATTGAGTTGGAGTCATGCCGACATCTTCCAGGAAACCGAAGAGCTGGGTCGATTCTCAGTCAGTATCTGCAAGCTCAACCAGGTCTGTAGTCACACACCTTGGCATTGCCTGCATTGCTCTTGTCAAGGGAGCACATGAGGTACAAGAAACTAAGAGTTGGGAGCAGACGCCAGTCAACTGTTAAGTGGAATTAGCATTTCATGTTGACGTATTTCAAGGTGGAAAGTACAGGCTCACGCTTCTTCAAGAGTCTCTTTCGTCCAGCACCTTCAAACTCACGATGAAGCTCGAGGTATCGGTCATACTCGGGGTTGTGGCTAGCGGAGACGAAGCCCTCGGCGGTATCCCCAGAAGCGACCTTCTGCTCAGGAACTCGCTTTTCAACATCTTCTGCCGATGACACTTCGGAAGGAGGCATGATTTAGAAGTTTAATCAGTCCCGTAACAAGATTCTCTAGGGTGATGATCAGCACCTCGAGCTTTCTTTGGCCTCGAGATGTTCAAGAGCTATATATGCTCTATCCATCTTGTCTGGTACAGAGAACAGGACGGGTGGGCGATAAGTTAACTATCTCAGAGGCTTATCAGGGCTAAGCCATGCTAATGCAAACCTTTCCATAAGGGCGGCATCATGTGGGTTGGGAAACCTGGGGTAGCGGCTCCACGCGTGTCAGTTTGTTATCTAGAGTGGATTTGGTCTCGGCGATTGATATACAATTTCGGCGCTTTTCATTGGCCGCGGCCAGTTGCTGGCGGTGTTGCCGGATAACAACAAGCATCACCGAGCGAGCAACCAAGAACAACCCTGGCGAAGACGGTCAGCTGCAGGCCAGTACACCACTACTATACTGTTTAGGCCCCTGTGTGCCCTATGAAGCAAGCTCCCGCCCGGGGCGGTGCCAATAATCGCCGAAGTCGAACCACATGGGTCGAAAATCGTCCCAACTCCTTCGGCGGCTCAAGCTCTACATTCCGTAGATCTTGGACATCTTTGCATTTAAGAATAGGCCTGCTTCACAATAATCACTTGGGATCAAGTACCAGCAACCCAAGACTTTGTCCTCATCATAACATTCACGAGTAAATAGTTCGAAGCTCCCATCATTTCTTATAATCCGCATTCCCATCATGGCGCCCTCCGCAACCGAAACTATGACATCGCCCGGCGAGAACTTGCTGGCAAAGAAGCTAGCTACCCGCGCCAAGAATGCCGATGACACGCCGCTGTACCTGGATTACATGCCCTTCTATGATCCTCTTGAGAAGGTCGAGGATATCGGCTCTTTTGATCACTACGATCCTGGCCACCGCGCTGACCCGGCGCTGCCCAACCTACTAGCGGATGCGACCAAGGTCATCGACCTATCACCGCATGTCGGTACTGAGATCGAGGGCGTCCAGCTGTCAAAACTTTCCCCGGCTAGTCTCGACGAGCTGGCATTGATGGCGGCAAAGCGCGGCGCTCTCGTGTTCCGTAACCAGGACTTCCGGGACATTGGCTTCGAGGCTCAGAAGAAGATCGTCAGCCACTTTGGGCCTTTGCATGTCCACGGATGGGCGCCGCACCCCGCCGCCGGAAGCCCGGAGCACATGGTCATTTATGACCACAAAGAGTGAGTAGTTGCATAGAAGCCAAATTCAAACCTTAGCTAACGACCTTCGCAGGGATCTGCGCGTTCGAAAGTCTTGGAAGGGAAGGAGTCCTATCCAGTGGCACACGGACCAGTCTCCGGAGCCCCAAACTCCAGGTACTACTTTCATCTGTATGCTGGAGTCCCCAGCGGCCGCAGGTGGCGACACTCTCGTGAGCTCCAGCGTTCAGGCATTCAAGTCTCTATCACCGCGTTTCCGAAAGAGGCTTGAGGGTCTCACCGCTATCCACACCAACAATGACGGCGTAACGCAAGAGTTGAAGAACGGTGAGACGGCGGTTATGCGGAGGCAAGAACTGATCCAAGAACACCCCGTCGTAATCGTGCATCCTGTCACCAAGGAAAAGGCTCTCTACGTTAACCCAGTGTATACCAAGAAGATCGGTAGGTGATCTCCTTATCTTCCACTTCGTCACTAGTTGCTAACACCTATTCCAGTGGGCTTCGACGAGGAGGAATCAGACTACCTTCTTGGGTTCCTGTTCGACCACATTGCCAAACGTCAAGACTTCCAATGCCGCATCCGGTACGAGGCAGGAACTGTACTTGTCTGGGACCAGAGGATCACCAACCACTCTCAAACCCTAGACTATCCAGCGGGGGAACGCCGCCACGCCTTTAGGCTAACACCTCTGGCAAATAAGCCTATCCCTGCCAAGATTGAGGAAGATGATGGCGAATGCGAAAGAGACTTCGGAAGAGTCCAACTCGGTCTATGCTAAGCCCAGTTGTAGCGAGGGAGAGATGAGATAGTCTACAGATCATAACAATATGTAGCATTGATATTATACATTGCGCAAGGGTATATGCTATTATATTAAAAAGTGAATAGAAGATCATCGGGACACCCAGGCCTCTGCCAGTAAATCCTCTGCCATTCACTCCAAGGATTACCAACAGCCTCGTCTGACTGGGGATATTGGCGTCCTGACATGATATTAGTGAACAATTGGGCTAGATCCAAACCATATGGATCAGTGCCCGACTCGAGGGACTGGAGAGCAATATTGAAGTTTTCGGGTTGCTCTACCTCTCCAGCATGTAGCTCTTGACCTATGTCATGAGCCGTTGTAGCATCTTCTGCGGACGGTTCTTGGGTTGTCTGGGCCTCATTCACCCCTTGCAGGCGCACCGAGTTCTCAAAGAACTCGATGACAGACTGTGCATTTGGCCAATACTCTGCAACCCTTCTGAGAGATGACAGGGCTGAATCGTATCTCCGGATGGCTGATATGGCCAAGACCGGATTAGCTATCCGAACCTCTACGCTGAGCTGGATCAAGGCCGTGAAGAGGAAGTTGATTGCCGACGTCCAGAGATATTTGATTTGCTCCCTCTCGTTAAGGTACTGGAATATCTGTTGTATCGCTACTGCAGCATTCGTGCAAATGTCAACGTCGTCAGGGCGCACATCATCGTCAGCTTCAGGGTAGGGCTGTTGCCGATGTAACAAGAGCAGAACGGTATTGTACTGAAGTTGGACAAGTGCAGTCCATGGATCGAGATTTGGTCCGATGTTAAGTTGCAAGGGCTGCGGAAGTTGGATGGACCAATTGGCGAGTGACTCGTCCGCTTTCCTCATGGAGGCGAGACGAACCTCGGGTGATGTTCCTGGCCGGGACTGCCGCCGCAGAATCTTGGAAATGATCACGCACAGTTCTGCCGTGTGTATCACATGATCAACTCGGGTTTTTGCACCACATCCGTGGAAGTCGCCTGGTTCAAGCATCTTGACATCCGTGTCGTCGAGATGGATGGATTGTGGGCGGCCGTATTGCAGGGAGACGAGGACGTCACACTGAAATAACAGCCACCATACACGCCGCCACATCCTCTTGTTATGGGCCACCAGAGTGCTCTTTTCCGCATCACGATGCATGCCCAGCCCGGTTGCATGACGGGTGGCCACGCCGATCCAGTGCCAGGCGTTCGCTCCTACGTCTTCTGGTCCATCTGCGTGCCAGGTGAGCAGCAGAGCTGCTTGGACGATCACATCGCGATTGCGTTCGAAACGGGCGTCGAATAGGATCTTTGCACGTCGAAAGAACAGGGCCTTGTAAGTATCCCTCTGGGGCTGTTCGTACAGGACATGAGCGCCGGCAAGCATGATCGCGTGAAGAAGTAACAAAGAAGGTGCGTTCTGCGGGTCCTTGGCATGATAGTGTGCCATGAAGAGCGTTTCGTCGACTACTGGGAAGCCAGGGTTGATTTGCTCAAAGTAAGCCGCAAGAAGCTCGTCGACCACTTTCTTTGGCGGTAACTGAAAGGCCTCAACTGGCAACCGGTCCGGCTCGTGACAGGTGAGCTGTCGAGCAATGCGATTTGTGGGATAGTGGCATACTCCGGATGTCTTGTTTCCAAGCTGTTGCCGGAGAAGGAAATTGACGTTCGAGACCTCACTTCCCACATACATGATCCTTGCATCTTTGTCGATGGGCCGCTCTGTGATCTGAGGCTGGTCGATGAATTCGACAAGGTATCTCTTGTACTCTCCGTCCACCGAAGGATCAGCGTGGACTCCATTTACCCCTGAATCATCCTCTTGAGCCCGATTCCCGACCTCGATTGCATTCTGATAACTCGGGATTGTGGACACTGGCACTTCATCGAGGTGCCTCGGTGTGGCTTGGGCGAGAAGGGAGGTAGTTGCGCTAGCAGCATCGCTACCAGCAAGGATAGACTCTATATCTATCTCAGACTGTGTTGGTTTTGGAACATCCCTCGCCGGAGTAGGCAGAAATATTGGCCCCGGTGTTGAGAAGGGCTGCTGTGTGCTCTCTTCCCGAGTCTTGCTCGCCCTGGATGTCCGTTTCCGCTTCAGGTAGAGATGGCAGTCTCTAGGGCGGTCAGACTTTTGGCAGTTGGTACACGGAAAGCCCCCATCGTGAGCATCACATTTGACCTTCCTGTGATGGCAGACTGTACATGCTACTCGGCCTTGAGCCAGTCAATCATCAGTTTCTACTGTGGCGTGCCTCTCTCTCAGGGTACATACCAGCGTTGGCCTGTGCTCGCGTGACTCTCTGCATAGTTGACGATAGACGAATAGGACCACAGTCATTTCGAATGCCATCCATCGCCGCTTATCGATATTTGTGATTACGATGAATTATTCTTCCCCGCGTTCCGGTTACCGTTGGCCGCGCTGTCGGGTCTTTGGCCGACATGACCGGATTGGGCTAGAGTTGGCTCTGAGCCTTATCGAATAGAAAGCGCCGGTTGATAAGCCGGTCAAGATAGCGGTTTCTGTTATCTCATAGTCTAGATACAGCCAAGATAGAACTCCAGGCATGCTGGAGCTAACCGTCTGGAACGAGGGGGCAGTTAGTAGAGTGGATAGATCTTGCTTTAGTGGAGTCATCCATTGGCCGCCGTCCTTGGAGCGAAGGAAGGATCGCAAGTGAAGCTCGGGTGCATGTACTAAATCACTGTTTGAGGGGGTGTTCTTGGCCGCAGCGACTTTGCCCATTGCCCTGTGACCTTACCCTGAAAAGACGCGTATTCTACCTATACGTGGGCTGGACAGGACAACCACAGGACTTCAGCGTTGAGCTCGCCAATATGACTGTGCTTCACGAATACGACCTTGTCATCACGAACGGGGTTTGTGTGACGGCATCCGATATCGCTACATATGATGTTGGGATTAAGGATAAGAAAATCGCGATTCTCGCCCCATCGGGAATGCTGGCCAATGCAAGCACGAAGAAACTCATCGACGCCGAGGGTGGCTTCGTGATGGTAAGTTTAGAGTGTAGATCTAGGACCTGATGTGAAAGTGCTAATCGTCGGGAACAGCCGGGAGGCATTGATTGTCATGTGCACCTTCAGGAACCGAGCATGTTTGGCAAGGGCTCGTCAGCGGATAGTTACGAATCTGGTCAGTATCATTAGATTATGTTGATGACCTATGGCTGACCCTGTATCAGGAACTCGATCTGCCATTGCAGGAGGCACAACGACTATCGTGTCGTTTGCTCCCCAGCAGAAACATGAAGACTCGCTTCTCGCTGCTCTCAATGCCACACACAAGCTAGCTAGTGGCAGCTGCTACTGTGACTATGGCATGCATCTCCTGGTCTCAAACCCAGGTCCAAAAGCCATCTCGGAGCTGAAACAGATCAAAGAGGAAGAGGGAGTCAGCTCTCTGAAGATCTACATGACGTACACAGCGCTGCAACTGAGCGACTATCAGATTCTGACTATTCTTCTGGCCTGCCGAGAGAATAAGATCATTACCATGATCCACGCCGAGAATGGTGACGTTTTAAACTGGCTCACGGACAAGCTCGAGGAGAAGAAGCTATTCGCACCGAAGTATCACAGCAACTCGCGGCCGCCGATTTTGGAGGCAGAGGCCACCAATCGCGCGATTGCTCTCTCATCTTTGATCAACAACACTCCAATATTGCTCGTCCACGTCAGTGATCCCGGAGCCACATTCCGGATCAGGGAAGCGCAGACGCATGGCCAGCCCATCTTTGCTGAAACATGCCCTCAGTACCTGTTCCTGACGCGAGATGATCTCGACAAGCCCGGCTTTGAGGGAGCGAAGTGCGTCTGCTCGCCACCGCCGAGGAACGAAGCTGACCAGAAGCTCATCTGGAAAGGCCTGAGGAACGGCACATTCTCGGTCCTGAGCTCGGATCACTGCCCGTTCAGATTTGACGACGCCGAAACGGGAAAGAAGACATGCATTACACATGAGCATCCCGTGGGCCGGTTTAAGTACATTCCCAACGGCATCCCGATGATCGAGACCCGGCTTCCCGCTACGTTTTCTGCCAGCAATATGACTGTCACAAAGTTTGTCGAGGTCACTTCTACAAATGCAGCAAAGTTGTATGGAATGTACCCGCGCAAGGGAGCCATGATTCCTGGGGTCTCTGATGCCGACTTGGTCATCTGGTATCCGGAGAGTAAGAAGCCAAACATTCATCTGACCAATGAGATGCTGCATCACGATGTAGACTATTCGCCTTTGGAGGGACGGCACATTGCCAACTGGCCAAGATATACAATCCTACGTGGCAAGGTGGTTTGGGACAGGGACAATGGAGGGATCGTCGGCGAGAAGGGCTATGGTCAGTTTGTCAAGCGTGAAACTGCAACTTTAAACAATGTCTGGGAAAGAGTGGAGGAAGAGGGCGAGTTTGATCTCGAGATGCTGTAGAGTAGCTTCAATGTTGACTTTGATCTCTGTCAAACAGTGACTATATGTCTTTAGTCAAACCTCATGACTAGGAACTTTCTGTGCGATATCAAAGATAGAGGCCGAATTCAATCTCTTGGCAAAGCATGTATGCGAGCTGGTTTCTGAGTTCGAGAATCTCTGCTATAAGTCTATTGCCGATAACCGAGAATCGATCAATAATCTAGGGTACGCAGGCCGGCGGATACTGTAGCATGGTAATCAATATTCGGAGCTTTGCATTGGGCTCGGCGCCTCGGTGGTATGTAGACACCTCGACGATTAATCACTAGCGCATAATTACTAACACTAACATCCACGGATATCGATAACACTCGTGACCAACTGTATACAGTGTGTACTTGGCGGTTATCATCTTGCAGGTTGCTCGCGTAAGGAGACTTCGCGGTGAGAGTCGAAGGACAACGCGGTATCATCATCACTACTGGGTCGCAAGTATGGCAACACATAGACCGTTGCCAAGGGGCATCTACACACCCCTCCCGACGTTCTTCCTGGACAATGAAGACCTCGACCTCGAGGCCTTTGCCAAACATGTCGTCTATGTCTCGAAAGCAGGCACAGTTCCCGTCGTGGCTGGCTCTGCCGGCGAGGCGACGCACCTGACTGGCTCGGAGCGCGCGCAGCTCGTCCGAACTGCCCGCTCGGCACTAGACGCAGAAGGGCTCACAGACGTGCCAATCGTCGCGGGCGTCGGCGCATCGAGCACGCGCGAGACGGTCTCGCTTGCGCACGACGCTGCGAGTGCGGGAGCAGACTATGCGATGGTGATCCCGCCTGGCTACTACGCCAGCCAGCTGCAAAAGAACGATAGCTTGGCGATCCAGCAGTTCTTCGTCGACGTTGCCGAGGCCAGTCCGATACCGGTCGTCATGTATAACTTCCCCGGCGTCTCTAGCGGTATCGATCTTAGCAGTGATCTCATCATCGATGTAGTGAAGCAGAGCCCGAATGTGTATGGTGTCAAGCTCACGTATGTCATTAGCTGCTCGTCCTACATTGGCACAACACGATACTAAAGCGTGATGATAGTTGCGCCAACGTCGGCAAGATTACGAGATTAGACGCTGTCATCGGAAATGATGAGTTCCAGAAGAAGTATCCCAGGAAGGATCCAAACCAGAAGTTTCATATCATTGACGGCTACATCGATATTCTACTCCCGTCAATGGCTAGCGGAGCTGCAGGGGTGGGTAGCACAACCCGATGAATACTGCCATTCTTGCTGACCAACTCTACTCTCAACAGGCCATATCTGGGCTCCCCAATATTGCACCGGTAAGTTGAGGGTCCCGTATGGAGAATGAGGCTAATTGTTCAAAAGAATATTTGTGTAATACTCTGGCAGTTAGCTGACGCCAAAGCCGGTCCTAATTCTACAACTTTCCAAGAAGCCCAGAGGATACAGCGGCTTCTGTCTCTAGCAGACGGTGTTGCTGCAGGAGTTGGCGTGAGTCACTGTCAACGTATCGATTATACTTGAGTCAAACCCTAGCTGACATGACGCTTCAGATTGCTGGTCTGAAAATGATGGTGCACCAGAGATTCGGATACGGGAAGAACCCTCGAAGACCCTTGCTTCCAATGAGTGACGAGCAAGGGGGAGCTCTAATGCAAAATGAATACATAGCAGCAGTTATCAAGGAGGAAGCCACACTTGTTCACCAATAGATATCCAGCTAACATATTGCAAACATACTTCAGGATGGGTGGGCCTTACTTGGTTCATCAAACGCGAGAAGAGTATGATTCTAGCAAGCACATACAGCTACAAAGAAACACAGCCGGCCCTCTGATACACAAACAACTAGCTTCTCTCAAACAATTAGGCTTAGATTAGCAACGGAAAAACGCAAAGCATACAAGGATTTATATATGCTGAGATGTGCTCAAATCGGCGTATCCCAAACTGGATAAGAAACCTCGGAGCAAGTCTCGGCCATACCCCCCGAACCAGAAAAGTACTTTCTGAGACCTGACTGAGCCGCTGCTAAAGCGGCTAACACACAACAGGAGAGGCGTCAAGGGGAATCCGGGGATATTCTACAGTAGAAGGAAACCAACAATAAAGACCACGATGGAGCTCAGGTACGTAGCAAGCCTGCTCGTGCCCGCAACAACCACGACAACGCCAGTAGCGTTTGTCTGTTGGGAACCACCGCCGCCGCCGCCGCCCGTGACAACAGCCGTCTCGGTCTGGTTGCTCTGCTCAAACGTGACGCCGCCGGCGCAGCTCGTGCAGACCTGCGGCTGGTACACGGTGACATTACCGCTGCCGCTGTCGTCGTCGCCGGCATAAGGCACAGCGCGGTACACGACGAGCGAGCCGCACGACGCGGCATCGCCGCATCCGGCGGCCACGTAGCGGGCGCCGCCGGCGCAGCTGCAGGCCTCAAGCACGAAGAGGGCCTCGCCGGGGCGGAAGTCGCCGTGGCACAGCTCGAACAAGTACCCGCGGGCGTGGCAGAAGCCCGTGGCGCAGGGGCCGGAGCCACCGGGGCCGCCGCCGTGGGGCCCGAAGCCGCCGTATCCATCCCCGCCCTCGCTGCCTCCGGCGGTGACCGTCGACGCAGCGGTGGCGACGACGGTATTGGTCACGCCGACCACGCCGCCTGCGCCGCCTGTTGCGCCATTGGTATTCGCGGCGGTGTTGGTGGCGCCTCCTGTACTGCCCGCCGTGCCGCCGCCGTTCTGGCCGGAGCTGGCGGTCGGGTTGATCGGGGCAAAGATATAGATGGCAAGCAGCGCGTTGGAAGGGACGGGCCCGCCCTGGCGGCGGACGACGTCGGAGCCGGCGTCGCGGCGCCCCAGGCCTTCAGTGATGTTTGAGCGGAAGCCGCCGCAGCTCTCGCGAGGGTTGCCAGGGCATGGGACGTTACAGCGGTCCTTGGCGACCTCGACTATGGCGTCGTAGGAGCCGGGCAGTAGCAGTCCCTACAACAGTAGGAGCGGATTAGAAGAGTGATTGACAAGGGGTAAGAGGATTGGGTGGTTTACGAACATGACATGAGTACCGGCGTAGATACTTCCCTTGCAGCCGGCGATGCACAGCTTCAAGGTCATCCTGTCGCTGTAGAACTGGTGCCGGAAAGAAGGATAGTTCTCGATCGAGCCTGTGCACGCTTTGAACACGTACTGGTCCACCCGGGGCGGCAGGCCGTCATTCGAAGGTGTTGACGTCGGCGTGGCTGGGGATGTGCTCTGCGTCTCAGGAGCACCAGAGGACGTAGGTCTGGTCGGGGCCCCCGACGAAGGCGACGATGGGGACGATGGAGAGGATGGGGACCCTGAGCTGGTGGGCGAGACTGGGCTGGACGTTGGCACCGTCGTCGGCTCAGTAGTCGGGGAGGTGGAGGTCTGGCAACCACCGGTAGAATCGCACAGTGTCGTGCTCGTATCGGTGGTACTGGTCGTCGTCGAGCTCGAACTCTTGCATTCCGCAATCTCGGCGTCAAAGCCATACTTGCACCTGCAGTCGCTGTCGCAGAGATCTGTCCCGCACTCGTCCCCACACCCATTGGACGGCAGACACTGACCTGTCTGGGGGCTGGCGCCGTAGCGGCACGGCAGGGGGTTGCACGGAGCGTAGTCCGCGTTGGAGGAGCGCCCCATGACGCACTTGCAGTCGCTGGTGCAGATGGTGTCGTCTCTGCCGTTCAGCAGAGTGCCCAGGTCGCACTCTTCGCCAAAGGCGAGGTCTACTCGAGCATTGCCGCAGGCCGGGGCCAGCATCTCCCTCCCGATCAAGGTGGGCACATGGTCATTAGACGGAGTGGTCGCTTCGGTGTCGTAGATGACGTAGTCCAACACGTTCTCGACACGAGGATACTCCGGGAACGCTCCCGAAGCAGGGCATTCCCACCGCTGAAGCTCGCGCTCGGGGACATCTGGGAACAGTCCCTGAGCGCCGTCGTGATAGAAGACGTTGCCTGGGCAGCCTCCCAGGTTGGCTTCGTAAGGGGTGCGCGCGCGAAAATCTCCGAAACCCCTGAGTGCCATGACCTGCTCCGCGGGACCATCGACATTGACATAGGAGCAGCCCACGCTCAGCCACAGAGCAACGGCCGGGGCTGTGACAAGGTGTACGGTGGCCTCGGCCAGGAAATCTTGAACCTGGTCGGTGTCATAACCGATCACTCGATTTCGCAGGTCCCTTTCCCAGGAGAGGCTCATGCCGACGACAAACATGCGTCCAGTGACAGCGGTTGCCAGGTTGGTATAGGCTGTCGGGTTGTATCCGATAAAGTCCAATACGGTCTTGTCGTCGCAGACCCCCGTATCTGGTATGAAGATGGCGTGGTATCTGCCGAAATCCGTGGGAGTCATGGCTACAAAGTCGACTTTTGACACTTGTGTGACTAATCCTCATGTCTTAGGAATGCTCCGCATTTCAATCTGGAAAGATTGACTGCACTTACCCTGGTAGTTGAGTGCGAGGAGTGTCTGAGTTTCGAAGCTGGATGAAAATTCCGAGATTGTGAGGATCTTGTAGTCGGCCGGGTTGAACGGCGCCCCGGTCACGGTGACGGCGAGGGTCGCCAACGCGGCAACGATGGCGCGGGTGAGGCACTTGAACACCATCTTTGCGGTTATTGAAGCAATAGAGAGCGAACGGTCAGGACTGACCAAGTAACAGAAAGGGCTGGCTCAAAGAGAAGGACAAGGTCGGAATGGTCTCTCTGCAAGAAGCCCTTTCTCATCATAAAAAGTGCAAGTGGGCGATCTCTGGGAAGGGGGCTGTGTTACCTTGAAGTACGTAAACTGCGATCCCAAGATGGACGCGGGTCTCTCGTGCTCCCTCGAATTGCAGCCATCGCCAAGGAATGCACAATCCTGCAAGAAGTCGTGATCAATTCCTGCTCTTGTGTATTTCTCTCCCAGAAGCCGCGGGATCTGCAAGCCGTTGGAATGGAGATGCCCGGCGTACACAGCTAGTCACTCGGCCTGGTGCTTAAACCCTGCTTAAATTCAAGCTTAAACTCTGTTTCATCCCAACATTCCACAAGGCCAGGTAGGCCCTTGCTGAACACTATCAAAAGTTAAGACAACTTCCACACCGAACAACACTCTGCCGTGCCAAAAACGCGTCCTCCGTCTAGATTGTTGAATCTTGGTCTAGGTACGCACGGTCGGAATTGCGTACGCACAAGTCAACAGAAACACCTCTAGCTGAACCTAGACCTGCCACAGCCTCACTCTCCCGATCGCCAAAACACGGATCTGCCTCGCTGGTTCGCATTCCGCGCGCATCTCTCTTCCGAGACAGGACACCATTTCCAGAGGTCGAGTATAATCTGCGAAGCATGCCTTCTCCCGAGTTGTACCACTCACTCAGGCCGTTCGTAATCAGCTTTCCCTACGGCGTCATGACCTAGGGACAAAGTCAGAGTCCATATTGGCTCCAAGTCGTGCACCTCACATAGCAGCAAAACACGAATACCAAAGCCACGCAATCTCGAACGCGAAACTTGGCCATTGAGAATCGCTACATCCAGAATCCCGGAAATAATCCCATGCGTTGCCCTCCCCCAGGCCCTTCCCATCCCAGTCGCCCCGATTCTAGTATGATCCTCCTATTCCAATATACATCAAAACGACTGCACACAAACTTTTGTTTCTTCTCGGCTTCCACAGATTCTCCCTAGCCGTCATCTGAAGCCCCCATATTTACACAAGAATTACCAATCCCCGCCCCTCTTTCAGGCCATGAATCCAACGACCGCAACAACTCCCCCACACCCACACTTTTCCTCTTTTCAACGGAAGCCTTCCAAAGCAGACACCCTCACCTAGCCTGCCCAATAGTCCCCCTCCTCCCCCGCCCCTCATGCTCCCTCTCTCCCCTCTCCCTCCTACCGTCTCCATCCCTATCCCTATGATCATCACCACCGCCACCAGCTCTCCTGTCCCCCTTCCGCCCGCTCACGCCCGTCAGCCGGCCCCAGTCCTCCCACTCCTTGGAGATCTCCATGAGCACGGACCCCATGACCGCCGCGCTGGCCATGAGCCCGTGGCCCTCGCCCTCGAGCACCCGCACCTCGCACCGCCGCATCGTCTTGCCCAGCCACCGCACGTTCTCGACGGGCACGCGCGTGTCCCGGCTGCCGTGGTGGATCACGACGGGCCGCGTGATGTCGACGTAGCGGAAGCCGATCGTGTGCCGCCGCTCGAGGCAGACGAGCAGGTCCACGGCCGGGTTGGCGCCCGTCGTCGCGAGCTCCCAGATGGCGTGCGTCAGGCGCGTGTCGTAGTTCTCCTGCCGCTCCTTGTCGGCCAGCGCCGACGCCGCCGCCGCCAGCACCGCCGCCTCGCGGGCGGCGTGCGCGGCCGAGGCCGTCGAGCTCGTCTTGCGGTGCACGCCGGCGCTGCTGCTCGAGTCGGTGCCCATGGGGTGGTTAGAGCCCGTGGGCGTGGGGCTGGCGCCGAGGGGCCGGATGCGGTCCATCTCCTCGGTGATGGACTCCTTGGGAGGCACGACGGGCGGGTTGTGCTTGCTGTCTGGGTGGTTGTGATTCTCCTTGTTGTCCGTCGGCAGCGGTGGTGCGGCTGCTGCGGCGGCGGCCTTGTCGGCGCGGAGGTTAGCTGTCGACTTGCGCTTCCGTTTTGTCGTCTTGGGGAGGGATGAGGTAATACTGCTGCTAGTGGCAGTCATAAAGCTCGAGTTAGCTGCCTTCAGTAGTGGTGTAGGCAGGGCGCGCAGGATGCGCTGCGAGGTAGGAATGGCATTCGTGGGAGGTAGAGGTGTCTGAGCGGAGGCCCCAAAGACAGACATCTGCGACGGCGGAATCCAGGGCGCGAGGAGATGAATGCGGCCACGAATGTGCTGTGGCATGCGGAGGGCCGTGGCGAGGGCGTAGATGGCGCCGGCCGAGTGGGCGAGGATCGAGAACTTTGTGATCTTGAGGGCTTGGCAGATGGCGTAGACATCGTCTGGTTCTTTCGTTAGACTTATAATTTAATTATCACGATGAAAAGTATGCACGTACCAGGCCAGCTCAGCGGCGTCGCCGTTCCGTCCTCATAGGATTCACTGTCCCCGATGCCAGGACGGTCGGGCGTGATGAGTCGCAGCTTGAGGGTCAGCGCCAGCTCGTCGTAGAACGCCGTGATGTACCGCGTCAGGCCCATGCCCACGCAGCAGAACACGGCCGAGCCTTCACTGTCGCCGACCTCGGAGAAGGAAATCACGCGGCCTGTCTGCGGATGCTTGATCTTCTGTGACAGCCTGGGCGAGCACAAGTACGACTCAACCGCGTCGTCGATGCTGTCAGCGCTGTGGGGCCGCTCGTACGAGACGTGCGCCGCGGCTACGGCACTCTCCTCCTTACGCTTGGCCGATTCGTCCGCCGACGTGTCATCAGGGCGCGGGCTGAGCGGCGCCGACAGACGCTTCAGGCGCGAGCTGGAGCGTTTCGGCTTCAGACCCTCAATTGGCTCGGGCGTGTGCCGCCCGGACCTGCGCCGACCATCGTTGCTGTGCTCGCGCCGCCTATTCTGCGATACGTTGGGGAAGGGCGCACCGTCTTCCTCGATATCTGCATGGTTGTCGGGCGGCACAGGCAGCGATTTGCCTTCATGGGGTCGATGCCTGTTGTCGGGTGTCTTGGAATCTCTCCCGCTCCTCTCGTCCTCCCTGCGCCGACTGCTGTCGCGGTGGCTATTCCTGTGATTACTATTATGATTATCGTGTACTTTTCCTTCTACTATCACATCAGGTGAGTCGCTATGTCGCTTTGAAGACCTCTTGGACGAACGCTTGGCGTTCGAGCTCGTCTTCCGTAAGCTGGAATCCCTGGTCGGGATCGGCCGAGGGCTCGTGACCCCGTTTTCTGTCATTTTGTGTTCTGCGTCCTTGGTATGTGTACTGTGATCCGTGTGTGGTTCCTCGCTGATGGCCGTCTCGGCCAAAAAGGGGTCGGGTCTCGGTGAGAGAGCGCGCTTCACAGCGAGTCGGTCGCCACCGACTGCTCCTATGCTGGCTCGTCGTTTTTCAGCTTCCTTTTCCCGCAAGCGCTCCTTGCTGCTCATGTACATCAATCCCTTGTGGGAGCGGCTCGTTTTCTTTCCCCAGCTGTCATGCGATCTGCGCTCCTTCAGTTCGGGGATGGGCGACGTGGTGCCGCGCTCGATAGACAGATTGCCAATGCTCTGGGTGTCTGCATCGCGCGAGGCCAGCGATGATCCCTTGGAGGAGGGCCGAGAGATGCTGCTCCGGCCGGCGCTCAGTAGAGACTTGAGGCGTCCCTCTCCCGAGGACTCTCGTCCGGGCGACTTGGGCGCAGTGAGGGGCGAGAAGCCGCTGGGTGGTTTGGCGGTGCGGATGACTGGGGGGCTGGCGGCGAGGTCGTCGAGGCTAATTTCCTCGGTCTTGTAGGTCTCGCGGATGAGGGGTGCGTAGGCGCCGTAGTCGACGCCAAAAGAGCCCTCGATATCGGCGGCGGGCGAGGTAGGGTCAGGAAAGCCGACGGCGCTGCCGAGGGGGCTGTCGAAGTGGGAGCTCGCGGGCTTGGAGATGATGGAGAGGCTGGTGATGAGGGACGAGATGACCTCTGGAGATGCGGGAGCGATCTGGGAGCCGTGGGAGGAAGAAAGGCCGCGGTCGTGCCGGTGAGCGGTGGAGGACGAATGCAGAGGCTGGCCCTCCTTGCGTCGGCTGTGGTGCTGGTGGCGGGACTGTCGGGCGATGGGGGGAGCGGTAGAGTATTCCATGGCCAGCCGCGAGTCGGTCTCGTCTCGAATACGACGTCGATCAGAATTGAGAGGTCAGAGAGAGAGGTCCAGACGTGTGTGAATGTCGGTCGGCCCTGTCAAGCTCGCATGCGAGCTGCGGGAGCGTTGGGCGGTACCAGGCAATTGCGGAGGTCAGGTCGCAGAATCTGGAGAAGATGCGAAGGGAAAAAGGTAGCAGCTCTGCAGTAGCACGGTTTGGAAAAGCTGCAGGCAGAAGAACACCGAGGGGTTTCCCGGTAGCAGATGTGGTAGAGCCGAGAGAGAGGCCCTTGTCGAGAGCAGTGTGCTCTTGGTAGCAGCGAGACGAGAGTCAGAGTTCCAAGCATCCAAATCGACCGAGAGTGTGGTTGCTGCGCGGAAAGGGGCTCTCCTCTTTTGTTTGGGAGGTCGATCAATGGGTCTCGAAAGGGCGCCTGTGACTGTGACAGGAATGCAGGAGCGGTCACTGGCGAACAAAAGAGGCCCGAGAGACCAGGGTGCCTTTTTACCTTCTGTCAATTTTTGGGTCCCCAATTGCAACGCAAATGCAGGGCCGAGAGGGGAGAAGAATGGGCGAGGGAAAGGCTTGGGTATGCAAGAGAATGGAGATTGGCTCGATGATTCCTTTTTTTTTCTCATAGGTTCCTCCCTGAATGCGATCAGTTGCTGGCATGCTGCTGCTGCAGCTATCTCGGCCTGCTGCCAGCGCCCGTGAGGTACCTAGTTACCCGGTCTGCACCCGGTCTCGCTGGGTCTTTTAGCGTACCCAACCGTCCGTTTAGTTGGTCTCGCTAGGAAGCTGGAGTAATAATTGGCGATGGGGCCAGTGACCCGCATCAGCGTCCACCAATCCAGGAGCCCTGCAGCGACTTTCTGAGCCAGGGAGCCAGGGTTCTCTCTCTTTCTGCCTCTTTTGGAAGACCAACGGGAAGCGGTTTGGCCGTTTGGTACAGTACGCTGGGGAGGTCAGTGCGTGGCGTGCGCGTGGGTGATGGTGTACGGATGAATAACTAAGTGGGCGGCGCTGCAAGGGGAGACGGAGACGGGAGACGAGAGAAGAAAGGGGATGGATGATGATGCACCCCTGGCCAGCCCGTGTACGTAGGCTACCTAACTACCTGCTTCGTACACTCTTGACCAGCCTCAGGGATTGGAATTATCGTGCTCTTTCCGTTGTTGCCGAGCTTCGTCATCTAAGGTAGCTACTTGTAGGTAGTCTACAGTCTTACGTCTGCTCTTTTGTCTCCGGTCGTCCAATGGATGATCCCCTTTTCGCATTCCGAGTTCGCACGGCAATCTCCAGTCGATGTGCTCAGCCCGAGAAAAGCAAAGTGGATGATCGAACGAACCGAACCCCCTATCTGCCTCGTCCTATCAAAACATCGAATGCCATCTGCTCAGGCTTGCCACTGCTCCGTAGCCCAACACCACACCAGACCACACCAGGTCCAGGTCCCTTCTTCGACGCCCAATCGGGATGTAGGCGACCTCACTTGATGGATGGACTTGCTTATTCTCGACCCCATTTATGCACCACTCCGCTCCTCACCCCTGAGCTGCACAGGTTTGCGTTTTAGTGTTCAACACTGCATGCAAACGCTAATAAAGCAACAGGAAGCAACCCGATTTCTCGAACTTTTTGACTTTGAAGTCGGCACCGGCATATGGGATCCCTGATGCAGCCGTGAGTGGGCGAGTCTCCGTCGAATCATGAGCGGACGGCACCGGGTCTACTTGTAGAAAGGCATCGAAGGTGCCCCAAAACGATGAGCCGACTCTCGTGGAGAGGAGGATCCGCCCGCGGGATGACCCGACCCAATACGTGCGTCTGGTTCTTACGCGCCTGTACAATGTGGAGAAAAGCAAGCACAGAAGAAGAAAAAAGGGACGCCAGTCCAATTCACGCCCCCGAGGCGATACTTCGTAGGTATGCAATCGTCACATGGCTGAGTACCGAGTACTTGTATATCGCGCGTTCTTTTGTGTTTCTGATATTGAATGTCACCTCATTCGCAATGCTTATGCGCTCCTCGTCGCTTCAACCCCGCGGCCACGGCGGCGTGGGAAGGGCAAGGAAGTTCGTGGGGAGTCCACGAGATTACCAGCCAGCATCAGGGATCGAGGGTTTCGGCTTAGGGCGGCAGGGCCTGCCAAATCCGACTGTCGAGGTCTGCTCAAACCTGGTGTGAGATCGAGCCCGTCTCACAGTCCCCATGCCCCGACACACCTGACAGCGCCCACGTTTTCCCTTCGGGGCATCCATGCCATATATGACAGGACTTAATTCGGCGAGAAGCATGTTTAACAGCGTCCCATGCCGGCTGACAGCGACGGCTGTTAAGGCGCTGATTGAGAGCCCCCCTCTCTCCTCGCTCTCCCCCGGGCTGCCGGAGATTATTGACCAGGGAGCGAGCCAGCACAAACGAAATGTCCGATGGGGTCGCTGTAACGCATCTTTGAACTCTACCCCGTCACGTCGCGTTTCTGCGTCGCATCGAGAGCTGCGTGTGGTAAATCTTACACTCGAGAGTTTCGGAGATGGCTACCACCGTGACATTGTACAAGTATATCAGGGAAGAGGGATCGACATCATCTTAGATATCGATATGTACATAGCGCTAATGATACAACATGGCCAGAGCTTTTATGATTGAATGATAATTACATACAATCACGGTCTGCCTGCATATCATTCATTGTCCGTTAGATTGCTCCCACGCGCCGGCCAGCATAAGCATATTTTGCTAAGCACTGGCCGGGACCCTGGTTTAACAGATACCGATCGGCAGCGGAATCCGTACCTGCACGCCTCAAAAGCGAGGACCCTCCTCTGTCACATGGCATGCCTGGAAGGCAAGCCTGGCAAGGACAACCCAACTTGGGAGTGATCATCCCCTGCACACGCCATGGAGTTGCAGCATGGAAGATCTTGAGGCATACCTACAAAACGCCAAACGGATTGGGTTCGGAATGTAAGGCTCAGCTCCTCGATTTGATCTTTCTGACTCCTGGAAAGAAGGGCTATGAACGAAGAAGAACAACAAACAATCAAATAGAAAGACTAGGATCGCGTTTCAATCTGGTTTCAGTCCAAGTAGAATGCCCCTTTCGTGAGAACTCTGAGGCACGATTTCATAAATAGCCTCATGGAATCGATAATCACAGCGAGCCCCCGCCGTCATCACAGTCGCTCTCCTCCCCTGCCGACACAAATGGCTCTTCATCGTCGCTCGCTGTTGACGGGGTTTCGCTCGTATCCGGACTAGTATCTCCCTGATCTGACTGCGACATGACGTCGCTCATGTACTCCGAGTCTTCGGACACGTCTCTGCACTCCCCCGGCCATGCCGAGCATGTGTTCGAGTCGTATCTCTTGCCTCGCGCAACCCTCTCCTCGAGCGTCCTCTTTGCGTCCTCTTGCACACGTTCGGTGATATGCGCCAGCAGTTCCAGCCTCCGCTGCTCCGCGTGGGCATCCGGGTCGTCGTCGTAGATGTCCGGCAGGCGCCAGTTGCGATACAGATTCAGATGCGAGGCCCGTACGCTAACACGGTCTAGGTGGTGGTGAAAATAGTAGGAGCAGAGGCGACAGGTCGGCTTGCTACTCCCAATGTACTTCCAGCCGTTCCAGTACTGGCTCTTGTGGTAAACTCCCCGCTTGAGGAGGTAATCGTGGACAAGGACCTCGGCATGAACACCACGATACCAACGCCTGTTGATCTCCTTACGGATCAGGCTGTCCAGACCGAACTTCTGCAGGTCCGCGGCTTTCGAGAGATATGGCGCCGCATCCTCCTCATGGCCGTGGCACATGGCTCGGATTATCTCGGCAGCTTTGTGACTTTCGTGGGATGGCAGGGGTCTACCATGGAGGCTGCTTGACGGCACGACCGTGATGGTGAAGTTCCTGAAGAATTGAGGCCACCGCTTCTCTGACGAGACAATCATTTCAGCCGCCTGGCGACACGAGGAAAGTCGGCCGAGGTAGTGCCGTAGTTCGCACCAGGCCTCTGAGCCCGACATTTCCCCATCCTTTGCCTTGTTGATGATGGCTTCCTCAATCTTGCTGTTATAGATCGCCACGATTGCCCGAATAAGTGTCACGCAGCGGGACGAGACTAATATGCGTCAGGATAGATTCAGAGTCATGAAGCCTGGTTTTGTGTACTGACATGCAGCTTGCGTCTGAGGGTACGTCACGTTATCTGTGGGGAAGGAAGCCTTCGACAAAAGATTGTTTAACTCGTTCTGGAGTGTCACTGTTCTAGTTTTAGCCAAGTGAGACGCTGAGGTGAGGTCTTGTTCTTGTGATCTCACAGTCGACAACTGCCTGCCTTTGACAGTGTGCGAGACAAAGCTTGAGCCATTTGGAGAGTTCATCAAGGTAAATCTTGATTCTGGGCTGCGTCATAAGAACCACGTCCCTCAGCACCATTGCCACCATTGTTTTTGGCTTCATTTCGGCCGCATTATGAGCAACCGATTCCAGTAGCTTTTGCAGAGAATTTTTGACATCTTCCAGGTCAAAGTCATCCCTCTGATTAGACGCGAGCACATACTCTGGACCCTCGTCACCTTGGAGAACGCAGATGGAGGTGACGGTGTCGCCTCCGCGGTTGCTATCACAGCACTGAGCAAGCTTGTTGACAAAGCACTTGAACAATTGTGCTTCTGTCAACAGCGAGTCGTTTTCTGCCGAAGAGGTGCCGTCAGAGCCGCTTCGGCGCTCCTTGCAAGCCTTGAAAAGGGCACAATCAAGGATGATAGGTCGGTAGAGCGCCTTCTGGAGTTCGAGGTCTATGGGAATGGCCGTGGGTGGACCCACTGCTCGAGGTTTCGCGGCATCAACTTGACAGCTATTAGCCTCTGTAACATCCTGACATGAGAGACTTAGAACTTACCCATGGTGACGAGCACCATACCAACAAGGATAATCGCGAAAATGGAGATTCCTGTTATCTGTTGATGGTTCGAGCAACATTGTCATGACAGTCTCGAGAAGAAGCCTTGCCGCCTTTTATGCCCAGAAATGACACTTTCGACCCACCAGTCGTGACTGGCATGGAATCCCATCGAAACGCAACATTTTGGTCGCTTTCTAAGAATCATGCAAGAGAGTGGCAGACCGAAGGGGTTATGCTACGCTTATGCGGGAGGGATGGCACTTTTTCTGGGTTTGGGTTCTGTGACTGGTGGCTCAGCATGCAGGAGGTGCGCGGGAGGCCGAGCATCTCAATTGCAGCCAATAGCAAGGCTGTAAGTATCTCAGCTCAAGGCATCTCAGATTCATGCATATCAGCAGAAATTGGGTATTGAAAACTCAACTCGTCAGTGGCTTGAACCGTATCTCGTGGCCTGTGCGATGACCTGCAAGGTTCACTCCAAGGCGCACCCGGGTCGGGCACCGTCCACGACCAACAGAGACAAAGAGGTAATGGATAACAGATCCACTCGATGCCTGTGCCATCAAAGGGAGGGGGACCTGGACAGAGTGGCTAAAAGTGAGGCCACCTCCTCCGTCCACAGATCTCTCCACCCTGCTAGACCTACTTTCAGGTCACCCCCTGGGTCTCATACTCAGACGTGTTCAATTCGGCAGCCCCAGGGAACTGACCTTTGTCGTGAACTTCGTCTACCTTCGGAACCTCAAGACTCTGGGTGGCCTGCGTAACCCAAGTATCACCGCTGCAGCAAGATTCAGCTGTGTCATTGCCAGTGCGTGGAGCTATAGGAATTACACCACCTCAGCGACAGTAAGTGATACAGCCTGCACTCATGCCAGTAGTGTTGCCTCGGTGTTTGTGACCAAGCACAGCGGAACGCGATGGCACCCTTTCGTCGATTTAAGCCCAGTGGATGGTGGTCACGAATTGGCGCGCTGACCCATAATATCTCTAGCGAGGTCCAACATGTCAATGTTCCCGTCAGACGGCCACATGGGGCCCTTTAAACCTGGTGCCGAGGACGCGTTCATGGATAGTATGCGGGAGGGAAGCCACGGGGCGGGCTGGGACGGCGATGAAATGGCACCCTACTATCCCCAAAGCGGTAATGATGTTGATGAAGAATTGTTGGATGGTTCATATGATGTGGAAGGGGATATGGATTCTCATGCAGGGTGGCCATGCTCTCAGAGCGTGGTGGGAAGCCCCGGCCAGTTGTCTGATGTGGTCCCATACCGGAGTTCGTAGTCTCCTTGTGGCCAGTCCTCGACAACCCAAGAAAGTTATTCGGAGAGTGGCGGATCCGAAAACACATATCTTGATGCTACGCCCCAGAATGGATACCCTACCGTAAGTACCCTCCTTCAATGCTTATGCTTTTCTAGCAAACTGAACCCAATGCTTAAACCAGGTGGAAACCGACCGAGGAAGCGGACGAACCATGCTAGCCCAACCGAAGTTGAAATCGAAAGGGAAGAAAGGAACCACAAATCACAGAACAGGCCCACAGATTTGCGAGGTACCTGAATGTCGGAAGGAGTTCCCCATACCATCCAAACTCAGGTAGGTCCTTCTCTGAACTGGCAATAAGGCTTGTCTGAGCTACTGTTCTTTTATGTTCCAGTCTAGACTGACGACCCCATCTCAGAACACACATGAAAACTGCACATGACCGAACGATAAAATGTCCTGCTGCGGACTGGTGCGAAGAACTCTTCCCAGAGAACAAGGCGCTGAAGCGACATCTGTACTCGGCACATCCCAACTATATCAAGGAACACAACATGCCCTCCCAGGGGGGGCGCTGCGAATATTGCGACTCGAAATATACCCGAAAGGATAACCTGGACCGTCATATCCAGGAGTCGCACATGCACACGAGCAGGAGGAGAAGAGAACATGTGAAGGAGCTTAATGCGTAGTTCCTATGGCTGAGTTCTGTCTGAGTATGACCGAACAGAGCCACAACCAAGCCCCATAGTGTTTCCTAACAGTTTGTTGTGCCTTTATTTTCCATCGCTTCTCGATCTTTTCTTATCTTCCTTCATGTTTCCTTTCTCTAACAGGATCTCGTGAACATTGCTCATCAAGATAGTATTAAAGTCTGCAAATCAGAATGCCAATCACTTTCCCAACTTTCTTGTGTGCCTGTAGTTGCGCATTAGTGTTAATGTGCTTAAGAAAGATAATAAATAGTGTAACTCAGCTTGTACCTGACAGGTAGACCGACGGCCAGCTTTTATTGAATACCTAGGTAGACTAGGCAAGAACTTTCCAAGTGGCCACATCAAATGCTTGGAAACCCACTTTACCTGCCGATCACCAGAAATGCAAAAGTTCTAGGCCATTGAGTCCGCACTGGCAAGTCTTACTGTATCGCTCTTTGGAAGCATGAACAAGTCGTAACTACATTGCCTATCCATGGAGTCACATGGCAGACGTAGATAAAATGCCTGCCCATCACAACCAACCTTGGGATTTGTTCCCTGTACAGAGTTACATGATGAAAATGCAGGCCTGAGCATGCATGCACACTGACACTCATGCAGTCCGTGAACTTGGGTGAGTCGTATATTTCTCATGTTTAGATGTAAAAGGAGATAGATGTAGTTCAATCTTGTGATAATGTGGTGGGTGTTGAGAAGTGTGCCCCTAGAAAAGCTCCAAGCCTGCCCATGACATTGGTGAAATCCTCCCGCTCGCCCATTTTGCTCCAGCTAGTGCCTCGCAGCTCTGAACAGGAATCTCCAAACTCTGCTACACGCATGAGCCGCCTTCATCAGTGTCCGTCTCCTCCCCGAGCGAGATGTACAACTGGTCATCGTCATCGTCATCGTCATCTTCATCGCCGCTTGCCGTCGACGGAGATTCGATCTCCGGGGTGTGATCATTACGAGCTGGCTCCGATGCAGTATCGCTCCCAAAGTCGGACTCGACCTCCGCATGCTTGAGAGACCTCGGCATGCTCGAGTAGGTGTTTGAATCGTGGCCCTTGCGTGGCGCCTTGCGCTCCTTGAGAGTCCTCTTTGCGTCTTCCTGCGCGCTCGCCGTGATCTCCTCCAGCAGCTCCAGTCTGCCATCCACAGCCTCCTGGCCCTGGTCCTCGTACACGTCGGGCAGGCGCCACCGCGGGTACAGGTTCCGGTGCGAGTTCCGAACTTCCACCTCGTCTGTGTGGTACTGGAAATAGTACGAACAGAGGCGGCAGGGGGGCTTACTCGTGCCGATGTACTTCCACCCGTTGTAGTAGTCTCGTTGGTGCTGAACACCACGGTTGAGGAGGTAGTCGTGGAGGAGAACCTCAGCGTGGACCATAGGTCGGCACATCTTCTGTACTTGTTCTTGGACCAGGCTATCGAGACCAGCCACTTGCTCGAGCTCGGCCGCCTGGGATAGATACTGCTCGGCATCGAACCTGCCAGCAGTCATCCCCTGAATAATCTCACAGGCCGTGTGCTTATCAGAAGGTTTCAGAGGCCGGCCCCGCTGTTTTACAGACGGGACAGTCGTGATTTTGAAGTTGGAGAACAATAACGGCCAGCGCTCTAGAGAGAGAATAATCACCTCTGCAGCTTGACGATAGGAGTGGAGGCGACCAAGATAGTGTCGCAGCTCGCACCAGGGCTCTGAGCTCGAGAACTCTCCCTCTCTCGCTTTGCTAACGATGGCCTCTTCAACTTTGCCACCTCTCAGGGCTACTATGGCCTTGATGAGGGTCTCGCAGTCCGATAGAACTGGATTAACTTGATGTGAGCGAACTGCAAAAACAGACTTGAGAGTTGAACTAACATTTGGGCTGAGTGCTTGGCGAAGTTGCAGTGTCTGTGACAAAGCTGGCTCTGGACAAGAGCGCCTCCAGTTCCTTTTGAAGAATCTCTGTTGATTAGTGTCAGTAAACAGCCCTGTTATGAAGCTTTACGGCCTTCTGCTCACTATCGGTGTCCTGTTGTCTGGAGCAATGGGCGATGCACTCTTGCAGGTACTTGGACAGGTTGCTGAGGTAGGGCTTGACCCTGGACATATTGAAGCGCAAGATGTCCCAAAGCACCTGTTTCTGCAGGGTTTGACGCTTCAGCTTTTCTTCAGCCTTCTGCGCAACGGACTCCAGGAGGCCTCGGAGAAAGCTCGATACGTCATCCAGTTGGTACTGCCTCCTCTGGTTGGACGCGATCACGTACTCTGGTTGACCACACCCCTCGAGGACGGCGATAGCGGTGATTGTGTTGCCTCCACGCTCACTGTCGCAGACTTGAGCTAGTTTGTAGACAAAACACTTGAACGCCTGAGGTCCCGCCACCAAGGGGTCGTGTCCAACCGGGGCCGACTCATCCGGACGGGATCGAGAGTCTGGAAAGGCCTCCTTGATGGCACATTCCAGAGCAATTGGCTGGTACAGGAGCTTTTCAAGCTCAGTATCGACAGGAACCAGCTTCCGTGGCCCAAGTGCCGCCTCGCTGGAAGTATCGTCTTATTGAGCAATTCTTCGTTAGCTTTATCGCAGTTGCAACAAGACCCATGGAAACTCACCCGATGAATGACGTGCCATGGTGCTGCAATTGAGGAGTTTTTTTGTGAATTAAGATGATTTCAATGAGAAGTCTGAAGTTTGCATGGCGTGCTTTGGGTGTTGTGATGATGTTGAGAAGAAGAAGTTGGAGAATGGAGGTGAATGACTTGCTCTCCCCTTTTTATGCTCAGTTGAACGATCTCGAGACGAGGTCATTCCAATAATGATGGAATCTCGTCGAAGAATGACTTCCCTCGCTTCGTCTGCTAAATCTGCAAGACAGAATGGTACACCGAATCGAGCATAATAGAGCGGACCGGACTTATGCGGGCGAGTGACTGGCTTGCTAACAAAATGAGCATCATTGGTTGTCGCTCATGCAATAGCGACGCGGGGGAGAGGCTATCTGCATCGATACAGCCTCACTATTGGCCATAATGTAGGCTCAGCCAAGGCAGCGCAGCGCGAGGCATACCGAAAGAATGATGTTCGATCAGACACGATCACCTCAATGGCCCAAGATAACTGACCGACTCATGCTTGGGAGATGCAAGGTTTATTCCAAGGCGCGCCCGACTTCGCTGTGCTTGCTCAGTGGTCCTACCGTACGGGCCAACAGCACGGATGACGACTTGTCAGCTTGTTTGGGGGCGAGTCAGAATGGATTATGGTCTGGGAAGTGAAAAGACAAGCAAAACCCACGGAGTCCGGCTTGGTTCCCTCTGTGATCCCTCTGTGGTCCCTCACCCTCGCAACGACTGATACTTGATGATATTATACGATAGAGTGACCCCAGGTTCCAGAAACGTTCGAAGTCTATACAATTAACATTGCATCTCAAAGACGACAACCGCTTTCTTCTAGTACCTGCTCATACGGTTCACAGAAAGGATCTGTTGACCCTGCCGCTCTGGGAATACAACCTACTACGCCTCACCCACGGCTTCTGTAACACGATACCCGACGCCAACTTACACAAGCTCTTGTGGGTAACAAAGCATCCACAAGTAAAACGACTTATCAGTACCAGTAAGTGACATGGTCTCGAGATCGTGTGCCATGCTCTGGCTATGCACAGCGACAAGAAAGACTGCTTAGCAAAGTTCCCACCTGGTCTTTGCATGTCCCGCGGGACCTAGTCATCCAGTGATGCTGACGGGTAGCCTCTTCAGGGAAGTGGAGAGGCGTAGAACATGTCGAGAGATAACTGGGGACACGCGTTCAGACAGGGCCAGGACCCTCTCTTCTACACGCGGGAGGAAGACCAGGAGGGTGACTCTTATGGCGAACCGATGATACAGCAGTATGCAGGGAGTGGAGGCGCCATTGCTGAAGGATCTGGGGTGTATGCACACACTCCAGATCATTCTGCGACAATGGATCCTACCTTACTGTACGGGAGCAGCGCGCTGGGCAGCACCCAGTGGTCGTATGATGAGCTGGCGCCGAGTCAATAGTCTCCTCCAAGCATATCCCCGACCTACCAGAGAGGTTTCCCAGAAGAGCTCGCGGCACCCAGCGGCAGAGAAAACGATTTTAGGGGGGACGGTTCGCCGGTAAGTTTCCCTGTTTGCTTCCCTGCTAGCTTAGCGGCCAACTGACTGCATCTCTTCATTCCAACAGTCGCCGGGAACTGATCAGGCAAGTGACGCCGGCATGGGAACCGGATCGAAATCGAGTTCCAAGAAGGGGAAGAAGAATAAAGACGCCATTAAGCGCAGGAACCCTATTCAGAAATGCCCTGAGCCTGGGTGTCTCAGGGAATATGACACGCCATCCGAGCTCACGTATGTCTTTCACACAGTCAAGTCCCGGCATACCGGCCCGTGCCTGCACCTATCCCGCTGCTCTTCTTGTGACTAGTGCTGATCAAGATTTCATTTCAGAAAACACAGAAAGAAGAAACATGCCAAGCATGAAGGCTCGATTGCATGCCCTTGGTGCACGGATCGCTTCGCCGAAACGAAGGATATGAAGGATCATGCCCACGTTAATCATCGTGCCCAGGCCAAAGAAAGGTTTGGGGATCCAGGGACTAAATGCCCCGAATGCGGCCTGTATATGCAAAAAAAGGGATTGTCACGGCACATCCAAGAGCAACACAGGAATGAGAAGAGAAAGAGACCGAGCTCGCGAAGTTGAAGTGGATGCACTCTGGCTCTGTTATAGAGACAAAGGCTCTCCAACCTAGGTGTGTTTTTGGCGGCATTGGACACTCATTGAAGAGGATGTGATTTCTTTTCCATGTTTTGCTTTATCTTCGACGTCCCTGATTATTTTTCCATATGATGCCTTACCTTCGACGCCCCTGGTTTCTTGGTCCACCCTTACACTGCTTTTCATTTCTTATTTTTTTTTCCATGGCTCGCCCGTTTTCCTTTTATTCAGGCACAGGCCGACCCTATTCGCTCTTTTGATCATACAACTAGGTAGTTAGTAATGATCATGCCCTTTGACGAAATGAGTTCCAGATGACTGTATCCGTACTAAGTAGCTCCTTGAAGTGGTGGAACGAAGACTTCAGAAACCGATGCCTTTACCGGGGAGACTGAATTGAGGTTGGGCGATGGTTGCATTTGGAATCACGACCATACTGTCCACCAATACTCTCAGCAGATCTTGCGTATCTCTAATCGAGCATGTTTGGTTTCAAGCCTTTGCTCTGAAGATGGAGAAGTTGAGACGATGCTAAATTTAGGGCCGGCAGCTGTTGGAAGCCGTTGAATGCACCCGGCACAGGACGCAGGGACAGGCCTGCGGCGGGAAAAGTGGAGAGGATCGACACTACTTGTACCAAAAAGCGCGGCTGACTGATTACCTACAAGGACAAGTGAACACTCTGTGCTCTTTTTATGCGCTGCCTGCCATCTCTCCACGCGGCCTTTCTCCTCATCTCCTCTCCCCGAATCCCCAGCCATCGCAGAGCACCAGACAGGCAGGTCCTATCATCGCAACAGGCCATCCATACGCGCATAGCGACATCGATCCTCTTCTCCCGCGAGCGATCCAGAATCGAAATCTGCAAACCTGCACGACGGGCACACTCGCACATTGCGATAAGATCAGACAGAGGCTTGGCCCGCCCCGGTCCCGGATTTGTGCTAGCACTGTCGTCATAGAAGGGGGCGAAAAGCGACCACACGACCACGACCACACGTCGAGCCCATTCCTCGTCTCTTTCCTAGAAGCCCTTCTCTTGTCTTCCTCGACGGAGCATATCCAAGATGTCTTGGGAACTCACCCGTCGCCGTTTCTTTCGGACCATCAATAGCAGGTTCATCTACGGTCGAGTGGTATGTTTAGCACGACCCCCTAGCATGGTGACCCGCTGACGGTTGACTTCCGTCACTTTTTTTGAACGTTCGAGAAAGTTTGGACAGCATCATCTCCACCCTGGGTCCCTTGGCTTCATCCAACATTGAATACTAACGCTATGTCTCTCACTTCTTGTAGCCATTACTGCATACAATCATTTTCCTCGTCCAGATGGCCATCGTCGCGCGACTAACAGCCCGGTTCAATGCCTACTACGAGGAGCGGCCGTGTATGTCTCCCACATCTGTCCTGACGTTTCCCTTGCCTTGAATGCCAAGTCCTGGCGCCTGGTGCAAGACACCCTTGCTGACATCCATGGCATCACGACAGTGCTCACCATGATGGTGACCAACGCCGTCCTCGGTGGCATCGCCGACACCGTCGCCCAGACCATCACTTCTATCCGAGAGCGAGCCCTGCGCAAGGGCTACTCCCCGAACCCGAAAGACGACCCCATCGCCATCGAGATCCACGAGCTCGACCGCAAGAACCCCTTCAACGAGCGCGAGCTCATCCCCGACTCCAAGAGCCTGCCGCCGCCGTTTGACTTTGAGCGCCTCACGCGCTTCATGGCCTACGGCTTCTGCATGGCGCCCGTCCAGTTCAAGTGGTTCCGCTTCCTCGAGAAGTCGTTCCCCATCTCCAAGACCAACGCCTTCGGGCAGGCCATGAAGCGCGTCGCCTTTGACCAGCTCATCTTTGCGCCGTTCGGCCTGGCGACCTTCTTCACCGTCATGACGGTGGCCGAGGGCGGCGGGCGCAGGGCGGTCACGTCCAAGCTGCGGGACATGTACGTGCCGACGCTCAAGGCCAACTACGTTCTCTGGCCGGCGGTGCAGGTCGTCAACTTCCGCCTGATGCCGGTGCAGTTCCAGCTGGTAAGTTATCCTGCAGAGGAACGCGATACCGAGTTGGCGGAACACAGCAGCGCTAACACTGCCATAGCCCTTCGTCTCGACTGTCGGAATTGCCTGGACTGCCTACCTGTCCCTCACGAATGCCGCCGAGGATGCACAGAACGACAGGATCCCTGATCTCCCCGAAGTCCGCCTCGACTGAAGAATATAAGGTTGGGCAAGCGGATAAGGAAGGCACCTGAATATAGTCTGCAGCGAGTTCATGAATTGCTTTACGGTTCATCCATCGAGGAATATATAGTAGAACCTCGATGGCGGCACAAGTTTCAAGGCTGGCGTTTGAACGGATTTGATTTCACGGCGTCATGGCATGAGAGCAAGCTCTTGATCTGACTTGACTTTCTCCCTGGTTTGCCTGCGGGCACGGAAACACTGGACTGGACGGTTTTGCTTTGTTTGCTTTTTCTAACGGTACACACTGGACATACGTGATAAAACGAAGGAATCTAGAACATATAGCGTCACATCTGCCACCGAATACTCGGCCCGACTTTCCCTGGTGCTCCCGTTCGTCGTGATCGATGCATCGCTTGCTTGTTGAGAGACGGGAGGGAAGTACATCAGCTGATTGACACCAAGATCTTTTGCCTCACTTTTCCCTCCTGGCCTATGGGCCATGCATTGGCGAATCCGGAGGCGTGGCAGTGTTGCATGCTTCTTGGTTGCCATGCAAGTGGGATCAGGCATGTTGATTAAAGAGTGGGAAACACATCAGCTAACCATCACGTCACTAGCTAGGAGGGTACTTTGCGGCGGCCCGTTTAGAGATAAGCCAGCACTTGAGGCTTGGACGTTGAAGACGCGAACCAAGGAACAAAGTTGGGTGGAACAGGGGCTATTAAGTACCAGAGTCGGATCTTGAAGGCTCCTGGAGTATATCGAAATCGACCGGAAGTTCGGATAGCCAGTCCTATCCGAGGCAAAGAAGCCTAGACAGACGTCCCGGCCAAGTCGCGGGCTAGCATGGTGACGATGGGAATCCCGTACCCTCCCGCCTTACCCCACCACCAGAAAATTACCCCTCCAGCCAATGCCAGTGTTGAGGACGAGCTGGAGGAGGCCCGGCCAAGCCAAAAGCTAACTGCTGTGCTGCGTCTTTTTATAAGTGTCTTATGTTTGGGTGCTGCCGCGAATCTGCACCACTTCTTCTCTTCAGACCCAGGCTGCTGATATCCTTGAATTCCTCTTCTACTTCCGCATATTTAGCAGGTTCGGAACCTAATTCCAATCTCCTCCCCACCACCAGCACAAGCACAAGCAGACCACCAGAACAGTCGGAACCACACAAGCCGCAACCATGTCTCTGTCCAACAAGCTGTCCATCACCGACGTCGACCTCAAGGGCAAGCGGGTCCTGATCCGCGTCGACTTCAACGTGCCCCTCGACGCCTCGGGCAAGGTGACCAACAACCAGCGCATCGCCGGCGCCGTGCCCACCATCAAGTACGCCATCGACCACGGCGCCAAGGCCGTCGTGCTCATGTCCCACCTCGGCCGCCCCAACGGCGCCGCCAACCCCAAGTACAGCCTCCGGCCCGTCGTCCCGGAGCTTGAGAAGCTGCTCGGCGGCGGCAAGACGGTCACCTTTGCGCCCGAGTGCGTCGGCCCCGAGGTCGAGGAGATCGTCAACAAGCAGGCGGACGGCGGCGTCGTGCTGCTCGAGAACCTGCGCTTCCACATCGAGGAGGAGGGCTCGGCCAAGGACAAGGAGGGCAACAAGACCAAGGCGGACAAGGCCAAGGTCGAGGAGTTCCGCAAGGGCCTGACCAAGCTTGGTGATGTCTACATCAGTGCGTTCTCTATTTCCTTTTTTTTTAATTTTTTAATTCTGTTTCCTTGCCCCCCACTTTCATCATAAAAGCTAATCAAGTATTTGTTCCAGACGACGCCTTCGGCACCGCCCACCGCGCCCACTCGTCCATGGTCGGCGTCGACCTGCCCCAGAAGGCCGCCGGCTTCCTCATGAAGAAGGAGCTCGACTACTTCGCCAAGGCGCTCGAGTCGCCCAAGCGGCCCTTCCTGGCCATCCTCGGCGGCGCCAAGGTCTCGGACAAGATCCAGCTCATCAACAACCTGCTCGACAAGGTCGACACGCTCATCATCTGCGGCGGCATGGCCTTCACCTTCAAGAAGACGCTCGACGGCATCCCCATCGGCAACTCGCTCTTCGACGAGGCCGGCGCCAAGACGGTCAAGGAGCTCGTCGAGAAGGCCGAGAAGAACAAGGTCAAGCTCGTGCTGCCCGTCGACTACGTCACGGCCGACAAGTTCGACGCCGACGCCCAGACGGGCCATGCGACGGACAAGGACGGCATCCCCGACGGCTGGATGGGCCTCGACTGCGGCGACGAGTCGATCAAGCTCTACACCGAGGCCATCAACGAGGCCAACACCATCCTGTGGAACGGCCCGCCCGGCGTGTTCGAGTTTGACAAGTTTGCCCACGGCACCAAGGCCACGCTCGACGTCGCCGTCAAGGCCGCCGAGAACGGCAAGATCGTCATCATCGGCGGCGGCGACACCGCCACCGTGGCCGCCAAGTACGGCGTCGAGAGCAAGCTCAGCCACGTCTCCACCGGCGGCGGCGCCAGCCTGGAGCTGCTCGAGGGCAAGGAGCTGCCTGGCGTTACTGCCCTGAGCAGCAAGTGACTGTCGCGCATGTGACCCGTGTGGGGGGACGGTGCACGCAAGAATGGAGGGAACAAAATAGATATGGAAAATAGGGACGGTCCAGAATAATCAACGAGGGAGGACTGGGCCTGATGCTTGTGGAGGTCACAGGAGTCCTACAGAATAAACAGACAGACAAAACCAAGGCGGAAAAAGCCAGTATTGATCACATTCCTCAAGTCCTTTTTTTATTTCGTGCTGTAGCTCTGCATATGAGTGTCTATGTGGTGATGGTGGAAGAAAACAGCAGGCATCAATGCGGCCCCTGGCGCCCTTTCCTTGATCCGTTGTCTGGTGGTCTTGGTCATAGACCTCGCGTCCACTCCTACCTCCGCTTGGATGCCTCGACCTTCTTCAGTTCCTCCCTGTGGTTCATGATTAGTGTCTCTGGGGATATGGTAGGAGGGAGGTGTATGCTCGGCTTGTTGTATCTTGACATACTTGAGCTGCGCGGAAAAGTCATCGCTCGTGTCATCGTCGTCCCACGACTCCTCCCACAGGTGCTGAGTGCCCCCGCTGCCTGCGGCCTCGGTCTCTTCGGCGCCCCAGTCTAGATGGGACAAGTAAATTGTATGTTAGCCAAAGATCCAAGATAAGATGAAGAATGTCGAAGCGCTCGGCCCGCGCGGAGTGGACTGGTATACAACTCGCGATTGACGATTGACGAGTCTATGTGATGCGAGAAGGGCGAGGCGGGTAGCAGCGGTGCCCGTCGATGGGTGGGGAGAGAGACCAACCTTGTACAGGGAAATCCTCAAACTCGTCGTCCTCCTCAAAGGCGGCCTTCTGTTGTTGCTGGGGCTGCTCGGCCTTCTGCTCGGTGGAGGAGGTGGTGGGCTTCTCGTCCTTGGTTGCGGACGCCATTGTGATAGATTGTATCTTGTCTTGGGTGACGGGATGGATGTTCTTGATTTGCGAGAAAGGACGCTCGAAGGGATAATGCTGATTGTGAGACTCTGATTGAAAGGACGATGGATAACCCCTCAAGTCGTTCTTTGTCGGACTGATGGCGCTGTAGTGATGGCGGTGAATGGGTGGATGGATGGATGAATGGACGTCGCGCCAGCCTCGAGGTCGTGGATTCATCAGCCTGGTGCCAGCTTCCAGTCCAGTCTAGGTCTGGTGGTTCAGCACGGGCCACCGCCATCCCACAGTGCGAGTGACACCATTTGGCGGAATAAATCACTGCCCGATGCAACGCTAGCGACAGTCAGCTCCAGCCCCGCTTCAGCGCCTGAGCTTCACGAAGCTTCGCCAAAAGTGAGCACCTTCATACCTAGGCTGTCACCCGCCCATTGCCCAATCTGGGGGCGCCAGCCGCAGTCAGCTCTAGGTGCTTTAGTGGGGGTTTCAAGGGACGGGAGCAAGTTCTTGTCACTAAAACGTGCAGGCCGTGTCCCCGAATCGTGCGTGTCTTGGGAATGAACCCAGAAAAAGCTTGGTAATTGATCTCTTCTTCACATGTTGATTGTGAGCATTTTCATAGGGCAGTTGAGGCAGAACTAGAGACTGCTGTCCAGACAATAAGGCAACAAAAGCAACACACGATTCTACAAGTACAAGGAGGCCTTGAGAACAAGGGGTTTTTGCCTTTTCCCACAACACACTTGCACTACCTGCAGTACGTGACGTGGGACTACTGTCAGGGACACGCAACCTTTCACAACAAGATCCCTCGTCTTACGCACACTCTTCCATCTCCTGCCCGTAGGCCCCTCTCTCGACGTCATCAATATCCGTGCAGCAAACGCCGTTAAGCCCGTCCAGATCAATTGCGCTCTCGGCTATCGGTGCTCGCGCGATATTTCCCAAATCTGTTCTTTGCGTTCCATCAGCTCCAGACCTTTGAGGATAGAAAGTCCAAGACACAGTCGAATTGGCCGAGTTTACGACCCGGTACGCTACGTCTCACAAAAGCGAGCGCTTGCAGGCCTCAAACACCCTCAGTTTTGGCCCTTATCTTGCAAGGACGGAGCGAGCGCGCTTCGTAGGTTGCTTACTACTACATGCAGCCTGTGCTCTCGGAAAACCAAGCCCCACCATCGTTATTGTTACAAGCTCTGTCCTCTGATTGCATCTCTTCTCTCCTCTTCTCTTCGGCTCCGACCTTCTCTTCGACCTAAGAATTGGACTGTGTTGATGTTTCCTTTGTATCCATTGTACTTGTATATACCATCTCACCCCCCACACTCATGTCCGAAGCTCCCGGCGAGGTAGTCCCTTAGCTCTCAAAACCCCTTTCCCACGAGCCCGTCATGTCCTCGTTACGCGCCTGGTTCCGGGGCTCCTCCTCGGCCGCTGCCGCCCCGACCAAGAGCACGACCCTCTCGGTCCCCGACAAGGGCTCCGGCGGCGGCGGCGGTGGCGAGCTATCCCCGGCTGACCGCGAGCTGGCCGACCTCGAGGACGCCGTCACCGCGGCGGGCCTCATCATGAACGACGACATCGACGGCGCCGAGGCCCGCCTGCGCCTGCGCAAGGACGCCTCCTCCTTCCACATGCTCGGCCTCGGCGTCGCCGTCTTCATGCGCTCCGTCCTCGGCTTCGAGAAGGAGGTCATGAACGAGGCCTCGCAGCGCCTCATCGACTGCGAGAACCGCGCCTGGGCCGACATGAAGAAGGCGCAGAAGGACGCCGCCGGGGCCGCCGGCGGCGGGTGGTTCTCGGGAGGCAGGCCCGCCCTGTCCGCGGCCGAGGTCTCGGCCGCGGCGCCGGGCAACATCAGCCAGATCTACCCCCCGGGGAGCGAGTTCGCGCTCGTGTACGCCGAGGCGCAGCTCATGAGCGCCGTGGTCGCCGTCATCCACGAGAGCCTCACGGAGGGCATCAAGGGCTTCTACAAGATGCGCAAGGCGTACATTGCGCTCGACGGGCTCATGGCGACCGAGGCCAAGATCCTGGAGCGGCTGAACGGCAAGGCGCCCGGCAGCGCGAACGGTTCTGCCAAGAGGCCGTCCCTGGCCGAGGAGCACATGCCCGGCAGCTTCGACGAGACCGAGTTTGAGGAGTACGGGTTCTCCGACAAGCCACAGGGTGCAGAGGACAAGGAGAAGGAGGACCGTGATCTGGATTTCGTGGATGCGCAGGAGGAGCAGTCGGGCAGGCAGACGCCCGCCACCTATGAAGGCCATTTGGGCAAGGCCGGCTCGACCGATCCGTCGAGGACGGGCACGCCGACGCTCGAGAAGCAGATTACAGACCTGAAGATATCACAAAAGGCGTCAGAGGCCGACTCCGTGCCCTCCAGGACCGTCACCCCGAAGCCGCTCACGCGCACGAGGTCTGGCCCGGATTCGGCCTTCTTCAGCAACCCCGTCGACGCCTTCGTCCACTCGGGCGCCAACATGTGCTTCGGCACCATGCTGCTCATCATCAGCATGGTGCCGCCCGCCTTCTCGCGCCTGCTGTCCATCATTGGCTTCCGCGGCGACCGCCAGCGCGGCGTGCGCATGCTGTGGCAGAGCACAAAGTTCGCCAACATCAACGGCGCCGTCGCGGGGCTCATGCTGCTGGGCTACTACAACGGCCTGCTCGCCTTCGCCGACATCCTGCCCGCCGCGGCCGACATCGCCGAGCTGGCGGCCGACGACGACGAGGTCGTGGGCTACCCGCAGGAGCGGTGCACGGCGCTGCTGGCGTCGATGCGCCGGCGGTACCCGGACGCGCGCCTCTGGCGGCTCGAGGAGGCGCGCGTGCTGGCCAACGCCAAGCGGCTCGACGAGGCCGTCGCCGTGCTGCGCGCCAACGCCGACAGCAAGATGAAGCAGGTCACGGCGCTCAACAGCTTCGAACTCTCGCTCAACTCCATGTTCCGCATGGACTACCCGCTCATGCGCGACGCGTTCCTGCGCTGCGTCGAGCTCAACGACTGGTCGCACACGCTGTACTACTTCCTCGCCGGCTGCGCCGAGCTCGAGATGTACCGCGACGCGTTCCACCGCGCCGCCGCCCTCGCAGCCGATGGCGACGACGACGGCGACGAGGCCAAGGCGAAGGAGAAGGGCGAGGCCGAGGCCGAGGCCAGGATGCACAAGAAGGCGGCCGAGGGATACATCCGCAAGGCGCCCGAGGTGGCGGGCCGCAAGAAGTTCATGGCGCGCCAGATGCCCTTCGAGGTGTGGGTCAACCGCAAGGTCAACAAGTGGGCGGAGCGGGCGGCGAGCCTGGGCGTCGACCTCGCCGACGCGGTGGGCGCGAGCCCCGTGCAGGAGATGATCTACCTGTGGAACGGGGCCAAGCGGATGGACGGGCCCCTGCTGGAGAGGGCGCTGGCGTGCCTGGACTGGGGCAGGTGCACCGCGCCGCCCGAGGCGGTGGACAAGATGCGCGCCGTGGCGGACGAGAGCGCCATCCGGGGCCTGGCGGTCTCGGCGCTGACGCGCTCGATGGGCAAGACCGAGGAGGCGAGGGAGGTGCTGAAGGCGGAGGTGCTGTGCCATGACAGGTATGCATTTTTTTTCTCCCTCCGCTGATTTACTCATTTGGTTTTCGAAAATGGGGAGAGGCTGACCGACCGGTGTTGTGGAAACAGGCAAGCCTTCAAGGGGCCGACCAAGGACGACTACGTCCTGCCGGCGGGGAACTACGAGCTCGGGGCGCTGGCGTGGCAGGAGGCGTGCGAGCCGCCCGCCGAGCTACTCCTGGGCGGACCCCAGGCCGTCGACGAGTACCGCCAGCGCAAGACGGCCGAGTGCCTCGAGGCGCTGGACAGGGTGGCGCGGTGGGAGGGGTTCGTGCTGGACGCGCGCATCGGGATGAGGGTGCAGACGGGGATCGACAGCGTGCAGTGGCTGGTCAAGAAGAAGGGCTGGGTGTTGTGAGATGATGTGTGTTGGCATCTAGCGTGGGGTTTTTGAGATAGTAAGACGACGTCTGGGTGAGGATGGCACTGTGACACAACATACATGTATATCTTTGCATTGGGATGGAAGGCAGTTTTTTGTGTTATGCATAAAAGAGGGGATCGAATTAGGCCATGTGGCCGCCTGGAATAGACGTAAAAATAGGACTCAAGAGGCAAGCATGCATTGATCGCTTGTTCATCATTCTCCTACGTGAGAGGGTATCCTAAAACAAAGTACAAAAGAACAAGGGTGGACCTTTTGTAGACTGTCGACTCTAGAACAAGAGAAGCCTCCAGGCCTGAGAACGCCAATGACCCATCGCATCACTTACTTACAGCCATCAGATATACAACACATCATAGCACACTGGAATAGAAGTCTCAACCCACTTCACGCAGCCTAGCTCCTCCTCTTACTCCTCCGCGTGCCCTTGCGCCCGTTCTTCAACCCCTCGATCCCCTGCTGCACGACCGACAGGCCGTCGTTGACCGCCTCCTGGCCCCTCTCCTTGACGTGGTGCTTCTCGGCCTCGTCCCTGACGTCCTCCATGACGTCCTTGCCGAGGCTCGTGCCGTGCGTCCAGTCGAGGAAGCCCCACGCGCCGAAGTTGCCGCGCCCGCCGCTGCAGTAGTGCAGCGCGGTCCGGCGCGCGATGCCGCCCATGACGATGCCGGGCACGACGCTGTACCCGCTCGTGGCCAGCGTCTCCTCGACGGTGACGAGCCCGACGAAGAGCAGGTAGGTCAGCAGGTGCGGGCGCAGGGCGAGGGCCGGCAGGTACTGCGGCAGGAAGCGGTGGAGCAGGCACGGCGCCGGGTGGTCGGCGAAGACGAGCAGCGAGAAGGGCGGGTTGCGGCGCGCGTGGGCGTAGCTGCTGCTGTGCCAGCGGCCGAGGCGGCCGGCGAGGCGGGAGGACCGGGCGCCGGCCTGCTGCGGCGGCGGCAGGGCGAAGCGGTGGATGTAGTAGGTCAGACACTCGCGCAGGGCCATGAGCAGGACGACGTGCTTGATCATCTGCCAGGGCAGGGGCAGGGTCGTGGCGGTGCGGAAGACGGGCCCGCGGCCGAGGGCGGCGTGGCCCAGCGTGACGGCGGCCTCGACGAGGGTGCCGAGGAAGAGGTTGAGCAGGGCGAGACCCAGAAGGCGGGCGAGGCGGGCCGGGTCGCGGGGCGGCAGGCCGCGGGCGCCGCGGTACTTGATCGACTCGGCGAGGGAGGGGAGGAGGGTGTCGAAGGCGAGGAAGAGCAGCGAGGGCAGGAGCCAGAACAGCATGCGCAGGAAGAGCACGCCGACGAGCTCGATGCGCAGGGGCGGGTGGGACAGGACCAGCGTGGACCAGGTCATGTAGAAGAAGAGGAGGTTGAGGGAGGTGGACCACGAGGTCACGGCGGGCGCGAGGAAGTAGGAGACGATGGGGAGAGAGAGCAGGACGTCCATGTTGATTGATTGGGTGTGATTATTTGAAGGAGGATGGTTGGCGGTTCGCGATGGAGATTGCGAAAGGGGGAGCGAGCACAGAATGTGACCAACGAGATAACTTACCCAGCGCGAGAAGAGAATAACCTGCGGCAGGAGGGGAGTGAAGCACTTACATACCAGACCACAAGCCTCGTCGCGTCATGACGTGTGGCTTGGGCTGCCCCAGGTTTTGCACCAAAAGTCGTGGCTGCTCGACTTTCTTGATCTTGGGAAGCTTGTTGATGCGGGCGATGACGTCGTTGCGTGGGAGAGACGGGTACCCCACTAACTACGTGTAGTCTCGGACCAATCAGGCGGGTGACCAGGCTGAAGCTCAATCGAGAGCCGCCCCGCTAAACAAGGTCGGTCGGATCTCTCCAGCTGTCTGCCTGCTCCACGTCTGCATCCACCATGGAAGTCCTCGAATCATAGGAGTCATTCAAGAATATCGATGGCAAGCTCAAATTCCACCATATGTCCGCTGCTGTGCAGCTTAATGATTCTTGTTTCTTGATTGAATGGCCCGATCGGTTCAGCCGCCCTGCAGATCTGTCTTCAGCATGTTCAGTCCAGAAACTTGACACAAACAGAGGTCCCGATATCAAGCCCACATGGACACTGACTGGTCTCCCAACCAGCCAGCTACTACCTCAAAACGCCAACACTACCAGATTATGCAAGTCAGGGACTTGAAGATCGGATGCTTCGTGAGATTGAGATTTGCGAGATTCTTCGGCAATATCCTCATCCCAATCTTGCAACCTATTACGGCTGTCATAACGAATCCGGAAAAGCTACAGGCCTCTACTTCAAGCAGTATCAAACCACTTTATCAGATGAAGTCAACCCTGAACACCTAAGTAAAGAGGAATTTACTTTAACTCATCGAGGAAGGGTTACAAGCGACATAGTTGATGGGATCAACGATCTATTGGATGGGATCCAAAATCTTCATACCCTTGGCCTCGTACACAATGATATCACTCCTGCAAATATCATGTTGGACGAATCAAGGCGCCTTGTCCTTATCGATTTTGACAGCTGTCGTCATGAGGGCGATTCAATTTCGAATACCAAGGTTAGAAGGACCTATGGATGGCATGACCCAAAAGTCGATATCTCAATGAAGCAGAATGATATCGATGCTATCACTGAGTTGCGTACTTGGTTGACTGGTTCATCGGACGAATTCCTGTTCCCGTGATGGCACTTGCATGGAAAGTTGCGTCTCACGGTGTGTTGGAAGGCGGCATTGCGGAAGGATGAAGGGCGCTCTCCGGGTTGAACACATCTGTTGCTTCCATAGAAATCCACTCCTTTCTCTGGGGACATTCTGATCTGCTCGTCGTGAAGCATTTCGTGAGAAGGAGGATGGACATGGGACCGACATGCCCTGGCTGGCATCGGATCGAGACCTTCGAGGGCGGTAGCTCTGGCCACCCTGGCCCTAATCAAGGCCTGCTCCTGGCACTAACCTTTCCCGGATAGGTCAGTCTGGCAGTATGACCAGCCCTTGTTACATCTATGATCCACGTCGTCCACATCCAGGAGATGCCGACCCAACTCAGCAATCGGGTGGCCGTATCCTACTGAGCAGCGACATTAGTTTTCCTTTTATGCATCAGATCAAGAAGCAGCACTCGCAACCTAGAGGAAATTTGACGGGTAATGCTTGTTTGTTTCAAACTGATTGGTGGTTTTTATACCTTTGCTCTTTGGGCGGTCACTTAATAGGTCGTCCATACGAGTTCCCGTTCACCGCGTGTGTAGGTAAATCCTACCGGACAGGGGAGAGCGGCGGCCGACCGATTGGCGTCCAGGAGCACCTTACCACGAGAACAATCCGCTTGGTTTAGAAATCGAAACCCGAGGCCGCAGCCATTTATATTTTCCTCAAGATCCTATTTCACGTAGGGGCAAGGGTGATAAATGGACGATGGAGTGCTCATTTCAACGGATTCCCTAGAGCTTCCTACTGGGATCGGACCAATCACCCCAATCATGGACACGCAGACTACCGACATTGCGCTGCGACCTTTGCTGCTGCTCCTTGACAACATGATCCTCGGCGAACTGGAGGAGAAGATCAAGGCAGTGAAGCGGAAAAACTAGCTCGAGATCTTTCTCACGACGTTCAATTCATCATGGACAATTTTGAGTTCATTTTTGCCGACATAGACTAAACACAAAACTCAAAATCAACTGATTTAGCATTGCGATTAAAGGTCATCCAAGGGCTCAAAGAGCTGTGGTCAGCCCCAACAGAGCAGCCAGCGGTAGTGGCTCACCCAGGATGCAACGACTGCCACCAAAAAGGGAACAAGTGATAGCCCATGAATAAGCCCCCAGGGTATTCTAAACCCTAACGAGACATTACTTTCAAACCACAAAGGTCCAGTTACTGTTAGCACAACATTCCAAAGCCAACAAGCAAGAATGATGATGATTGCGGCGTAGAACAAGTCGAATACCTTGACTGGACCTAGAACCTTGCGTGAAGGATCGACTCGCAATCTAATGGCAAGATGGATTGCGGCATCGTAGGGGATCCATAATAATGGGTAAATAAGGGAGAAAACACAAGCACTTTTTCTCAGATTAGAAATCGTCTGACCGGGGTGCCAAGTCTTGAAACCTTACAAACGCACCTGTTACAGGACTCGTTCTCTTGCTTTGTATTGTGGTATCGAACAATTTGGAAAGCAAAGTTCCCGGCGATGAGGATCGCCAGACCCAAAGACAATCTTTTAGAGGCTCCCTCACTGCGCTCAGTAGTGGTGTGCCAGAACTTGACCGCTGGATGAAAGCTAGTGATATGGAGATTCTGCTGTCTCATGCTTGAGATGCTTGCCTACATAGGAAATAACAATTAGCTATAAGAAGTGGTGGTTATTTTTGCATAATAGTATAGAAATGCTTGATGATTCTCACCCTCGGCAACGGTAAAACAGCTGCTCCAGATGTTGCTTCGCGTCTCATTCGGTACGCTTTTGCGCATTGCCCCTCGGGTATTACCGTTGAAACCTCGCCTTCATGGACTGTCTGATCTTGTTCCAAGCCCACCGATATGGGCTCGTAAAATGTCCATGATGAGTGTGCTTGGTAGCTGCGAAACCAGATGAAGCCGACTAATATAAAAGTGGTTGCGGCAAAAGAAACAAGCGCCACTGAGACTTGGAACAAATCACTACTAACGCCCCAGCAACACCAGTCCCGGCCTCCGAGTCTATCGGATAGCCCCCATTCCGGCCAGCAAGATGCCTCTTCACAGAGCTCGTTTCGATACCGCCTGATTTGCAACAGTTCTAGAAAAAGGACAACGTTGACCACGAGCCCAAGGACCATATACACCAGGGCGGCCGAACATCTCGCAATATTTGATTGTCTGGTGTGCGCCAAGAACTGATAAATTATTAAATATTCGTGGCCCAGCAAAATAGAACATATGCCGAACACTGGGATTCCATATCGATATCGGTCTGGTAATTGGGCCATAAACTTCGCGATATACATGGCAGTAGAGAGCGTGGCAAGAACCATAGCTAGCCGGCCGAGGCTAGAAAGTATGAGATACAAGGTTATTGCCACGTACACTCGTTCCATGGCGTGGAGCTGTCTCGCATAAGACGCATGCACGAGTTTAGGCTAGGTAGGTATCAGGGAAAGAACGCAGTGATACGTAGAAACCCGCCTAGGACTGGTTGTACTTTCTATAAGAAGAGAGAGATTATTGATTGTATGGCTACGCTACCTGAAATATTCCCGACCCCTCTTCTTAAGATCTCCCTCTGGCCCCCAAGACACACAAAGCGGCTTTCCAGGCATGTAATAAGGCGTACACATTTCTGCACTTTGTCGGCTCGGCATGTAATAAGGCGTACACATTTCTGCACTTTGTCGGCTCGGCATCTCACAAGGCTTACGCATTTCCGCACGTTGTCGGCGAGGTTTGCATCAAGGGTGCATATAAATCACCAATGAGGCGAGGTATCAATTGCTCTACAGATCCACATCAGCTGCATAATTATTGAATGCACATAAGACGACCATCATTACGGCCTTTAGGATGGTGGCTGCTACCTTACATGTGACTACTACGCAGGCCATTGTCAGTATCTCTCCCCCTCAGTCATGAGCTATTTATACTTGTTGCACCTTTAAGGGGAGATTTCCGCCCTCAAGGTTCAATAATACCCCCAGAATATGCCTTGCCGGTCTACTAGGCGGTAATTATGCCATCGGAGAGGCCGTAACACTACAACTTAATGGGGCAATCCATGCGGTTCATGAACTGACCTTCTCTCCCCCTCTTCTCGCTCAATCCTCATTTTCATCAACATCAGCAGTGTGGTTAGTGTACTCTTGATCCCCTCGTCCTCCACAGTGTCGACCTGCACATGGAATCCAGCACTCTCGCTCCGGGCCCGAGTGCCTCCAGGCGACTTAGTCAGGATCGACAAGAAGGCAACTTCCTTTGCAGCAACTGTGAGAGATTCGATATCCAATCCTTCAGCCACGCACCATATGGCCTACGTGGCTACAACATGAAAGTCACTGAAGACGCTGCAAACCAAGGGTGCCCTTTCTGTTCCTTGATCATCGAGACCTTTCGAAAAGGTATGCCAACCGAGGACTGGGATCGGCTGAACCGCCAGAAATTGTGGTTTCACATGTCAGTGGGCCAAAGAGGCGAATGGTGGGGTTCTAAGCCTGAAGGCGAAGGACTCGGCATCGGTAGACTTGATGTAGAACTGGCATCAATCACTTATGGATTCCCGCTGTCCGTAACCGGAACAGGCTTGAAAACCTTTCATGTAGTCGCAGATCTAGGTTTGTTGCATGAGACTTTTAATAATTTATCAAATTGCAACCATTTTCAATACTGATTAATATGTGCTCCAGGTGACGTGGCCTATACAAGTGGTGACGTTCGAGGAACATACGTCAACGAAAATACTGAGTCCGAGACATATCTACTCGAAATCAAGTGGCGCAGGGACAAGTGCTTCTCCCACGAGACATGCTGTAAGACTCTATCGGGTAATCGACAGATTGATTGTCGCCAAGTGGTCCTGCCTACTAGATGTATCGACGTCCTCGGGCCGGGTTTGCACATTGCAGAGACAGGGTGTGAGACGTCATCTTATCTCATTTTGTCACATCGGTGGACCCCAGACACTGCAGCTTGCGCTACCACGGCCGGAAACATTGAGCAAAGACGTCGGGGGGGTGCGAATGCTCTGCTATCGCTACCAAAGACTTTTCTTGATCTTTTCGACCTAGCACGAGGCTTGGGCGTGAGATACGTCTGGATTGACTCAATATGCATCATCCAACAGGGCGATGGTGGACAAGACTGGAATCAGGAAGCCCCAAAGATGGGGGATTATTATCAGCAAGCGATGTTAACGGTCTGCGCCACGTCGGGCGACAAGGGACTCTTCCAGGCGAGAACCTACTCCAAGGCTGTCCCAGATATTGCTCGACTACCGTTCCGAAACAGGGAGGGAGCGCGGCAGGGCTTTTTTTATGTATATCCCTACAGCAACAAAGACCAGAACATGCTCCTTGATGATGAGATCATTCAGGGAAGCAAGCTGCTCACTAGAGGATGGGTCTTTCAAGAATGGCTCTTGAGCCGCCGCCTCGTATACTTCACTCCGGCCGGCATGATCTATGAATGTGTGACGGCAGGGATGAGCGACGACCGTGGTGAAGTATGGGATTCACAAAAGCTCACCAAAGGCCTTTTGCCGTGGGTGCAGGAAGCTTTTGGGGATCGACACTCCCGCATGTGGTATCGACTTGTGGAGATATACTCTAGCAAGTCATTAACCTGCCCAGTCAAAGACATTATCATGGCTCTCGCCGGGGTAGCCAAGGAGTTCGGAGATGCGATGATGAGACGTGCATCAGGTGGTTCGGTGCCAGTCACAACAGTACACTGCGGTCTGGAGTATCTTTCCGGACTTTGGGCCTACGATCTCCATCGTGGGCTCCTATGGGAGCGCAAAGTGTTTAACGGCCAGCACCGGAGACTCCACGGCTACCCTTCTTGGTCCTGGACATCTACCATTGGCACTGTTGTGTGGGAGACAAACCCTGTCGGCACTCGTCCGCCTAGTTCGCTTACACGTGCCTGGTGCGGAGCAGACCCGGCAATTCTCTACCCTGAAGCAAAATTCCTCGCTGCAAGCACCCTGGAGGGTAATGTTTTGTCATTTTCTGGAACGCCCTTGACAACGGCTGAAAGGTTCAGTCGCCCACCCGCAAACACATTCAGCACTCTGAACAAGTTTGCCATACTACGAATTGAGGGGAAGCTGGCCCGATTTGTTGTTAGGGAGACATTTTCTGAAGATGAGGATATGCGACCTCTATTTGATCTCTGCGGGGATGCTGTAGACCTCAAATCTGCACAAACTTTGTGGAGGAAGGTCTGTACAATGGCAGATCGGACAGAAATTACTGGCTGGTCATCAATTGAACATCCTAGCTATCAGGAGGAGGCACTGTATGAAGGGGGACTTGAAGTACTCGCGTTGGGTTTAGTAATGTCTTGCCATGACGGTGGTTTCGGGTTAGGATTCCGTGGGCTTAGTCATTGGGGGTTCTATACCGTATATCATGTACTATTTTTACGAGAACTCCACGGAGGACGGTTTGAGAGAATGGGTGTTGGAAAACTGTTTGGAAGAGATGTTTCTAAGGCCTTTCACACAGCAGATGTTAGAGAGTTGGAGCTAGTTTAGGCGTCAACCATACTCCTCTTTTATCAGATATGCCTAGATCACTCTATCCTTTACATCAATAGAGCCATAGAAAGACAGGCCAAGCCACTGCGGAGCGCGGGTGCTGCACAGTAATAGCACTGGAACCAGCAATGGGAGAGCCCTTGTACTACCTACAGCCAGTTTATTTGCAATGCCAGGTCTTCCGAGACCTACAACGGCTCATGATCCTTCCCTACTTATTCTTGCTATTTACGCTGTTTATGAATGCTTGTTCTAGAGGTATTTCCGGTGTTGATTAGTCCCTGTACTCTGGTCTCCCATTATGAAGCTCTCCAAGGTGGCTGATCTATTGAAGACCAGAGCAGAATGTAGCCTCGCACATGCAGGTGACTTTAGTTAGCGACCACACGACTGCATCAAATCTCTGTGCGTTACCAATGAATCTCTAGGCTCTCGTATATCTGGTGTAGTCTATCTGGGAGCGATGGGCTATATACAGGCATGCACAGAAAAGCATGTGCAAATACTTATCGCACACCAGTCCTCTCAAAAGGTCTGGTCTATCAGAGAACTATCGTCTTTCTCTGTCAGGTTAAGATCCTCCAGTATGGGTTTCAGGAAATTGGGCAACTCGGAAGACTTCACATTCCAGACGTCGTCCTGTAATTGTGCTGCATTTCTCTAAGCATCTTTCCAAGCTGTTGTGGAATACTTCATGACAAGAGTTCATCTCGAGATTCCAAACTTGCCACAAACCGAAGTGAAGGCACTAGACATATAACAGGCCCTACTTCTTGAAGGGCTAGGGTACATTTGCCATACAGTGACCAATATACTCTAAAGGCAAGGCCATTACTACCTAGATCCGATATCAGTGGTGCACAAAGACCGAGATCAAGCCTTCCCTGTTTGGCATGTGGTGAGCGTCCTAACGTGACCCAATGGGGCTATGACCAGAGCATGCTCCTAATCCGGCCTGAAGGGCTGCCGGAACTCGCCGGCCCAACCTCCACATCTCCGCCCCTCGTTTCTATCCTCAGCACTCTAGCTCAGAGCTACGAGACCCCCGCGGTGCTTGGCTGTCAGTTTCGTAGTATGCTTTGGGCAGACACTATAGGTCTTTTCTAGCACTCAAGGGTATCTGATAAGGATACCTGGTGTGCAGCCGCGTCGTGAGTCAGATTTCAAGGGTTTACAAGAATACAAGTTGAGCAGTCCTTTTTTACTATCATCAAGACCCCCAATGCTTTGGGGTGACTGTAGTATTCCTTGAACTGGATCACAAATTGGAGTTTCTTGTCACATGAGTGGGTGTGTGCCTATCAAGTTTTGGCGCAAGCTCTCGTGTGTTCTTAGCGGAGACGACCCGTTCAATGTTCACGAGGAGCCCTTCAGCTCCTCCTCCAGCGCATCGGCCATCTGACCCAGCGTGTCAAACTTCCAGTCGTGCATCTCCTTGGCCTTATTCTCCACAAGACCACCGGAGCGCTCGATCCACACCGACTTGAGGCCCAGCTTCTTCGCCGGATGGTGGTCGTGGAACTGGCTCTGCGCCGTCACCAGCACCCGTTCCTTGCTGATGCCCAGTTTGCCCTCGGCCTCGCGCAGCATGTACTCAAAATTGCGCAGGTCCGGTTTGTAGCTGCCGATGTCCTGGGCCGTCAAGATGAGGTCGAACTTGACCCCCTCCATGGGGCCGCTATTGCTGGCCGCGAAGGACTCGCGGTCCACGTTGGAGAGCACAACGAGCTTGTAGTGCTTGCCCAGCCTGCGCAGAGCGTCGGCAGTGTCGGGGAAGGCGGGCCACGAGCCGATGGAGGCGCCGAATGCCGTGTTCTGCTCGTCGGATGGCGCGGGGAAGCCGAGGCGCTCTGCGACCTGTGCGTGCACGGTAGCCAGGAGCTGGTCGTATCGCATGTCCGGCGTGCGGACCTGTTGCTCGTGCTCTATCTCGTTGAACAGGTCGAGCACTTTCTGAGGCGTGACGTCGGATTTGTTGGCGTCGAGGACCGGCTGGAAGGCCTTGAGGAGGCCGGTGTTCCAGTCGATCAGCGTGCCATACACGTCGAAGCAGAGCAGTCCAAAGTCTGAGATCTTTGCCATGGCGATCTCTCGTGGGAAACTGGCATGAATTTCACTTTCGTAAGTAGAAGAAATGAAATGAAGAGGGTGTTCAGTTTAAGTATATTTCTGACAGCAGAATTGCCCCGCATGTAGGATCGGTCAGCCATTTCAGGTCTAAGACGGATGACATGTACATGTACATGACACTTTAAGGGCGTGTAGGCTTCGTCGTTATCCGATATGTATCTGTCTTCCAGCGCAACAGCCCACTTGTATTCAGGACACGCTGTAGCTTTCCTATCTGCACGAGTTTCAGTCCACTCAGGTATTGAATTCCGCTACGAGGAAGTACAGCATGGCATTGTGCCAAACCTGTACCAGTGGCAGATCCTGAGATCGTGGCTTGTATAGCTGCTTTCACATTTGGAGTTGGCCCCTCAACGCCTCAATCTCCGCACTCGCATAGATGAACGGACCGACTCCATTCAGCATATTTCGTTGAATAGGTTGGTCGATGTAGTACTGAAAGGAGGGAAATTAGCTTTCAGACTCTAACGAAGCAGCCGACGGTGCAAGAAAACTCACCTCATAAGTGGCATTGCCACTCAGACTGCCAACTTTGACTGTGCCTTCCCAAGTCAAAGCACCGCTGGTTTCATTTCTGCCTACGAACTTGGCCGCCATGATGTCATATGCCTTGAGCGTGAACTTCTCGTATTCCTTTCGGCTGATAAAACCCTTCCGCATGCCCTTGAGAAAACCGGTCACAAACATGGCCGTGCCACTGCTCTCGATGTAGTTACCCTTCATGCCGGGATACGGAGCATCCATGACCAGCCACCAACCGCCTTGTTTGCAGTCCCAACTCTTCCTCAGCGCTTTTGCTAGGCTGGTAAAGTAGTTGACTAGCTTCTCATACCCTGGATGAGATTGCGGCAGCCAGTCCAGAACATCGAGGAGCGCCATGAAGTACCACCCGATGCCCCGGTCCCAGAGATGAGGTGATGCGCCAGTCACTGGGTCGGCCCATTCCCTCTGGTGGCTCTGATCATAGCCATGGAACAATAAACCGGTCTTGGGATCCCTGCAATGCTTCTCCATCAGATCAAATTGCAAAACGATATCGTCCCAGGCCGTCTGATTTGTTGGCTCAAACAATGCCGTGTAGTGAGCGTAGAAGGTATCGCCCATGAAGAGGCCATCCAGCCACTGCTGGTTCGGGTACTCGGGATCCTTGTGCCAGAATGCAACCTCGTCGGTTCGCTTCTGGGCGAGAAGTTCATCATGTAGGAACGCGATGGCGTTCCTATACCTCTCCTCGCCCATCTGGCCCCACAGGAAGAGCAGCGTCTCGCCGACCCGGATCGAGTCAAGCTGGCGGCTGTTGGGATTCCAGTTGACAAATGAGCCATTATCAGTCAGAATGGCATCGATCTGCGACGAGAGGTACCATTTGTACTTTTCGTCATGTGTCGCGTTGTAGACGTACTCGACCCCGCGGTAGAAGGTGGCTTCGGTGTAGTACCGCGTCTTCGGGACGTTGATGGCCATGATAGAGTCGGTCATCCATGTTGAGTACGGCTGTGCGGCAAGAACTGCAGTAATGCAGGCACTTGCTACCCGAGCAAGAGCTTCGGACTTCATCACGTCGTCTGTCGTGCGCCGAGTAGGGCGGTGTGGCGCACACCCGCATACCCGACAACCGGGTCACACAACGGTTTTATATATGCAGACCGATTGAACGAAGTGGTATCGCGAAAGCTCCGGCCGAGGGACCTTGGCAAGGCAGATCTTCGGCACGTCATAGGTGGATAAAAGCATCTGTGGACGATGCCCCCGCAGAGCATTGGCAGCGCGGGGAAAGCGGACCAGGTCAAAGTGAAGGACAAGGAGGGAACTCCGCGCGACGACGAAGGGTATTTCCCTTCACTCATTCACAAGACATAACGCTTATAACCATGCAAGGTGCAGTTGCTGTCCGTCTTGTCTACTACTTGGGACCACAAGACAAGGAGCGTCGTGTCAGATTTTCCGGCTTAGAATTTGCCTCAATAAAACCATGTCACTTAAGAATCTTATAAACAAATGTTTCTGTTGCTTCGTGGCAAAAGTTATCTCTGTTGAAGAAGCTTCCCAATCAAGAAAACGGAGCAACCCAAGAGCAACCCAAGACAGGTTGCCGCTCGCTAGCACAACATGTCTCCCTCTTGAACTCCCACTCTCACCACTTATTCTCAGGAATGATGTCCGCCAGCCTATCAGCAAGCCGACAGACATAGGAGCGGGCGGAGAAAGGTGGTGTCTTAAGATGAAGAGAAGTGGCTTCTTGATGATGACAGAGTTAGCCTTGACAGTGTTTGGGGGTTGTACCGCCAACACACAGGCCACACCAACTTAGTTAGCAATGATAACGCACACGCTGGATCTTATGAATCTGATAGTCGACATTGGCTTGATACTCCAATCTGGCAAAGCGGCACATTGTGACAGTCGGGAGGCAACCAGGCCGTGGTGCTGGTCCAGACCAGTTGGGCAGCCCTGCTGGGTGGTATGGCCGTCTACTAGCGAGCTTTTCTCTTTGCGGCAGGCGGGAATTTCACCCGCAAGAGATAGGCAAGTGAATCATACTTTTTATCTAGACGAGCGCTGGTCGTATGTTTAAACGAAGCGATGATGTCCCACCAATGGCTGGTCCGCCGTGTGGACCTGCTCCAGTTGCGCAAGGTCTATATCAGAATGCTGCTTCTCCGTATCTCTTGATTGCCACGTCTCCGGATCCGGATGCATATTGTGCCGGCTATTCGCCGCCTCTCCCGCCTCGCACGCAGAGCCCCTTGCGTATCTGTCGGGCAAGTAAGGGCTGAGCCCGACGCGCTTCTCCCACTTGTCCTGCGTCCGCGTGAGCTCGTTGGGGGACGAGTCGAAGCGCCGGCTCCACCGGTCTATCGGCTCGCGCCACTGAAATCGGCGAGATTGCTGTTGCTTGTTCCTCCTACGCCTCTTGCTGACGAAGAGGTATTTGTACAGTGGAATGAGGACGGCGACGCCGATGCAGACCAACGTGACGGTGAGCTCGGCAGCCGACCATATTATCAGGGGGACGGTATCCTCAGTATAGTTGACCTTTTCGATAGATTCGATTTTGGTCGTGCGGATGATGCCACACACGCCAGCACTGGCGGGGACAATGATCTATTAGTATTTACTAACAACATCTGCAGTCTGCAGAGAGAGCAATGTGTGAGAAGAAACTCACAAGACACCTAGACTTAAGCTGCCTACAATCACAAGCTTGTGCTTCTTTCGCATATGCATGTTCCATACCAAGACCCAGGGGATGGTCGCAAAGAAGAAGTCCATCACAACCAACCAGACTAGTGTATCAAGTCAGCCGCAGATTTGGATTGAGCTCTGGAAGGGGAAGTCGTAGCGTACTGCTTGTGAGGAGCATGACCGGCCTCGGGTCAACTATGCAAGGAGAAGGTACTCTCGGGTCAAAATTGGCCTCGGCAGGGAGACACTGAACCCAAAAGAGTATGATGGCGATAGAGGATACAATGAGCAGACTGATCGAGGCGATCCATATTGCCATCTTGTGCCATTTTTTCAGGACAATCCTGAGCAGGAAAAGGCCAAGTGAGCACTTGGCAGTCGACATGCCAACAATGAGGAACGTCTGGCCAATCATCTCCCACATTTTGCCATCTATCGCGACCTCGACAGGAAGCGCCAACATGGGCCATCCGAAACCTGTAGTCGCCGCGATGGTTGTAAAGCTGGTACACAGGATCATCATGACCTGAATATGGAGGTAGTGTCAGCCACCTAAGCAACGAAGGCGACATGTTTCCCAGTGCTCTGGTTTCCTAGACTTACTCCGGTGATATAATAGACCACATCATCGGCATACATGTGTCGCACGACTTTGATGTTCATGTACAATCGTGCGGCCATGAAAAGGAGAATGATGGCTGTCATTGCCCACATAAGACCTATCGCCACCGCCGCCTTCTCGGCGATTGGGGTCGCCCCCATGTCTTCCGACGAGGGTTCGCGTTGGAGAACCAGTGCCGTGGCGACCAAACACAATGATATGGAAGTGGTGAATGAGTGTTTTGGGACCAGTCGGGAGCGTTGTGGTCATGCTGTACTCGGTGTGATTTGTAAGGGAGTGTCCATAGACAACCTGTGTTACATGGCCACGAGAGAATGTTATATGATGGATCTGTCATCGACACCGCCCCCCTCCACGAAGACCGCCAAGCTGCAGGAATGGTTAGGCATTGCTGGCCTCTGGAGCTACTTGACGACGGCTAAGAACAACTCTGAAACTTTCATATGTTTAGGAGCGATAGCCTGGAGCTAGGAAGACTGTAGCAGTAAGGGAACAGCCATCCGCTGGCTACAGGCCAGCTTCCGACTTATTGACGCGGCCCTAATGCATTATCTATTCGGAGCATTTGGCGGGACAGGGAGCCAACTTTCAAGTACATGACGTGTGCAAGTGCTAGATATGTGACGCTTGAGGCCTCCCTTGTTTCCTCCACACCATCATCTGAGGACGTGGAGGCCCTGATGAACGCTAGAAAAGCTCGCGTTGCTTTGGCATGACCGCGGTGCCAAGTCCGTAGTTGGTGGTTTGGTCTGGAGATTGGGGAGATCGAAGGACGTGACGCCAGAATTACCACATGAGTGCACAGCAGACTATGCCGTTTAATGACTGATTGTGTTGGCGCCGTTGGACAACGGTCCTGATTGCCGTCATCGAGGGCTAGCCGAAACTTTAAATAGCAGCTATTGCATCCACACTGGGACACCAGTATCGCTGAAAACGGGGCCTAGATGGGACGGTGAATGCTTGCTTTTTAGGTAAAGGCTTGACCCTTGTGCATGTTTGCATACGGCTACGAACAGATCTGCTGAATCGTAGCCACCGGACGGGGACAGAGTCATAAGCGGCGGATCACAACCCACCTCCGGTCCGTTGCGGAGGTTTAATCCCAGCTACCCGAGACATGAGACCGTGTTGGTTATGAAGCCCAAGAGACACTAAGCACGGATCTCTCCGGTCTATTGCGCGACTGCCTCGATTAGGATACAAATTGTGGGCAATCAAGTAGAGCTGCAAGGAGCGAGTAGCCACTGTCGCAGCCACTTATGCGCAGGCCATGAGGATGTGAGGACCTGGTAGCTGGAGACCATACGAACACCTGTAGAAAACCCGTCAAAGCTTTTACTAGGGCTAAATAGGGGACGGGGGATATGTTCCGGCAACTCGCCTTCATCAGTTCGGGTTCATCCCCGAGATGGGTTTTGATATTATACCAGAGGCGCACTCGAAACTCTACAATTCCTGTCACGATTAGTGGAACCAGATGACCATATGAGGATGTAATATCGGTCTTGATTCCGTCTTGCAGCTTGAGATGAATGCTTTAGAGAAGAGGTTGGTATCGTTGGTTTGGGCCAAGCACCAACCATGACTAAGCACTGATGCCAGTGATGTCATTCACATACAATACACACCTCTCAAGTCTCGACACACATACACACCTCACAAACGCACGGGATCTCCTTTGCTCAACCCTGCACTATCAGCCGAATCGTGGCCTACGCAGGATTAGCTATCTGATAAAAGGTGTGAGTGAGATGAAATGAGCAATAGCACAAACAGCGAGATCTTGATTGTGAGTCGTGTCCATTCATTGTCAGCGATAACCGCGCGTACATGTACCCGGGATACTAGCCATCCTCTATCCATTCACTAAATCTCCGTCTCATCAAACTTATGTTAATCACATGCACCCACCTAGGCCGGCGCGGCAGCCGCCTTCACAGTCGACCTGCTTGTCTACCCGTTAGATACGATCAAGACACGAATCCAGAGTCAAGACTACATCAATGCCTTTGCTTCGTCATCCTCGTCGGCTGCCGCAGGTAGCAAACGGGCTCCAGCCTATGCCTTGCGCGGCCTATACCAGGGCGTGGGCAGCGTCATAGTAGCTACCCTGCCCGCAGGTACGGAACACTTCTAGTCTCCTTCCCGCCTTTCTCGCCTGCTAACGTTGCCGTTAAGCGGGCATCTTCTTCACCGTGTACGAGGCGTCCAAGACCCTACTCTCCGCTTCCCTGCCTTCCATCATCCCCCAGTCCCTCGTCCACTCGCTCGCCTCGGGCACGGCCGAGCTGTCCTCCTGTCTCGTCCTCACCCCGGCAGAGGTCATCAAGCAGAACGCGCAGATGATACGCCGGCAGCAAGGATCGTCCTCGGCCTCGGCTAGCGGGAGCACCTCCCTGCAGGCCCTGAGCATGATCCGCGACGCGCCGGGGGGCGCGGCGCGGCGCTTGTGGGCCGGGTACACGGCGCTCGCGGCGCGCAACCTGCCGTTCACGGCGCTGCAGTTCCCCATGTTTGAAGCCCTGCGCGCGCGGATCTGGGAGCGGCGGCGAAGCCGCGCCGGTGATCGAGCCTGGATGGAGGCTCGCAAGGGCGGCGTGGACAAGGGCCAGGGGATCTTGGAGACGGGCGTTGTCACGATGGTGAGCGCGGGGTTGTCTGGCTCGGTCGCGGCGGTGCTGACGACGCCAACGGACGTGGTCAAGACGAGGATGATGTTGCTTGCCGGGGATGCGAAAGATAAACAGGACGAAGGGAAGCCGACCGCCGCGAGTGAGGTGGACAAGGATGCCAAGAGCGGCAAGAAGATGGGTGGCTGGCAGGTTGCGAAGCAGGTGTACGCCGAGAGAGGAGTCCGGGGGCTGTTCCGCGGCGGAGTGCTCCGGGCGGGCTGGACGGCTGTAGGCAGTGGGCTTTACCTCGGGACGTACGAGATGGCCAAGGTTTGGCTCAAGGATGGCAAGGACTTGGATGGTGATGGTGGCATCTGAGGGCTTGTGACTGGGCGGTGGGCTCAAGCTTGTTGGCAGGATTCTTTGCGTGTACATGTTTCTTACATTAGACAAGCAGATACAACGACATAAGATCTTTCTCGTTCATAACTGTAGCCAATACTAGACTCGAGAGAGGAATCTCAAATTAGAAACAATTCTCAAAAGATCCAAATTGATTGCTCGCTGAACACAACAATCGCAATCGTCAAAATCACAACACCCGTTATGGCACAGTCAGTACCCCTGATAGTAAAAAGGACGGCTCGCTACCTTCAAAAGAGGACTGTTCATTTCAGGACATGGCGGTGTGTTGCTGGGATCTCCATTGTTAGTCAGTGGATATCCTGGAGATCCCCGGCTTAAGAGGCAGACTGGCAATTGCGTACTATTCCTGAAGAAGGCATGTAGGCTACCAACCAGGGCTGTACTGGAAGATGCTTGAGCTGACACGTTGGCTGTGGACTGATGACAATCCCATGGCAAAAGCCTTCTTAGAGGTCGCAAGGCTACACGGCTGGCTCTTATTTTGCCATAGAGCACAGCCTTTCGAATGGTCGAAGACGGGAACGACCTCTGCAATTTAGGCTTGTCTGAAGGACATTTTCGTTGACTAGACCTTTTACTTGTGGCTGATTATGCAGTCAAGCAGGCTAGCTATGGGCGATCATCGGGACCTTTGCTTGGCAATTGCGGCCCCAGAGGATCCAAAGGTCTTGGCAAGTTGCTTGTGTGTGATTGCCGCTTCCGCTGCCAAAACGGCCGCCACCAAGTGCCATTCATGGCGCCTTGAAACAACTTACGGCGATAGCATTTCTCTGGCTATCTCGACCTTGCTCAGTGCCAACTATTTCTACGTGTTGCAAGAGACTAAAAGCCTGGCGCCAACATAGCAGTTCGATCAGTTGAAACTCCTTGGTAGTCGGTCTGTCTTGACGTCTCGCTCTGCTGCAATACCCCGTGGAATTGATCCCAGTATGGACGATCCCCACTACGACTCGACCACACTAACACATTCTCAGTCAAACATGCGACCTTATCTTGGCAAAGACGGGCGCATAGAATAAAGTCTTTCCTCTTCGTATGTGGAGAACGGCATCCAGAAGCTCTCCATCGCCTTAAACACGAACCTGGCTCTACCTCCGCACTGACGATCCCAAGGCCCGACACGACGAAGCATCATGACAACGAACAACAAAACTGACGTGGCCACGGGAGCCTACAGCAAGCATGTCAGCGAGGCAACAGTGGCGAGCGATATTGCCGGTCTGCCTAGGGCCATCGACAAGGCACTCGCGGCGGGCGAGGCAGTCCAGATGCGATCGACTCTAGACGAGATGCCGGTACTCAAGGCTCTCCGTGTTTTCTGGAAAGTTGGCAGCATGTGCATGCTTGCTGCTTTCGCTTCTGCTCTAGAAGGATACCGTACGCCTCCTTCCTGACAGTATCCATGCTGTTCTAGCGCCTCATGAAATTGCAGTCTTTCGCGGGCTTTCCAAGATCTGCACGCTCGTCAAACCGTAACAATATGAGGAATACAACGCTGACCTGTAAACCTTTTGATAAACAGAGGTTTCCCTTACCGCTTCGATCGTGGCCAACAAAGGTTTCATCAGGCAAATGTCGGAGGGGGGTTCGAAGCTAAATCCCACGCACGTCGCAGTCTGGGGAGGCATGCTCTCCACGGGGCAGTTCGTCGGTGTCCTCGGTCTACAGGCTTGTATCGATAAAATTGGTCGGAAATGGTCGATGCACCTTACTTGGCTCAGTCTTGTCATTGTAAGTTCTTGCAACACCAGTCACCCGGACCAGAAGTACATACTGACCGAATGGAACTATAGTCAGTAGCGATCGAGTCGGCCGCCACTAACTGGATTCAGTGGACTATTGCCAAGCTCATTGCTGGCATGGGACTGGGGATGATGCAAGCCACATACCCTGTATACATCTCTGAGCAGTCGCCCACCCAAATTCGTGGCTTCCTTACAACTGCGTACATGTTGTTAGTTTAAAATCACCCTATAGAGAGGGCAATGTATGTCTCGGACACCTTTGCTAATAGGCTTCACGCAGCTGGAACGTCATGTCGCACATTTTCGCGCCGCTAGCCTTGGACCAGCTCAAGGCAAAGAACCCCCTCGACTTCCGATCTCCTATCTATACCCAGTGGGGGATGCTAGTTGTCATGCTGGCCATCAACCTGCTTGTCCCGGAGAGTCCTTGTTAGTCCAGTTGTTGTATTCAAACGGCTACAGGCACGCTAACTCGTTCCCAGGGTGGCTCGTTCAGAAGGAAAAGTATGAACAAGCTGAGAAAGTTTTAACGAGATCCTATAAGGACGTGCCCGAATATGATCCCAAGACACAACTAGTAAGTAATCCCGTCGTCTGGTGGCTAAAGGCTATACAGGCGACTCATTCCCTGCCTATTGGACAATGGGTGTTGCACTCACTGACGCTGTATCTCCACAACCGCAGTCCATCATCGTGGCTACGGTGGAGCGCCATCGTCTCAATCAGGCTCTAGACAAGCACGAGATTCGTGAGATTTTTAAGGGCATCAACTTTTGGCGACTTTTCATTGCATTCTGGCCCAAGGCCATGCAACAACTTGTCGGACAGAGCCTTACCAACAACTACGGCACATACTTCTGTAAGTAAATGTACTACTGTTCAGTATTTGCATGCGTTCGCAGTCTAATTCAGATATCTTTTCTCTAACGCAGTCCAACTGGCCGGTAATGCGGAGCCATTCCTCGTCACTGTCATTCTTGCTGTTTGCCAGCTTGTCGGAGTTCTTGCCTGCTCCTTCTTCTCTGACAGGTACGGCCGCCGATGGTTTACTCTAGGCATGTTCGGTTCTGCTGCCGTCGCCGTGCTCGCCATCGGTATTGTGGGTTGCTTCAAGTACACGAGCAAGGAGCTCGGTAGTGTCCTGGTAATTCGACATCTTATTTTGTCTCTGGTATTGGGGAGATTCGTGTCCGCTGACCTTATCGCCCAGGTTTTCCTGGGCTGCGTCTCCAACTTTGGTGTCATCGGCGGCGCTGGTATTGCATACAACTATGTTGCTGAAATCCCCACCCAGCGACTACGTGCTCGCACAGGCTCAGTTGCACTGATGGGCTCATTCCTGTTCGGCATCATGTTCAACTACACCGTCCCCTTCATGCTTGACTCTTGGAACGTGAAAGCTGGTTTCTTGTGCGTAGTTGCACATTCTCTTGTTCCTTTGATACAACATGAACTAACGACTGTTTCTAGCTTTGGCGCCACCGGTATCTTCTCATGCCTTGTCGGATGGTACTGCCTTCCTGAGATGGCCCGCCGAACACCTGCAGAGATCGACGAAATGTTTGCCGACAAGATAAAGCCGCGCGATTTCAGGAAACATGTCACACAGGTCGAGGTTTTCCTTCGAGAGAAGGAGGAGAGGGGCAGAAGCAGCCGCCAGGACCAATGACGCTTGAATGAGGCGTGCAAACCCAAGTCCCTATGGAAGGTCCCAACGCTTGACTCACAATCTCGGTGGCGATGATCATGTGTGCTTTAAATTATGTAAACGGAGGAGGAGTTTGTTTAACGATACCCAAATACCCGGGAGAATCTCTCTCGAACCTTGTCCCATTCAATGAGCTGTTCAAATGCCTGATTCCTAACAGCATGTTACAATCTTGACTCCATACGAAATGCCCCTGGGTCATGAAATTCAACTCTAGGTATGCTCCTCCAACATCACCAAAGGTAGATAGATCACACCATCACAACGTATGAATAAGCCCCAAAAAGTGTTTCTTGAACCCTTCTGCATCGACCCCCACGGCGACACGGCAGTTGGGCACAGGCGGGTCTGGGCACTCCAAGCGGTCGGCGATCATCACGCCCTTGGCCTCGCCGTCGCCCGTGATGACCGACACCGCCATGTCTCGGTACTCGAGCAGGTCGGGCTTCGAGACCGCGGCCACGGCCAGGGGGTCGTGCATGGGTATCGAGTCGGGCCTGGGCCGCCGGCCCGGGAACCGCACGGCCTGGTGCTCGATGTACTTGATCGTGGCCTCGCCCGCAAAGGCCGCGAAATCGGTCGGCGCCCGGGCCAGGTCCTGCGCCTCGGCCATGCCCAGGCGCACCTGCAGCGTGACGTCGAGCCCGACCCAGCGCTGGGGCACGCCGGACCGCAGCACAGCGCGCGCGGCCTCCGGGTCCGAGAACACGTTGAACTCGCCCGGCTTGCTGCGCGAGTACATCGTCCCCAGGAAGATGCCGCCCATGATGACGAGTTCCTTGAGCGCCGTCTTGATGCGGGGCTCGAGGAGCAGTGCGATCGCCACGTTGGTCAGGGGCCCGATCGCCACCAGGGTGATCTCTCCTGGGTGGGCGAGGACGTGCTCGATGATGGCAAGCGGGGCATAGCCCGGATCGGGCTTGCGGGCGGACTCTTTCAGGGCGGCGACGTGAGGTGCTGGGACGCGCTCCAGATCTGTATGAATGATGGGCGTGCCGCAGCCGCGAACAAGGGGTGTGTTTTGGACGTTGAGTCGGTCGAGCAGGATACCAGTCAGGATAGTCGCGCTTTCAACGTCAGTGTTGCCGTTCACAGTCGTGACGAGGTCCAGCTGGATGTCTGGGTCTGCGTGTGCCAGGGCCAGGGCAAAGCCATCATCGACATCGGCACCCGCCCCCATGGCAAGATCCGTGTCGAGGATTATGCGTGATGGAGCCATGCCGGTACTGGGCCCTTCTTAAGTGCTTCTTAAGGTGTTGTACAAGACGATCTGGATGGTGTGCTCGCTGATTTGACTGGCACTACTGGCGATTGTGGCAGGTCTAGCGGGGTCGAATCCGTGTTCATTCCTATTGGTGTTTCGACTTCGTCACATTCCTTCTTGTCCTTTGGGTTATCTGCCTTGTATTTGGTTGCATTCGTTCTTTTCTAATTGTCTCCCCTGGATGGGAGATACTATTGCGAGTGAGAGACACTATGATCGATACTGGGGTACACTTGGCTTAATCCAGGCCCCTAAGCGCCGCAGACGGGAAGTCCGTTGCCAAGGAGCACACGAACAGTGGCCGAGACCGGGCCCATCGCATACTACAGTAACCCACCAAAAGTCTGGCACCACCCACACCATTTTTTAGATCACCACCACCACCACCACGACCCCCTTAATCATTCCATGGCCGATATCTACTGTAAATAGGCATAAAAAGAAGCAATTTTCTAACATAACTATCAGAAGATCGTCAATTTAACTATAAATTTACTCTAGAGTAAAGAGCTGCTATAGTTATTATAGTATTAGTTAGTATATTAATATAATATATTATATATATAATATATATATTCTATATAACTATATTCTATATAATTAAGTAATATTTTAATATTAACTTCTTTAAATTTATCTAATAAAAAGAATAGCTCTATATTCTTATATTTGTCACAGAACCAACCACCATTACCACAGGGCACTGCCCTAAGGGCGGTCAGCACGATAAGATAGGCAGAAACGTACGGACCGTTGGATCACCCTGGATTACGGTGATCCATCGTGAGGACTCATCATGGATCATGATGATCCATCGTGATCTATTATCTATATATACGGATGTATGCCTACCCTTAGATACCTACCCTAGATAGCTCTTTAGTATTTAAAGTGTGATGATTCTTGATCCTAAGAGGTAAGAATACTTTATAGGACTAGAGGCGTGTGGGTTTATATAAGCAGTAAGTGATAGGCGCTGCTGAGCACTGATGGTTGATTGTAGCTAAGATAGCTTTACTCAAAGGTACTTTATTAAATGAGATACTTTAAATACTAGAGAGCTATCTAGGGTAGGTATCTAAGGATAGGCATACGTCTGTATATATAGATAATAGATCATGATGGATCACTATGATCTATAGTGAGTCCTCATGATGGATCACTATGATCCAGGGTGATCTAACGGTCCGTGCGTTTCTGCCTATCTTATCATGCTAACCGCCCTTAGGGCAGTGCCCTATAGTAATGGTGGTTGGTTCTGTAATAATATTAAAGAATTAATATCTAATTAAAATAATAGTTTATTAGAAGCTTTAGATTATTATAAGAGAGCTTTAAAACTAACTATCTTTCTCTATAAGCTAAAGATCTATCTAATAGATCTTATATAAATTTATAATTTATTAATAATATTATATTAAATAAATATAATTAATTATAAAAGATATATAATTAAAATATCTTTTTATATATATATAGAAAGATAAAGAGAAGAAATTAATAGATATATATTCTTTTAAATCTATAGAATTTCTTTAATTAATTTTAATATAATTATACTTCTTAAATAAGTATATTATATAGAATAATATTAATAATTCTATTAAATAGATATAATAATTTCTATTAAAGAGATAATAGCTAGACTTTATTAATCTTTAAATTTATATTAAAGCTAATATCTTAATTATAATCTTTATTATAATCTAAAGAAATAAATATAATAGTCTTATCTTAATAGAAAGAGATCTCTAGGCTTTAAAGAGAGAATATATTACTTAATTCTATATTAAAGTCTTATAAAAAAGACTGCTTTCTTATTATAATAACTTTAAGTAGTTTTAATAAGATAATATTAAAATCTATAAGACTAATAATATAGAGATCTTCTTTTAGCTTTATAAAATTAAGATAATAAGATAACTATCTTATTCTTCTAATTTAAATCCTATAAAGTATATATAGAAGGCTCTAAAAAATAAGATATATAAGAATTATCTCTATCTCTTTAAATTAGATAATAATAAGTTAAATATTAATAAATTTAAATATTATCTATATATTTACTAGTAATTAATAGATTAAATAAAGATTTAAAGCTTAATTAAGTCACTTTCTAATTATCTTATAGCTATTTATAAAGTATATAGTTAGTATATAAAATATTAAAGAGGAGAATTAGAACTATCTATAGGTATAAATTTTATTTTAATTAGAATTTTATTTATGGATTGAAATACGATTGAAGTTATATGGCATCCATAATGGTGTCGGCGATTGGTGTGGGTGGTGCCAGACTTTTGGCGGGTCACTGTACTTTAGGCAATAGTGCCGGACACCGTCGCCCTAGCTCGTATGCTGCTTCTGCGGAGTGATGTGGATCTGGTGCAACCGACATGGTTTCTGTTGGGTCTCACGATGCAAGCATGATTCGGAGGATAATTCTGCATATGTTAGACAGGCAGCAGAGATGTCGTTATATGTAGATGTGGTGTCCTACATAGCATAAGAATAAGTCCAGTCCATAGCTCTAGATCAAATTAAGAGAGGGAATTTAGTTTCTCGACCAGTCATTCTGACCTCGACCTTGAGCAACTAACAAAGGCTGTTTACGGGTTTACCAACTCTTTCCCTTGCAATGATTTGATTGATGGGTTCATTCATCAAGGAAGGGACTATTAATAGCGGTAAATACAGCCTTTGCAACACCTTTCTTTGAAATAGTCAGCCGGAAACCCTGCGACAATGTTCTAACGGTCGTGAACAATACCGTCCCGCTGACATTAGCCAGTGGGTGTGGGATAGAGGATCGTTGGCCACGGGTCTTTTCACACGGCATTCATGATTTCACCTGGCTCGTATCCCCAGATGCGCTCTAGGTCGTTCAGCCTCCACAGAGCTCCCCAACCCGAGGCCTTTTCGATGTATTTGAGAATCCTGGCAATCGCGATCTGCTCACTCGGATGGCTAAGGAGTTTTCCTGCCAGGTACAATGGCTGAATAGAGTTGGCGAGATTAGCGAGATTTGGATTAGACCTTGAGATGCCGCATATTCTTCGGGCGTGCCAGGAGGGCACGTTGTAGGGACCGGTTGTGACCGCGTCTGATGGCCTCATCTCCAGCATGACTATGCATGCAGTGTGATATGCTTCAGTGCTAGAAATGGCAGCGAAGTGGTGGAAGACAATGGTAGGAAACGGCGGCAAGTCATCGGCAGCGACTCGCTGAACCGGCTGTAATGCCGGTGGGCGGGACTCAAACCATTGTTGTAGTGTGTCCCAAAGCTGTTGCCACTGCTCGGCAAAGGAGAGAGCACCATTCCGGTCATTGGGAGTCGCGTGTAATTCTGGCTGTTGGGTCTGTCGATAGAGCAGGTCGCATGCTCTTGCACAGAGATATACAACCCAGTTGGCACACATGCCAGGAGATTGGAGAGCACACTGTAAAAAGAGCGATGTCACCACATCCTCACCAGCTCCTAGAGACCCGAGTGGGCTTGGCGCATCTGTGATAGGTACCCATTTATGTAGTGGCATCACGGTGGTCTCTGTGCCCTCGGAGAGGAGTACGCCGCAGAGCTCCATGCGGGGAAAGCACCAGAAAACGGCCTGCAGCAGGCCGCCCGAGAAGCCATGGACGCTGAACATGCTAAAGAGGCTCGCGCAGCCCTCGATGTGCCGCTTCCAGTTGCGCGGCTGGCCAGAGCTGAGCTCGAGAACGGCGAGGATGCAAGCCGTGACAAGTATGGCGGGATCTCTATCTCTAGCGGGCAGGCTGGACGCGAGGAGACGGATGCTCTCTTGGTATAGCAGCAAGCTGTCCGACCCCTTACGAGTTGCTGACTTGCGCTCCATCTGACAAGCCGATACAGCGAGGATCGCATACAAAAGGGTGGGCGACCTTCGTGCGAGCCTGGGAACCTCGATCCGAAAATGGCGCTCCTCGTCAAAGTTGTCCAGCAGAGGGGCAGGCTGGTGAATCCAATTATGGAGATAGTTGATCAGGCTGATTTGGGGAACCAAAGGCACCCGCGAGAAGTCGAATTCGCCCTCGTCCTCCGTTGACTGGCGATGCTGCACGCCACCTGAGTCCCCGCCGTCCCGGTCGCCATGAAGGATGGAGCCGTCTGACTCCTGCCAATGGCCAATGGGCGAACTCACATTTGATGTGCTGGTGAATAGAACGTAATGAAGCTCCTCTTGTAGCTTAATAAATCGAGGATTCTGCGAGTATTCGTCGTCCATATCTGCGAGGACTGTGCGTTGTTGTCTCGGCTTACAACATTCGCGCGTGGGGCTTAGGAGCTCCGAGGACCGTCTTCCTTACGGCTCTGTATGTGCGCAGCCATGATCGAGTGGTTTATGAACGAGCACCGGAAAGGCTTCCTGGCGAATACTCTTTGGTAAGAACAGCTTCAAGATGCGTGTTTGAGAGGTTAGTCGCTATATCTACGGTGGTCCATTTACAGCCACGTGATCTTGATCAACATCCGAAGTCGGGTCAATTTTCAGGGTCTAGGAAGGTGAGTTGGCGCCTCCCAAGCCTTTTTACAGCCACAAAGCTATCGCATCAGGTTCGACATGTCCGGTCAAGGCACAGAGCCCTCACGAATGACAAGAGTGCGCACAGGCTGTGCGGCTTGTCGAAAGCGGCGGCGAAAATGTAAGTGAAGGCGCAAGTACCCGGCCAGCTGGCCCGTGAACTGATCTCCAGCAAACAAGGTGACGAGGAGAAGCCACAATGTCGCAGCTGCGTAGCAAGGGGGTGGCCTTGCAAGTATCCAGCTCTCAAAGTCCTTCATTCCGCATACTCGGCCGCCTCTATCAGTACTGTGTCGACTGAAGCCCATGGTCCTGTGGCGAGTAGCGCGACGGATGCGACGAGCGACTCTACGCACCATCAGGACGATCTAAGTAACAGGCTGCAACTCGATCTCAACTCAATAAGAACTGCCGGAAGCCCTGCCCATCAAAATACAGATTCCCCACATTGTACTCCAGCATCACGAACCCCGTCGTTCTGGGCTCATACCGAAATTGACACGACCGAATCCTCAGCCATGGACAGGCTCTGTCCCCCTGACGTTTTCGTTGCCGAGGGGGCCACAGCCCTTCTACTGCACTTTAGGTATCACATTGTGCCATGTATTGATCTCGGCAATCTAGACAGGGGCTTCAGCACAAGCCTCATGCGTTTTGCAGACCGCAGCACGGCCGTCTTCAATGCCATTATTGTACTCGCCTTGCGCCATCTTGAAGTTACGAGACAACTGGCGGGCGGCTTGACCGCACCCCAACAATTACGTCTTAGACTTAGGACAGATATCAATTCCAGGCTTGCTACGGAAAACGAAAGCTCTAAGATGATTGTCCAGGCGCTCTTGGCCCTTGAAACCTTCACCCAATTGCGTCCGGCCGAGTGGGCAAGCTTTCGATTTCCTGACATCAGTACAGAAAGTACTCTCCAAGCCTCTAGCGAACCTCTCAAAACCTTGGTGCGGCTTGCTTGTAGAATCGGTAAGTTGAACTTAAGCTCACATCGTACCCGCATTGTCCTCTATGTACAAATATTCTATGTGCTGATCAAAATCAAGACCTCGCTACGGCACTCTTCAGGAGTCAAAAGCCCAGGATGCTTCACATGCAACTGGGCCTGATCAGTCCAAACCTGGATTCTCTTGACAGGGCTCGGAAAAGCTCGTTAGTAGCGGCTTATGACGCGTGCGTCTCTTACCTTGCAGAGTGTCTCTTCCTTGTAGGTCATCAGCAAGGAACCGAAGCCGGGCCTGGAGTATTACCAGCATCAGACCACTCTTCCGACTCATCCCCATTCAGAACAGCTTACGCCGGCTTCCAAGCTTCGTGGAGACGTATATGGGCTCAGGGCCAACAGTGGTACCAGGAACGCCCCTCTTGGCTTCGACCCATACTTCATGTCAGCCCCCTGAAAGCAAGGCAAATAGACAAGCAAAACCAGTCTTCCTTCCCATGTACATTTACAGATCCCCGATGGCTCTACTTGCCAACGCTACCTATCACATCGCTTGCCTTTCACTTTTGCGCCACAAGCCGCGTCCGCCATCTCTGCCAGACCAACACAACGGCAGCAGCAGTATACATCTACACAACGATCACACGACATCACCCATATGGCATACCCAGCAGGTGGCCGGGATCGCAACCAGCAATGATTTCATGGAGCAGTGGGATCCGATACTGGTTGCTGGTCTCCTGGGTATATCGCGAAGCACCGCTCACAATGTTCAGCAGCTCGCACTGCTTGAATGCATGCAGAGAATGGTGCGTGCCACTGGCATACGCCTCGACGACGAGATCGAAAGCTTGCAAAGGCATTGGAAAATATCACGCTAATGCGCGAGGTATCTCATGGACAATTACACGTTATCAGCAAATACTAGTAGAACGAATCAAAGCTTTTCGTGGTACGCCCATCTCGCAGTTGTTTTCTTCGCTGAGGAACAATAGACATCGGTTTCTTCACTACGATGATGGATATTCTCGGCTTCACCATCGGGCCACTGTGTCTCGGGCCATTGAGCGAAGTCTACGGCCTCTCAAGTCTCCCTATCAATTCTAGGAGCGTTCTTACCACTGCCAGGCCTGCCACTTCGCAATTCGCTGCACTATGGTTTTTGGAAACCCTGTCTTGGGTGTCACCTCCCTGGCTATTGTACCTATCGCAGTCGTCGTGCACAAGTTGCCAGCAACATGCAATGCTGCAGCTTCAGGATGGAGATGGGGCTGGTACGCGTAACAGAAAGCGACCGCTATACTGGTCACTTCTGTCAGTGGTCTCGGATCCTGTGGCGACGATACATATATCTTTCTCGTCAACACTTGCCTCGGCAAATTTTGCGCTACGAGGAAAGTCTGACCGCGGAGGGCGAACTGGATGCCACATCTATGCGCTTGAGGTCTGGCCTCTGGTCGACATGGCTGGTTGGGTGGCGGCCAGCTACATCTTGACAGGTTGGTCGTCTGAGTCTGGTCATCACGACAGGGACGACAGAGTTACCATCATTAGAACATATCGTTTCATCGTGTGTTGGTGTTAAACGAGTTAGCACCACCAACATGTTCTGCTTGGAGAGACCCGCTGGTGCATCGGGGCTATCAATCTCGAATGCATGGTGGCCAAGTGCTCGTTTTGGGGACCAATCAACTACAATCATCTACTGGTAGAATGACCTTAGCTGCAGCAAAGTGCAGTTTATGCGTGTTCAGCAGGGATTGTGATTCGCAGTGTGGCTTGTGTACAGGAGGGACGGAAGCCACGAGCATTCGGCAAACGCCTAATATTGGCTGTGCGCACCAGAAGCACTGCAACATCTAATGGGCAGAGTCCAGTGGCCATGAATGAGGCTCAAGTAAATTGGCTTAGGCATGACCCGGGAGCTCCCTGGGTCAGCCACTCTGGGTGGCCACTGCGCTGGCCCGCATGCTGGCTCGCTGTCACATAAAGGCGAGACGCCCGGGAAATGCTGTGCTGCTGGCCGGCATCCATTCTCAATCGTGTTCTTGTCATCTCTTGTAACCCAGGCACTGGATAGCTATGAGTGTCATCGAGTACATCAGAATGTACCGCCTGAACGAGGCGACACTCAGGCAGTACTTGGAGGATCAGTTTCCCAATAACAAAACCGAGATTGTCGTCCAGGTATGCAGACACCCCCCATCCACTTTGTCGCTTAGTTTCCGGCGCGTGGCGTGCGTGGCGGAGCACCAGACAACTGACTGTCCCCCGTTCCGTGGGAGGCCCCGGGGCTTTCTACCAGGCATTCTCTCCCTTCCTTGGCCATTTGAATGCGACTGGTGTCCACAAGTCAAAGTCTTCTGACATTTGCAAACACGTTAGGTGGGGGCCAATGATTATTACTCGGTGCGCGTACCTCAGAACCTGAGCAGCGTAGGTCACACCTGTTCTATTCACCGCTGATTCAGCCCAACGCAAACTCCCGGCCCCTGACACTCGGTGCGTATTCAGGTACAACTAGCACACATCGAAAACACACTTCGACTTAAGAGACGGCGGGGTTGAGGCGTAAGAAGTGGGCAAACTGGATGGCTGACTCTTCAATCTCGTTCGGGCTTTGCAGGGCTGGAATTTGCGATTGCGTTTGATGATCAAGGATGTAACAAGGTTGACGCGGGACAGGGACTTTTCTGCTGGGCAGGGCAGGGGGTAAGAGAGCAAGCCCCAAGATTTACTGGATTTCCAATGTCTTGAATATCCAGTAGTGCAATTAAGTCTGCTCTTCATCCGCGGGTGACTACCCTTTGACGGTGACAGGGCCCATTCGCTGGACCATGGTGTTGCGGCTTGTTTGCTCCCTTCGTGTCGTGTTTATGCTTGTATCCATCAGACATCCTCGTTGGCCCTGGCCTCCCACGTCAGTTGGGCGCTGAGCCCCCCCGAGGTATCACGCTCTTCTGTCTCAATCACTGCCTCCCGGCCAGCTTGAATCCCACACCCTCACAGCGATAGTACCCTTCCCAATACAAGTCATGTCCTCGCCGCTCCTTGCCATGAGCGTCGACGGTAAGTGACCGGCATAAGCCTCTTTTGCCCGGGGTTTCTTTCGCCGTTCTCAAGGTACACTTGACTGAGGGAATCCGCCACAATTTCCAAGGCATTCTTCTTCTTCTTCTTCTTCGCCGCCCATAAATACACTCTGTACGTAACGTCGACTGTCCTGATTCTGGCATGAGATCTCACTTGCTCTAGAAGCAGCCAAGCCCGTCCTTAATCCATAATGCCGACTGGTCGATTCGACGAGTACACCAAGCTGGAGCATTTATGCTCCAGCGCTGCGAATTATCCCAGCAATGGTATCCGAACTCGCCTGTTCGGCCACGCTCTCGCCGCCTACAAGTCCGAGCTCGAAACTCGGTCCACAGATCTCTTCCAGGCCGTACAAACGTACCCCATAGACTACCTAGAGGCATTTGACGGGGACGATTTCCAAAAATGGGCCTGCCACTCAGCGTCGCAACTAAGACAACACTACCAAATCAATCGCAAAGAGCCGCTCAGTCGTTTCATGTAAGTTGCTTCACTCACTGATTTAGATATTTTGGTCTCTTTCTAACTGGATGCTAGATGCATCCAAGCAGAGACGTCCATCTCCCCACTGGATTGCTCGAAGGACGTGTTCACTTTGTTGCTTTCATTCCACCATGTCATGCCTCGATTCTTGGACCTCGTCTTTGCATTTGGCCAGCAGGCGGCTGCCGTTTCTGATCTCAATTGCACCGCTTTTCACCACGAGAACTTTTTAGAAGCTGAAGATACCAGCTACAGCATACCGCGGCTCGGCCGATCCGGGAGACAACTACAGAACTGTTACAACTTATGGGGCGTTGAAAAGTCGGATGCCAATGGAGAGTGGTCCTTCCGCCAAATGGCAGTCTATCATTCTTTCGACGTCGAGAGTTGTCGCTCTCTCTGGATCAATATCAAAGCCAACGACTTGATGCTGGAAAGGATTACAGATATGGCCACCACGTCAGGAAGGCGGAACTACAATACTAGCTCGAGTCCTTCCTCCCGATTTGCAGCGACCCTTGTTACGCACATGCTATTCTTTGAGTGGTGTACTGAAGGATGGAGATCATTCATTTCATCCCTAGAGAAGGCGGCTCACGAAATTCTCATGAAGGTCGAGAATGCCCCAATCCAAGATGTTGAAAAGCAACTTAGTTTGGATTATGAAGCTATCATGCCGACATCGCCAACTACACCGACACAACGGAGACCAACCTTTCCTCAAGCCGGCATGCAATCACGCACCTCGTCTGGCTTTAGAGCTCCGCCTGTCAGGAAGGCTTTCAGTGGCAGTACAACTCTACCCGTCATCCAGTCGCAAGCATCTGCCACCTCGACAGGCCACCCAACGGTTCCGGCTCCCCAGAGAGAGGTAGTTCCTGTATCTTCCAAGAACTTTACCGTTCTCGAGGAGTTCTCGGTGAAAAGCTTGCAGCGCCTAGGCGGAATCGGCTCGAAGCTTCAAAAGGCCTCATTGATGATGCAGCTGGACGCGCAAGTGTTGGACAGTGTTGTGACCCATTACGACGCACTTCTGAGGGACGAAAGACTATCTGACGGACTCAGGAATGGATGTTGTTCCGAGGTGTCCCTGTTCAGAGAAGAAGCCGCGAGCTGTATTCGACGGTTGGGCATGGAGCAATCACGTATCGCTGCGCTAGAAGGCATTCTGAGGGACGGCCGAAACCTCCTGAACACAATCCTTCAGTACAAGAATACCGAAATCAACAAGATATTCACGGTCAATGCTCAAGAGACATCAAGTCGAGTCGAGGAGATGACCGCGGAGATGCATCAGTCGGCCCTTAGAATGGAGTCACTCACCAGAATCACCGGACGGATCGCGGAGAAAACAGAACGCGAGACATCATCGATGCACATAATCACGCTGGTTACGCTTGTATTTCTACCGGGGACCTTTGTGGCTGTAAGATATGGACTGCCGCAGATTTGGCAACTTCTGACTGACCAACAGACTCTGTTTGGAAGCGGCCTTTATCAGTGGGATCAGAACAACCCGGAGATGGAATTCCCGCTGTGGAAACAAAAGTATTTCAATCTTTTTGCCAAGATCTGCTTTCCTTTGATGTTCTTCGTCATTGTTGTATGGTATTGTGTCTACTGGTGGTCTAAGCGGAAAGAAAACAAGAAGGGAGGAGGGGATGAGGAGAATCTGCTCCTCGGTGGTGAGAAAGACGCAGCCACAGATGGGCACGATGACTCTGGAGATAATTGACAAAGGATGGTGGCAACTGTGTGATATTTCCTCGGTGCGAGACGCAAAATATAGGGCATGTTATCTGACTCTCATTCGGACCCTAATAAACGTCCTGCTCGGGCATGTTCCCCAATTCCCTCATCTGATCGTTCATGCTTATCAGAACGGCGAGACAGCCCCGAGAAAACTCTTCTCAGCTGCATGATAAATCTCTTTTCCAGCGAGCGGCATGTGTCCGGCCCCCAACCTCTTACCCCTCCCTCGACCATCCTCGGCCGATTTGGGAACAATGCCCTCAGGCTATGAGGAGGGCTCCAATCAGGCTCGGCGTGGCTCATGCACGAATGCTGCAGTTGCCACACGGTCAGCGTCGTCCAGGCGAATCAACAGCCTCCATTAGCCGTCTGTCTGACCAGTCCGCCCACGCCATGGCAGCCTTCTCGACGCCTTTTTTTCCGCATGGCATGCAAACCACCATTGCCTGCACAAGCCAGGACTGCATGTCCCCGCTCCTGATAACCCTCTGCTGCTCGAAATGTGCCTCGTCCGCTGCGGTGCGTCATGACGGAAGCTTGCACTTGCATGCAGAGAGAATGGTTCATGTTGGCCGGACCATCCCTCTCTCGAGTACTTCTACCCTGCTTTCCCCGACTGTCAAGCGCACATACACGCCGGAGCAGCGAGTACCTGAGTACGGCAGAGCTCGAATGCGACCGAGTGACGCCATAAGCCTGCCCTCTCCTCTCAGCCTGACCAGCTGCTTATCCTAGCCCGCGGAAGCCTGGATCGCTCGGTGTGCGCGCCTCCGCCTGATCACCGCACGAACAAACTTCTCAGCGTGCTGTACATTTAGGCCACATTCTTTTCCTGCTCCTGTTGGATCCGCGATACACGTCGTTCTACACGCTGGTAAGAGCCATTCGCAAAGGTGCGCCTCGTTGCGCGCACGCCGATCGTTCACGCTCGCTTATGGCATCTTCCTCTCACTTCGAGGCTGGCTTTTCTGCGCTGGTGATTTTAACCCATCAACTGACGCATCAAGGGGACCGATTAAGCAGTCACTGCAACATTCAAGATGTTGTTTGACTTTCATAGAGCGCATTCCGACTACCATCGGTGGGTAACCGAGGTCTGTGAGCAAAACATAGGCGTCCGAATCTCCCCAGTCGCTTTATTGCCTACCGGATACGTGCCTCTGCAGGAACTGAGAAACTATTGGGATCAAACCGATCTCGTCCGCCCTTTCGCTCTCGGAACGAATGGCAGCATGTTGATGGACGAATCCAACATCATCGGGCATTACCTGAGGATATTTGCTACTCTCGTGTACATATCAACCCCTCAGGATTCCGTGGTTTGGTATCTCGATAACTTTGCCCGCAAAGATCGCACTGATGCCAAATTGCCGTTCCACAAGATTGAGGATCTCGACGACATATTCGGAACCACGGATGCCGCTCAACGAGTAAAGACGCAGTTTTACAAATCGCATTTTCGATTCAGTCCTCAGCAGCTAGCTGAGGGAACAAACCCGATTCTAAATAACACTGAGCTGGCTGGTGAAGTTATCCTACCCTTGAAGCACCGTGGGAAGGTGCAGTCAGGTACCGAATCAGAAGCCGACCTCGAGCTGTTTGAATTTTCATCATCAAGCGGGCTACAAGCCAGGACGGTAAGCACGCATCTTTCCGACGTCGAATCACTTGTACGTGCGCGTCTCCTAATGCTTCGTTCTCAAGACGAATCTAGTTGCGAAGATATACCCTCCCCGCGAGATCGACTTTACTTTTCGCAGCGAGCTAGAGGCATATTCAGCCTTGAAATGGCAAGACAGCACAAAGATCAATTCCGATTACTTTCTACAGTATTACGGTTCATTCGTTCAAGGTACCCGAGGCGTGATATTGCTGGAGTACGCCGACCAAGGGAGCCTGTTGGATTTCTTCAGGAGAGGCCAGCTACCGTATACGCGTGAGGAGATGTTCATGCTCTGGGAGCGTCTCTCCAGTCTGTTTATCGGCCTTGCGCGGATTCACGGTGTCCGGAAACCCAAAGACGTCCGAATCCGAGGCGTCCATCAGGATGTAAAGCCATCCAACATCTTTGTTTTCTCCGATGGAGACGCGACAGAGTTCAGGTTCAAGTTCAAAATCGGCGACTTTGGTCTAAGCAGCTTCGAAAAGACTACCGACACACTCGATCCTTCGTTGCCGGACCATAAGAGTACGAAGGTTTACGGAGCTCCTGAGTTGATGTCGTGGCATGTCGATCTGGACGATCTGGACCTCAGGGTAAACGCGGAGGTTGACATGTGGTCTCTCGGTTGTGTTCTCTTTGAGACGGCTGTTTGGTCCGTTTGTGGAGAGAGGGGTCGAGAAGAATTCCTAAGGCTACGACTGGAGGAAAGGGGGCACCCTGAAGCTCGTGGTCGATTTCACAACGGAGTGGAGAGGCTCAGAGCGCTCGATACGATGACCAACAGGCTTCTTGATCGACGTCGTTGTTACGACAACGTAACAAACTCGCTATGCAAATGGATCTGCGAGAATCTGTTGGTAGGGGATCCAACAAACCGCCTGAATGCTGGCCAGGCCCAATACCGTTTTGAGGAATTGCTGCGGAAGCTCGGAGCGGAAGCCCATCATGATCAGTCGAATTACGAGTTGGCAAGACTGTCTATGCACTCGCCTCACTCGTCTCAATCATACAATTCACCGATTCGAGATACCCTCACAGCCCAACCGACCCCCCCAGGGATCCATCCCACACCAGCATCTCCTCAGCAGTCATCTCCTTCGCCGTACTCTCCCGGTCGAACATCCGTGTACGTGGACCACACCAACAACCAAACTACCACGCAGAGACCCCAGCCAAACCAATATTACACCGCTCCTGGGTCTGTTCCAGTCCAACAAGATAGCATGAATCACCATTATCCTTCTGAGAACGCGACAGGGCTTCCGAGGGCTAGCACTGTTGCTCAGACTGATGCAGTTACTCAGCCACGGCGTCACACTTATACCATTGCCTCGGGCCCAGGTGCCGCTACTCATAACGGCTCTCACTTCACAGTCCTGAACGAGGGAGAAGAGTTGCCGCCAGTGGAATCTCATGCAAGATATCTTGCTCACGATCCCGCAGCCTCAGTTGCAGCAAGTCAAACTGGAGCTGAAGAGCTAGGAACACAACTCAATGCCTTGTCGATCAGTCAACCACAGTCGACGACGCCATCCAATCCAAAGCTGAGCAGGAATACTCCCCAGCGCCAGGGACTGCCGGATATTACGATACAACAATTGCTTGAGTGGAAGGCCAGAAGACGCTCCGGCCAAGAACTACCGGAAGAGTTGGCTGGGATACCAAATGCGCTTTTAGGGAGAGATCAGGTGAATTGCAGCACTTCCGAATTCCCAAAGGCTTCGGACGATGATAGCTAACTCCTTAGACAGGTATTTCTTGTTGATAACTCGAAGAGCATGACAAAGTACTGGCATGAAGTCCAGAATGCCATTGAGGCGCTTGGATGGGTCGTTAAACGAGTAGATCCGGATGGCGTAGAGCTCCGATTCACATCGAAACCAACACAGAAGTTCAAGAGCAAAAGATCGACGGAACTACTCGAGAAGGTCAAGATGAACTCACCCCAAGGCGATACATGCATGATGGAACTGGCTCTCAGCGTGTTGATCGACGATCTTGTGCCCGCGTCAGCCGGTGCGGCGAAAACATCTAGGATCATGAGAGCCCTGAATAAGCCGAAGACGGGGATCAGCATTTACATTCTGACGAATGCAGTATGGAGTGGGAAGAGCGATTATTCCAGCGGACTGGGAGCTCCCGCCGCTAGCCCGGACTCTGGCTCCAAACCAGACATGTGCGGTGTCGACTCGGCGGTTCGAACCCTCATTGACCGAGTACACAAGGGACGCCACAACCGGTCATATGTCACGTTACAATTCATCCGGTTCGGCCACGACTCTGTGGGGAAAAGGCGGCTGTCCTATCTCGACAACGATATATCGGGAGAATGGGACATTGTCGACCGACGGTATCACGAAAGGGGAATGCGTGCGATGATAATAGGGGCCATGAATGAGAACGAATACCCGTCTGACGACAGTGACGCTGAGAACGTCAGCGAAGGGGGCTGACACGCCTCCATCAGGCTTGCCTCAGCAGCAGCTGTCATGCGCAGGAGGAGATGTCAAAACATGTCTGCCATCGTATCGTAATTTGGTATATAGGTCAACCAACGCCAGAGGAAGGGGTTATGTATATAGGAGTGACATCACATGTATATAGATTTGGACATTATGTTTATGGACTCCAGTGGCACCTAACTTCATATTAGCATTTCTAAAATGTAGCTATCGGACTATGGTTCGGGTAGACAATAGAGCCTCGCAAGGCTTGGAAGATTTATTCACCGGTGAGGGCAGCATGGGCGAATTTACGCAACTCAAGGTTGTGATGAAGCCCTAGCGAAAAGCAACGGATGATGTAGGCCAGGTCCTCCATGACATAACGTGCCTGAGTACATGGATGACCTCAGTTGTTTGAGGCTTATGACTATGGTGTATGATTCGGTACTCTTTTGCTGTGATCGGGACGGTTTCGCGACATGTTGTATCAAAGGACACAAGGCATTGACAGTGATAAGTTCAATTGCGAGCGTATAGTACACTATTGGGTATTCTAAAAACGATTCAAAACAAAATTCCAAACGCTATCCCGCGAACCTTCATTCGTACATCGTTCCTTGACTTCTGCCCATGGTGCTGTCGCGCGAGCAGGGACAATGAGCTCATCTCCAGCGTGCAAAAGCAGCAAAGCTCACGAGTCCCATCTCCTTTAAAAGAGCTTCAAAGCTCACAGAGGGAAAAAAAAAAGACTTCTCGTAAGCAAGACAATTTGGTCGCCTGCTCCCTGCTTCCCCTCTGCCCTGTTGTCCTACATTCCGGCATTGGCAGAATTAACAACGCCACCACCACCAGAGAAAGCGCCGGCTATGGGGCCGGTGCGGTTCCTCCTGCGCGACTGATCCCACATGCCGAGCGCCGAGATGACGGCCAGGACGGCAAACTCCTCGCCGAGCTCGCCGGACGCGCCGCTGCCGACAAACTGAATCGCGAACTGCTTGCGCCCGCTCGTGGCGGCCGGGGCGCTCGTCGCCACCGTCTCGCCGGTGCTGCCCCGCACCAGGCGCCGCCCTTGCGTGTCGCTCGCGCCGAGGCCACGGCCGCTGCCGCCGCCCCAGCCCGTCGACCACTCGAACTGCTCGCGCTTGCCGCCGCCGCCGGTCGCGGCCTCAAAGGCGCGGCCGCGCGCCGTGAGGCCCGTGTACTTGACGGTGCGCTCGTCGCCGCCGGGGAGGACGACCGCGGCCCGGAGGTGGAGCGCGTCGGCCTTGTAGGTGGCCATGACGGGGCTCTTGGCGGCGCCGTCGGCCGTGGCGTGCAGGACGACGTCGGCCTTGCCGGACCAGCCGCTGTGGGTGGAGACGGCGTAGAGCGGCTGCTCCTGGTGCGGCCCCAGGTAGAAGGCCCGGCTGAAGGTGCCGCCGCTGTAGAGGTTGACCTCGGGCGGGAACTGCCGCGGGGCGTGAGGGCCGGTGTTGAGGCTGTAGGGCCCGTTGTCTTGGAGGGTGGTGGTGGTGCTGAGAGATGCGATTGAGGTCATGATTGTGGAGGAGCTCTTGGGTCTGCTGGGTTATGATTGTCGGGTGTTGTCTTGCGGTAGCTACTGTACTTGTGCATGCTTGAATGCAGTTGTGAATTTGATGTTCTGAGCGACTTGAGGAGGGCAGTCTTAAATCATATTACGGCCCGCCGGTCAGGCAACGATGGCGTAGCAAATCAAAATCAATTGGCATACACATTTCCGTACATAACTATCGAGAAAGCTTGTGTTGGCGAGTCCGGCTCGTCGGCTCGATGACGTTGTCGAGTGCGGCACAGGCAGATCTTCCGACTGACACTGGAGGGTTCAACAGGGCTCAGACTCCAGTCAAGCAGTCACTGTCACTGGCTCCGGGGCGTTGTGTGGCACAGTGGTAGGGCTGTGCGGATGGGGATGTGGAGGTGCAAGCCACCTGATCTTCGAGATGCTTTCTGGAAGGTTGGCTTGCCGTTTGTGTGCCTGGGTTGGGGCTGGCAGGCAGCTGGCAGAAAGTACAAGTACCTAAACCGAACCCCATCCTGGTCAGGGCTACTGCTACCGTTACAGCGAGAAACGCGGCGTTCTCCGCGCTCAAGGCAAGCGAGGGCTGGTTGAGTTTCAACAACTGCGGAATTGCGGTGGCATTGTCGCAGATCAACAAGTCGCCGATCGCTAATCGAGAGTTTAAGGGCCGTGTCGCAGCGCCAAGCCAAGCCGCCTCAGCCATCCGTTGACCAGATTCCCTCCCAAGCGAGAGACACACAGAGGTCTACAGTCAGAACCTGCATCTGCATCTGCATCTCCATCTACATCTGGACAAGCTCGAGCAGTGCCGAAGGAGGCAGAGTGGGGAGTGCCGCCATATGAGATCCTCGTACTCGAGAGCGTGACCACAAACCCTCTCGCCAGATGGGCTTTTCCCCGACGCTGTTAGCCGCTTCGGGCACTCCAGATCAGGGGTTCGTCACAGATCACCAGGGTTCAGGTGGCAGATCATTTCTCGCCAACACAATAGGGCTGCAACCTGCCTGCCTGCCAGTCTTGGCGGTCAAACAATTACCTGGCTTGCCTAGGAGCCAGGGTGCGCGAGGTGGTCCCTTTGTTGGACCTTCGGCAGTACCCCTGGCTTCCGTCTGGGGTCAGGGTTCCGCACCTCAGCTCAATGCCCTCGACCGATGATGAAAGGAGTGCTCTCGCTTGGTATTTGACCGAGTCATCATCCCTCCGGATATATCATGGCAAGGGCATCTCTTAACATATACCGCATCCGGACAGCAAGCTCTGCGTCAAGAGGTCATGCATCAGGGGCACCCAAAATGACACACCAGACGCCCGCGAGTCGCTGGCGAGACGAAACAGAGTGCCCTGAATCGGCCGGCGCGGAAACTTAGTAGGGTACCTGTCAGTTCACCTCCATCATTGATCGCTCCATTCCACCACCACCTCGTCCTTAGCCTCGAGCGGTCCATTCCCCAAAGCGGTAATTTTCCTGCCGGACTCCAGACCTGTCAAGCACAAACAGGAGGCGAATGGTGGAGAAGCTCGAGATAGCTCCCCCTTGGTGCATCGCTAGACCACTTCAAAGGCAAACTCTGCTGGATATCATTTCCATGCTTGCCAATGACAATGCGGACTGCCATGTGATGGCCTTGTCAAAAGACAAAAGCCCTTATCCACACATCCATCCACAGCGGTCCGTTCCCCGACTGCAGACAGGAAGAACCTCGAGGCCCAACCTCGCCCCCTGGACCTTGCTCTACGATCGCGATACAGGCGTGTTTTAATGTTTGATTGACTTTCGAGAAGCCCCACGCCAGATGGAGGGCCACTTGCCGACGTCTGCTCGTGTGGGTGTGGTGCGTGCTCCTTTTTCTTTTTTAAAGGCCGGCCAAGATAGGTAGGCCTTTTTCCCTTCTTTTCTATCTGGGGTTTTCCGTGCGGCGGCCCTACATATGATACTTATATCTCGCTGAGGAATGGGGCCTTGTCTCGCTTCTTGTGGGGTCTGGCATCGACAGCTCGACATCTGGTGGCGCATCACGGCTGTCGCTGACTCGCACTCCCGCGGTTATCTAGCACTTTTTGCCCATAGGCCTCTTTTTTGACTTTTTTTGCGTCTGTTCTTGTCCCTCGGGTTCACGCCCCAGCTGAGACCTTGACGTGATTCCCATTCTTTCGGCCGGTTCAAAACCACACCCAAAGCCCGCATCCCGAGCCCATCCTTGGCACTCGTGTTCCAACATACCACACAGCTACCACCCCTCGTACCGGATCTGATGTGATTTTCTTCGGTGCGGATTTATCGACAGAAAAAAAAGGCTCGCCTCCGGTATTTTTTAAAGGATATATTTGGGCCGAACATACGTTTCCGAGAGCGGCAGCTCTTTTCTCTTCGACATAATGACGACGCAGAGGGTGCTTGGCCCGATCGCGGTCGAGCCGGCGGAGAGGCATATTGAAGTGGTACGGGCACCGGTCATCTTCGGCACTATGTGAATGCCAACCATGCTGACCCTTACCCCCCAGGACGGAGCTGATTGGGACTCGGCATATGCGCTGTCGTATGTGCTACCCTCCCGCATGCATGCCGTGCCCTCGTGCTTGCTAACACGCTGTCTCAGCATGGCGCCGACAGATACGACATCCCTAAAGTCGTCCATCATGCACTACAAATGGGAGCACGGGAGGAGGTATCATGCCTTCGGTGCCGGGCTGTATTGGTATGTCAAGGAAGGGTACCTTCTCTTCTGGGGCAGCCGGCCGACTAACCTGTCGCCTCGTAGCGTTCCCAACGATGCCAAGCAGCAAGAGGCCGAGGATCTCGTGTGAGTCTGACTTCACCGCCCACCCACCGTCGGCCTGCCGTGCGAGGATGAAGCTGATAGCAGCTCTAGCCATGAGATGTACCGCATAATCTTGAACGACAGGTTATACCTAGCACCGCTACCGGAAAATCCGCAAAAGATCCTCGATCTAGGCTGCGGCACCGGCATCTGGGTCATGTAAGCTCTTCCCGCCTGCCTGCCCGCCGTCGAAGGGGCACATCTTTTTTCGCGCCCGAGAGAGACCTACCTCTCTCCCTCACTCCCTCACTCCCCGTCACAGAAGGAGTACTGACAGGCTACTCCCCAGCGACCTGGCCGACCAGCACCCCTCGGCCGAGGTCATCGGCGTCGACATCTCGCCCATCCAGCCCTCGTACATCCCGCCCAACTGCCGGTTCGAGATCGACGACATCAACCGCGACTGGACCTACCCGGAGGACGCCTTCGACCTCGTGCACGCGCGCGCCCTCGTCGGCTGCGTGCCCGACTGGGCCGAGCTCGACCGGCGCGTGCTGCGCCACCTGCGGCCCGGCGGCTGGCTCGAGCACGTCGAGCTGTCGGTGCACATCCGCTGCGACGACAACAGCCTTCCCGCCGGGTCGTCTCTGGCGCAGTGGGGCGGGCTCATGGCGCAGGTGTACCGCAAGATCGGCAGGTCGGCCGAGGCGTGCGAGGTGGCGATGCGGGCGGCCGAGGAGGCCGGGTTCGCGTGCGTGCGGGAGCACAGGGTGAAAGTGCCCATCGGTATGTGGCCCAAGCACACGGACCTGAAGCAGTGGGGCGCCTGGAACAGGGCGTTCATGCTGCAGGGGCTGGAGGGGTTCGCGCTCAGGGGCCTGACGACGATACTCGGGGTGAGTTTTCTTTCCCGATGACAGATTTGGGGTGTGCCGCTCTGCTATGTGCGATCTGGTTTTTTTTATTATTTCTTTTTGCTGACTTTGTGACTTTTTTACGGCAGTGGTCGTATGAGCAGGCGCAGATGTACCTAATGGGCGTGAGGAATGACCTCAACGATCCTAATATCCATGCATATGTTGAGATGTAAGTGTCGACTCGAGATGCCTGCGCCAACGAGGGGACGCCACCGAATGCTGACTCTAGAGACTAGGTGTGTCGTTAATGGGCAGAAGCCGTTTTAAACGTCGGCAGAGGCACTGGGTGGAATTACTCCTTTTGGCATTCATCAAAGGTTTCTCGTTCAAAGCATTAGCATTGGTTGGCGCATTGGAATCCGGCGTTGGAGGCCCTCTCTTTGTAAGTACTGTGCATACGCCGTGGGCTGTAGACTGGGGCCGCGAGGGCCATATTATAATCAGTATATATCACAAAAGCTGTTGCAGGAGATACTTGTCTAGTACATACATACACTCGACGAAATCAATCATGTCTAATAGTATGCTGATACCGTTTACACTGCCATGCTCTGAAATAATCTCATGTTGAAGATGCACGATGACTCCCGCGCCTGTTTAAACCCACACTTGTAATTGAGATGGAAACAATCCTGTATTCCTAGGTACTTATGATTTGTGGCAGAATGTGGTTGAGCGTTGTTCACTTGCAAAGATGGTGTGCCGCGGTTGACGTCAATTGGAGCGATGTGGCAAGGATGTCTACGTGCGGCTTCTCACCGGGGGGGCTGATTGGCCACTGGATCAATGAGCACGACAATCGCGAGCAGGCATCTTGTTGAGCCTCAATGCACTTCAGGAAGAACTTGCTTTTCGTCGAATCCCGTGGATTTTCTCTTCGGGAGAGATATTGCAGGTGCCTAATGGAGAGCTTGAAATGCGAGACCTCCAGGTTGCTGGCATAATCTAAGGAGGGTCCAATTGAGTACCGGATCATATCCAGTCCTTACCTTGGGCAGATTGATTAAGTGTTTATTTTATTTTTGTTTTCTTCGTTTCTCTTTTTTCTTCTTTTCTCTTTCTTTTATGATGACTTGTGCTCCCATTACCAGACGTCGCCGAAAGACGCCATATTATTTGATTCTCCACGCCATCCCATCCTTGATGGCGTGCTCCGATGGTAGGGCCAGCTCACCGTTTCACTACTCCGGCAAGATCGTTCTAGGCTGCACATAAAGAAGGAAACCGCATCTTTGAGGATGCGATTCTCGGTCAAGCATGAGTCAGGGTCGTCCCTCTCTCCCTCTCGTTGTTGATGATAGTGTGGGCTTCCTGCTCTGGAATCTAGATATCCCGCCTGCTTCCCTTGTTCTGCCCAACCTATCCATTCTCCCATCATCTCTTGGCCATATAGAACTTTAGACACCATATACCAGCCCTATCACTCAAAGTCTCTTATTTTGCATATTGTTACGGAACTTCAGATTTATAAGAGCCTCTCTTTTCTCAAGGAACATTCCCTCTCGACAAGACAGACACTTTTGCTCTCATCATGTGTAGCAGGTTGGGAGCGCCGCCACCGTATGCCGAGTCCAGAGAGGTGTCTAGCAATTCATCAAAAAATTTCGTCGTCTCGCCTTATACAGATGGCGAGCACTGCATCGATCTCTCCGCTCTCGACCCTGAAGGCCGCCTCCTCACCGAGTCACTCACCAAGTTCAACCCCCTGAGGGCGGACTACGCCACCGCCCCGTACCGCGATACGTTCAACTGGGGCGAGATCATGGCCGACCTCAAGACCCGTGCCAAAGAGCAAGACTACCTATGGCGTGAGACGTCTTTCTACATCGTCGTCTTCCGGTCACGCATCCCGCCCACCACCGATTACGGCAGGCTCGGCGAGATGGACAAGGCGGCGCATGCCGAAGCCATGGTAGAAGGGGGCTTGTTAAAGTGAGTCACGCACACTGCAGATTCACGACACTAGAGGCACAGCTTGAGATCATATTGGCGATCTTGCTGACAGCCATCCCACAAGGTACTGGTTCGGTTCGCCAGACCGGTATGGACGCAACTTGGCGACCTGCGTTTGGAGGAGCCGGGCGCACTCGCTCATTGCGGGAACAGGGCCGGAACATGCCAAAGCCGTCCAAGCCACAAGAGCCATGTACTCTGAGTGGGGGATCGAGAGGTACAGCCTGGTGATCAGCGATAGGATCGCGAGCTGGGAGATTCGGGACTGGACGAAGGAGCATGATTGAAGCCCAGGGCGGACTGTTTGGTTATTTTATGAGCGTGCTCTTGGCGAAAAAGCGTTATTGGATTTAGAGTTAGTATTTTCCGGGGTCAGGTGTGAACTACTATTAGAATGAAAAGATATTACAACGTATTCCCATTCTGATGCTGGTGGTTCTGCTGTCGTCTCTGGGTTTTGGCGGGGCCCGCTCGATGTGCCCACCCACAGAGAACATTGAAACCTCGCCAAGGATCCTTTTCTGCCACAATTCTCCGCCTTCAGCCCACAATCCCACAAACCAAATCTGCAAAACTTCGATTTCGACGCCATCGCGACGAGAGAAGACGGTTTACCCCACGTCACCCGCACATCCCGGCCAGCTACGACTCCCGTTCTCATCGGCATCCGACTGCTCGACCGGCTCGCAATCATGGCGGATCACCTCAAAGACTCACCCTTCAAGGCGGTGCAGGTGGAGGCGTTGGTACGTGTTTTCCCACGAGGGCTGCCCTTGCCCCACCCCTCATTGGGCGACAAAGGCCTGTGTACTGACATGAGGTTGTGTCGCCGTATAGGTTGTCATGAAGATCGCCAAGCACTGCGCATCGGCCTTCCCTTCGTCTGCCAGCGGATCCATCGTCGGTCTCGACACTGACGGCCTGCTCGAAGTCTCCAACACCTTCCCCTTCCCCAGCGTCGACGTCGCCAACTTCGACGGCCACCAGAACGATGCCTCGGCCCTCGCCGCCGCGGCGCCTCGCCAAAAGTCCAACATGGCGTACCAGAACGAGATGATCAGGCACCTTAAGGAGGTCAACGTCGACGCCAACAATGTCGGTTTCTACACGAGCGCCACCATGGGCAACTTTATCAACCTCAGCTTCATCGAGAACCTGCACCACTACCAGCAGGCCAGCCCTGTCACCGTTGCCCTCGTGCACGATCCCAGCCGCAGCTCCCAGGGCAGCCTGAGCCTTCGCGCCTTCCGCCTTACCCAGACCTTTGTGGCGGCCTACAAGGAGGGCAAGTTCACGACCGAGAGGTACGCATACCATACCAGTCCCCGCAGCGCATGATTTTTTGCGGTTCACATCTCGGCATGGCATGGCTAGATACTAACATTACCTTCGCCACAGCCTTCAAAAGTCCAAGCTCACCTTCAAGGATATTCTCCTTGAGCTGCCCGTGACGGTGCACAACTCGCACCTGCTCACGACCTTCCTCCACCAGATCCCCGCTCCTCCCCCCGACCACCCCGAGGTCGACCTGCCGGCCGCGCTCTCAGACATCCAGAGGGATAACATCCAGATCCCGCCCTACCCCTCATTAGACTCGCTGGATCTCTCGATCGACCCCTTCCTCGAGAAGACGTGCGACCTGCTGCTCGACAGCATCGAGTCGCACTACTCGGACCTGAACAACCACCAGTACTACCAGAGGTCGCTGGGCCGCGAGCAGCAGAAGATCACGGCGTGGCAGACGAAGCGCAAGGCGGAGAACGCGGCCCGCGCCGCCGCCAAGCAGGAGCCGCTGCCCGAGGACGAGTGGCAGAAGCTGTTCAAGCTGCCGCAGGAGCCCAGCCGGCTGGAGGGCATGCTCAACGCCAGGCAGGTGGAGCAGTACAGCCGGCAGGTGGACGGCTTCACGGCCAACGTCAGTGCCAAGATGTTTGCCGTCAGGGGAAACCTGGTCCCTGAGTAGAGTCAAGTGCTATCTTGATCTGGTGGAAAGGGGGGTGGTCTGAAAAAAGAGAATCGGTTCTTAGAGTGCAAGGCAGGCTGTTCGGGCTCCGCGAAGAAAGTGAGCTCGTCCTGTCAAGTATCTGCGTGCATCGGGCTTGGCGTTCAAAGGAACAAAAAGAGATATCAAGGGGAAGCATCAGAGAGAGCCGGTCGACGACAAAGTTACACGCTACCACTGCCGTCTCGAGCGATCTTCGTTCGGCGCGTACGTTTGAGGAACTTACCAGCCTCGCCTGCCTGTATGAAATGATATGCAAGGGGCCAATTTGGCGAGGAGCTGAGAGACTTGGACCGTGTCTTAGTCTTACCAGCTCCTTGCCTAGGGGACTCAGTCTAGGTAAAGGCTAATGACAAGACAGCAGTGCATTGACTGCAGTTTGGGGGAAGACTTTTTCTTGGTTCTATAGCAATAGACGTAGATACCTGAAAATCCTCACCTACAAACGAGACATTTGCCCATGCGCAACTACACGTGTTTGTTCAATATGTTCCTACTCTGTTCTCGGTGGCCGACAACCGATCCTTTTCGCCAAGTTACGGATACCTGCTCAACCTATCTGCGTCTCCATCGGGCCCCTCGTGCTAAGACAGCCGCTTATGCAGACCGTCGAGAATGGTTGGGATGCCAGAAACACGGCAATTGCATTTGCGCCTGTGTTTGGCGGGCAGAGACAGGGTGCTGAGGCGGGACCAAGTCCCCCTGCGAGCCTCTGGACAGGGATGATACAGAGGGGTCCTCCCCAAAGCAGTTTAGTGAGGGGTGGACCGGGGTTTTCTCCCCGTCTGTACAGATCAATCTCACCGACAAAACTGTTTGAGCAATGCCTGATGCCTACTGCTGATGTTCTGTTCTGAGTGCTGTTGTTGCCCCACCATTCACCAAATTCCTATGCCAATCCCCCCCCATCAAGCCGACTGGATGGATGCGAGATTGAAGCGAGGAGCTCTTTGGGGCAGGAGGCGGCGGGCGGGAGAGAGACAAGTCGAGCGCCAATCCAGGGGACTTTTGATTTTCCCCTTGCTAACAGCTGAGCATCCCAGAGCTAGCGAGGTACCTCGAGCTGTGATGCTGCGTGGCCATATGCTGCTGGCTGAGACAGAGAAACACCCTCCCAAGATGTAGGTACCTTACCTTGCCTTTGTTTGTATCTCCGGCATTACAAGAATGAAGTCGAGGTAGGTGGTTTGCTGACCGGGCCAGCTGTAAATGCCTGCATCCATGCAACTCTTGTCGTCTGTGGATGAATTGATTGATTGATTGGAAACCCGCCGCATCAGCCCCTCGTCCCGTTTGTTGCCGTATTCCCTTCATGTGCATGTGCATGTGTGTGTGTGCGTGTGTCTGGTGTGTCCCGAGTGGTAGGTACATTCTCCATCCCATGCCCATGCCCATCCATGCCTGTAGTTAAGGTAGTTAGTTACCTATCCCTCCAGTCCCTCCAGTCCCTCCTCGCCTCCTCCTGTGTGTCCGTCCTCCCTTTCTCCTCCTTCCTGCAGCTTATCTTAGTCTATCAGCCCGGCCATTTTCTGGAACAATACTGCCACCTTTTCTTCTCCCTCCCTCACAAAAACTCCCCTCTCCTCTTTCCTCATTCCAATCTCTCTCTTCCCATTCTTCTCTTTCTCCCATACACCTCTCCTGCTACCCTCATCCAAACGTACGTATACCCATCTGTACCCAGTTTCGGTGACGACCTTCTTGTCCCGGGAGCAGAAAGCCCGCGATTGATTGTACTGGTGTCAGCGTGGAGCTGAGCTCAAGCTGCCCGTCAGACAACCGTGTTGCCCCGCTACCCGCCGAGATTTTCTCACTACCGCCCATCAAGGTCTGTTGCTAACAGATCCAAACATGCAGTCCCTCTCCCTTCTTCAATCCCTTCAGATTAGACGAGCATCATCCCAGGTAAGCAATCTCGCCTCTGTTGGACACGCACCGATCAACCAATCGATGTCTCCAAGCACATGATAATAACCAAAAAGAATCTTGGCTGACCTTGTTTACCCCTCCCAGTAGCCAGAATGTCTGCTCCCGCCCACAAGTTCAAGGTCGCCGACCTGTCCCTCGCCGCCTTCGGCCGCAAGGAGATTGAGCTCGCCGAGAACGAGATGCCCGGTCTCATGGCCACCCGTGCCAAGTACGCCGAGGACCAGCCCCTCAAGGGCGCCCGCATTGCCGGCTGCCTGCACATGACCATCCAGACCGCCGTCCTCATCGAGACGCTGACCGCTCTCGGTGCCGAGGTCACCTGGACTTCCTGCAACATCTTCTCCACCCAGGACCACGCCGCCGCTGCCATTGCCGCTGCCGGCGTCCCCGTCTTTGCCTGGAAGGGCGAGACCGAGGAGGAGTACAACTGGTGCCTGGAGCAGCAGCTCGTCGCCTTCAAGGACGGCAAGAGCCTGAACCTCATCCTCGACGACGGCGGTGACCTGACCTCCCTCGTCCACAAGAAGTACCCCGAGATGCTCAAGGGCTGCTACGGTGTCTCCGAGGAGACCACCACCGGTGTCCACCACCTGTACCGCATGGTCAAGGACGGCTCCCTGCTCGTCCCCGCCATCAACGTCAACGACTCCGTCACCAAGTCCAAGTTCGACAACCTGTACGGCTGCCGTGAGTCCCTCATTGACGGTATCAAGCGTGCCACCGACGTCATGATTGCCGGCAAGATCGCCGTCGTTGCCGGCTTCGGCGATGTCGGCAAGGGCTGCGCCATGGCCCTGCACGGCATGGGTGCCCGTGTCCTCGTCACCGAGATCGACCCCATCAACGCCCTCCAGGCCGCCATGGCCGGCTTCCAGGTCACCACCATGGAGAAGGCCTGCAAGGTCGGTCAGATCTTCGTCACGACCACTGGCTGCCGTGACATCCTGACTGCCGCTCACTTCCCCGAGATGCCCAACGATGCCATCGTTTGCAGTAAGTTTTTGACAAATTCTATGTTGAGGCATTTCTGCTGTTCGGATTCTTGCTGACACCCATCTCTTTTTTTCATAGACATTGGCCACTTCGACATTGAGATCGACGTTGCCTGGCTCAAGGCCAACGCCAAGTCGGTCCAGAACATCAAGCCCCAGGTCGACCGCTTCCTGATGCCCAGCGGCCGCCACATCATCCTCCTGGCAGAGGGTCGCCTGGTCAACCTTGGCTGTGCCACTGGCCACTCCTCCTTCGTCATGTCCTGCTCCTTCACCAACCAGGTCCTGGCCCAGATCCAGCTTTTCAACAACGAGAACGCTGCCTTCACCAAGAAGCACATTGAGTTTGCCCGCGACGGCAAGCTCGAGCGCCAGGTCTACGTCCTGCCCAAGATCCTCGACGAGGAGGTCGCCAAGCTCCACCTTGCCCACTGCAACGTCGAGCTCTCGGTCCTCTCCAAGGTCCAGGCCGACTACCTCGGCCTGCCCGTCGAGGGTCCCTTCAAGAGCGACCACTACCGCTACTAAGCTGCCCCATTTGCATATAATGTCATAGAAAGAAAGGGGGGAAATCCGGGAGAGCAAATGTTTTCAACACAGCATGACCTGCGCATGAGGGCAAAATATCTATGGGTTTCTTTCGGCGGAAGGAAGGGGGGGGTATTTCGGCAACCAGACTTCTTTTTTCAACAAAAGCACCGGCGTTGGCTCAACACACAGAGAGTTGCATGATATCCCCATAGCAGGACAAAAATGGCGTTTTCTATTTTTGATTTTTTTTTCTTTTGTTTTAACATTACAAACGACAAATCCAAAGTCCTCGTCGAGGGACTAATGAGCAGAGGGGTATGTATGGTGGTGGGCGTTGAGAAAACAATGTCCCCAACTTGCGCCCCCTCGTCATGAACATGGAGCTTTAAACAAGCTACCTACCTCTTATGGGAAGTGCAGAGCGAGAGAGAGAGAGAGAGAGAGAGAGCAGGAGAGGAATCAAAGTGCCCGTCAACCGGGCCGTGCCTAGCTAGTTAGGTTTTACACCTTTTGAAACAGGACACAACAACACAAGTTGTGCTCTTGAAATGAAATGGTCAAGAGGATCTTAAGGGGGCTGCATTTGCCCGGGCTACCCAAGTCATCGTGTATGCACATTGTGCCTCAGTGAGAGTGATGTGTATGATGGATTGGCATGAGCGGATGGACTGGCTGAGTATGAAGGCTGTCGTGGTGGTTACCCAGGTAAAATAAGTACCCTGGTTCGGCTTTGCTCTCGGTGATGGGATGGGTGCTCGAGGCTGGCAAAGAAGTGCCATGACTACTGTGGAATCAACGACTTTGTCACACGGTTCTTCCTCTCGCGAGACCCTACGTATCACCTTTGATGGCAATGGCAGGAAGACAGGCAGTCATCAATCACACACAAAAGACAAAAAGAGGCCGACAAGTTTGTAATGGCAATGAACGGCTGCCATAGCCCTTCTCCTTCACCACGCCGGGGCGTGGGGAATTCTCTCTTTTTCCCCACTTTATTAATATATAGTATGCCTTTTGTCGCAGCTCGCGCATCGTGCTGCCTCGAGGTCTGTTTATCATGTCCTTCGAAGGATGATACCGAGGGGAAGGAGGATACAGGGCCCAAAGGCTTGCAACGAGAGGCCACTGCATGTTGGTTGTCCCGCAATCTGGGCCAACACCAACATATCCATCCACACTTCCTTCTTCCATTCGTTCTTTCAATATACACAAGCACACTGGAGAAACCGAACCGCCTTTTCTTTTTCAAAGTAACTCTCCCACTTTCTCTCTCTCTCTCTCTCTCTCGTTCAATTTTGGTTTTTGGAAAAGAACCCTGAATCCCGCCCGCCCTTTTTGGAACCGATTGTTTTAAATCCCAGATCAGAAGGATTAAAAGAAAAAGTGACACAAGACGCCGATATGACTATAGCAAGGAAACAAAGTATCCGAACACCAATGGGCTGGTGTCGTTTCGCTCGAGAGAAGAACACAAAGTCTATATCGACATAGGGGAGAAAAAGGTAGTGAGCAACGACAAGGCAGTAAGACAAGAAGGCTGCAAAACTAGTATTGGTACAGAAATAGGGGCCCCGGCTTGATCGATTTTTGGAAGACAAGATATCAAAAATCAAGCCCGTCGGGCATTGGCGCCAGGCGAGATGAACGCCTTGGCCGCCAGCTCGGCAAACCGTCGCACGACATTGGTCGTGCCGCCGCTGACCAAAGCCTCGGTGCGGATAAACTGGGCCGCGACGGCGAGTTTGCTGCGCGGGTCCGTCTCGTCCAGGTGCTTGGGCAGCGTCGCCTCGTAGCCTGGCGGGAACTGGGGCGAGAGCTCTCTCAGGATGACCATCGAGTAAAGGATATCGCGGTTCTCCCTGCCGTCCAGCAGGTTCCGCAGGCGGGCAAGTGCCTGCTCGCGCTGAGGTGCGAGGTTGCTCTGCGGAGTGTCCTGTAGGCGCAAGTACTCGCCAAGCCAATGCCAGAACTCGTACTCGCGAATGCGCAGCGGATCGCCCGTCTTGGGTGGTGGCATGCAGGGGTTGCGCACGAGGAGACCGCCCGACAGGAGTGTCTCGAAGACAGCAACGCGATTCCGTGTCTCGGTCGCGTCGTTGGTGGGCAGGGGCTCATCCTTGGGCGGATTGATGGCGGCGGGGATGGTATAGACAAGGGTAGCGAGGGCCCAGACAATGCGGGTCTCGAGATGGCCCGTCATGACCATCTCTGATGGGTCGTTGGACTTGATGCTGGCGAGCGAGTCGAGGAAAGAAGTGAGGAGGTCCATTAGAGTTTTGTTATTATGCAGTATGCTGATGGGGTTTGGGCCCTGGGGAGTGAAGTTGAACCAGGTCGTCTCGAAGAACTCCTTGAGGCCCGTCATATAGATGTCGTAGTAGATATTGGTGATTTCGTCCAGCTTCTCCCGAGTGGGCGGGGCGGCCGGCGGTGGGGGTGCCGGCCCTCCCAGGGCGATAAGCTCATCGACCTTCATATCCTTTGCTGGAGCACTTGAGTAAGTCAATGGTGACTCTTGAGATTGGAGGACGGTAGAGGGTGCGCCACCTTTAGGTTGGCCGTAATCTAGTGGTCTCAAGGGATCGTGCAGTGGCAGCCTAGCCGTGCCCTCAAGCGCCGGGTCGATCGCGGGAGGGTATTCGAAGCCTTCTTGCTTTGCGGTAGGCGGGGCAGAGGAGAGGGCGGGGTCGTAGGAGAGCTGGCCCTGGGGTGTTGAGGACGTGTGGTATGAGCTCGCCAGCACGGGCGCCTGGTGATGTGCGTAAGGATTTGGAGGAGGAGCTGAGGAAGGGACTGTCGGCGCAGCTGCAAGTGTCGTCGGAGCCGGAGGCTGTTGTTGAGTGCTGCCGAGAGCGGGCTGGATGGTGGGGAGGGGCCCTTGCTGTTGCTTGAAAATGGGATCGTAGCCGGCGCAGTCTCGCTTGGACTTCTTGCAATTGTTGCAGGTCGGATGCGTCTCGTCACACTGTTTGGCGGGTTGAATCGGTCAGAGGCGTGAACGTGCGTATGATCGTTCTCAAGACAAGCAGACACACGAACAGGACAGGAGAAGCGGTGACGTTTGGGCTGAGGGCAAGGCAACCAAACAGAAAAGCCCGAGACTGGCAGGGAGCCGGGGGGGAATAAGCGAACGCTAACAGGTTCTGGCTCCTGTTGCTTGAGCAGGAAGTTTGGGTGGTGGTGGTGGTGTGTGGTGCAAGGTATGGAGGGGGGAAAAGGTGGATTGTGGTGGAGGAGAAAGATGGGATGGAATTTGGAGTAACGGCGTAAAATGGCTGGCTCGCTTGCTGGCGTAGCTCCATCTATCGGCCCTTGAAGCGAGCGATGCGGAAGCGATGACAAGCGAGGTGGGCATAATCGACCGGCTCGAGAGCCAGCGAGTGATAGATCTCTCGCATAATTTGACTACACTTGAATCTCCCCCGGTGGATTGCTATTCCATTCCACTTTTTTTTTTCTGTTTGGTTGCAACTGCTGCCCGGCGTATAAAGATGCAGCGAGTGAAGGCATTGCGAATTGTAGGGTCTTTGCAAGCATGCCCGTGTACGGTTGAGGGTGATTTTTGCCATGTCCAGTTCAAACATGTGTGAAGAGGCAGGGAGAAACAGCGGAGAATGAAGAAGACAAGGACAGAAAGGAAGAATCGGTAACATACCTTTATCCTGCGTTTTCTGCAAGTTAAGCAACCCGTTTTCGTTCGCCGCTTGATCTCCTAAAAAAGCCCAGGCAAAGCCACAGTCAGTCCAAAGGTTCCAAACCAGGGAAGCATCTCGGTCCATCCGCAGCCTCAAGTGTACCTTTTTATGACGGCCTCCACTGAGAGTAACGCGGGGATCGTGTCCGAACGGAGGCGGCATGGCGAATCGCATGTCGTGGTGCATGCCGTAGCCAGGCATCGGGTAGTAGCCCATCGGTCCGCCAGTCGAACCTATCGTCGGGGGAATGGGAACTGGTATCCCCTGTTGAGCCTGCTGTTGCTGGAGGGGATCGATGCTGCGCATGCTAGGAAGAGACATAGCAGGATTTACCCCAGGGGCAGGAGAGGTTCTGTACAGGTCTCCGCCTGGCTGACCCGGTTGAGGTGGTCCATAACCAAACTGTGCCGGGTTCATGATGGGAGGGGAGTATGAGGTCGGATTTGAGTAGCCCGAGTTCTGGCGAGGCAGGCCGTGGGGTTGGTGAGGGTTGGACATGGAGGGCGAGGACGCAGAGGACAGAAGTCCCCCGTTTGTGACGGCCGCGTGATTTTGGTCGTATCCGTTGGTGGCGGCCTCGGTAGCAGGTGATTGCTGCTGCTGTTGTTGGTAGAGGGTCGGGTCGAGGGTGGAAGAGGGAGCAGCGTCGGTGCTGCCTTCTCGAAGGACGGGCACCGAGTAGGATGCAGAGGCGTCTGTGGGATGCCGAGTGTGGTTGTGTTCGACACCATTCGTAGAGACAGCCGCGTCGTCTGTAGATGGAGGTGGCAGCAGGGAAGAGGTAGGAGTAGGAGCCACGGGGTTTTGAGCTGCGCCCGCATCCACGACAGCAGGAGTACCAGGACCACCAGCAGCGGCAGCAGCAGCAGCGCCCTCAGCACTCCCGTTCAGGGTAACAGGAAGAACAGGAGTGGCAGCAGGAGCAGCATTGGCATTGGTGGTAACGGCAGCGGGACCAGCAGCTTCAGAGCCGGTGGTGGTGGCAGCAGGAGCAGTATTATCTTCCGGCCCCTGGTCTGCAAGAGGCTCGCTTGGCGGATGTGGCTGCTGGCGGCCCTCCTTGGGCGGTCCAGAGGCCTGGAGAGGCGGTTGTGCCATTCTGGTGTTTTAATTTGGGATTTTTATGGAGCCACGATTCTCAACAAGGGGAGCGAGAAAAATGGGAAGAGGCTTTGGGGTGGAAAAACGACCAGGGGATGGGATAGGACGCGCGCGACCGTGGGCCGGGTTTCCTCTGGTATGGATTTGGGGTCAGGGGTGGGCGTAGGCATAGGCGCGGGCATAACTAGGCCTACTCCGTACGTCCAAGCAGGCGATGTGGTAGCAGGCTATCCAACAACAGAGACAGCAGGACCAGGAGGAGCAGGAGGAGTAACAGCAGCAGCAGGAGGGTGAGGTGAGGGTGAGGCGTGAACGAGAGTCGGAGGGGGGTGTGCGTGAGGACGAGAGGGCGTCCGTGGTGGTTCGTTGTTCTCTGGCGGACAGCTGGTGTGGCTGCCCCGGGAGCGAATCATGAGGCAATCGATCGATCAATCAATCCGTCGGTCAATTGATTCGGGCCCTTCCTCTCTGCGCGGTGGTTCGTGCTGGCTGGTACTGGCTGGCGCTGGGCTGCTGGATGTTGTTGTTCTGCCTGCGTGTGGTGGCCCTGCAGATTCTCTGTCGAGATGTAATTTGTCGCGGTTCAAAATGGAGACTAGTTCGGCCGGGCTGGGCTGGGTTTTGGTGGTAAGCGATGCGGGTAGGTACGAAGTAGCTCTTTCCTGACAGGGTTACCTGCAAGGCCAATGCAGAGCTTGGGCGGTTTGTTCACTAGCGCTAGCGTGCTTTCCCACTCTCACTCTCTCTTGGGCAAGTCTCTCATGATTACTGTATTTGTACCTACTTTTACTTGCTTTTCTACCTTTCTCTTTTGCCCGCTTATTACGGAGTACCTTACGGAGTACGTTCAGGCCGGCCCGGTGCTCTGTTTCTTTGTCCTCATTTTACAAGGCCTTGGAGTTACGTACAAGTACAGGCAGGGGGTGTGGAATATTCTTCCAGAGGACATGGCTGAACCGGGGGCGTGGGCAAGGAACAGAGCGGCCACGACCAGGGGGTGCGTTTGGACAGAGACCCGGCCGAGAGAAGGCTAGAAATGAACAGAAGACGAGAGGAGAGAGAGAGGAGAGAGAGAGGAGAGAGAGAGGAGAGAGAGAGGAGAGAGAGGATACAACTAAAAAAGAGTCAGGTCGGGGCGGAAATCAAGGATATCCTGACTAGACTGGCTGGTGAGTCTCGACTCTGGATAGGGGCAAACAACCCCAGCTCGAACCTAGTCTCGAGGTTATTTTGTCCATCATCGCGGCGGGCACAATTCGAGATATGCCGTCATGGTTCGCATGGCGTTGTGCTATGCTGTGTGCTCTGTGCACTGCGGTGCTCATTCCACGGATGGCCACTGGCTGCTCGGAGCGGCGCTGAAAGTTTAAGTTGGAAGGGCGGCAGGTCTCACAAACAATCCATCATCAGGGGTGAGGGAAGGGAGTGTACAGTACCCTCTTTTTGGCCCTCTCGCCATGCCATGCTATCCTCGATTTGACCTCTCCAATCTCCAAACCAAGCCGGTGGAAGCAAATTCGCGCGATCACTGATCCATCCGTGATCCGCCCGACCAATCCCCTGCGAGGAGGACCCCCCCTTCTAAACCCAGCGCAGAACAGCGCGGCCGTCCGTGCCAACCTCCGCTGGAGCATCATCCCAGCAGGGCCCTGTGGGCTAGCGTCAGCGGTCACGACGGGGACGAATCCGCCAGCCTCTGACTGGTCGACACGACCCAAGAGAACACCAAGCGTGGAACTTTGACAGGCCGTGACAAGACAAGCTTCATCTTGTTGTCCACTCACCATCTCGCATGCTTTTTTTGCGCCGCCTGGGCGGGTGGACGACGTGCGCGTGAGCACAAGGGATCACCGTACCGTACCCCTTTTTTTGGGAGAAAGCCGGCACGTCGAGCAAGCGCAGAGTGTCTCTGAATGTCTTGGATTCACGTACGGTCTGGTCAGGTGGCTGGGACCTGAACCGGGGATCTAAGGCTCATCTTGGCTGCGCGGCTGCTGGAAAGAGCACGATACGATGCCTGGCAGTCAACCAATACCTACGGGGAGGTGGGTCGAGGGAAAAGGAGCACATTCGCTACAACCACGCCCATGAGGCCCAGCCAGGAACACAAAGAGCCAGGAACCGGTACAAGTAGACGTACAGAGTACAAGTTAGACTGAGGTACGCTGTTCCTGGAAAATAGATAAGGGGATCACATCACAGCAGCAGGCGGACAACAGGCTGTTTGGACGCGGCGACCGGGGGGGCCACAGCCCGTCCCAAGATTGCCCTCAGGGTTGCATTTCTGACCCTTCCCAGTCAATTCCTCTGTGGCTCGACTGCAAATACCACCTTACGTATTTGTGCAGCTGCACCGATCCCCTGTAGCGAAGCTGGCGAGAGAAACCCTGGAACATAAAAAGAGGCTACAGCTAACAGCCTCAGGGACAGGCTGGGTGCCTATGTGCACCCCATATATTCGCAGTGTCGCATCAAGGCTCGACTACATACACTTATCCATACGATGACCAGCCACAGTGGTATTTGGAATAAATCTTGGAATAAAGTCTGAAGACTTTAAGAGGCATACAGGCAGTCTTGGATCAAAGCAGGGCTCGGTGGTAATTTTGGAGCCGCGCGGGTCGAAGCGACCAGGCCGGCAACGTGCGTGGTGGATAATTATTGAAAAGGAGTGCGTGATATGGCAAGTTTATCCTGGAGAAGCGTAATGTACGTTAGAGACAAGAAGGGTAGGTACTGACTGTAAAGGAGGTAAGGAAAGCAATGGGAGGGTGGTACAAAGGTAGGAATAAAAGTAAAAATAAAAAATCACAAAAGAAACAGGGCACCTTCGAGGGGCCAGCTTGCATGTAGCTCGTCAGGAAGACAAGGTCGAGCGTGACAAATTGGCCTCGACATCATCCTGGACGCATCCATGACACCACATCCTTCGCCGGTCATCATCTCCTGCATCTGCTGCCCGTTTTTCCTTTTGCCGTGTCCAACAGTTTGGATGGCCACCAACACCAACGCCGGCAGCCTCCAAGTCCTCCATCAGCCCGATCGATCGGACTGTGCCCTCATCCCCAATCTCGACGAGGCCACTTCGGCCATTCTGCATCGTCATGAATTATCCGTCAGCCCTCGACGCCTCGGGGTGGTGACGGGGGATTGCCGCCTTGGGTTGAATTGACTCGACCATCCTGGCGTCGATCTTCCAGCATGGTCCGTCCGTCCTCTCGAGGCGAGGCCCGGACGGGATCTTTTCCCACCTCGCATATCTCACAAAGACGCGCCAGCGGTATGTGACAGATCTCTTTTTCTGCTCCCTCGCTACGTCTTGCTCTTGCTCCTCGCCTTTCTCCCCTCCTGTGGCTTTCTACACACGGCTCGCTCGGCGGGATATTCTCGTCCAATGGCTCGATCCCCCGGGTCGGCCCTGGCGCAATTTCTTGGTGCACCACCACCCTCACCGCCAAGCACAACGTGTCCGTCTCGAGCGCCTCACGAACATGTGGGGTCGTAGCACGCGTGCTCTTCTCACCTTGCACTGTATCCGTGCAGTTCTTTACGCCTCTCCTTCGCAGGTCCCTGGACTGGAAACTTGGTTTGGCCTGGCTTGACCTCGGCTCTGTTTTTGACCTCCACGGAGTCGTGAATCACAGTCGTGCACACGACTGCTTTCTCCTGGATGAAGTCCACGGACCGGCCTCGGGGCAAAGGCCCCAGCGCATGGCGTTGAACAAGGTTGCGGCCGAGCCACAGCTGCAAGTGCAGCTCGATATTTCATTTTTCCTGTTTCGCAATCCTGCAGCAACAAGCAGCTCCGAAGAACGACCACCAGCCCGGCCCACCCCTGAAGAGCCCATGCAAGTTGGGGAAGAGGTGTGTATGCTGCACTGTCGGCTTCTCTACTCGCTACCGTGAAAGTGTTTGATGAAATTACCGCGCCTCATCCTTGGCTAAGTGATGCTGCACCGACAGAAAGACTTGATGCCCGTCATCGTCTATTCATCTATTGTATGTCGATGAAGAGCATCAGTCTTGTTGTGGGCCTCGGCCTCAACGGGCTCGGTACCGGTCCTGCTTCGGCCAAGAAGGGCCCATGTCGATCGAGCTTGGAGTTTCTTGCACGGCCGAGCTCCCGCCCGGGCGAGGACATGCATATATGCATGCACAATTACCATGCCTGTGAGGCCGAAACAATGGTAACTAGTGTACAGAGCTGCGAGGAGGCCGTTTCGGCCAACTTCCCTGACCCTGATCATCCCCTTGGTGGTTGGCGCTGCACCTTGCACATCCGAGACAAGAATGCAGGCAGCTTTGCGGCTTTTCTTTTCCGGCTCGCGTAGATACACACGCACTCCGTACGTACATATCGGGGGTTGCTGGGAGGTACCCAGATGTACGGTTCTCCCCCTCCATAGACTCTGCGTCACACTCCTCTGTTACTGCGCGCCTGCGCGCGCGTGTGTGTGGGCAGAGACCTGGGATCGCGGCGGCTGAAGTCAATATGGATTATTAGGCTCTTTATCAAGGAGGTGTTGCATCCTTTAGACCAGAGATCCAGCCCTGCTTCGCGTAATGTATGTTGACCCCATCCACATACAGGTGCGCATCCGAGAGGGTAGCTTTTTTTTTTTTTTTTTTTTGCGGCTGGATTAAAGCCAGCCCGTGGTCACACCGAGTACGTCCTGAAGAAGGAAACGAGATCTGCCAGGACACGGACACGGACTCTCTGGCCTTTCCGCCCAGAAACACGACGTCACCTCGGTGTGATCCTTTCGTGCGTGTCGCGTGGCAGGTGAGCTCCGTTCGCCTCCCTGGCGCTTCCCTACGAAATGTACTCCCTACAAGTACTACTTGTGCATAGCTGAAGGAAGAATATTGCTAGCTCTTGATATTCTCCTTTCCGGAGGCATATTCAAACCCATGTCGCACCATGTGTTGGGCGGATCCTACCCACAGATCGAAACGGGGGGGTCGGGCCGGTGGTCCAGTTTTATCACATGAGAGAGAGCAGGGGAAGAAGCTTCAATCCTCTGCTCAATCTTCCTGATGAGGCCTCGTCACGCGACCGCGTCTGTGTCTGTGTCTGATGTCAGAGGCAGGTACCTATCGATGCGACCACAGGACTCGTATTGATGTACGGAGTAGGACAGATCGGGAAGCCTTCACATGCTGAGGTCATAATGAGTGGAGGAACCGCGATGTGCCTGCTGAAGGTCGCGCCGGAGCTGTCGTGCTTATTGTAGACCGTAAATCACTATTCTCGTCCCACAAGTCGGTTGTGTTTTGTTTGTGATGCTCGTATATCAGGGGCGTTATTGGCCACGGACAACATGGCTGATCATGGGCTAGGACTGATGTAAGTGGCATTGATGGCCTTGATACCTGTCGACGAGAAGCCGTCCTCTCAAAGCGATAATCAGTGTGAAGCGCAGCTTATGACGCCATATCGGAAAAGGCCACATTCACTTGATCCAACTCCGAATCTAGTGAACATGATCTCGACACAAACCTAAGGCAGTCCAAGCCTGGGTGGCAGAGCCCATACAAGTACAATGACAGGTAGGGTTGTCAGCATGCTCTCGGATCTTCACCACTCGAAGCCGCATGGACCGTTACCAAGGCACTAACCTACTGGAATACGCTCTACCAAGCGGTCAATACTTGTACTGCGTTTATTTCACAAAATCGATTATTACCAGCCAAACCGTGAAGCTCTTTTGGATCTGCCTCAATCGTCGAGTGGTTGCATGTGAAGCTGAATTAGGAATGTGACCCACTTCTTCCCCAATGCCAAATTGGCAGGCTGCCGAGCCAAAGGTCGATGTCATAGCTTTTTCCTCCATGACACCACCACCACATCCAGCAGTCTTTCGTCCAAACCACAGAAGTCAAGCATCACGTACCCCTACGGCAAATCGAACCCGGGCAAAAAACACGAGATCTTCTTCTAGTGCTACGTCATCAACCTGGCCAAGTTCCTGTGGTCCCAAGGGCCGGCTCCTGTCAAGGACGCCGGGAAGGAAGAGCAACGCCGTGTCGGCCAGGAGCCCATCATGAGCCAGCCACCGGCACAACCGGCGCTGACGCCGCAATTCTGCTTCTCGAGCTTGGCGCTCCGAGGTAATTACCCCTCCGATCAGCCCTCCCGTGCCCACCCCTCGAAGCCCAGTGTGCTAACTACGCGACCAACCCCCCAAACCAGAGTTCCTCCGGCTCTCTCGCAGCGCGATCGACGACTCGATAACGCAGAACCTCAACGCCCTCGTCACGCCCTCGGCCTCGGGCTTCGACCCGGCCTCGACGCACCAGCGCGGCACCGGCGCCGCCTTCTCGTCCCGCGGCGGGCGGGTCGACGGCGCCCGGTGCGCGGCGTTCAAGGACAAGGTGCTGTTCCCGACGTGGCAGGCGCGGTCGGACGTGCTGCACTACTGCGCGGCCGTGGCGACGAGCCCGGACCCGGACGACCCCTCGGCGGCGCTGCGCGAGGCCGAGGCCGAGCGCGACCGGGAGCGCGTCATCGACGAGCGGCTCGACCCCTACTCGGCGCGGTTTTTCCCCACCGAGGCGCGCACCGAGCGGCTCGCGGCCCTGCTGCGGATGGAGAAGGGCGTGGAGAACATCGTGCGGGCGAGGACGTGGGCGGTCGTGAGGGAGCGGTGCGACCCGGCCGGAGGAGGGTTCGGCGGCGGGGAGGAGGCGTGGGAGGCTGCGCTGGGCAAGTGGAGGGCGCAGCGGCACGGACAGCAGAACGGTCCTTGAAGAGAGGACACCAGAAGAGCCTGGATAGGATGCATCGATAGGAGTTATTTGGGACATTTGGATGCATGGATACTCGGAGTTCTTACACATCACCACTTTTGACGAGCATACCTCATACAGCAGGACAACACAAGGATAACACATCAATGAGCAATAAATACATGCCTTGGTGCCGAGAACAATACCTGATTCTCAAGACCCATGGAGCAGTCTACAAAAGTATCTTTCTCCATGAGGCAGTTAGAGATAGAAGCTTGAGACCACCAGCGGGGCCAACCGTGGACAAACTGGCGCAAAGCAGCTCGAAATCTCGGGTCTATCGCCGAAGCGCAGCGTTTTGACAGTTCAAAGCTTGACTCGAGGCACCACTTTTGGGGTTCGGTCCCCACCTGGAACAACCCCAGCCCGATTCACCAATCGAAAGCTTCGTTTCATCGACAAAGACCTTAATTCTCGAGGGGACATTTAGATCCGACTTTCGGCACCTTCGAACCCTCCTGCTGGCACGCACTCTCCCTTTTGATCTGGTATTCTTGGAGTTGGAGGTAGACCTAGAGTGTGCGCACCGTCTCCGACAACGACTCTATTTTCGTCTGAAAGCTGTCGACTCGCCCGCGCTGCTGTGTCACGAGTGTGACTGATTTCTGACGCTCGAGCCGGTTGCAGCCTTAATCACTGCGTCTGTGTGCTGCGCCCATATACCAAACAGGTTGGTCTCCTTGATGAAGCCCTACTCCTCGTTTGCTTGCCACGAGTCCTCGGCTAAGAAAGCTGCTCCCAGTCACTCACCCTCGAGCGAACCTACCACCCAAGTCTCGACCGTGAGACCAGAGCGAACCCTTCCCGATGCCACAACCCCTCAGCACGAGAGAGGCCAACCTCTTTCGTCAGGTCATCCGCAACTATGAGGACAAGCAGTACAAGCGCGGCCTCAAGGCGGCCGAGCAGATCCTCAAGAAGACCCCTAGGCACGGCGACACCATGGCCATGAAGGCCCTGATCCTCAATGCGCAGGGCAAGACGGACGAGGCCTTTGCCCTCGGCAAGGAGGCCCTGACGGTGGACATGAGGTCGCACATCTGCTGGCACGTCTACGGCCTGCTATACCGCACCCACAAGAACTTTGAGGAGGCCATCAAGGCCTACAAGTTTGCGCTGCGGCTCGAGCCCGAGTCCCCGCAGATTCAGCGGGACCTGGCCATCCTCCAGATCCAGATGCGCGACTACCAGGGCTACGTCCAGAGCCGGCACGCCATGTTGCAGGCGAAGCCCCAGCTGAGGCAGAGCTGGACCGGCCTCGCCATCGCCCACCACCTCGCCGGCGAGCTGCAGGAGGCTGAGAACATCCTGACCACCTATCAAGATACCCTCAAGAACGCGCCCTCCAAGACTGATCTCGAGAACTCGGAAGCTGTCATGTACCGCAACATGATCATCGCCGAGACTGGAGACACCCAGCGAGCATTGGAACACCTCGAGTCGGACGCCAAGGACAACCTCGACCGCCTGGCTGTCATGGAGCGTCGTGCCGAGTATCTCTCCAAGCTTGGAAGAAAGGACGAGGCGGCGACTGCCTACAGAGCTCTCCTGGATCGCAACTCCGAACACCCTCAGTACTACTACGATTTGATCAAGGCCCTCGGCATCGAGGAGGACGCCAAGGCCAAGAAGGCCATCTTTGACGAATACGCCGACAAGTATGCGAGATGCGACGCTGCCCGGAGGATACCTCTGGACTTCTTGAGTGGTACGTCGTTCCGTTCCTCACCCGACTAACAATAGTCGGACTGACCTTGACCTTAGGAGACGAGTTCCGGGAAGCGGCTCGCAGATACCTCACGCTGATGCTGAACAAGGCCGTTCCCTCTACGTTTGCTAACCTAAAGCACCTCTACTCTGACTCTTTCAAGAAGGAGACCCTCCCCGCGCTGGCAGAAGCGTACCTCGAGTCCGAAGATGGCAAGAAGGTGCAGGGCAAGGCTGCTGCCCTCTACTTCCTGGCGCAGCACTACAATTACCACCTCAGCCGGGACCTCACCAAGGCAATGGAGTACTGCGAGAAGGCCATCGAGCTCGAGCCCAAGAGCGTTGACTTTGCCATGACCAAGGCTAGGATATACAAGCACCACGGCAACGTGAAGAAGGCATCTGAGGCCATGGACTACGCGCGCTCTCTCGACATCAAGGACCGCTACATCAACAGCAAGGCTGCCAAGTACCAGCTGAGGAACAACGAGAACGAGAAGGCCCTCAAGACGATGGGTCTGTTCACCCGCGCGGACACCGTCGGCGGCCCGCTCGTGGACCTGCTGGACATGCAGTGCGTGTGGTTCCTGACGGAGGACGGCGAGGCGCACGCCAGGCGAGGCAATACGGGCCTGGCCCTGAAGCGCTTCCACCAGATCTGGAACATCTTTGACATCTGGCAGGAGGACCAGTTTGACTTCCACAGCTTCTCGCTGCGCAAGGGCCTGATCCGGGCGTACGTCGACATGATCCGGTGGGAGGACCGCCTGCGCGAGCACCCCTTCTACTCGCGAGCGGCCCTCGACGCCGTCAAGCTCTACGTCAGCATGTACGACGCCTCGGGCGCCGGCCTGGCCAACGGCGTCAACGGCTCCGCTTCCGGGGCGGCCGCGGACGGCGGGGCAGACGTCGCGGCGGAGAAGAAGGCCGCCAAGAAGGCCAAGAAGGAGGCGCAAAAGGCAGAGCGCGAGGCGGCGGAGAAGGCGGCCAAGCAGGACCCCAACAAGGCGGCGGCGGCGCAGAAGGGCAAGGGCGAGGAGCCGGCGGCCAAGAAGGACGACGACCCGGAGGGCAAGAAGCTGGCGCAGACCAAGGACCCGCTGGACGACGTGATGAAGTTCCTGACGCCGCTGCTGCAGTTCAGCCCCAAGAACATTGAGGCGCAGTTTGCCGGCTTCGAGGTCTTCCTCCGGAGGAGTGAGTTATCTCTTTCCTTTTTGCATTTCCTATCTGAATCTTGTTCTATCTGGAACTTATCCGGGGCCATTTCACTGACACACCCTCACCCGTTCTACAGGAAAGTATGTGCTGGCGCTCGGCTGCCTCAACGCCGCGCACGCACTCGACGCGGAGCACCCCAAGGTGCACCTGCACGCCCTGCGCCTGCGGCACGCCCTCGACGCCGAGACGCTCGGCGGCCTGCCCGCGCCCGTCCAGGCGGTCATCAAGGCCGACTTTGCCGCCGCCGCGCCGCCGCCCGGCGCAGACCTCAAGAAGGCCAACGACGCGTTCCGCGCCGCGCACGGGGCCAGCGCGCCCCACGTCCTGGCCGCGGCGCAGGCGGCGCGGGCGCTCGGAGAGGACAAGGCGGCGTGCGAGAGGGCAGCGGCCGGGGCGCTCGAGGTGGAGGGCGTCACGCTCGAGGAGGCGCTCGAGGCGTACGAGGTGCTCAAGGGCTGGAAGAGCGGTGAGCTCGAGGCGTTCCGCACGGCGGCGGGGGGGAAGTGGCCTGGCGCGACGGTGTTTGCCTAGTGGGCTGGTGCTGGTGCTAGTGCTGGTCCTCCGGAGGACCGCGGCTTACCTCTGCGGGCGAGGTTGATGGGCCGGGGGTGGGGGTCGTGAAGAGTAGGAGGGAGTTTGGAAGGGGAGAGGAGAGGAGAGGGGCTTAAGGACGAGAGGGCGGCGAGCGTATGGGATGGGCGGACGGGGGTGGGATGTGCATGATGGGCATCGAATCATGGACATGGTGGAGAGAAAAGTTGCAAAGACGTGTCTGCAAGCTATGCCCGATGACTCTCGGGAGGCTTCCAACTTGGTAGATATGGCATGTTTTTTTGCTGCTTTTGGGTTTGTTAAGACTAGAGAAAAGAAAAGAAAAGAAAAGAAGAGAGGGTTCATTGGCAGATAAAAGGGGGGAAATTGAAGCCTTGCAGGTACCCGATGTCTGGAAATAGCTGTGAGCTCTGCACTGCGTGCCTCCCAGTCAACTTTATTTCAAGACCAGCTTTATTGGTCTACGTCTTAGATTGCAGGATGTCACGATATGGTGTCGTTGTCGTTGGCACCGAGGCGCAGCTCTTGCATTCAGGTTAGACAGTCTGAGCACAATGGGCCCAATTACAAGAGGCCAAGCGCTTACACGGTTGGGTCAATCTAGGATTACCCCTGTCTGGCTGCCTGTGACAGGCGGAACAAGACCGGAGATTCGGCTCAGCCAGGCAACTGCCTCGCTCGATGTGGGCATGGGCTGGAAGATTCTGTCCTGGGTGGTGGTGAAGGATCGTGTGCAGAGCTATATATAAGACTTCAACACGCGCCCCTTTTACCCTCGTGCACGACGCGTGTTTCTTTTCTTTGATTCTTCATGACGGGGTCTCGGGTCAGAGCACTGCAGTCACTCACTCACCTCATATAACCCTACAAACACTTGCTTCAACTACAAACGAACAAAAGCAAATGGCGGAAACCCAGCCCGAGCCCAGCCGGACCCACGGCTTCGTGCCCACGGCCTCGGCCCTGCGCACCCGCCGCCTCGCCTCGCTCGTGCTGGCCGGCCTGCTCGTCTCGGCCGCCATCCCCTTCACGCCCGTGGCCTGGGTGATGCGCGACGCCGAGATCTCCTTCCTGCTCGACCGCTGCGTGGCCGGCCTGCTGCTCGTCATCGCCGCCTACTTCCAGTACGCCGTCGCGGGCGTCCAGCGGCCCGTCGTCGTCTCCCTGCCCGCCGTGGGCGGCGGCGGCGGCGGCACGACGCTGCGCAACGGGCGCATCGAGCGCGACGCGGGCGGCGTCATGGCCGAGACGGTGCTCTTCGTCTGGCGGCCCGAGATGTTCTGGCCCTTTGCCGCCGCGCAGGCCGCGGCGCTGGCGGCGGCCGAGTTTGGCGACCACGAGCTGTTCCGGCGGTGTGCCGTCGTGCTCGACGTGGCGGCGCTGTGGGCGCTCGGGTGGCCGGCCACGCCCCGGCCTTACAAGGTGTGGGCCTGGGGCAAGGTCAAGGAGATCTGGGTCATGATGCTCGTGAACGAGTTCCTGTGGGGGTCGGCGACGACGGCGAGGAGGAGGGCGCCTGGCGGGCGGGCTTTGGGCGGGAGGAGAGCGTAAAGGGGGGGACGGATAGGGCGAGCAAGGGGAGAGAATGCTGGGTTATGTGTTTGTGTGTACGAGAGGGCTGAGGGAGAGGGAAGTGTGGGTTTGATCTGTCTGTGTCTACGATGTGTGAAGTGAGTTTGGGGAGAGCTTCATTGATATCATTGCTTCTTCCACTGGAATCTTGGCGTCTGTTCGCGTTCTCGGACCCTGAGCCTGGCTGTCAGAGGCTTCGTGCCAGCGGAGTCTCTTAGTGGACTTGGGCCGCCGACTCGCGCCGCCTCCAGCACATCTGTTATCTTATCGCGGGGTAGTTATCGCAACTGAGGCCAAACTTTTTTTCTTCATACCGCCAAGATCATCAACCCAGCCCGCAGCTTCGGAACCTCCTCCCATTGACTCGCCGGAGTTGCCTCGACAGACTTCGTATAGTCTGGAAACTAGCCCAAGAGATATTCCCTTCGTGATAGAGCCGACGTGAACCCACACGTACCGCCCACAATGGTCTCCCAAGAGCGGTCATTGCCGTTCATCAAGAACCTCGCCTCGAGCGGTATGCTCCCTCCCCTTCATGCCCGTTTTCACCTCGCGATGCTTCAAGCCTCTCCACACATGCATGCTGACCCTCGCCCATCTCGTCTTCCACAGACCGCAAACTCCGCGACCAGTCCCTGGCCTCCCTGCGCACCTTCCTCTCCGCCCGCCGCGCCTCCTCCGCCCTCACCCTGCTCGACGCCCTCAAGCTCTGGAAGGGCCTGTTCTACGCCCTCTGGATGGCCGACCGCCCGGCCCCGCAGCAGGCCCTCTGCAACGACCTGGCGGGCCTGCTCGACCACTTTGACGAGGGCACCGCCGTGAGGGTCTGGCTCGCGGCCTTCTGGGCCACCATGGCCCGCGAGTGGACGGGCATCGACGTCCTGCGCATGGAGAAGTTCCTGCTCCTCGTGCGCCGCGTCCTCGAGGCCGAGCTGCGGTACATGCGGCGCGACGGCGGCGGCGAGCCGGCGTGGGACGCCGGCCGGGCGGACGAGGTGCTCGCCTCGCTGCGCGCGTGGCCGCTCTCGACGCGCGAGAACATCAACGACGAGGACGCCGGCCTCGGCGTCGGCCCGGACGAGGCGGAGCTGCTGCCGCCGACGGTGCCCGCGGGCCTGAAGCTGCACGTGCTGGACGTCTGGGTCGACGAGGCGGACAAGGTCGGCCTGCTGGCCTCGGGCGACGCGCAGGCGGCCGAGATCCTGCGGCGGATCAACGGCGTCGTGGAGGACCTGCACCGGGGCACGACGACGACGTCGGTCAAAGTGCGGTCCCGCGAGGCCATGGCCGACGAGCGCCTGCCCTGGAACGTCGGCGGGGGCGGGATCGAGGGCCATGGCGGGGAGGACGAGGACGAGGCGGATGATGCCGACTGGGATGGCTTCAACGATTGAATTGACTGATGTGGCCTGGCCAGCCAGTCTCGTTGGCAACGACGAGACATTCATTTCCTGCAGAGTGGCGTTCACCGGCGTTCTTGGGGTAGATGGGGAAACTTTGACAGAATCATACCCAATTCATGTGCCTTTTTTGTCTTTTGATACAGGATTGCTATGTATGTAAACAGACTACCTCTGACTTATGGTATCATGTGCATAAAATGAATGCTCGACTTGTTTATACATTGCGCGAGTTTCTGAAGGACCGGAAGTTGCAGCGAAAATGATCGCAGCACCGCTCAAAAGGAACGACACAGTGAAGCCATTGTCCAATCGTCCGCCTCACCTCTACTCGCACTTCTGGCTTCGTCCCGGTCTATGGGGGGTATCTTTCCGTCCACGCCGCTGTCTTCTCATCCCGCCACACATAACTGCTACCACTCACTCCCAGCACTGTCAATCCTAATTCTCATCCTTTCCCCATCATCTTCTTCGTCTTCTCTCTCACACACACACGCATACTCGCCTCAAGCCATGAACCGGTCCGTCGCCGAGACCCTGTCCCAGTTCCGGGGGCCGGGCGCCTCGTACTCGCCGCGCTTGGACAGCACGGTGCCGAGCCCCTGGTGGACCTCGGCCTGGAAGGGCGCAAAGGGCACGCGCTCGCCGTCGATGCTGATGTAGCCGTCGGCCTGGTCGCGCGGCACGATGCGGAAGCCCGTGATCTTGCGGTACTGCACGAGCGGGTTGTCGAAGAAGCGGCCGTCCTCGACCGAGAGCAGCAGCTGCAGCGACTTGAGGGGCGGCAGGTCGCCGTCGATGGTGACGAGGTCCATGAGCCCGTCGTTGATGCAGGCCGCCGAGAAGAAGTTGGCGTCCGGGGCCATGTAGGCCATCTGTGACATTGCCCGTGTGTGAGCAGCTTGGGTCATCTCCGCGAGAGGTTGGGAAGGGATGGAATAGACTCACGTTTCCGCAGTAAAAGTTGCCCATCTTATCGTGGGGAACCATCTCCCACCCCTCAGGCAGCTTGTCCTCGACGGTCCCGTACCGCAGCGGCGGCAGGCCCTCCTCGCTGGCCCCCGGCGCCGCGGCGGCGGAGGACGTCGCGTCCTCGGAGGTCGTGTCCCCCGCCAGCACGGACGAGGACTTGCCCGCGGCGCCCAGGGCCGAGGTCGAGCTGTCGCCGCGCTGGCGGGCCGAGTAGTGCTGCCGCACGCCGTCCTTGTGCTCGATCTCGACCTTGACGGCCAGGTCGCAGGGGTAGACCTTCTTGGCCAGGAAGCGCTCGAGGAAGCCCCAGGTGAAGCGGGCGCCGCCCATCCAGCGCAGGTGCTCGGTGGCGAGGTCGGCCTCGGCCACGATGCCCAGCGCCTGCGAGAGGAAGCTCAGCAGCCGCGGCCGGCCGGCCTGCGTGATGCTGACGAGGTCCATGGGGGTCGGGGCGCCCTTGACGATGGCCAGCGCCGCGAGGGAGGGCTTGTGCGTGCCGTACAGGTTGCAGGCCATGGCGTTGCCGGAGCCGCAGGGCACGTGGCACACGGCGATCTTGGCCAGCGCGCGGCGGGCGTCGGCCCGCTGGCCGAGGCCGTTGAAGCACTCGTGCGGCAGGCCGTCGCCGGAGCAGGCGACGACGACGTCGTAGGCGTCGACGTCCATGTCGCGGCAGAGCTCGACGGCGGCGCCCGAGTGCGTCGTGGTCACGGTGTCGAGGTGCATGCGCGCGGCCTCGAAGATGGGGCGCGCCTGCTGCTCGTACTTCTTGTCGGCGCCCCCGGGGCCGGCGTGCGGGTTGACGAGGACGTAGGCGCGCTTGCGGCGGGCGGCGGGGCCGTACGACCTGTCGAGGAGGGCTTCTACCCACGCGGCGCGCGTCTCGGCGGTGGACAGCTGCTGTTCCGGCTCCGGCTCCGGCGCTTCCGGCAGGGTGTAGGTGAGGGTCGCCGGGCGCAGGCGGGTCTTGGAGGCGGGCTCGGCGAAGTCGATGGTCAGAGTGCGGCTGTCGTCGGAGAGGGAGGCCCAGAGGATGTTGTAGAGGGGGATGGACCGGGATCCGGGGTCGGAGGCTGCGGAAAGGGGGTGCGTCAGCATTGATCCTTTCGTGGTGGTGGCGAGACCGGGGAGGGAGATTCGAGGACATACCTGAGCCAAAACCACACGTTCTGTTCTTCTTCTTCTGTGCTGCATTGTCTGTTTGTGGGAGCCGTTAGGAGCAAGCTTCTTGGTGTGAGTGCCTTGGCCCGCGCAGACGCGGGAGAGCAACCTCGGCGACGGCTTGGAGATGCTACGCACCAACAATGACCAGAGAGTCCTTCCCGATCGTCAATTGCTGCCCGCCAAACTTGAGCACGTCCTGCTCGGCACCGTTCAAGGTGCCGGTCAGTCCGGCGGTGCTCGCGCCGGTCTGTATGGGGTCCAATTCTTGCGCCATGGTTCAGATATTCGAGGTCGGGTCCGTCAAGATCTTTTGTCGCATCCTGCATGTGATCGCCGCCAAACAACAGATGGGAATGGGGGGGACCAGAAAACGAGTGACGGTGGAAAGCAAGCAGGACAGGGAAAAAGAAGATGCCTCCCAGGGACCCTGAAGTCTCAGCAACGAATGACTTGGGAAGAAGAAGAAAAGGGACAGAAAGGAAAAGGACTGAGCGCGTGTGTTTGTGTTGGCAGCAGTTTTCTGAGGTTCTCAAAGCAGCAGAGCAAATGGAGAGGAATGGAGAGCCAGTGTCAGCGACTGCTCCGTAACTAATTAGTGCACGAATGGATCGTTTGCCCGCTTTCTGACAGCGGAGACGGCGGCCAGTCGCTCTGGGGCTAGCCTGTGCTTTAGCTCCCACCCTTCTGGCTTCTAGCACGCATGGCGCTGGGGGCTGGACCGAGGCACAACGCGCCCGCGGCCCCCGACGCCTGCAACCTGCAAAGGGGCAACTTGGGAGAAACAAGCATTTGATCTCTGGCCTCTTATTAGGTAGTATCCATGGGATCCATGGATCTCTCTGTGCCCTTGGAAGAGCGCAATTATGCACGACCAAATAGTTGGCCAGCTTTCCGTTGCACACCACGCGGACCCCGCGGATGCAGTCATTGCTCACATGGGTAACACTGATGTGTGTGTGTGGCTTACACGGACGGCGGCAGGTCTGTTCATGATGATATTCAACAACTAACTACCTAGTTAGCATGTATCGACGAACAACAAACACTCTCCGCCCATCCCATCGACAACTCTCACTTCACTTCTTGTCGCCCGCGTCCTTGTAGTGCTGCGTAAAGTCGTACCGCACCGCCATCGCGCCCAGCAGCATCTCCCGCTCAAAGTCCTCGTCCGTCTCCGCCCTCTTGCACATCTGCAGCCACTCGTCGCGCCCGAGCCGCGTGGCCGGGTCGCTGTCGTGCACGCGGCGGAAGTTCTCGGTCGAGACCGGGTCGATGACCGTCTTGTACTTGTCGATCCGCTTCTCGCTGTACAGGTCCAGGATCGACTCGTCGGCGCGCCCGTCGTAGATTCCCGCCAGGCAGTCGTACAGCCCGCCCACGTCGACGAAGCCGCCCGTGATGCCCATGCCGCCCCACGGGTTGCACAGGTGCGCCGCGTCGGCGCACAGCATCACCCGCCCGACCCGGAACTTGGACGCGCACCGTTGGTGCATCTTGTACGGCGCAAAGTTGACCACCTTGTAGTCTCCCGGCTCCGGGTGGCCCGGCAGGATCTCCCTGAACTTGCCGGGGAGCCGCTCGCGCAGCTGCTCCTTGGTCAGCCCGGGCGTCTCGCCGTACGTGATGCGGTACAGGCCGTCCTTGGTGATGCGCGCCGCCATCTGTTTGGGGGCTGTAGTGTCAGTACAGTACCAGTACATGTAGAGTAGAGCACTCTGTCCGAGTAGAGACGTACGTAAAAGTTCTCCGGGTGTATGATAAAGTTGGCGTCCTCCCAGCCAAACTTCTCCGCGAAGGGGTAGTACGTCTGCCGAGAGCAGAGGAACTGTCAGTCTCACTCATACTTTGTGCAAAAGACATGCACACATATCACATATCATCTAGGCACACTCACGTTGGTCGCGACAATCTGATGATCCCACGTCCAGCCGGGGTAGTCGTCCCCAAACAGGCTCTTCCGCACCTGGCTGTTGGCCCCGTCGCACCCGACCACGTAGTCGGCCTCGACCCTCTTCTTCCCCTCGGGCGTCTCCACCTCGCACCACGCCTTGCCGCCGTCCTGCCCGACGTCGAGCACCTTGTGCCGCCAGCTCACCTCGCCGCCGTACTTGGTCAGGAACTCGTCGAGCATCAGCTGGTCCAGGTCCTGCAGCACGAGGCACGTCGTCCGCAGGTCCTGCCCGTCAATGTCCCGGAGCACCCCCGCGTTGAACCCCGCGATGCGGCTGTGGTCCGTCGGGCTGCGCCAGCACATGGTGCTCAGCGTCATGCCGCGCCGGCGCACCTCCTCCAGGATCCCCGCCCGGTAGAGGTCGGGCATCGCCGGCGGGCCGTAGTGCGCCGCCCGCGGCTGGTCGTCGAGCCGGTCCGACGCCTCGAGCAGGTGCACGGGGATGCCGTGCTTGGAGAGCAGGAGCGCGAGGAGCAGGCCGGACGGGCCGGCGCCCACGACTATGACCTGTTTTGCCGCCGAGGGGGGGCATGATGTTAGGTACTCTGTGCAGCGGCGAGGGGGGTTGCGAGCCCACGGATGGCAGGGATTGGCTTCCTTACCTTCTTGAACGGCCGTTCTACCATTGTGACAAGTCCTGGGAAATATTCGATAGGTACGGCGAGAAGTCTTCAACTTTTGGAGAAGAATCTACGTCACGAATAGGCAGGATGCAGTCTGTTGCAGAGCAGGGGAACCGGGCCCGGGGTCATTTAAAGTACGAGTCTCCCTGAAGGCAAACCTCCAAGACTTGACAAACCCCTCAGACGAAGCACTTTGGGCCTTAGCTCTCGGACGTTCTTCAGGAGGCCGATATCCCCGCATGGAAACACAACCCGGGTAGCACGACCCCGTGGAATGGGACGATTGTGGGCGTGCGGGGATGTGCGGGGTGCCGGAAGGGCTCGGCGTTTGTCCTGAGATCACCAGATGAACAACCGGCTCTAGGCCAGATTCGTTTGCCAGAGCCCCATATGTCCACGCTAGTTTTGTCCAGAAGGCTGCTGACTGATGTTTTATCAATGGTGGCTTGGATTGCCCTTTGCCAAGCAGCGGATGGGCTGTTTCGGTGGCATCGTCCCGAGAGGCTATAATAGCGTCACTCCTGACTGGACAGACTGACTTGCAAGAAGGCTCCGCAGGGTAATTGCAAAGTATCTTCACTTTGTTCAAGCGCTCAACGACTACTTCAGCTCAAGTGAAAGAACAACCTTCCATCGTCTCACACGAGGCTTATATCTGTCTCGTCAACGTCATCGAACCAGTCCGACTTGTACAGCTGGAACAAGCCTAGGCGTTGAAACTTGCCATCTCCTCCCCGACGGAGCATGAGGCCCAGTGCCTCTGTGGCTAATTGCAAACACAACACTTCCTCAGTGCTCTCCTCTGGGATATCAAATGCCCCCAAGGCAGCAACGAGTGTTGGATCCGACTCAACAGCCTTTCTATCTGACCCCTTCGTTATCATCAATCGTACATGCCGCGACATGACGGGATGGATCTGACGTCGTTTCCGGAGTGCTTTCACGAACTCCAGTGTGGGCGAGTCGGGCAGGACAATACCTTGGACGACTCGTCCTAGAAGTTGCAGCTCGCAATTTGGCATGTGCAAAGTGCTCACACCGCAAGAGGTGTCTGCCGACCACCGATCAAGGTCTTGGAGTCTCGGCCTTACTTTGATAGGCTGCTTGCTTGTCTTCTTGGCCCTGGCGATCTGATTTTGAAAAGAATCTCGAGGAGTGTTGTAGACAGCCCCCTGTACCGCTGCCCAAGACCACGTGGGGGCCCTGACGACAGGAGATGGTGCGAATCTTGTCGGCTGCGGCCTCGTAAGCGGCGGGAACCGTCGACCGACCCAGAGGTAGCCTGGCATCCAGAGTAGACTGCGGACAAGATCGCACTCCCACACCCCAGCAAGGTATCGAGAATCGACAGCTTGTGAGAACGTGGCTGCCATGGAGGCAATACCAGCGAAGATGTCGTGCGGATTCGAGAGTTGGCGCCTCGAGAAGTCTCCCAGTATCGCATCCCAGTGCCGGAAGAGCACTGCCCTTCTCGACTCGAGATCCCCAGTAGCCGCACGGAGGACTGTCTGAAAGGAAGTATGAAGCGAGGCAGGGTCATGAAGGGCATCCCTGCCGGGGTCGAACCAATCGTAGCCCCCTTCGGCGTAGTGGCGCTGGTAGCACGACAAGTAGATCTGTTCCTTGCCAAAGATGACGAGGCGACGGCTGAGGTACTTCTCCTGTAGGCACCAGCCTCGTGTCTCCGAAGCGCCAAAGTCTCGCGATCTCCGCAGGTCAACTGACACGCTTCCGAGATGCGCTTCGTGCAACGGTAGTTCGCATGCGGGAACCGCGCGCTTGTAGTTATTGGCCAGAAAAGAATCACGCGCGTCGGCTGACCTGCCTGCGACGATTGTCAGGGCAGCATTGCCATACACGCTGCCCATGCGCTTCGACTCGTGCTCCCAATCTTTGCTGTCCCCTTGTATGATGCACAATGCGTCGATCCACACGTACTGGATGTCTAGTAGACGGGCCAGGTGCAACGTGTCACGATGTGCCGCTACCAGGCGAGACTCATCGATGCCGCTAATCATTCCTTGAAAGGTCTGCGAGTTGAGCGTAAAGGTATCCGTTGCAGGACCCCAACAGTAGGACAAAGCAAGATATTTCTCCTGCATATCAGAGGTGGTGATCACAAGCCGCGGACAAGTCCCATTCTGTGGATTGCCCACGTCAATCAGCCTTATCGGCATGTCGACTCGTCCCTCCACTGTGCAGTCCGGGTGCGAACTCATGCACCCGTGAAGAAACCGTTTGATCCACGGTAGGTAGCCGTTGGGTTCATGGTCCACGGTGAACATTCGCCCCGGAACAAGTGACCTTGTCGGGGTCCCTTCTTTTCTGATTGGTTCATTAGCTTGTTCTCATGGAGAAGTGACATCTGTACTAACGCGAAGATGTCGAGGTCAATCGTCTCCAACCCTATGCTGCTGAGCCGGCCCGCCTCAAACCCACATGACACGCGTATTTCCGGCTGGAAGTTGACTGGCCAGGCCCCTTGAAACGTGAGGTCCAACCAGAGTGTTGGGTCGAAATTCTGGACGTGTTCTGGTGCCATGCCGTTGAGGATAGAGTCAATGGTAGACGCTGACCATGTTCTTTGGAAACCTGTCCAGCAGAGAAGGCAAAAGTCGCAGCCATGTTCTGCATTCTGCTTGAGCACCGCCAAATTTGGCTGAAACTCTACTTGCACTTGCTCCTGAGTCAGGAAGAAAGCGCGGCAGAACTCACATCGAGGCATCGCGATGTAATCTTTTATTGACTGTCCATAGTTACCAAGAGAGAAGTTTGAAGACGGTAAACTTGTGGGTCAGGGCACTCATTGAGTTGCTGAAGGAATTTTATTGTCAGCCTCAAGAGGGGCAACGTCCAATCGTTTGGAGGGGCTTCACAGAGAGCGGGTTGTGATGATCATGATTGAATCACACGAATAGTACCATGTGCAAATTATCTAAAATCAACGCGAGATCAATGCATATCGCCAACCTGCAAAGCGATGGTTAGAATAGTTGACGGGCTGCTAGTAGAAGTGCTTGACTATCCATCGTATCCTAGGTAGTGGGATAACCCTTCCGAGTCCCAGAGCAAGTGTGCCACTAACCTTGATTTGCCTCCCATTACCCTACAAAACGGGAATCTTCTGTTTGCAAGACTCCTTTGTCCCGATTCGCTGCTCGCTGTAGGATTTCGGGGTGACTTCGTTGAGACAATATTCACGTCGTCTCGTTCGTGGAAGATACTCAATCACATTGTTAAGTCCCTTCAAAGAGGGAGGTGACTGAATTGGTTCATCAGCTATGGTACCACTCTATCTGTGTAACTGTACAGAAATCTTCCATGTTTTGAGCGCAACAGCAGTCGAGCGTCGCTTCGGGGGTTTCTCGGTGTGCTCTAGTGGGTGATGGCTACTGCTCTGGTCGTTCGGAGCAACTAAGAATTAGCTCATTCAGGAGCTATCTAAACCGAAATTATGAATCCATGGTTGGGAGGCAGGAAACGGACTAAGAATTATTGTTATCCAGCGACTACATCCTAGATACCTCTACATTACATACAGTGCTGGTACCGGTACATATGGTGTAGTGGGAGTGTTTACAGGTTATGAGCGCGGCCACTCCATTTTGTTATGCAGTAACCTATATCCTTCGTTTGATTCGCGGTCAGAGCAGCAGAAGATAGATAGACTTTACAGAAGCAGTCGTTCAGTTCATGTTTGGTTAAACACGACTTTTGAGGGAAGTGATATTCAGTGGCTGTTCAACATACATATGTGTGCTGGTACCGGTGGTGTAGACGGAGCGTTTACAGCCATGGTAGGCTCGAATTTTCAACCCCGGACTTTGTTTCTTATGACATAACCGAGGCGAGAGCCTTGATAAGTGCAAAACCCACGCGTGCTGGGCGCAAGATCTCTGCATTTGAGAGAGATTTGTCTCAGAGCACTGTAGGCCAGATCTATCAACTGCGACGGCGAGATTCTTTGATTCTAAATCGTCCTTGCCGACATTATATCACACGAATAGAGCTCTGCTGTTACCAATACCCACGCCAACGACCAACTGCAGTATCACGAACCTTTCCCCTATGGCACCGACGGCACGAATTTGGTTCGTTTGCATACTGGCTGGATTTGGGGCCTTTATAATAGGTGGCTTCCTGACGTGTCTAGCTGATAAATGCTACGGCAAGAAGTTCAATGACTCGCCCTTCGGTCTGATCTCAAGGCACGTTCGCCGGGATACATGGCTGTCTCGTCACCTCTGGAAAATATTCTTTACCGCAACCACCATCTTATGGCCAATCTATATTACCGTCGTCTTCTATCTGATCTGTCAGAGAGCTCCTCTGCAGTCTCGCTCTTTACCGGCCCTCACTGCCTCGTCAGGTCACGAATATCCAAGGAGGGAAGGACAGGGACGTCCAGAATGCACATGTGGAGCAGTATCATCGAATCGACGGGAGCAGACTTCAACACCACGATGCGAGCCTGTCGATTTCGTGATTGATATCCCCGAAGATTCGCCCCCTAAATACAAGCCTTGAGGATATGAAACGATGGGATTTACCCTGCTCTAAGGGAATGAATGAGCCATGCACAATATCAGGCGACAAGGAAAGAGCAAATTCAAGGGTGGCTGGGATGATAGGAAATGGCGGGGCGTCAGGACCACGATCTAGGCAGGGCGGTGTCAAATATAGGACGTAGCACTCTCTCAGCAAGTCACTATTAGGAAGATGGAAGATTGCTTGAAAAATTTTAATTTTGTTTTCGACTCGGTATGTTCCTCTGAACAACCCTTCCTTCCCATATTGATCCTTCTATTGGGGCTCAAAGGAGCAGATCATCGAAAGGGGATACTTGTCTTCACACTACTCTATATGATACACAAGGGACACCCATAGATGCCCTGCGCTCTTCCTAAGCGGCCACGTCCTCTTGCAAGGGCGGAAATTCCCAAGACCTTGTCACGAGGAACGGCTCTAACAGACCAGCTCTCCCTTCCAGGACTGAGAGTCCGAGCGTACAAGGCCAGGGAAAGCGACAAGTTTCGTCGATGCCCTCGTTGTCCGTTCAAGATCACAACCGCAAGAATCCGGTGGGGTTGGCCTTGCCACTCTTCGCGAGCGTGGCCCCGTTAATGCAGAGTTGCTAACGCGTCTGCCAAAGGGAATCGCCCGGGACTATGAAGCTTCGATGCTCACTTCAACTGCCACAGAAGAAGACGAGGTGACTAGTTCTGAAGCAGGATGACAAGCTTTTCAGGAAACATCGTGTCGACGCGGATCATGGACATATGGGAACCCAGCTTCCACGAGAGACGATTCCTCGGGTGACTGGAGAGGGAGTGAGGACATCTGGAGGGCTCGGGCTTGTTGAATAGACGCGGAAAAGGCTGGGCCTGTTTCCCAATGATCGCGACTGAGAGGGAAGATCTGTTTAGGTGAGCCAAACCTGCTCTGGATTTGCCGCTTGATTGATTACGGTTAGACTCTGAGTACGGACAGGGGAGACACTGGTCTTCACAGGGTATTGTAATGCTGCACTGGGCACTTTGCGGGCTAATGCTGTTTCTCAATAAGCGCGAGATTATTGGCCTCTATCTCAGGGTTCTAGACCTTCCTACAGAGCGTTTCAGGTCATCCATCTAAGCCTCTTAAACTGGCACTAAATGTGATAAGGTCGCACTTTCAGGGACACTTCCCGCCAAGAAAGTTGGCACCCCTGTCTGGAATGACGTAGTGTCGATCTGCACATGCGACTGATCGAAGAATTGTCTTCGCATATTTACAGACGTCCCGGCCTCCCGTCGCGCTGTCCACGGCCACCGTTTATGCCTTCAAACCCGCTCAAAGTCACACTGGCCTTTTCTTTGGCAGCATGGCGGCCCTTACAGTGCTAGCGGGCATGGTCGTGGTGGCCCATCTTACTCAGGCATCGCCAATGCCTGTCGAGCAACGACATCCCATGATCACGCCGGCTCCGACTTTGGACCTTCCTACACGGACTCTCATTGAGCAGAGGGGCGTCCTGGATGACCTTAAGTCGGATGTAGACTCGGTTTTCTCCAAGCTTGGGTCGGCCGTGCCGTCATATGTTGCGTCGGGTAAGACCATCAAAGAACCAAACACTGCTCAATCGAGCGTACAGTTCAGCAGCTAACCAACGGGAAAGGTGTACCGAATTTCTTTCAAGACTTTCCTACCAAGGATAAAGTCCAAAGCTCGCTTGGCGTCGATGATAAGCAGCTAGCTGCACTCCCAACCCAGGTGCTCAACCTTCCTCCCTACGGCAACTGGAGCAGAGGTTCATGGAACGTGCGATTCCACGGAAACGTGTACAAGCAGCCCCCGACCGACCAGAAGACCATCGACGACTTAGCCAACAAGTTTCTAGTCGACGTTAACATCGACCAGCTCCCACCTGACGAACAGGCGAATGCCCGTAACATGACCGCGTCGATATTTGTGGTACAACAAGAGGACCAGAATGTTACAATGCACCTGGAGCCGGCTCCCTCAGCTGGGTCCGATGGTGAAAAGGGCGGAGGCGGTGCCACAACAGCGAGTGGCGGCGAACAGAGTGTCAACCTGCCCTATCTCACTACCGACCAAGGTGACTTTGACGTATTTGTGCCGATTCAGCTGAATGGTCTTATGAGAGGTGACACAAACACCAGCGTGCAACGGCTGAATGTGTATGCCAATGGAACCAATACCGGCAACGCCACGGCGTACCTCGTCCCGCCGACGGGATTGTCCATCATTTCAGACATTGACGATATTTTGCGAGTCACCAAGATTTACAAGCCGAAAGACGGCCTGCTGAACTCGTTTGCCAAGCCGTTCACCCCGTGGATGAACATGCCAGACATCTACGCCAAATGGGCGAGACAGTACCCCACGATGCACTTCCACTACCTGACCACGACGCCGGAGCAGGTCACGCGCAACTACATGGACTTTATCTATAAGACCTACCCCGGCGGCTCCTTCGACACGCGGCCGCTCAACTTTAGCGACGTCAGCGCCACGCTGTCGATCCGCAAGTTCCTCCTCGAAAAGTTCTTCCAGACCTTCCCGCAGCGCAAGATCGTGCTGGTCGGGGACACCTCCAACTCGGACATCATGCGCGACTACCCGGGCCTCGTCAAGGACTTCCCTGGCCAGGTGCAGTGCATCCTGCTGCGGAACACGAGCGCCACAGATCCGGACGACCTCTTCCCGTACGACACGAGCGGGTTCAAGGGCCTCGACCAGAAGTTGTTCATGTTCTTCCGCACGCCGGACGACTTGACCAACATCGACCTGCAGAATGGCAACTGCTACAACTCGTCCGTGCCACAGAATATTACGTTTAGCAGACAGGCCGAGCTCCTTGGCATTCATGGCTCAGGAGCTGACAGGATTGGCAAGGGGTGGTTGATCTCGTTGCTGGTGTCTGCGTTGACAGCATCAATCTTGTTATTATGATATTGAGGGACTATGAAATGATTATATGAGGGTATGTCATGGGTGCCAGTCTTGCTTGTACAAATGATCAACTCTGAGAGTGCGGATTTCCACATGTGTCGACCAATTGGCATGCATTTCCTTGAGCAATGCTGTTTGACCTGAAGTCTCGTGCGGTTACTCCTTGATCGCGCTGGTAGGCTTGTGTAGACCCCATGAGTCCAACCCGAGGGCAGCCCGCCTCGAGGTACTGTTCGGGTCGAAATAAGGCTTCTCTCCCAACCCGACTGCCCGGTTACCAAAGCGCTCTCCTTGCTCGTCGTAGTCAAAGGTGGCGGAATGGAACACGCTTCTGTTGTCCCAGATAGCTACAAAAAAGGTCAGTATTCTCGACACCAGCTGCGACGAACTCAAAGGCCCAACAGACTTACCGATGTCGTTGGGGTTCTGCCACTTGAACCGCACCTGCAGCTCGTGGTTCTTGTAGACCAGCTCGAGGAACCAGTCGAGCAGCTTCTTGCTCTCCTCGGGCGTCACGCCGTTGATGTGTGACACGTGGCCGCCGACGGGGAAGATGCTCTTCCAGCCCGTAACGGGGTTGGTCCGCACGACGGGGTGCACGGCCTTAAGCTCGGGGCCGACGTTCTCGGGCGCCCCGCGCGGCTTGTCGTACAGCTTGAAGCCGGACTGGTCGGCAACCTGCTTGAAGTAGGGCTGCTCAAAGGTCACCGCCAGGCCCTCCAGGAACCTTTGGTACGGCTCGCTGATGCGGTCGTAGATGTCGTAGCCCGAGGCCCAGAGCGTGTCTTATGGGGAGGGAGTCATTGTCAGTGTATGCACACTTGTAGGCAGGGGATGCAGAGAGAGGTCACTTACCGCCACCGGTCCTGGGCAGCTGCGTCAGGCGCAGCGAGGTGTAGTCGGCGGGCACGGGCTCGAACGCGATGTCGCTGTGCCACTGGGCGCTGGACTGCTTCTTGGGGCTGATCTCGTCGGACGAGTTCTTGCGGTAGAACTTCTTGTGCTGCACGGAGCTGATGGTGCTGATCTCCGGGTCCTCGCCGCCGAGCTCGCGCTCCGAGTTGAGGATGGGGTGGATGTGCAGGCCAGAAGTCTCGGGTCGGCCGGAGAGCTCGCCGAGGCGCAGGATAAGCTGCTTCTGCAGGTCATTGGTGAGGTTTTCCTGGGCGCGGAAGAAGACTACCCCACGCTGGGAGACTGTAAGGGAAGGGCAAGACTTGTCAGCTTTTGAGGTACTTTGTAGGTGGTTAGGGCAGGTGAAGAAGAATTTCAATGGCGAAAGGGCTTTGCTTGTGTGCGGGCGCCGTAGGCGGACACATGAGGAAGCAGAGGACAGAGAGGGACGTACTCGTGATGGCCAGATCGCGAATGAGTTCGTCCGCATTGGGGGCGTTGAGCCAGTCGACCAGGTTGGCGGTAGGGAATTCTCTGCCGATGATGGGGGTCACATCGAAAGACTCGTACGAGTCAAGGGACCCGGACAACTGCAGTGGCGTTGTCTTGTTCGGCTTCGAGTTGATGCTGATAGGCGTTTCGTCCAGGGCGGAGGGCGACATGTTGTGACTGGTGGGAAAGGCTTGAGTAGTCTTGGAGTGACGACTATTCCTGATTTTCTTCCTCTTTACTAAAGATGCTTGTAGACATCCGAGAATGAATGCACTGGTGATGATGATCCAGCCAAGATACTGTGAGGTTGATATTTAAGGATCTATATAAGATGAGCATCTTCATGGGTGGGAGCTATCTCCCCGATTCTAGACTCTTGACTGTTGCTTAGAACTCCCCGATGGAGGGTGAGCATCATGATGTTACAATATCTCGCCATACCTGCATTCTCCTGCGTCTGTCAACCAAAGCATGGGGGTTGGATGCCTCGGTGCGCTTGACGCGGAGTTCAGGACTTCACTCGACCCAGGATATGACCGTCATACCAAAGCACCCGCAATCCCTCAAAGCATTGCTAATTGGGACTGTCTGGATAGAAATGAGATAGCGTTCAGAGGTACTCATGTTAGCTGTGGGGGAGGGGCTTGAGTCGTGTAATGTGTTTGCGTTATGAATCAGCTATGAAGAAGGATGAAATCCACGCTTATATCGCACAATATCTGTATGAGTGGGTGTCATTGTCAAGGAATGTGGTTGCGAATCCTCATTAGCTCCAGAGACGAACTAGCATAGACTCTAAAGCAGAGACAAGCCAATTCCGCGAGACAGCAGCACTCTCCGGAGAAACTCATCATTTGACTGTAACGATTTGCTACGCCGAATGAGGGCGCATTCCCTTATCGTGCCGCCTCGGCCCCGGGTGGGGGACGGAGGTGGAGGTGGATCGCGTCACCTTCGGCCGAAGTCACGAACCAGTCACGCAATCCCACTGCATAGCGCTCCCGGCCAGCTTCAAAATCAAAACCTCGAACTGACGTGATGCAACCCCTGTTATTGAACAGTTGCATCCAGTGAGAATGCCGGGTTTGAATGGAACACGACGCTTAGGTCTATCTTCATATCGCTTGCGACTAATACAACAGGCGTGATTGGATGATTTCCCCGGAATTCAGTCGCATCTCAAGTCCACTAAGTGGTTCCGGCCGTTCAAGACCAACCCGGCCGTCGTGTGGACCACTCGATTTCTGAGTGCTTCTCCACTGTAGTTAGACTACGCAGTGGCCATGTGCCAGCCTTTCATCTCGAATGTACCAACGGTTACACTTTGCCTGGATGCTGTAGTATCGTTTTTGCATATCATAGCACGTACAAGAAGAAGAAGTTATAGAAACTTCATGTAGAGGATTTGGCTCAGGGCCGTTATCTCCTCCGCTCCTCGGTCTTTTCTACATGCCGGACGTATCGCACTCCTAGCATGCGATGCCAAGGACCGGCAATCACACCTTCTTGATATCCCACTCCTCTCCAGGGATTCTGGAGGTCATATTATGGGAGCGAGATATTATCTCCTCATCACGTCATAGGCCTCGGACCCATTTGCTGCATGTGTTGGGTATGACATGTCCACATGGCGGTGGTGTTCCAATGGCAGGGTCGCCTTGGCGGTTGACAGATCGCCAAAGACGCAATCTATTCGTTGCTGGTGTTGTCCGCCCCTCGCAGCACATTATGGCAATCTGTGTTGGATGGTGCTACAACGGGCTTGCTGTCGTCAACATTTTACTTCCTTTTCAAGCCTAGGTCCCCTCTATCAATACAGCCCCGGGGACGGTCTGGATCATAGCTCCCCCCATTGTCGGAACACTTGAGAAGAAGGACTGTTTGCTTCAGAGTGGTTCCTCAGCTCCACGCTCTGTCTTGGCGACTTTTTCTTGTCCTGCTGCCCGGCATGTTGGTCACTGTGAGCTTTGCATATCCATGTCGAGTACAAAAGGTCTCAGTGTCCCGCAACAAATCGAAAGATCGTACAGACAGAAACACGACTACATATCCTTTCGTAGATGCTGCCTTCTACTCAGTATAGCACCGAGAACCTGGAATTACTGAGTCACCGAAAGAATCATGGCTACCGTCATCATTTCCAAGAAACCATATGACAAAGGGTCCTCGTCAACCTCAAGTCTGACCGTGACAACTCCGACTCTGGGTGCTCCGGAAGTGAAGCGGAGATTCTTTTGGCAAAGAAGAAAGGGCATAGACCTAGATGCGATTGCCACTCAGGTACGATCTAACCACATGCATCAAGTTCAATCGCAGATCATGGAGTGCTCACAGTTCTTTTGCCTTTGCGACCTGTAGCCGAGCGTGTTCGATGATCCGGCAACGGCCGAACAGTATCACCCTCGCAAGGACTGGTAATTATATGACTACACCGAGTTTGACCCATCTCATGAGAAAGAGCGTTTCTAATCGAACCTATTTCAGGGAAAATTATCACCGATTCGATCCTAAAGAACGATGGACATGGAAAGAGGAGGCGAGAGTCGTCCGGAAGATCGACATCAAAATCATGGTCTTTACATGCATCATGTTCATGGCGCTGGAATTGGATCGTGCGAATCTTGGTCAAGCGTTGTCAGATAATTTCCTGCATGACACCCGCTTGACCCGAGATGGTAATGCTGAACGTCTCAGGGGAAAGACTTGAGATTGCGCTGACACTATGCCGTATCAGATTATAACCTCGGAAACACTGTCTTCAAACTAGCCTTCCTCTGCGCCGAACTGCCCTCTCAACTAGTGTCCAAATGGATGGGCCCAGATCGATGGATTCCCCTGCAAATGGTTCTGTGGAGTGTTGTGGCTGCGGCTCAATTTTGGCTATCCGGGAAAAAGTCCTTCCTCGTCTGCAGAGCGCTCTTGGCCATTCTTCAGGGTGGTTTCATACCTGATGTAAGTTGTGTTCTTGATCTGAAGGTGAAAGGGCGAGCATGTTTCAATGGGTTGTACTAACAAGCAGCCGTGCGGTAGATCATCCTTTACCTTTCATACTTCTACAAACACCACGAGCTGACTGTCCGGCTCGGCTACTTCTGGACCGCTATGAGCATAGCCGATATTCTTTCCGCGATTCTTGCCTATGGCCTTCTGCACATGAGGGGCGTTGGCGGCTACGCCGGGTGGCGTTGGCTATTTCTGCTCGAGGTTTGTGGTTGACAAAAACCTTCGAAGACGGATGAATATTGAAATTAGCGGGCAGGGACTACTTACTCTTGTCATCGGTCTGGTGGCGTCCGTTCTCATGCCTCCTGGACCTTGCCAGACAGCTAGCCGGTTTAGGGGTAAGAACGGATGGTTCAGTGAAAGGTACGTTCTCAGGGCTGTGATTCAGATGCCAGAGTCAAAGTGCTAAATCCACTCCAACAGAGAACAAAAGATCATTGTCAACAGGGTTCTACGAGAGGACCCAAACAAAAGCAGCATGCACAACCGCGAACCAATCACGCCGAAGCTTCTGTGGCAGAGCCTCAAGGACTTCGACCTCTGGCCATTGTACATCCTTGGATTGATGTTCCAGATCCCGATGACACCAGTCCAACAATATCTAACGCTCTCATTGCGCGACCTGGGGTTCGATACCTTTCAAACAAATCTTCTGACGATTCCATACACCGTGATGCACAGTAAGGACTCCATATGTGTACCCATCTGCGAAGGGGACGGGAGACTAATGTATATATCAATAGTGATTACTATGCTTGGACTGGTATACTTGGCCGAGGCGATCAAGGAATTGACCCTTACGGCCCTGCTTGGTCAGATCTGGGTTCTCCCTTTCTTGATCTATCTTAATGTGTTCGACTACTCTGGCGTCAATCGGTGGGTTCTCTGGACTGTGGTGACGCTTCTCCTGAGTTTCCCAAATGGTACGTCTGCGCAATTGTCATGAGCCCTCCAGAAACATACTAAGGCCTGTCTTCAAACAAAGCCCATCCTATTCAGGTTGCTTGGAACTCACGCAACTCAAACGGTGTACGGCTTCGCACAGTCTCAGCAGCCTGTTACAATATGTTTGTGCAGGCAGGCGGAATCATAGCCTCAAACATGTATCGTGCTGGTGAGCCAAACCCAGATATAAGCAAAATCCTGGTTGTTGTCTCGGATCCCTGACGAGTCTGGGTCTCCAGATGACGCCCCAAAGTATAAGCGTGGAAACAAGAACTTGCTAGGCGTTCTATTTGGCAACATCGGCATCTATCTCTTGGTGAAGGTCTATTACGTGTGGCGCAACAAGTCCAGGGACAAGAAGTGGAACGCGATGTCGGAGGAGCAGCAGCTGGAGTACCTGGCCACAACTAAGGATGAGGGCAACAAGAGACTGGACTTCCGCTTCCAACACTAAAAGATCCTAGGTAGTGTCCTGATAGGGCTGCTTTATAAACAAGACGACTGGGCTTCGTTCAACATATCCATGGTATAGACGTATATTTCCCCATGGATACAATGTCCGGCCGGCTCCACAAGACTTCAGGAATCCAGCAGCTTCTCAGGCATCCCCGTCACCGCTTCGTAGAATCGTGGGCTCTCTGCGCATATATGGCCAAACATATATCCCCCAGCCTTTGCCGTCGTGTCTCGAGTGTCCCTCGGAGAAATCATCCAGATTCAACTCGAGCCGACCAACCTCCGTAAACCCGACGGCCTCATACGCCCGCAAGGCACCCATGCTGCTCTGCACCCAACAGTAGACGCCCTCGTCGTCGCACTTGTCTATGCCCCATCGAAGTAGCGCACCACCAATGCCTCGCCCTTGGTATTCGGGCCTGACGGAGCAGCTCACGACGAACCTGCACCTAACGCTGGGAGGGCAGAAGTAACCCTGCCAGTCGGCCATAGACTGGTTCGTGATGAACTCGAGGTCCCGCACGGTCAGAGGCCGGTGCACTGGAAGCGAAGGGTGCATTGGTGCAGGGGGCCGGGGCCCCGGCGGCGCGGCGGGCGCGCTGTTCGTGGTATCGTCGTAGTTGCGCTTCCCCCAAATGCTGAATCCGGCAATGGGCGCGGGGTAGACCTCTGTTGGGGATCGGTCAGGTGGAATCTCCTGGTTCCTGGCCACAATGATGTCGATTTGCGGGTTGTCAAGTAGGCTCTGCAGCCATTGTTGGGCGTCAGAGGAGGTGAACCAGCTGCCACCGTTAACGAGGTCTTTGAGTTGGGTGTGTGTATCACTGAGGAAGGCCACTCGTGCGGTTTCAGCAATAGCTGGTAGATCAGCCGCGCTGGCCTCGGTGAGCACAATATTTGGCGGTAGGCTTTTCATTTCGGTCCGTGATATTCAGATGCGAAGTGATCTTGGTAGGTCGTGCGACGAAGCTGAACCCCTTATTAAAGAGAACAAGGCTTTGACACAGTTTGGCCTAGTATTGCTTTAATCTTTAACTGTAGGTCCCTTCATCAATTATATATGGTGATTGAGTTAGTTGAAGGGGTGTGAGTCTACGATGTATCTCTCCGTGGCTCGTTTGAACCTACTCTTCCTTGCGTATTCAACCCAGGAGCGAGTGCGGGGTGTTAAGCTTCACGCATTTCGGACGGGACAAAAAGAGGAGTCATCCGGCAAACAAGCTTTCATTGGCCTCACTGCCGGCTGGATACATGCAACTACATCACGATCAGTGGCTCCTGTCCCGCAATATCAATGATCAAGACTTTTATTCGAGCACCCAGCTTTGGATGGATGCAATAATTACCATTTGGCGCCCTTATCCAAGCTCGTACTAGAGGTTTGAGAAACTTCAAACGGAGGGATAACAGGTCTGCCCCTGTGTTGATAAGCTGCTGGCTGTGGGGGATCTGCACAAAGGTGATCCTTCAAAGTGGAGAATGGTCAGCACTAAATTCCAAGGAATGATGTGTGCAGACCGCTGAGGATAAATACACCCGTTGGTCTCCTTCCTTGTTCCTCTCAATAAACCAAAACCTTGATCCATAGGCTGTCTCTAACTTGAACGATACAATCATGTCAGCTGAACGACGTTGGGACAAGCGACAATTCCAGCTCGAGGAGTCTACCACCCTCAATGGCGGCGCCCGCACAATCTTCATCGAATCCATGACACCAGGCACGACAGTGCCTCCGCATTTTCACAACCGTTTCTCAGAGACCTTTAATCTGATCAGCGGGTCAATTGCTGTCTACAGCAGCTCTGAACCTGATCTCGACCTCTTGGAATCATCAGCCCAGGACCTCGAGGTCGGTAAGCCGGTTGTTGTCGAACCCGGGCGGTTCCACAAATACAAGGTTGGTGGGAATGGCAACTCTGTACTGCGGGTCACCTTGACGCCTGGTGACGCTGATTTCGAGAGGCTGTTGAAGATTGTGAACGGCTTGGCTGTGGATGGAGAGCTCGCAAGCATGGGCGACAGCCTCACATTAATGGCTGTCATTATGGGGCTGAGTGATGCAAATCTTATTGGTCCTACAAAGGAAGTCTTGGATGGTGTTAGGGCGGAGAAGAAGGATGAAGTTGAGGCCTTGAAGACGAAGCTACTTGCCAAGTATGATACTGAGGAAGCCTTGCAAAGTATGCTGGTTGGTAGCCAGTCAGTCTAGACAAGTAGGTTGCATTCATAGTGTGTATGTAGTCAACATAAATTGGTGAAAGCGATTCGAACCAAGCTTCGCCTTTCATATTAACATCCCAAAGTTGTTCCCTATGCCAGGTGTCAACACCAGCATCAACTCCGATATGGCTATTGGAAGAGGCATGGCTAAGATTGAGACGTCACGAGACTCAACTGGCAAGTGTCAATGGGCCGACCATTCCATCTGACCCCTCAACATTCTCCCTAATATCCTGCACAAGACGGGTCAGTGCTAGTAGATGCCTGATGTAGACCCAATCGTGCAAGTGGGCGTCTGAATAGTCGACACAAGTTCATCAGGAGCTACCTCATTCCTAACAATCAATATCCTTGTCACATCCTTGCCCTGGAACTCGGAAGGGCTATCCCACTACCTAAATCGGACAGGCTTGATGGATAGTCAAGTACTTCTGTTAGCAGTCTGTCAACTAATATGACCATCACTTGTGGTGTTGGTCACGGTAGTCTAGAACTAATTACTTGTGTTGGCTAACCCACTCACCGGACATCAGTGTCCGAGCCCACCTCAGCGGATGACAATGTTCGCACTCCACGTCCATGCGATTGTCCATCACTGGCGTAATTTGTGGGATGTAGAGTGGAAATGAGGAGTGCTGAAATTAATTGGAACGGATATGCTGTTTCGCCGCTGTGCCGAGGCATCTCCGCCGATCTTGTTTACCATCGGTTATGCCCTTCACTTTGATCATTAGGGGCTGAGAAGCTAGCTGATTTTGTCGGTTAAGTCGTCGGTTACGTCATGGTGGCGCCAGTGCAATCATGTAGACACCAGAACCAAGCGTCCAGCATCCCGTGCACTCACCGTAGATCATTTCCAGTCAAGCATCTTGCATCAAAACACATAGATCTTGAAAACCAACACCAACGGATCTTAGGTGACGTACTTGCGATATCACAAGGCGCATCAATCAGTGAGAGCAAGATGAATCGGGCTCGATCTGCCGTGACCATTCTAGGGGCTGGGACCCAGGGGAAACGCCTTGCGTTCATGGTAAGATACCCAGTACCGGATTGATAGAATACACGGCCACTCTAACACCCTGATCAGTGGACACGGAAGGGTCGACCAGTATACTTGATCGACAAGGACGAGCGGCAGTGTGAATCAGCTGGCATTGAAATCCAGAAGATGCGAGATAGCTGGCAGAGCACGTCCATCACGTCTGACACATGGGGCAAGGTGACTGTGGACAAGCCAGAGCTCTTGACTGAGGCTATGGGAAATTCATGGCTTCTTGTCGAGGTATGTACCATTCCTGCTTTCGAATAATATTCCTGTTGGTTGATGCGTTGGCTGATCATGGCGAACTCAGTGTCTGCCTGAGAATCTGAAACTCAAACGAAGTATCATCCAAGATCTTGACAAGTTGGCCTCTGCTGGAATCATCATAGCCTCCAATTCAAGTAGCTATACCATTGATGAGATTATCCAAGATGTGACTCTCAAAGGCGACAAGGATTTCATAAGCTTGCACTCATGTAGGTCGACAACGATCGCAGTGCAAACATTACATATGCTAAAAGCTCACAGATTGGCCTCCCGAGACCTCGGGTAAGTTGAATCGTAATCATGTCTGGAAGGCTGAGGCCCGGTGGTAACCTATTATCAGCACTTGAGATTATGGCCTCTGCAAGCACAAAACCCGGAGTGCTGTCTCAGGTCGCGGAGGAAGCTCGCAGTCACGGATTCTCGCCTTTTATTGTCCGCAAGCCCTCTACGGGCTATATATACAACAGGTGTGCAATAGTATCTTGAATGGTACTGCTTCGTCTGATCTCTAACTGCATTCAGGATTTGGGCGGCGATAAAGCGCGAGACGCTCCTAGCAGTGTCAGAGGGCATTGCTACCCCTGAAGAGATAGATGCCATTTTCAAAGACGTACTGAAAACGCCCAAAGGGCCCTGTGAACAGATGGATGTGGTGGGCTTGGATGTTGTCTTGGACATTGAGGAGCACTATGCTGAAACCCGACCTGGTATCCCAAAGGAACCGAGAGAGCTGCTCAAAAGGATGATTGCTGACAAGAAACTTGGGGTCAAGTCGGGAAGTGGGTTCTACACGTACTCCAGTGAGAAGTAGCATAGCTTAGACGACGAAAACACGTAACTGGCAGCACTCAAGCCATCGTATCTCGCTGCGGAATTGTTTCTCCAACCCAGCCCCACAATGATAGTCGGCTTGGCATGTCTTGACCGAGCAGAAAACCGAGCCCATATCTGAACTGTTTTCAGCGAACCGGGCTTTCTGTGAATGCACTGCTCATCGGACCTCTTTTGTGTCTTCACTCTGGGCCACTCTGACTCAAGAAAGCAGAAAATTCCAGTCATTTATCAGAGATAATCAGAACAATGCATGTTGTCGCCGACATAACACACTCGAACTGCGGGGAGGACGCGAATCAAGGCACCAGCACGGCAGTTCTGAAGAGTGACCTGCAGCTTGATGTGCTCAAGATTTCCCCTTCGTCCATGAGCAATAAAACGCGAGATTTCAATTCAAAGCTACAACAACTGGAAGCAAAGTGTCCCAAATGGTATCATGTAATTGGCACCATTCATTCCCATGCCGGACAAGCACGCAGCGAGTTCCCGAGCTGACAACCTATTGTCATAGATTGGCGCAGCCGAGTATCGCTGGTTGCGCAAAGCAGGCTGCACGCCTCTGCCAGGTGCTGCCCTTGTGCCTTCGGCCAGCACCATTAGTGTTCCATCTCGAGACGCGGATCGATCGATCCAGTGTCGAGTCCTCCGGCCCAAGGATACGAGTACCCAGCCTAGAGGGATCTTCCTCCATATCCATGGTGGGGGCTGGGTCCTGAATGATGAAGAATCCTCGGACTCATACCTTGAGACCATCGCCAATACGTGTCAGCTCATATGCTGCTCAGTCGGGTACAGACTGGCACCCGAGCACCCGTACCCGGCAGGTCCAGACGACTGTTTGGATGTCGCACAGTGGCTTATCAACCACGGTCCGGAAAGATACGGCACCGAGCTCGCTTTCGTTGGGGGAGAGAGTGCCGGCGCCAATCTGGCCATGTTGACTGCTCTATCACTACTCCAATCTCCCGTCGAATCATACGCGAACTTCCGGCTGAAGGGTTTGTTGCTCCATTACGGCGTGTACGCGCTGAATTGGCAACCGGGTACCATGCACTTTCAAAAGGATCCAGTGCTAATACTTGACAAAGAGTCTTTAACCAAGTTTCGGGGTGCATACCTACCCGATGGGACAGCTGAGGACTTTGTCTCTCCGAGTATCTCTCCATTTTACGCAGACTTAAAAGCTCTTCCGCTACCTCCGATGCTTACTACCTGCGGCACGGAAGATTGCCTCTTGGAAGACTCTGCCTTTATGACCACCAGATGGGTCCTTGCCGGGGGAGAAGCATGTCTCAAGTTGTTTCCCGGCAGTCCTCACGGATTCATCATGTTCGACCCGGAAATGCATGAGAATGCTGGATCGGCGTTGAGAGACGTCGCCACATTCGTCGACTCGAGGTACTGAACATTGAGGGCACGACCAATCTATGAATCGCTCAATAGTCGTAGATAGATGGGACTTACACTTTTGCATGGAAATCTCTTACAGAGATATTATTATGCACTTTGGAGCATCAAGTTATGCCATGAATAGTGCGCAAGTTGCATTAGACTACATTAATTCACTTACGCCAAGTGCATCCGTGTCAGTAAAGAAGTCTGGGACCGAGATATCGTCCAGCGACTGTTGGAGCATCCAATCAAAGTCGAACAGACCCTGCTCAAGTATTGGCGCTTAGATTTCCACCATGCTGGCATCTATAGACGAGGAATGTGGAGACTGTGGGACTCCTTCTATGTCTGGGATTGTTGACGGGGCTGCAGAGTTGAGCTCGAAAGTGGCCGGCATGAAAGACTTTGTCGAAGCTGTGGTAGCCGTTGGCCTGCCGTGCTGCGCGGACCGCTCAAGCCCAGTCTGCCGGCCAGTGAGCCTCCCCATGAGGCTCATAAAAGGCCCAATATCCAGCCTCCCACAGGCCAGGACTTGGACAATTCCCTCAAAGCCAGCATGCATTGCCGGGAGCGATTCTCTGCCAGCAACCGATGGACTGTCTCCTCACGCTGAATCACAACAGCATGAATCGACAGAGCCGCAAACAATGCCGGGATCATGTGCAGCTGACACTTTCTTAATGTATTAGCGGTCAATACGTCTTCAGCTATGCGAGTGATGGAGTCGGCTGCTCGTATTGCAACCTCGTTCAGGCCACCCTCTATGCCCTGCTCTCGAGTCGGCCGATACAAGAGGATCTGGCAGTTGTGAAAGCTTGCGTACAACATTGCTGTCCAGAATGAAGCGCCGAGCTTGCCGCTCATGGATCGTTGCAATACTACCCCCGGTAGATTCTGTTCCCAATCTCGCAGTCTTGCCCCGACATCCTCAATGTCAGCAGGGGCGCAATGTTCGATAGGCGAGAATCGCAGGGTGAGGATGCGGCCGAGGAGGATGGTTAAGGATGACACATTCTGGGTATAAGCGATGTGGTATGCCCCCTGTTTGGCAATGATGTCGGTTGTGGTGTGGCTATCAAATTCGAAGTCTGCTTCGCCGAGTGGCTCGGGATTGCAGTCCTGATCGCGGATGCGATAGGGCCGACCGAGAGCAGCCGACACGTGGCGATCCCGTATATACAGGGACCACCAGATACGCTTCCACAAGGATCGTGTTCTGGGACTCAGACATGACTGTTCAGTTGATCGATGCATTCCCATCGTTTGGGCCAGGCTAATGGCACACCCTAGCCAGTGCCAGCTATCCTTTTGTTCCTGAGGTCGCTGCCACCAGAACCCGAGTAAGAAGAGACAGGCGGTCAGGAGGGTGTTGTCCGTTTCGTAATCAGCATCGTAAAGAAGCTTTGCCCGATTGTAGAAAGCCCTCCTCGCTTGAGCTCGGTTACCGATTTGCGATCCTTCGAAGATATTGTCGTCGCAAACAGTAGCGCTAAGAAAGAAAACGGTCTGAAGCAGGAACAGAGACGCAGTGCCCTGATGATAACGCAGCTCAAAGGCACTACGGTCTAGTACCGGGAACCCAGGATGAACGGAGCGAAAGAATGCTGACACTATGCATCGCAGGTACGCTGCGGCGGGATCGTCAGGGCCTGCCGCGCGCCTGGAGGAATGCCAGCACATCAGTATCGAGAGAGGCTTGCCTGTTGTGTAACTGGCTGCGATTTGTGGTCGAGGAAGGAATCGGAAAGTGTACTTTGGTGGGCTCGTCAGTGACGCTTGACGGACTGCAGACTGTCTTCACCACGAAAGCCAGAGTAAAAGCCTCGCCCAGGTACAGGGCATTGGACCTGGCTACAGAGCTATGGGAGGGTACCCCAGGCTCTTGGTCAGCCATACGGGCGTATAGCATCGCCTCTTCATCGTCCTTTATTTCAACTGGGAGGAGCGCATGACTCTGCTCCGGTGTTGCTACTGGACTACAATATGGACCGGCTTCCACAGTACCTGTGGGGTCTTGACCCTGGCACTGTCGACCTGGTGGTATGTCTTCATCCTCGAAATGAAGCTTTGAGGCTGTGGGAGATGTTGTTACATCTTGCGAGGTCGGGGTTTCCGATTTGGACTTGAGCCCCTGAGACCGGGCGTACCTGCATTGCCGTGATATTTAGTCATAGGTTTCACCATGGGAGGAAAATGGATGATCACTTACTTGCCTCAACTCTGCTATCTCGCAAGGTGTTCCTCTGGTGCGGCAATGCCAGCAGGGATGCGATTGTGTTACATCGCAGCGGACACGGCGAACATTGCATGCCGTACATGCCACGACAGCCCTGCGCTTCGGCTTCGGCTTCGCACGGGCATAGTAGGATGGCGAGTTATTGGCACTGGAAGAGCTTTCTATCGGTGCCATGATAAGTCCTTTCAAGCGACGGTTCAGTTTGAATGATGAACGTAGAGAAACTGGTAGTTAGCCGAAGCGACGTGATTCACCACAGCTAGATTAGCACCCGTGGGCGAGCAGGACAGAGACACTGTCCGTCACTCCAATACCGCACAGACACCTAACAGTAGGTCGGCTTGTTACGAGGCGGACATCGATGTCCGTGCGGGGGTGCAGGGGAGCAAATCCAGTGCTGTCCATTCCAAGAACGCTCACCCTCCAAGGGGTATGGGGTACAGAGGCTACCCACATGAGAGTTGGTAAGTCGTCTCTTCCAGCATGGACTGTGAATGCTTCAAGATTGTGTAGACGAGAACTCAGGATAGGACACATGCCAATTAGAGAACTACGTACTCTCCAAGCAGTTGCTCATTCACCACGCTTGTCTCACTAGCCACCTTTAATATTTTACAAATTCGTATCCTTCGTCTGGGTTGTCAAAGTAGTATGTGGTGTCCCGACCGTCCTGCTCCTTGACAGAGAATCCATTTCCCAAGTATCCGAAACGGTTTCTGCTACGAGCCTCCCAGTCGTAATCCTCAAAGCGCGGTGATTCAAGGGTATGGAACCAGTGAACTCGGCTGCCCGGGTGGACAGCGACGATGGGACCGTCAACTGTCCCGTTCTTGAACCACGAGCGGCAGTGCGTGCTCCATGCCGTGCGCTTCATAAACTCTGCCAGATGTTCGTTGTAATCCGCAACAGCCTCTTTCTTCACGGACACTGACTTGATGCCTTCCGTCTGGCATTTGTGGAGCATTCGGATCATGTATTTGGCCGCGTGCTCCAAGATGGGCAACACAGACCCATGACCGATGGGCGCGTTTGGTCCGAGGAACACTGATGACATCATGTTAGTACATCACTGGTTCCAAAGGACAAATGGACTCCCGAGAACATACTGAAGTGGTTGGGGAAGTTTGGTGCTGCCAGTGACATGTATGCCTCTGGCTTTACCTTCCATTGATCGCCGAGCTGAATGCCTTTCTGGCCGACAACCGGATACCTGGGGCAGAACGAGATATCAAAGCCCGTGGCACAGACAAAGATGTCAACCTTGATAATCTCTCCCGTTGCAGTCTTAATACCTTCCGGAACAATCTCGACAATGTGATCTGTCACTACCCGCACATTCGGCTTGGTGAGTGCTTCGAGGTACCCATTTCCAGGTGTAGGCCTCCTGCATCCAACAGCGAAGTCGGGGAGGATATGTTTCAGCAGAGGAGAGTCTCGTCCTAGCTTCTCCGTCATCTCATTAATGGAAAACCTGACGGCCTCTTCCTGCTCAGGGCTGTCCTTGATGATCTGGATGCCTTTATTAGCGATGCTACGGGTGCACATATCGCGATGGGAAATCTTACAAATTTGAAGCGACTGTTGAGCTCGGATTCCACATCCTTTCGGTACTCAAGGTACTTTGTCGGATCGTTCCTGAATATCTCCTTCTGATGCTCGGAGACTGGATCTCATTAGTACACGCGAGGATAGAGCTATGGTGAGGAGACCTACACTCAAAATTAGAACCGCCAGGACCCGCCTTGCTCTGTGCAAAGCCGGCAGTAATCCAGGTCGGCGTGCGAAAGAAGGTTACGATTTCTTTTACATCTATTGAGGAATTAGTAATTGACATGAAACTCTGTAAGATGAGACCAAGAACATACCAGGTTGAAGGGTAGGTACGATTTGGACTCCCGAAGAGCCGCAACCGAGCACAGCTACGGTCTTGTTCCGCCAGTCTACCGTTGCGTCCCACGCAGCACTATGAAGAAGCGGGCCCTTGAAGGTCTGTAGGCCTGGGATGTTTGGCCATTTCCAATTGCTACAAAAGACACCAAGGTCAGTATAGAACTGTGAATACTGGTGTAGAGCACGAGGTTTGAGGGCTTGACGGACTTGAGAATTCCAGAGCCGCTGATCATGAAGTGACACCAATCTTCAACAACAGTACCGTCACTGATGTTTTCGATCTTCAAATCCCATATCGCTTCATCTTCGTTCCAAACGGCGCTGCTGACTCTGTGGTTGAGTTTGATGAAACGGTACAGCTCGTGTTTCTTGGCCAGCGACCGGAAATACTCCTGGATCTCAGGAGCCGGCGAATAACTACAGCTTTTCAGTGAGCACAACATACAGATGGTGATCAATATGGACAGTGACATACAAGTGGTTCCATTCTGGATTCGGTTCCCAGGTGAACTGGTAGTTGTGCGACGGGATGTCGCAGGCACAGCCAGGATATTTGTTCTCGTACCAGGTACCGCCGACTTCTGGGTTCTTCTCATAGATAATATGGGTGACGTGTTGCATGTGCCTGTTAATCTGATAAGCCAGATTCAGACCAGCAGCCCCGGCACCGATCGTGATGACCCTCAAATCGCGAGGTTCACCAAGATTGGTCTCTGTGATGCAGTAGTTGCCTGGGTGGCCATTCGCGCGGCCATTTTGGCCAGCATGCTCGTCGACAGCCTTGATCGAAGCCATTTCTCTCTCACGGGTGGTACAGTATAATTTTACTCGATTGAATGCCTCATGAAGAGTGTTTCTGGGTTTCCGTCGAGACCCCTCAACCTATATGGACACCTTTGTCTCGCCTCTCCTATATCGGTCTGGTGAATCGGATGTTCATCAGACCATTGCAACATCCCAGTGTCCATGTCGCGGGGTAGAAATTGACCCATTGTAAGTGATTCGAGTCATCATGGGGCTGGTGGTGGGTTGGATCGCTGGATCGGTGGCGGAAATCAATGTCCAGCTGAACCCCACAAGTGAGGGTCAGATTAGTTGACGGACTGCTAACAGAAGTACTTGTCTACCCATCAAGCCCATCGGATTTAGGTAGTGGGATAGCCCTTCCGTGTTCCAGGGCAAGGATGTGACAAGGATATTGGTTGTTAAGATTGAGGTAGCTTCTGATGAACTTCCGTCAACTATTCAGACGCCCACTTGCCCCACAACGCAAGTTCAGGACAATGACCGGCCGGGCCGCCCTTGGGCTGGCAGCCCCATACCAAGGATGTCTTTCCCTGAAACATATCCACATTGGCCACTCTGTAACGGAAACGCAAATGCCTCTCATGTGTCCCGGGGGGATGTCTTGACTGCGGGGTACAAGCCAGCGCCGGTTCACTGGAACGACGCCGTTCAACAAAGGAAATATCGGGCAAGTACCTCACTGAAGTCGAAACTTGACTTTGATGTTCGCACCTCGATAGCATGGTAATATGATTATACGGTGTTGGCCTGTCCTTAGATCTATGTGCATGGTCCAGACAAGAATACGTTTCATTGCTTCTCTACATAATGGCCGTAGCATTGGGCGGCGACGCGACCGCGCCAGTGTAGTTCAAAGGAGATGATGTGAAGAAAAAGGTCCATCTCTTGTTCTTCTCACATAACTTTGCCAGGCTCTCTAAGTCAAACAGTTCTCCAATAGGTGTTCCCCAACCCGACAGGAAGATCGGGTGAAGCCAGAAACTATGGTCTACCGGTGCTGTTCATATCGTTAATGAATGTTGAATTTCATCCCAATGCCGCGGTTAACTCACGGATCATCTCGAAAGCAGGGTTGTCTGCTGCCAAAGCTGCAAATTGCCTTCCCCAGAACCAAGCCGCCGCCTCGACGCTTTGGCTGACCCCAACCCATTTGCCCTCAGCGGCTAGCTTGCGTCTGCTCTCATCAGCGGACTTGTAGGCGGCAACAAAGCCTGTCCTGAGGAACAGGACGTCACCGGGACGGAAGGTCACACCCTGCTCCTTTGCAATGGCCTCAATGTCGTTGATCGAAATAGGATGCGAGGAGAATGCCTCCACTGAGATGCCTTGGCGCGCAGCCCACGAGGCGTAGTCAATAAGAACACCTCGGCCTGCCAAGTTGCGATCTGTCCAGGGTTGAAGGTCATTGTAGTTCGTCTGGTGATCAGAATAGATCTGCTCCTGTGTGACCCTGGTAGCACGCAAATAGATTAGCGAAACACATTGGTAGATCTCGGTTTCGAGTGGTTGATCTACCCGTTATAGAACTTTTTCTCCTTTTGAAAGGCAAAATGTCGAAGACTGTCCCATTGAGAGCTGCCCTGTGTATTGAAAGTGATCTTGACGTAAGACGATCTCTATTAGCTTCCCCATCACTACTGCCAATATTCGCCGATAGAGTACGCACAATATCATCATTGATGACACGAGGGCTCTTGTTGATCATCTTGTGCTCGAAGCCAACACGCCCTAGGAAAGGGGGGTTGATGAGATCTAGAGGAAGACTGCAATTGTCAGCGGAGTGGATCACGTAGTCGCATATGATGTCGCGCTGCTAAACCTCGACCACAAAAGCGGCTTGATGTTATCACTTACTTTAAGCCGACTCGTTCACCAGTCTGAACCTCTTTGATAGCCTCTCGAACAACTTCATCTGTAAGATAGTTGAGCGAGCCCAGAGCCGCTTTCTCTGGCTCTTCGCCCCATAGACCCCAAGCCGAGTACTGAGGGTCTCCCTCTCGCAGGGGCAGCTGGTCAAAAGGAGGAATGCGTGGCATTGCAAAAGCTTCTGATCTTCCTTCCGGTCTAAGACTTGTTGCTCTCCTCAGATCTTGGATATTTGGTGTGTGAAAGGCCAAATCGATTCACTGTCATGAGAAGTCGATGTCTCGGAACCCAAGCTGCCTGAATATATTATCTCGGTCCTAAACTAACTCTTTGGCATCGGTATATTGTACGATGGTGAAAACGGCATGCCCCATGCGAGTATCGGCCCGAAAATCAGTGCATACCGCAAGACAGTATCGCAAATGTTCTCCCAGTGAAGTTCCGAAGATGGGGTAGCATGGGTGGAACCCCTCTCCAGTCTTCGGCTTTGCATGTCCTGGACAAGTCCGCGTTTTGTCCAGGTGTACCTGCCAATGTCCGATGTGCGTCACAGCATCTTTAAGATGTATGACTGATACCTGCTTAGCAGAATTGTCATGTTCTTGCTTTAAAGAAACCAGATTGAAGCTTTCTGAATGTTCTTCAAACTCCTGTTCAACGCGGTGTCATTATCCACCGGGTTACCTTTGTTGTTGTGCTTCCCCCTTGACCCAGAACACTAGCTCATCCACCGCTGAGCTTCGCCGTCGCGCTATTTACACAATATGGCGGTCCCTGGCATCATCATGCGTTTTGCTCAGCCCCGTCCAGGTCGTGATGAAGTCCCCGAGAGCAGCTTGGCTCCCCCAGCACCGGCGCCCAACGTCGAAGCATTCTACATGTTCGAGGAGCAAGACGGTTTGCAGCCCAAGTACAACACGACCTACTTCCTAAGCGACATCACCCCCGTTCTGAACGATCCCGAGTTCTACAATGACGATGTAAAGGCACACTCTGAACAATTTGCGTCAATCGCATGGGAGGTCTGCGGCTTCCTCAACGGGCGAGACACGAGCGAGGCCAAGGAACTCTCGTCGGAGCCCCATATTCTCCCCAAGCCTCCTGCTATCGGCTCGACACTTGTCAGCAACGGTGGCACCCCAGGCCCGGGCTGGGAGCAAGACTATGTCGATTGGTACACCACTGAGCACAGCGCCAAGTTGAGTCTGGTCCCAGGCTGGAACAACTGCCGACGCTACCGGCACGACCGTACCTACGGCGAGGTCGACGTTGCCACTTATTACGGCTGGAACTACTATGACGCCGAGAACGGGCTCGGGGGACCAGTGTGGCAGGACAGTCTGACGGGCTGGACCATAGAAGTGCGGAAGAGGGCTGCGAAGCCGAATCTCCGCCGCGTCTGGAAGGTGGTAAAGACCAATCATCCATGAAGGATCTTCCGCCATGGCGCATGTAGGTGTAATTCGACATTGTTGATCTGAAACTTGCCTTACCCAAACGGTAACGACGTGGTAAAGAGGCCGTAGAGCGTGTCATGCCACAAAGTGCTCTCCTGGCCATCAATGTACCCCATCGTGCCTTGTGTGGAGGTGAAGTACGGATCGTGAGGGTGGCTGAGCTCGCCGCCGTCAGGCATGAACCCGTCGCTGACCTGCAGGGCAGCCTGCTCAGACAGTGTAGAATGATTGTATGACGGTTCCACAGGGAGCGCTGAGAAGAAACTTTCATCGAGGCCAATCTGCTCTACTGGAAGGCTGTCGTCATCAGGCCGGCCTGTGCCTGTCTCCTTGACACTGATCTCGTACTCGCGGACCATATCCTTCAGTACAGTCAATGGCTTCTTCATTCCAAAGTTGCACCCCTGTTGCAATTCACTCAAGCAGGTCCAGTAGAATGATATCAGCTTTACGTAGTCACCCCGTCTGTGCCGCTCTCGATCGAGGATGATGACCACTGCTGAGTACGCCGCATAGGACAACATAAATGGCGCGCCGCGCAAGGTGAAGGTATCGCGGTAGCATCGCACGTATTTTCCGATGCTGAGCGCGCTCTGGGTGCATGTATCTTCGCTGCGCCGCCGTATGCTGTCGTTGGAATGGTGCCAAAGATGGCCATTCTCCAAGAATGCTCGATGGAGAAGGATAGTCAGGGCATGGAATGCGGCACTGGGACAAGACATGTTAGAGCAGTTGAGATCAGATGGATCAGATTGATGTGTGGGACTTACTGAAGTACAATCTGATGCGGTGGAGGTATTGAAGGGCCGTCCGGATCGAAACGAAGGTGATTCGGCAGCGACGCACTCCAGTGCTGGAGTGCTTGATCGCTTTCCATCAACTCTTGCTGGATGTAGTCTTTTCTAGATCTTATGGCATTGATTCCATACAACTGGATAATTCGCGTAGCGATTTGGAAAAGACGTGAGAGAGCAATGAAGGTGGATACTCCATACGCTGGCTGAGGCGTATATGCTGGGGGACGACTAGACGGTGTCTCGGGATCGATGTACGGTTCCCACTTCTCCAGCTCCTCGAAGGTGTCCAGAAATGAAAGCGGTACTCTGGCTTCTATCGGGGCTAACATGCAAGGACGTCCGAGGAACAAAGCCTGGGTGGCATCGATTGCCATGGCGCCCCAGTAGAGCCTCTTCCTCATCTCCTGTTCAACATCATTGAAATGTGTTGTGTTTTCAGAATGTCCTCCCGATTCGGTACCAGAGCTTGATTCCAGAGTAAGATGACAGCCGAGGTCGATCACCATACGGTAGGCAAGCCCGGAAAGATTCCATCCAGCACTCGATCGTCCGTGAGACACAAGAGAAGAACTGGTCAGAAGCAGGGCCGCAGCAGTGGGAATACTCGGCGGTTTCGACAGTTCTTTGCCCAATAACTGGCAAAAACGATCATAGAAATGCGCTCCAATGCTCTGAGGATCATCGGGGTCTGCCTGAAGACACGACCTGTCGCTGAACAGGGAGCTGGAGTAGAAGATCGCATTGAGAAGCAGGTTGTTGACCCACGGGCCTCCACCGCTCGCCAAGCTATCAATAATGGCTGGGCGGTAGGATATGAGGTAGGCATAATGAAAGCGATTGAAATGAAGATCGAGAAGATGCTTGGCCAAACCGGGATCACACTCATCAAAATCAACCTTGATTCGTGGTTGGTTGTAGATCCAGCTTTCACGCTGACTCTGTAATGCCGCGTAGCTGATGAGACGAGCCTTGACAGCAGCAGAAACAAGCTCTTGTATCGGTTCGTTGGAGCGTTTCTGGGTTGGTTCTCTCCTGGGCATATGATTGAGGACGCTGGTTAGGCCGTGTACCGAGGAAATGCACCCATCATCGCGAAGAATTGCGGCCAGCCGCGCCTCTCCTGGCGAGAGACTGGCAGTACTTGTCGCTTCGGTACCCCTGTTTTGGCGAGCACGGCCTTCTGAGCTGTTTGGATTTGATGGCGATCCGTCGACACTCAGTCCTGAGCCATCGAAGTAATTTCCACCAGTCAGGTCATCGTCGCAAGGGCTGACTTGAGGGCTTGCAGCATTGAAATGAACCACAGGACGGTGTTCCTCTCCGGGCTCCCCTAGAGTGGCTGGAATAGATGTTGGTGCGTTCTGATCGCTCGGTTGTAGCAGAGGCGCCGGTGTTGACTCCGCCTGGGCGTCCATGTCGTGTGTGCCAGCTGCAACGGAAGCCAACTCAAGGAGCCCTTGCCTCGAAGCTGGGGGACTGCGAAATGACGGCGCGCCGAGCCCGACGACAGGGTGGGCGCCAGAGATCCATTGCTCAGGCCGGGAATCTGGGGCCGCGATGCCAGATGCCTTCATGTATTCCAGCATGTTGGTCACCGTTGCTTCGAGGGTCCGGAGCCGCGCCCGAGACGGCCGGGGCTGGCTCCGCGCATCTTGAGGGTAAGCGCAGTCAAGATCATCATTGACACACTCGGTACACCTGGGGCGTGTGCCGCAGCAGCGGACCTTCTTGACACGACATGACACGCAGGTCTTGCAGGTCTTCGCCTCTCGGATGTTGGGGATGCGCCGCGTTCTGTTGCTGGGTTGGGGCATCTTCTCCATCATCCCGGGTAATTCGGACGCCACAAGGCCAGCCTTTGCTTGCTAGGGCGCCGGGCTACCTTTACCTGGTAATTGAAGTTCCAGAGGCCGGGTGAATGGGTGCAAAGAGTTGGAGCAAGGCGAGTCTATCAGAATGGAGCAGGTTTGAATCCTTGGGAACATCCCCGAAAGTCTCCGCACTCACCCCCACGACCCCACAATGTACACCAAGGACAATCTAACCTCATTTCCGGCCTTTGAGTTCCTCTGTGGACCGAGGGCGGCGAAGCGAAGACACCCAGCGAAGGTTGCTTGCTTGTATTGTCAGCCGTGGTCCATAGGCTTGGCCACTCACACCTCTCGTTTCACGCACTCAAGTGGACAGAATACAAGAATAGCCATCAGGCTGGCCTTTCTCTCGACTCAGCTGTCTCCGGACTTTCTGCATCGAACTCGGCCCCAGTCTCGCAAACCCTCATCCTGTATCCAACCGCAACTGTCCGATATGTCGCTTGAGCAAAAGACGGCCACAACGGTCCAAGACGCCGACAAGGCTGAAGCCAAAGAGTACGAGAGCACGATGATCCCGGATGTTGCCACGACCAACGCGCCCATCTCGGTCGAGGAATTCGCCCACCTCGACGAGAAGAAGATCTTGAGAAAGATGGATCTTCGTCTCATCCCCATGTTGACTCTTCTTTACTTGCTGTCATACCTAGACCGTGAGTCAAACCCTTCAGCTAGTGTTCAGCCACTCTCAGTTTCAGTTGCGACGAGTTGGAACTAACAAGACGTGCAATGCAATGCAGGTGGAAATATCGGAAACGCCAAAGTCGAAGGCCTCGTTGATGATCTACACATGTCAGGCGATCAATACAACTGGTGCCTCACTGTGTTCTTCTTTACCTACGCTGCTTTCGAAGTCCCCAGTAACTTGGTCCTCAAGAAGCTCCGGCCCAGCCGATGGCTACCAACTATCATGATTGCGTGGGGAGTAGTTATGACATTGATGGGACTCGTAAAGAACTACCACGGCTTGCTCATTTGCCGTATCTTCCTTGGAGTGACGGAAGCCGGCCTCTACCCTGGTGTTACAGTGAGTCGTGCATACACTCAAATCTCTTCGCCTTGCTGTGCAGATACTAAAGAGGTTCCGACCTAGTACTATCTGACAATGTGGTATTGCCGTCACGAGATGCAAATCCGCCAGGCACTCTTTTTCTCTGCTGCCTCCATCGCGGGGGCGTTTAGTGGCCTTCTGGCATTTGGCATCGCGAAGTTGGACGGTACAGCGGGGCTGGAAGGCTGGCGATGGATTTTTATTCTGGAGGGCATCGCGACTGTCGCTGTGGCTATCTCGGCATTCTTTGCTCTGTACGACTTTCCAGAAACAGCTGGCTTCCTGAACGGGGAGGAGAAGAACTTTGTCCTCTTCCGTCTCCAGCACCAGGGCGGCATGCGGGATGCTGATGGCGAGAATGTGGGAGCCACAGTTCAAGAGGCAGGGGAGTTCAAGTGGGCGTATGTCCGTCAGGCTTTCACTGACTGGCAGGTCTGGACTTCGATCATTGTCTACTGGGGAGTGAGTATTACCTACATAGCATTGTCTCTATCCCTTCATGTCACCCCTGACCCGGTGAAACCAAATGTGCTAACTGCAAATCAAAGTTCGTCTGTCCCATTTTCGGCATCAGCTTGTCGCTTCCATCTATCATAGCCGACATGGGCTACGGACGCTCCACGGCCCAATTGATGACGATCCCCATCTATGTTGCTGCCTCCATCATCGCCCTGATCGTCGCCTACTCATCTGACCGAGCTGGTCTACGCAGCCCGTTCTTCTTAGGTTGCATGATGCTCGTTGTGGTTGGTCTTGCTATGTATGTACAAAACCTTGGTCATATATGTGACGCCCTACTGATTCACTTCTGCAGGTGCCTGATCTCAAAGGACTCCAAGGTCGTCTACGCGGGGCTGATCGTGGCGGCTTGCGGCATGTACCCGGCTTCTCCTAGTGCCGTCACTTGGCTCTCAAACAATTTATCTGGCACGTATAAGCGGAGTACGGGTATGGCCCTCCAGATGTCTATTGGCAACCTGGGAGGTGCCATGGCTTCCAACTTCTACCGCGCCCGAGATGCACCGCGGTACATCATGGGACATGGCCTCTCGATGGGCTTTGCAGTCGCTGGCATCCTCGCTGCAGGCGTGTTAGTCATGGGTTACACCCTGAGAAATCGGAAGAGACAACAGGCTGTCAGAAACGGAGAGAGGGCTAGCTTCACCGAGGACGAGCTTGCCTTCAAGGGAGACAAGGCTATCACCTGGCGATACATGTTGTAGGCAGCATGTCATAAAATCTAAGACGAGCCTTGTCTATGGCTGTGCTTAGTACAGACGTATCTATGTCGAGAAGCCTCTTACCAGTTCTGTATCAAATCACTAGATATTTGTATCTTATTGAACCATCGTCATAGTCATGACCAGAATCGCTGATTAATCTGAGATCTATCGATTCAAGTGGCCATATAATGTATGATGGCTCGGCTCGGTCTGGAAGGGTCCACATTAGCAGTTGCTAACCAATGTAGCTGGACCTCTTCTGTAAAGTGGCGAATGTATGTCGCGTGTTTTGGTAGTACTCACCGCCAAGATGACACATCTCTTCACCGTCAAGGCATCTTACTAGTAGGAACACCTTCAGCGTACATTTAACTATGAACAGGCTTGGCTAGGCACATCTGGGATCGGTACTCGATCGAATCTAAATTTGACCCCTAGAATATCCCCCAAACCCAGCAACAAATCTTGAAGTTCTTGCAGGCTTTGCTTGTCTGCCCCGTTCAGCTGCATGCCAATCATATGGTTCCGCAGTTGGTCAGGGGAATTCATTCCGTAAAGTGCAGACACCATAGCATATGCCGATGTCAGATCGTCGAGGATAGCATCAAATGAAAACAGTCTGCCATATATGATGTCTGTTGTCACTTGTCAGCACAAAGCTTCCAAGATATCCAATCTTCCCGACACCACCACGAGAAATTAAGGTCAGAGTACCTTACGTACCTTTGACTATGAACCAATAATCCGGACTAGCCCGTGCGGTGACCTCGGGCTTGAATAGTGGATTCTTGTCATAGACTCTGCTGAAGAATTTCTTGCCTCGTCTGATGGCTGTTGCCTCAGTCTCCTGCAACCTGAGTGACTCCTTGACCAGCAGGCCCCCCGGAGTACATTTCGCAAACACGCGAAGGCCGTTCCCAGTTCTAGCAGCTCCAGCAATGCCAAGAGACTTTACTAGACCCTCTTGAATCTGTTGAACCGCTTTGAACTGATCATCATGCGATAATCCAGCGAGGAGGTTTGCTTCCAGGTGCGAGTACACTTGAGGAATAACATCGGCGTAGTTCAGAGAGGAGAGGTTGACGATAACACACATGTACCATCGCACTTTAGTCGCCGTGTCCTTCGCATTTAGGACAGAGCTGAAGAATGACTCGGGAAGCGTGGGAGTAATCGGGGCCATTTTCCTTAGTGAGGGAGTGCAATGGATGTCCAGTTTCGCAATGACCGAGTAGCTGCTTGACTTATGATGGAACTAGATGTAGTCGCATTGGGGACTCGGCCGTCTCCAAATCGGTGTAGCACAAATTGATTCTTTTAGTACAAGAAAACCATAAAACAACTCCGGAGGTAAGTACAGATTAGGGTTGGTCTGAGCCAAACATTGCCCAGACTCCAAGGGCCCTCCAGTAGGTGGTGGAGATGGTGGAGTGGATACATCTTGAAGAATCTCGGACTTCTATGTCCAGCCAATGAGAGGATAGCAGATTTGGCGTCCTCAAGTGAGCACCTACACGACACTCGGAAAAGGGCATTGAAAAAGCCACTTATTTCATTCAGATTACCACTGATTACTCGGGCTTTCTTTGGAATGGTGTACTAAGCCGTCTATTCTGTCCACGATCTCCATTTCTGCCAAGCTGGAGACTGGCCCTGTGGTTTCAAAGCTGTCAAAGCAGCCATGTTTGTCATTGTTCCCCTGTGCGATGTCCCATCCCGGGAAAAGAGCGACCGCGTTAGTCCATTGCAAATGGTTTGTTATGGTTGTAGTTTTAAAGCTAACCAAGCGCTATGGTGTAGTTACTCAATCTGATCTCGGATGTCGCTAGCTTCACTAGGGAAAAGGAACTTGACTGCCTGTCCTACGGCTGGTTTCGGAGCGCGGGCGATACTGACTCTGTGCCTCACCACTGGATTCGCGGCCTAGAAGTGTATGTAGTGACCACCCACGCATCTTGGTCCCCTGTTCTCTGTCCACTCATCAGAATTTTGGTAGCTGTTTAATCACTAACTATCTTGTAGATACAAATTCCCGGAGGCCAATCGAAAGATTCATCGGGCTGGCAAAGCATACCAAGCATTTCGTGAGGGAGCCGTTGCTGAAGCCTTACTGAACGGCTATCCCGATGTGAGGTTCTGGAGCCCCATTGCAGGTTTTATGACTCGCGCCCCTGTAGACTTTGAGTCAAAATCGCAACGAGCATCGCCGTGGTATATTGGAATTCAGGATTTAGTTCCGCGAAATGGCTCGAGATCCCGTTTGCTAGAAGTGCTCCACTCGGTGGCCAAGGTAGCTGAAACCTCGCCTGGGGTTGAGAGCTTCTGGGTTCTAGAAAGGTCTGACAAGGAGGATGGCGATGATCTGATCTTGTTTTCTGCCTTTGTATCAAAAGCCAAGTTTGACACTTTTGTATTTTCGGAACAAGCTGCGGCTTGGAACGCTGTCAGAGAGTTATGCCAAAATACTACTACGACAACTTGGCTTGGTTCCGGAATAGGATTTGTCGGCAGGTAGGGTCTACCCAACAGCAGGAGACCAACTAAATTATTCAACCAATCTTCTCCGCTGGCTCAAGAACTGCAACGTTGATATTTGCCACAACCACGCGTTTCTGTACATGTGGACATTCACTAGCAGGTTGCTCAAGGCTCATCGCTTCAGAACATCAAGTTTTCCATGCAGCACAACTCAGACATGTCGTCAAATTTAAGATACCTCTTTACGTGCTTGTGGGTCTGGACTCTGCAGATCGATCATCTATGAACGGGGTTGTAGTGCATGGCATTGTGTCCAGTCGGGTCAGCAGCTCTTAGCAGCAGCTGAAGGCGGAGAAACGGTGCGCAGACGGGCAGCACAAGAAAACAGAGCAGGTGATGGATGTATTGTGTATGTATCTAAGTAGTGTACCAATGTACTTAGCCAGCTAAAATACCAAGCCCACATGGGGCGCACTTTCCGGTCCCACACACGGCCATATTTCGATGCTAGGGACCCCCACTGGCTTCATTTATGCTTTCATAATGACCGAGCCGAACCAGTGTGACGATGGTGATGATGGTGTTGGCACAGGCGCCTCCAAAAACGATGATAGTATCGGCACCGGTCCTTCATAGACATAGCCCTAAAAAAAACATAACACCCACATAAAGGAGAAAGGAGAAAAGAGAAACGTTCAGTCTAAGTAAAGCAAGGAAGTGTATTGTAGCAAGCATCTTAATAGCGTTAGATCCAGCCACGAGGCTACGATAGTACGATCTGACGTTCCCAACCAAGGGCACCTATAAGGCTACAGCATTCAGCTCTAATAAATATAACAATAGTATGGTAGCAGCAGTCAGCCTACAGTCAGACGATCTAGATAATCGGTAAGACACAAATAAGAAGGATCAATACTCCAGTCAGAGTAATGGTGACACAACACATTCCCTTGAGGGCAATGATGAAATATCGGTGGACCATCGTGGAGAATCCGGGGTTGTCCTGGACAATCGCAGGGACAGCGTTCTGGACGACGTCTTGGACAACGGGGGCGGCGGGCTCGACTGGGTCAACAGGGGCGACCGCATTAGCCGGGACCGGTGGAACATCTTGATATCACTGGGAGACTGGCGAATCTATATCTGGGCATAAAGATCTGGCAGGATGCTGACCAATGATGTAAGATTCCCACTACAAAAAGGAGATGCGGGGGAGCAGTGTGGAAACGAGTGGAGATATGAGGAACTACCTACCCGATGATACGGTACCCTTCTGTCATATTGAGGCATCCCTCACATCTAAACAGCCAGAAATTCACGTAAGGACTTGGGGGGCTCTAACACGCCCCTCTCTGTTCGACATGTTTGCATATCCATAAGGCCAGCTAGCTTGACTAGGTACCTCGAACCTTTTTGCAGCTTGGGCGGTTTCGTGTCTATCGCGAAGATGTCATTGGAGCAGCTCTTGTACCCTGCAGCTCTCCATTCTAGAACCCCTTCGGCTTTTTTTCTACTTGATAAGCTGCCATCTGCCGATGACAGGGCCTATCATGGTTCTCGGTGCCAAACCATGCAACGCCCAGATCGTATGATTGCCAAGAAGTCACAGCTTTGCGTGAGAAAGGTTCTGCCCTCGAATTTGTCATGGGGGTTAGGTGGCGCTAGCTAACGTTTCAATTCTGAAGTCTGGGGTACTGAGTCTCGACAATGCGTCCGCGTTTTGCGAGCCGCCCAAAACGGGTTTTGCGGGATATTCCAGCCAGGCATGAATGTTTTGAGACCCTGAGAAAACTCTAATGCTCTTTCGGCTAGGTAGTTTTAGTTCTACCACAGCTGTGGGTGGTCTAGTGGTCCCTGCAGATCAGGATCGCCTGAGAACAGCCCTGAGAGGTGCGCACCGGCGATCAAACAAGCCACAACCGGGGCCATCCGACAGACCCGCGATCCCTGCTGGAGCCAGGGTCCTCACGATGTCGCCGAGTTTGCCGTTTTTGGCTAAGTCAACGTAGATAGACGGGCTTCAGGTATCGCTGCTGGCGACGGCGAGGGCTTAAATAGAAAATGCAGGCCACCATACTTGGCGGCCAACAGAATTGAACGGCATTATGAGCAACACTGACAAACAAACACCATTGGAGCCTAATCATGGAGAGACTTTCGTCCAACTCGTTAGAAAGCTCGGCGGCGCTGGTTCATCCAACATCGCTGGCTGCTTCCAAGCACAGATCGGTGGATTTGCCTGGGAGCGTCTACCTCATCTCATCAGATGGCAAGCTTCTCAAACTTCCTATTCCGAGCAGTTCTCCGTGGGATCCACTCAATTGGAGCCTCACAAAGAGGGCCGGAGTTGTAGCCACAGTTGTCTACTACTCCGCGATTTCCCTCCTCGCCGTGCAGGCTCCCGGGCCTATGTTCAATGCATACTTCAAAGAGTTCTCGGAACAGGTATGATTGGTCATTGATGTCTATGCGGCCGTATGGGCTGACGTCGTTCTAGAAAATTGCACCCTTCCATGTTACTGACTTGTCGTCTTATCCAACCTTATTCTTGGGGATCGGTGCTATGGTTTGGATGCCTCTATCCTTGGCTATAGGGCGCAGGCCGGTCTTCCTATTCTCTACGGTGGTCCTGTTCATCGGAGTAGTATGGGCAGTCCTATCACCCAGCTTCCATCATCTGTTGGTAGCTGTCTGTCTGCAAGGGCTAGGAGCAAGCACAGCACTTAGTGTTGTAGGTGCAAGCGCCTACTCATAACGAGCCATAGCTAATTCTCAGCAGCTGCTCATCACCCTCATCGACATCACCTATATCCACGAACGACCTCAAGTCATGGCCATATACTGGGGGTTTGGCGCCAGCCTCACTCTCATTCTGCTCTTTCTGTTGCCGCTCATGACAGACGTGAACAACAACTGGCGGCCCTTTTACCAAGTTTGGACAGTTCCCACCTTCATCGCGGTTGTTCTCGTCTATCTCTTTGTCCCAGAGACGTACTTCGTACGCCCACCCATTGCCTTTGACGGACGCATACTAGTGCAGTCTGGGTCCGAAAAGGTCAGAGTGTACGAGGACTGGAGAGAAGTACCCGGCGGGAAGCCTCTGCCAAATACGCCAGCTCCGTCTGCCTTCATGCTTTTTTGGAAGCAACGCCGCATATTTCGCCGGAACATGGACTGGAAAGCCATGGGTGCTTGCTATCCACAAATCTTCCTTTGTCTCTGCAACCCGCTCGTCTTCTGGGTCGCGGTCCTGAATGCCATCAACTTCGGTGGCATGATGTCGATTGGCGTAACCTTCCCCATCATTCTCAGCCAGCCCCCGTATTCACTTTCAGCCCGTCTGATCAGCTTTGTCAGTCTTGCTGCTGCCGCCGGCGCATTGTTGGCTTGGCCAGCCTCGTCGATCGTCCTCAATCGTGTCACCAAAAGACTCACTCTGCGCAACAAGGGCGTTCGGCATGCCGAGTACTATCTCCCTGCCTTCCTGTTGCCTATTATGAGCAGTGCTGCCAGCGTTCTCCTCTACGGGTTTGCCGTTGAAAGGGGTTGGCCAGCTGGATGGACGTATCTGGCATACGCTCTCAACACCTTCGGCTCTATCGGTGCCGGCATCGCCAATACAATGTGGGTCACAGAGGCCTTCCCAAAGTGGGCTGCTGCAGCACTCACAGTTGTTGGAGGCGTCAGCTACATTGCCAGCTGGGGAATCAGCTCTGTCATTCCCCTCTGGTTGAAGTCCCAGGGATATCTGAAGATGAACATTGAGATCGGCCTAGCCATGCTGCTAGTCGGATTCGTGGGAGTTCCGGTCGCCTTTTGGGGCAAGAATGTACGGCAATTCTTGGATGGAAGATGGGGTACGCATGAAGGAGGTGGGCTGCGGCCTCAGTGAGATGATTTCAAAGTACGAGATGCCAGAGAACTCTACAAGAGCAATCATCTCTACGGCTGTTTCTGGTTTGTTTTTCAAAAAGCACTTTCTTATCATTTGCCTTATGAGACCATGAGGAGCCACTCATTATTTTAAGACATACAAGAAGGGTCTCTCAGAAAGAGAGAGAGAGAGAGAAAGGAGAGGGGCGAAATAGTCTATTTGTTTAGCGGAGAAGATACTTGCGACTCTAGTCTTAAAGAGGTTCTCATTCGTTATGGTCTAGATAGGAAAAATAAAACATCGCCACAAGATGTTCGACGAAAAATACAGGCAGGTCTGTCCTTGAATGAGGGTGCCAAGTGCGTAGTGTAACGAAGGTATCTGTGGTTGTGATGAGGGAGTGACGTAAAGTGTTTTCCGGACCAATTAAGGAGAGCGGCCCTGGCTCCGGGATCGACGCGCTCGCTTACTTATTCATGTGTAGCAAAGCAAACCCTCCGCACAAACACCGTCAAATATCAGCTGAGGTCCTACTTGTTCGTGTTTACCTGTGGCAGCAGCACGACGAACACAATGAGCTCGTCGCCTCCAAACCCGTTGTTGCGCGCGATTTTGCCAAAACCTTCGGCTGGAGCCCCGCCCGCACTATCTGCGGCCTCGGCTGGCCGCTTGTTGCCGCCCAAGAGGAAAAGCATCACCGTCGCTTGTGAAGATTGCAGGCGCCGTAAATCAAAGGTGACGTCACCCATTCCGGGATGCTTTGGGCCCCCTCCTTGACTGACTTGGATGGACCTCCTAGTGCGACGGCGCCCGGCCCAGATGCTCAAACTGCAGCGCTCGAGATCAGCTGACGTCTCTCAGCCAGCAAGAGGCAGTAAGCGGAAGCGCGCTGCCGACCCGGAGCTGTACGCAGAGCTTTTCAACTTGCTCAAGGCTATGAGTGATAGCGAAAGCCTGGAGGTTCTTGACCGGGTGCGACAAGGCGACGATATCTCCGACATTGTCGGCCAGGTCAAGGATGGCAACCTGCTGTTGCAACTTTCCCTCGTTCCCGAAGTCAGACGACATTACGAAATCCCATACCTCCCTGGATTCCCTTCCTTTCTCAAGGACAGGCCCAATCCTTACCTTGAGGCGTTATTCTATGACACAGCAACTATCGGCGTAACCCGTAGTGGCACAAACTTGCAGGCCAACATTCCTGTTGCAAGCGTTGATTGTGCAGAGCAGGCTCCATACCTCACTCCTTACTCCGTGGCAGAGATAGTCGACCCCAATCTCTGGAACGTGACGACGAACAAATGGACTTCGGTTATACATGATGACCAGCTTCTGCGAAAGCTTCTTCATTCGTACTTTCTCAATCAATACCCCACATTCTTCCCCTTTCAGAAAGACTACTTCCTCCAAGATATGGCCACCGGGCGCCAGCGCTTCTGCTCCCCACTGCTCGTAAACGCTATTCTGGCCGCAGCCTGTCACTCCTACAACGAGATTCAGGACAGGGTCAAGTTCTGGATTCCACAAAATCTGGGTTACCGGTTCTTCGCTGAGGCCAAGGGGCTCTGGGAACTGCAAATCGGCCAAAGCAGCCTCACTGCTATCCAAGCAGCTGTCGTACTGAATACCATCTCTAATGGAGATGGTATGGACAAAGTCGGGAGGATGTACATGCTGCAAGCCGCGGCAATGGCCCATGACATGGGCCTTTTCACATCTTCCGCCGACATCAAAAGCACCAAATTGCGGAGGGCCAGGGAGTTTACGGCTTGGGGTCTACTCTGCTGGGACTCAATGGAGAGTTTCTGCTTCCATCGAGAGCCTTTGTTCAAACTACCCCCTACTGTATTCCCGCCAGATCCTGCAGAAGATCCAACCTGGTATGGAGAGATTTGGGTGAGATACCCTCTGAATACCTCTCTCTCCCGCACTCACTTTGGCCTGAACACGAAAGCAATGATGGATCTCCGATTCATTCTATTCGAGATTGCACATGCGTACTTTGGCTCTTCCAACTCGGACCGCAGTGTACCGGCCGCTGACCAGATTCTCTGGTTCCGATCGCGGCTCGATGCTTGGTTCCATAGTCTTCCAGGTCCCTTGACTCACACAAAGATCATGCTGCCGAGTCATCTCAAGACCCACATGGAGTAGTATACCACTCTTATCATGTTGGCTCAGTCACAAAGCACATCCCAGGTCGAGTTGCCGGAGCCGTACGCGGACAAGACCCCTTCGGAAGTTATCTCAGAAGCCTACGCCAACTTGGAGACACTGGTGCGTGTATACCATCGACGGCACAGCTTCGAAAGCTCCGACGTGTTTATGGTCAATTTTCTCGTTTTCCTTGGTGGCGCGATGCTTGAGCGGCTCGCTACAGACTTCCCAGCCCAAGTTGAGGAAACCTACAGATCGACCCTCATCCTCTGTGTCAAGGCGCTGCATGCCCAGGGGGCATCCACTTACATCTGTCAGGCTTCATACTACGTCCTGCGCAACCGTATGAGGGTACAGGACCGCGACTTACTCCTGACGTATGTGAAGGAGACCCCTAACAAGGATGAGGAACTGATCGCCAGGCATACCCGGGCCAACTGGGTGATGCCCATCGTTAAAATACACGATGATCCGAAGACCGCGATTTTGGATAATATTCTCAAGGAATACGAAAAGCTGTCTCTTGAGTCTGGAGAAAGTGATGGTTCCACGTTGGATCTTTGATTATTGTTCTGCTCCCCTTTGTTATAGAGGTGCTACTTTCCTAAACCAGACTGCTTTGCTTGGACCTTTCCTTCCAATGACGCAAGATCAAGTGACATTCCGATGTGTGCTTGAGATCTGATCACAAATTGCCCCCATCCTGGCAGCATTGCCTTTCCTGTCACAGGAAGCATACGTGATCAGCTCTCGCGACTCTCATAAACTGAAGACAGAGCTTAGGTTAAATATTTTCTCTACGCCAGTGAATTTATAATGATGGCCTCGATTTAATTCACTATGCTAGTCGGGCAGAAGTCACCACCAGGTTGATCTGGTAGTCAATCCATCCATGCCATGGTGACGGTCCAAATGAGACTCACAGGCAAGTGCCTGGTTCGTGCCAAGCCAGTTAACAGCTTTCAGGCGGAAGCGCTTGGCCTCCTTATCCTGCCTTGAAACCCGCCCCATTTGGCTGACGAGGAGATGTAGACATGTGAAGATTTCTTGTCACTGCCCCATCTCGATGTCGGTGAGGACCTGGGCATTCTGGAAGCCGCGTCTATGGACGGTGTATGGGCGATAAACAAAGAGGCCAACCCGCTGTCGACAGACGACGATGACGAGCCCCTCAGCGGCATGATCTTGAACCGCGAATTCCTCTATGTTGACGACGTGTTGGAAGCGACCTAAAGTTCAACTGGATCTGACCTTCTGTGGGTGAAGATGGTAGAGCTCGGCTACGAACCAGCGCAGTACAAGTGAAACAGACAAGTCCCTTGAAGCTGCTTCGGGTGGATGAAGCTGTCTCCTGGCAACTTTTATCTTGTGTAGGAGCTGCAAGGCCAGATCTGTCGCAACGTGCCCAACCGACCCATCAGTAGGGGAGGAGACAACAGAGATTCCGGGTTTTCGGGGATTTGACAATGAACTGAAGATTCATTGCTGAACATATTTGAAATCGCAGCGTCCACAGCTCTGGTGTGTCTAATAAGATCGTATCATCAGCTCCTGTGATTCTCGTTGAGGGGTCACCGAAGTCCATTCCCTACCGCAGCCCTCGTGAAAGTTTCTTCTATTTCAGAAGCTCTGCCTGCTTGCATAGCACCTCCCGCTTGCGTAAACTGGTTTTGAGTGAGCCTCCTGAACCAGGTCTGATTAGCTAGTGCCTAAGTGAAACGTGAACAGACTGGTGGGTGTGATGGGGCGAGGGCTGGCTTTCCTGTCGAGACTTGAGCGTGTCTTCCTGCTCTGTGTGCAAGTAGTCTGCAAAGATGGGATGTGGTCAGCACTAAGCATATTTGTAGAGCCCATAAAATGTTTCAAAACACCGGAGATCTGCAGGGGTTATGCACTGACATCGATCTTTTTCCTAAGTTAGGTGAATTAGACGGGGGGCATTGCAATCCTCACTGTGTGCACGGACTTCACCTAGGTGCACAGACTTGGGAACTCGCAGTCCAAGCACAGGAGATGGTCACCGTCTCGGTGAGGTGAGCGCGAGGTCAATAAATGTGAGGTGAAAAATGAACTTCAACGTGAGCTTGTGAGTGCTTTGAGGCAAAGGGGGGATTTCGGTTAATTGTCGGACGACTGTTTGCAACCTCTTCAAAAGGCGCCAGCTTCCTGCCCCCCATTTTGATCTCAACCTTCTTCTTTCTTCCATCCCTTAGTGGGCTCATCACATAAATCATCACAACAGCCACCGCGGCTTCCTCTTTCAACGTCTCTTGTTCATCTCTCCTGTCTAAGGACATCACAGTTCCATCACACAACACGGACAAAGGTCATTGACTCAGCAACATGCCTTTCAGTATGTCGTTCAAATACTCCCGTGACCTGATCTATGGCGAGCCCAACAATGACGGCGCCGCCCCGATGTGGGATCGGCCATCTGCCAACGATGGCCTTATCTTCGGCCCCCCGGTCACCACCGAGTCTCCCATGTGGAACCGAGCCCCGGGCAACGTCCCAATCTTTGAGGAGGCGGTTATGAGCCCAGCCCCCATGTGGAATCGCCCTGGCATTAACACCCCGATTTGCCCTTGCTGCTCTTCATCGAATTCAGCCTACTGCACCAGGCATGGTACCCCGGCCTCGTCGCGTCCCGCGTCATCTCACATGGCTGTCAACACCCACGACGACAAGACACTCAAGAACATTCACTCGACTCCCAATCTCAAGGGCAACGCTTCCCCTCAGAGCCTCGGCATCAAGGGAAGCATCAAGTCCCTTCGACGCCGCGCCAGCTTCGTCTAGAAGAAGAAGACTGCCGGACATAAGGGAGAGCCGGGCGAGGTCACTCCCAAGGCCAAGTAACTACTTCGCTCACACGACCACGAGCCTTGTCATGCTTGCTGGGCATTCTTCATCACGATACCCTCTTTCATTTCATTTTACTTCATCCAGTGGCTCTTCGACCCCGCCCCGTCGGGTTCTCAACCATCTCGATTGAGCAACATGGTCCACGGCACACGATGGAGTGGATCTTAGCTGTTATACCTCGATTTTCTATGTCAGGGCAGCTGGGAGCTTTTGGTCTTTGGGGGACTTAGGGATGGGCATGGCTGTGGGTGTAGGTGGAGGAGCAGCACTTTCCACAACCAAAGGATCTGTGCACCCGGGATCGTCATTGATGCCAGGTAGCAGCTGACAGGATCTGCACACTCCATCCTTTGTCAAAACATTTCCTCATAGGAGTCTCACTGAGACAGGGGAACGATCACGGATAAATTGGCATGACTGTCAGATGACTTCTGATAGCAATTGATGAAATACTTGATCTTCATATCAAGGCTCAAGCAGAGTGATTTGAACGCGACTTGTATTAATTGATTAACTAATCTGTGAAAAAGATCAGGAAGTGTAAAGGAGACAACCTTGCCCGGGTCCATCGCCGAATAAAAAAGGGAGCCGGTTATGTGGTGGCGACCTCGCTCCCATGAGGTCACCCTGTTTGATTGTCAGTCGGTAAAAACAGACTGCTCATTGGAATAACGCACCATCAGTCTCCTCACTCTCCTCGCCCTCATCGCTTTCCTCACTCTCCTCACTCTCGTCACCCTCCTCGCTCTCGTCACTCCATTCACTCTCGTCATTCCCCTCACGCTCTGACATCTGCAGCTTCATGAAGCCCTGGTTGAAGACGCCCCTCTCAGCAGCCGCCTTGGTCTGATCAGACACACTTCCTCCATTCCGCCGAACGATGTGCTCGGGTCGAAAGGTCACCGAAACAATGTAATAGGCGATCTTGCCCGGCTCTATCTCATCACGGGTCCACTGGTAGTTATGCCAGGTACTCGAGCCCGTCCAGCGACTGACCTCGTTGCTCTTGCCCGTGCAGTCGGGATACAGAGCTGTGCCGTCCTTCCTCTTGAAGAACCACTTCTCGCACATCTGCTTGGCAATGGCGTCGACCTGGCCGGTCTTGCGCTCCAGCGACTCGAGCTCGATGCACACCTCCCGCACGCTGTCCGGCAGCGCCCTGCACACGTCCTCGATCCACTTGGCATCGAAGGACAGGTCCGTGTCGTCCTCCCAGAACCACCAGTCCGTGTGCCGGATCGTCAGGACGAGCCTGCGCGGCAGCAGGCCCGGCGTGCGCAGCAGCCTCGCCAGCCCTCCCTCCTCGAGCTTGTACATCTGCGCAAAGACGCGCAGCCCCTCGATCTCGACGTCCCGGCCGCCGCCTGGCGGCTGCTCCCCCTCCCGCTCCCGGATCTCCTGCAGCCGCCAGCGCAGGTTCTCGGGCGTCATGTAGACGCTGTACTCGGGCGGCGCGCGGTCCGGCGCCGTGAGCCAGTGCGTCTGCTCGCGCAGGACGAAGGGCAGGAACCAGCACTCGGCGTAGACGGCGCGGCAGGCGCGCAGCAGGGCGACGTCGCTGCGGCGCGGGGCGAAGTAGGTCGGCCGCGTGTAGCAGGTCTCGTCGGCGTAGCGGCGGTCCGGCGAGGGGTCCGGGAAGTCGGTCAGGGCGTGGGCGAAGATCTGGCTGCGGAGCTCGCCGGGCAGGCGGCTGAAGAGCGGGGAGGCATCCTGCTTGACTGCAGGGACGAGGAGGAGCCGAGTGTGTAGCGGGAGTGTCTCCATTGCTGCTAATGGCGACGGGGTCGATTGAAATGCGGCATTTAGGATGGATGCTGGGAGGAAAGTCCTCATATATAAATATTTCATGGATCCTGGCTTAGTGCGGGTCGCGTATGTGTGACGCATGAGTGATTCTAGGCAGCACCGAGTATGTTGGTGGACAGGGGAATGGTCATACAAAAGCCGACGACTCGACAAAACTTGTATTAATTATGCACTAGTTATGGGGGAAAGCGAGATAGCACGATACTTTGCAGTTTGGATCACAGGTAGGAATTCAGATGTCTGGGTAATATCCTCTTCACTGCCTTTGATGCTTGGATTGATCTAAGTGCGCTCACTCAACCTGCAGGCAGTAAAGGCGAGCGCAGACCTTCGGTGACAGTCTCACCTGAATCGCAGAGGCCGTGGCATCCCACTCCGCTTCGGAAGCGAACCCGGCAGGATAGAGAAGCTCAACTTTGACATTCTGCTCTCCTTTGAGCGGCGATATCGGAAGAGAGCACTGCTCCTGGCCACCACGTCGCCAAACGCTAACATAGCACTTCTTGGACCTGAGGTCTTTGCTCGGAGCAGTCATCAGGCCCAGGGAGAGCCAGTCGTCGTGCCACTTGGGTAGACCCAACGGCCAGAAAGGCAGGGCGGAGGGGATGTCCCCTCGGATGCCCTGATACACCTTCATGCCATCGTATATGAGCTTCAGCTGCTCTTCCGGCATGATGTCCAGCCTGCCACTGAGGTGAATGCGGCCGAGAAGACTGTTGACAACCGTCATAGCATTCGTTTCATCACTCCAGTCTGGTTGCGGGTACGCCCAAGTCGCGCCCTGCTCTGGGATGACGGCTGTAGGAATGGCCGCAGCGATGGCAGCATACCGTACCGGATCTTGCTGGTCACTGGTCGACTGTAGGGTGTGCACTGCCAACGAGGCGTAATCCATGCGCTGGGCGCCACTTGAGCAATTCTCAATGACCAGATCTTTATGGCGGTCGAGGAGGCGGCCCACCCAAGCAAGGTACGCGCGGTTGTGGTCAAGCTGGCCGACGCCACCACTGACGCCGCCTACATCTGTGCCTTGTACGATCTCCACGTTGTAGTCGAACTTGAGGTAACATGCACCATACTCGTTAACTAGTCTGTCGATGACTTCGTCCATGCGCTTGATGACAGCCGGATGTCGGAAGTCGAGGTGATAACGGTTCTTTTCAAGTATGCGCTTTCCATCACGCTGGAAGAACGCTTCATCAGGGAGATTCTTGGCCATGATGCTGCGGACGCCGATAACCTCTGGCTCGATCCACAGACCGGGCTTCAGCCCCTTTTCGCGAATCTTTCCCAAGAGCTTCTCGAAGCCCATCGGGAACCGCTTCTTGCTCGGCTCCCATTCTCCGACGTCGTCCCACCAGTTCGAGTCGTCGGCGTACCAGCCACAGTCAATCACAAAGTACTCCGCTCCTGACTTGGCGACGGGATCAACAAGAGCTAGGACCTTCTCGTCTGAAGGGTCGCCCATTAAACAGTTCATGTAGTCATTGAAAAATATGCTGTTATCCTCGTGTGGGCGGCGGATGCGGCGGCGGTACTGTGTCAGGGCTGCAAAGGCAGTATCTGCGTTGCCCTCAAGATGGCAGACCGCCGCTGTGACGCTAGTGAAGGAGTCGCCTGGACTGAGCTTCTGCCACCACTCGTGGTCGGTAGCGTTTGGACCAGAAGCAGCGAGGTACACGTTGTCTTTGTAGTCTCCAATCTCCCACCGCCACGATCCGTTGTTCTCAATCTGCCACAGCCACGTCTCGGTATTATCCCGCCTCTTGAGCATGCCCATGGGCAGATGGCCCTGCGTCGAGAAGGTACCGTGGTTGGAAACTGAGTATGAGGCAATGGAGGCAAAATGAGCGTCCGGCATGCCGTAGATTCCGAAGTCGTCGATCCCGGCGTCGGGTAGGGAGGTGTCTTTCCATTGTGCCTCTCTAAACCAAGTGTTGTTGGCTTCGGAGATCACGTAGTCATTCCACCACTCCTTGGAGCGTGCGAGACCGCCGACAACCAGTGAGGAGACCTGGGAGACTGTGATCTTTTCGTCGCTATCGTTTCGAACCGTGGCCGAGGAGCGCACAACGGGGATGTCATCGTAGACAGTAAGGTGACTTGTCACGGTGATTTGTGTCTTGTCATCGTACATCTCAATATCGAGAGTTGTAACTCTTGATTCGGCATGCCGTTCCTCCTGGTGCTTGCGGTATTGGAGGCGTTTGCCGATGTAGCTAGCAACGAGAGACTTGGACGATTTGGAAGTATGATTGCCCTCGCCGGTAAGCCTTATTTCTGCAAGAGGGAGACTGTGATTGTCAAAGTAGCGCGACGCCGAGGGGCGGGCCTTTGTCCCAGTTGTCACGATGTCATCCAGGAAAACAGCTCCATTCTCGTCGACTCGTATGATAGCTTTGACGGCGTCGTTCCCGAAAATGATATCCTGCTTATTGAACTGACTTCCCATGGTGTCCGTGAGTCGTGAAAGGGCTCTCTACTTGATGATGTTGCCATCTTCACCCATCAACCCCCTTCCTGACTGCAATTATACTTGAAATTTCTCCAACTCGTGAAGGTGGCCGACTCCCCGCAGTGTGTGATCTTTCTCCACTTCTGCTACCAACGCGGCTTTCGACGTCTCGGATTGGCGGAGCACCGACGGCACGACAGCTTCTCCACCTGGAGTGGAATGGGGAGAATTGATGCCCGTGTCGGGCGCTGATCCGACGACTTCCCCACGTTCAAACGAGGTGGATCATCATCTCCGCAACAAATCGACCTTTACCACGCGGAGAAGGCAGGCAGCGTGCGCCGCAGGCCCTCGCACCCAATGTTGTTATTACAGGGCTGACCATGCCCTGCGAATCCTGTCTCTTGAAAGCCGCACTCCAAGAGACCAGATGCCGTAATCCCGCCGGGAAAGAGGCGATAAGATGAGGCCCGCAAAAGCGTGTTACACCTGCCGGTAAGACTCAGTCAAGCGCGTCCGACTCGCGGCGTGATCTGGGGCGGTCCATGTTGCTGACAAGACGGTACCAGGATCTCCAAGAGAGGGTGTCGGACCCGGTCGGGTCTGGACGCATGTGTCCGGTGCGACGGTCTCGGCATCAACTGTAGCTTTGTTGAGCGGGCGAAGCAAGGCCGATCTACTCCGGCATCGATCAAGCTGACCTCTTCCCCAGCTGTTTCTGGACAACTCCCTAATCATCGAGCTATCCACGCAATAGACCAAACACCAGCAAACCCCGTCGCCGGTGATGCCTTTTCTTCGCTCCCCAGCCCGCAAGCCGGCCTGCACCAGCTTCGTCCAGCGCAACAGCGGGAAGCTGTTATCTGGTATTTTCGCATTATCCACGATAAACATCATTCGCTCTTTCATGAGCCCACATTTATGAACGATCTTGATAACGGCCGTATATCCCCTGTCATTTTTGCCTCCATGATAGCTCTTGGAGCTAGGTAAGGAGTTCCATCTGTCCAGGGATGATTGACCTGAAGTGAAGTGGGCTTGCTAATAGAGTGAACGCAGATTTACCGAGCTGCCAGAGAGTCTAGTATCTAAGAGACGGCATTATGGGGATTATTATGCCGAGCAAGCACACAAACAACTTGACCTTCGAGTGATCTCAATCACAACAGTGCAAGAGTGCATCCTTCTTGGCACTCTTTGCTTCGTCGAAGGCAAACCAGAATCAGAAGCGCTATACTATGCCGCAGCAAATAGGCTGGCGCAGATCCTAGACTTGCCTCACAGGCCAGCTAGTAACGAGCTCGAGAGACAGGTCAACTTGAGAGGTGCGAAATGTCAAGTCCACACAAAATGGCCGCCGATAGCTAACCATGATCCAGTCTGGTGGTCGTTGTACATGATAGATATCTGGACATCTAGTGGATTGCGTATCCCGCGAGAGCTGGACTTGCAAGGCGCCACCGATCTTCCCATCGATGAAGAGCATTTCCTGCGGCTGGCTTACGCTTCTCCACGGTCTGAATATGGAGCACCGGGGATATGGGCGGAGATGGCCAAGCTTGCACGGATCTGGGCAGAGATCCAAGTCCTCAATAAAGCATCTGTCGACGGGAGGCTAAGCCCAAACTCCCTAAACCGGTCTGTGGACGAACTAGCCGCAAATTTGGATCGTTGGCAGGCAGAGCTTCCGGAATTCCTGGTCGAGACTCCCGAGAATCTCACGCGGTGGAATGGGAACTTGAGGACAGCGTTCGCCGCCCTGCACCTGGGCTTCCACTTCTACAACGAAGTGCTATTCTACCAGTTTCTAGCCAAGGGCGACAACGGAGGAAGGACTGCAGACGTCTCAAACTATGCCCAGCGGTGCACATGGCACGCGCTGGCGTTTTGCGACCTGCTCTATGCCTGCGAGGACACAGAAGACTGCGACTGCCTGTACGTCATGGTTGGACACATGCTCACAGTGACGAGCACCGTCTACGTCCATACCCTTCTCTTCAGCTTCGACGAAGGAGAGGTTGGCGAGGCGCGCACGAGGCTCGAGCGGAACTTTGCCATCCTGACCAAGCTGCAGCGCTACTGGATCATGCTCGACCGGACCTTGAGCCGGCTGCAGGCCTTCCACAACGCGTGTAAAGAGTCGATCGAGCAGAGCTTCCAGATGGACAGCTGGATGCTGAGGTTCATCATGGAGCATGGGACCTCGCTGCCGGAAAAGTTCACGAAGCCAACTGCGCTGGGATTTGGGCATCACAGCGGCGCCACGTCGGACGGGACGTCTAGTACTGGTAGTCCCGTGGGTGTAAACTTGCAAGAATGGTATTCGCAAACGTTCGGGTAGGGCGCTATTGTTCAGTATCCTGGCCTACTAACACTACCCTCAGCTGCTGGGCCGAGGGCATTAATGGTAATAAACTCTTGAGGCACTCTAGAGATACTTGATACTGTCATCACTATCGCCACTGCACAAGTAAACTGTTGCATGCAATACCTGATACTTGGAAACGCATCTGGTCAGACGGCTAACAGGGCTCAAGATTCGTAGCATCTAGTTGCATGTGAGAAGCGATGAATGCCAGCTGAAAAGGAGCAGAAGAAGTACGAGACACTGGCCAGGCTCCTGAGCCAGCTTGTTAAGCTTGGCCTGAATCCTGATAGCCTAGACTTGAGAGCCCTGCTGCATGCTGGTTGATATTGTGCTGAATGTCGGTGTGTGTCTGGGCTCCCGAAGACTTTAAGGGGTACAACCAACCTCGGGTTCGGTCAAGTCCCTCGGCAATGAACTCTGCTCGGGACAGATCTTGGAGAAATCAACTGGCATTTTCGAAATGGAAATGTTGAACAACAGTATACCACCTTCTGAAGGCACGCGTCAATTGGCCTACCCTTGGCAAGATGTTGAAGAAGTACGTCCATCAAGTGGTCCGCAAGGCTCTCCCAGGCTTGACCCAGAACCAGTAACCGGACTATGTGCGCAACAAAACAATAGAAGTTGCAGGCATAGAGCTCTACAAAACGGATCTCACTACCGAAAGGGTCTCGGTGCCGACGTAGCTGGTCCCAGGCCGCTCAATGGGGAGCCGCACCAATGGGGATAGTGGTTCTTCTTGATATCTCGTTAGAACCGGAAATGCACTGGACGATGTAGCGCAAGAAATAGTCAACAGGGTGCAAGGGCTACGGAAGAAAGTCGGGCTTGTTTCAACCGACGAAGTTCAGATGCAATATTCCGTTATTGCAATCCCGGAAGACATTGACATTCCTTCGCCCCTGTTTACAAGGGGAGACATTGTCAAGTCAGAACTTCGTGATTCCTTAGATTCAATTTATGAGCAAAGAGCTGAAAAGTCACTTGTCGTGGAGGAAGACCATAAACTCGGGGCCTATGCCTCTTGCTAAGCCTACTTAGACCTCAGGTCACTAGGATTCTGAATGAATCTTCCCCACAAACAGATCGTCTGACTTCCCCATCGTGACCCTTATTTGATGAGCGGAGCTTCTTTCCCCAAGTCAGCCAATCAATCGGCTTCAAATCCGCCGAAAGGATTGGATTGTGATCTAATTATTTTGCCCAATCTAGCCAGACTGCCATCCGAATTTGGTTTTTATAGGGACAATCCCGACCAGGTTTGCTTGCCGCTGTGCGCAGTTTTTCGGCACTGGAGTCTGGGGGTGGGTAACAGTCGGCTCGAGAGCACTCAGCGTGCGGAGAGAGGAGGCTATTCTCCGCAAATAGGAACATTCCAAACCCGCCGTTCCTCACAAGCCCGCTTCCTTCTTCACCTGATTTTGCCTGTTACCGGATGTTACCAACACGTCCCCCACACGATGTCTTCGCAGCCTTATTGGTGACAGCTCTGTGTACGTACCACATCCGACGGATATGCAAAGGCCTCCTGCGGGGGCAAAAGACTACTGCGGGGGTTCGTATACGGGGGTTATGATCGTCGGGGTATATCATTACCTCGCCCGCGGTCATTCTGTGCCTCGTATATCCCCTCTAGGCAGCGCGAGTAACATTCAAACAACCGCATACTGGATTGCTGCGGTCTTACATCTTTTGCTCCTGGGCCAGTCTTGTCGGACTTCTCTGTTATTCCGAGCAAGAAGCGATACAGATCGAGAGGTTCATCATGTCGACCACTGAACCCGAGAAGAGTGTTTCCACAGCCGATACGCCAGGCCCTGACAAGCACCATGCCGACTCCCAAGGCTGGCACGAACATGGCAAATCCAGGGATGATGCTCAAGCCGCAAACATTGATGAGCATGAGCAGACTGTCCGGGAAGCACTGCGTGCCTATCCCAAGGCTGTGGCATGGTCCCTGATTATCTCCCTAAGTATCATCCAAGAGGGATACGATACGGTAAGTAGATTTATCTAACAAAGATCTTGGTATAAGAGAGCGCGATATTGACGTATTAGCACTATAGATCCTAATTGGAAACTTTTTGGGCTACCCGGAGTTCAAACGACAGTTTGGCGAGGGCTCTGATGAGAAGGGTTATGAGGTGACCGCAGCTTGGCAGTCAGCCCTCTGGGCTGGTGGAGTTGCCGGGTCTATCATCGGGGCCTTCTTGAATGGCTATCTTATCAAGCATTTCGGGTTCAAACCCGTCTTTCTCGGTACTCTCGTTGTGATGGCGGCATGCATTTTCCCGTCCTTCTTCGGCATGTCTGTTCAGCTACAGACTGTCGGCCAGGTTCTCTGCGGGTGAGCATCTCAGAATTTGTAGACATTGACAGGAGAGCTTGAACCATCCTAATACTTTACAGTGTTCCCTGGGGGATCTTCGCCACAATCGGTCCAGCATACGCCTCGGAAATTCTGCCCCTGGCTCTACGCTCCTACCTCACTGCTTATGTCAACATGTGCTTCGCTATAGGACAGTTCCTCGGGGCTGGCGTGTTGCAGGGCCTCCTCAACCGAAACGACCAATGGTCGTACCGTATCCCATTTGCTATTCAGTGGATCTGGCCCGCCCCTCTGTTCCTGATCTGCCTGTTTATGCCCGAGTCTCCGTGGTGGCTTGTGCGTCATGGCCGGTTAGCAGACGCTGAGCAAGTTCTCCGTCGAGTCACCTCTGGAAAACAGGTCGAGAAGTCCAATCAGACTGTGGCTATGATGGTGCATACCAACGAAATCGAGAAGGAGATCGAGGCCGGAAGCAGCTATCTTGATTGCTTCAAGGGTGTTAACCGACGAAGGACAGAGATTGCCTGTGTTTCCTTTGCCGGACAGGTTCTCGCTGGCAGCCAGTTCGCTTACTCTGGTACCTATTTCTTCCAGCAAGCTGGAATGAGTGCTGAAGATGCCTACAAGCTTGGTCTTGGCGGTACTGCCATTGCCTTTGTTGGCACAGTCATCTCGTGGTTTCTCATGAATCGCTTTGGCCGAAGGCAGATCTACCTGTGTGGGATGTTCTTCATCTGCATCTACCTCTTCATCATTGGGGTGTTGACAACCGCTGCGAGAAACCAGGGCGTGGTCTGGGCACAATCAGTGCTCTGCATCATCTGGCTGTTCTCGTTCTCCCTCTCGATCGGTCCCATTGGCTGGGTCCTCCCCGCCGAAGTCTCTTCAACCCGACTTCGATCAAAGACTATCTGCTTGGCGCGTAACACGTACTACATCGCCCTGCTGATCGCGAATACCCTCGAGCCCTATTTCATGAATCCTACTCAGTGGAACTGGCGAGGATACACCGGATTCTTCTGGTTCGGGTCGGCACTATTCACGCTCATATGGGCGTACTTCCGCTTGACTGAGACTCGTGGCCGCACTTTTGAAGAGCTTGACATCATGTTCGCCGCCGGGGTTCCCACGAGGAAGTTCACTAGCTTCCATGTTGACGCCTATGCCGAGAACCTTGCCATCAAGGATCGCGTTGCTGAGGGCAATGTTAGCAGCAAAGCTTCGGAGGTCTAAGCTTTTGAACTTTGGCTGGAGTAGTGGGACAACCTTTTCTTGAAAAAGAAACAAAAGGTGAAAGGGGAGAGAAGATTTGATTAAGGCCTCGACACTTCAGGGTTTGAACTTCTCTGTAGGTCAATGTCTGGCAGTGCTCGTCATTTACTATTTCATAGGAGTTTCTTCTCAAGGTGCTCTGGACAAAACGCAACACGGCCCGGATCGGATCTCAGATGATAATTTAAGCTGTCACATACTCATTGCGCTCATTTCATTCAAGTCTATGTGTCATATGTGTGCTCTCAATGACCAATATCTATTTGTACTTGTTGACCATCTCCAGGATAAATTTCTCGACCTCGGCTGGGTTTGTCGCGTTTAGGTAGTGACCACCACCTTCAAGGAACTCAAGCTTCGTCTCTTTGGATGACGTGAACATGGCGATGTGCTCCTGCGGCACAGTCTTGCCGTAGACCACATCTTCAGTGCCCTGCAAGTCATGGGTCAGTCGAGACATGGTTCGGCTCGAGGCCTAGGGCTTTGTTATAAAACGTGGGCTTACCTGCAGCCAGTACACTGGGCACTTGATATCCCTCAACCGCAAGAGGAGCCCGTCTCTCTCAATCAGGCATGCCAGCGCCATCCGCAGCTTGCGCCGGCCCTCATCGCCCCGGTAGACGCGCTTCAGCACATCATGCCAGAACTGAATCGTCTCGGCGGACACGCCGCTGCCGAACCCAAGGCTACCGACCATGCCGCACCACTCATCATCGACGACGAAATCAGGGGTCGGAACCGGGCTGCACCACTGTTCGTACTTGGGCATGAGCAGTGTCTTGGGGTCCCAGCAGCCCTTGGATCGGGAGTCCGCCGACTCGCAGTCCATCGACGTGCCGAGGGGAAGAAGTCCAACGACCTATCGAGGACAATGTCAGATCCAATATATTCATCGCCTACAACACATGAATGAGCTGCAGACCTTTTCCGGAGCCAACAGCGCCATTCTAACGACCATCCATCCTCCCTGACTGGTGCCCACGGCAAAGACCTTGTCGATGCCGAGCTTTTCAATGACTTGCAACGCCATCGTGGCAGTGTCCCAGTACGTGAACTGGTCGGACGGGCAAGAAGTGGCTCCATGGCCGAGGGGCTCAATGGCCAGCAGGTTGGCAGCTTCGGTCAGGGCACTGCTTTCAAACTGCTTCTGGTACAGGTCCACCGTCGTGTTCATGCTGTTGATGAAGACGACGGTGGGCTTGCTGCTGTCGTACTTGCCGCCATTGGAAAGGGCATAGCCGGCCGTGATGCCGCCCAGGTGCGGGACTTGGATGGTCTGGTGAATTATCGCCATCTTGCCTAGATTATGGTGGGATGAAGGGAATGACTTGGCGGTACAAAAGATCCAACGGGCACCTCTCGGGGAGAAGAGTAACCTTTGTCGCGTGGTTTAATGGCTCCAGAAAGAGTGTAGTGCTGCAGAACAAGTTCCCACATGAAACATACGCGGACCGCGCCTCGGGGACACTCTCGAAAGACCAAGAGGTCCAGAACCCACATCATTGTGATCGTCACCCTCGGACTCCCGTGCAAAGAAGCTCATGCCTGGCTTGGCTGGTTACCACGTACGGAGTAGTCAGTCCTAACGGTGGAATTCCGCACAGTCCGTTGGTGTTAGTCAGTGGAGGCACCCCCTGACTGGAGCTGAGTGATCCCTGTACATCGTGATCCAGCAGCAAACGCATTTGGCCGAGCCCCTCTTCTCGGACCACATTCTGCTGGAGAATGTTTGCACAGTTTGGCGGCCTCTAAAATCGGGAAGACCAATATAGCGCGCGGGTGAGGCGGGTAGTAGTGGGCGTCCGACGCCGTTGTGGAAGATCGTTTTCGTCTGCTTATTGTCCTTAAACCTCTTCACTTCGACTCGAGCTGCAAAAATAAGCATAATACTGTGCCGCATCCAAGGATTCAGAAGGGTGGCCAGTGTCATCCGGGTAGCCGAGGTTCAAGCAAATGCTCATATGTGACAGAAAACTGGGTTTCTCACCAAGCCGATTTGGGGCTAACGTTGAAGAACCTTCTCTGGCTAACTCCACAATTGTGTACGCAATCTTGCCATCCTTGGCACAAGAAGCCCCAGAGGAATAGGTAGACTCTCGATGATGTACCTCCAGGATCACACCTGCACGTATAAGCATACTGGAAAGTACCGGAAGCTGCGGGTACGGCAGTCAGAGTTTTTCTTAAATAGATGCCACCCCTGAAGTCTTCACACCAATTTGCCGGCTCATATCCTCCGTTGGGCCACAATTCAACTAGGATGTTCGGCGAGCATGAGTCGGCGAATGCAAGCGTTAGTCAGATCCATACAAGAAACTGGTCCTATTTGTACTTGCATGAGCCCTGGTCTCAGGTTATCTCCTTAGCACAAAACGATGCCGAACCCCATAGTCACACAACGGCCTTCCTTGCTGGACCTGCAGAGATTCTGTTACACCGGCCAAAAGATCAACAGGAGACATAACGGTCCAGACATGGGTGTGATGCCGCACATATTCGATCCAGTCTCCATCACTTGAAAGTCGGCCCTGTTAAAAGACATGCGTCCTCAACAAGGGCCCATTGCCATCTGCATCTCTCGACTTCATTCTCTTCTTCTTCCACTCTTTCTCGTGTAATGACCAAGCAGTCCTGCCGAGTAGATCAAGATGGATGGCATTCCCGGCTACGATCCTGTCAACCTCCAGCCATGGTGCGTCGAGGTGATCGCTTCCATGACCGTCTTGGCTACGGTTGCAGTGGGCTTGCGTATGTTTAGCAGGTACCTGAAGAGTCAGAAGCTGTGGTGGGATGACTATTTGATCATCTTTTCTCTGGTATGCTGTCCACCTCTAATGCAAGCCTTCATGCTAGTACCGGTGCAGCTGACTCCAGTAATGAACATATGCAGTTATGGAACTATCTCGTCGTCGGCTTCATATTCGCCATGTACGCATGCGGAATGGGCATCCACGCGGATAAAGTACCTATGGACAACATCGTGCTGATGGCCAAGTTTCTCCTGGTTGCCGAGATCCTCTACGTTTACAACCTCGTCTGGACCAAGCTTAGCCTGCTCCTCATGTACTATCGCATCTTCCACATTCCCTTCTTCAAGAAGATGGCCTATGGTCTCGGTGGTCTCATTGTGGCATGGGTTATCTGCATCACATTTCTCTTCATCTTCATCTGCGTACCAGTTCAGAAGCTCTGGTACCAAGACCTTCCCGGACACTGCATCAACCAGGTCGGCACCTGGATCGCCAACGCTGCCTCGACCATCTTCACGGACCTTGCCATCTTGTTCCTTCCCATTCCGCAAGTTTGGAAGCTCAACTTGGGGAAGCCAGAGAAGATTGCCATCACGCTAGCATTCAGTCTTGGTTTCTTGTAAGTGATCGAAACACCTCGTCGCATTGCACACGATGACTAACCTCTTCCCCTCTGACAGCGTCGTCTTCACGTCTGCCTACCGATTCTCCGTTCTCTTCTCGTACAGCAACAGCGACCCCACTTACACACTGGCCCCGACAGTCGGCTGGACCGCGATCGAGATTTCTGCGGGCATTGTCTCAGCATGCCTCCCTTGCATGCGCCCAGCCATGCAGGCGCTCTTCCGCCTCCTCGGCCTCGACATCAAGATGAACACTGTCTTCCACCGCAGCAGGGGAACCGGTCAAGCATCCAACCTCGTGAGCAAACAGACGATTGGCGGGACAACTCAGAACGACGAAGGGGTCAATACAATGAAGAAGTCGAGTGCAGGGGCCTTTCACCGGCTGAAGGATGAGGGTAGTCGCACGTCGAGCGACTCGCAGTCGGGAGGCTTTGAGGGGCGCCTGCGGCCAGACCAAAACAACAGATACGTGGTCAATACAGTGTCTACTGGAAAGGGGGATGGCGATAGTCTGAGCGGAGACGAGATTCCGCTGCACAGCATTCGCGTTCACACCGACTTCAAGCACACATCCGGGCCGCGGTCCTGAGGCAGGACGTCCCGATCCTAGGTACATTGGGCTATGTAAAAGTTTTGTAGTTTACATGTAGTATGAATTGAATACAGAAAAAGGTTTAGTTTGGTTTGGAGGAAACAGTCGGCCCGGCACAGAGCGGTTCAATTAGGGCAGGATCAGTGATATTGGCCTCCACTCTCCACAATCAGAGGAGATAAGAGAGAGATAAGACAGTTTGGCGATTTCTTCCCCCCAAACCGTCGCCATTCAACCTTCGTCAATGCGGCCATGTCGCGCTATAGTCCCACAGAGCCATCGGAAGATGGCAGGCCTCTGTTACGCGATGCTTCCGTTGATCCCAGCCCAGCGCCATGGACCCCAGAAGGTCCCCCTCCCGCAAAGGCAAAGCGCGGCATCCTCGCTCTGCTGTCGCTCATGCTAGCCGTCAATCTGTCCGCCAGTCTCTACCAGCTCCCACTGAACAGAGTCATCGAAAGACGGCTTTGTGCCGAGTACTACGCCCAGAAGGGACCGGATTCTGTCCCTGTGGACAGGCCGATAGATGAGCAGTTGTGCAAAGTGGATGGTGTCCAACAATCCTTGGCCCGCATTCAGGGAGTGATGGAAACCGCTTGGGTTTTCGGAGGTCAGTGAACCAAACACCGTGGTCCATCTAGTTTCTTAGTATTCTTCTCAATTGCTTGAAACTAAAATCTAATTCATTTGCCTAGACTTTATCATGACTATTCCTCTTGGATATCTTGCTGAGCGCTATGGCCGTCGAAAGATTCTCCTGCTGAACCTTATTCCCAGGGTCTGCATGCTCACCTGGGTTGTGGTGGTAGGCCACTTCGATCAGCTGCTACCGACAAAAGCTGTTGCTGTATCGCCTTTTCTTTCTGTGCTTGGGGGAGACTGTGTTTTCAACTCCCTTATCTACGCACTTGCTTCAGAGCTGACGGCGGATCATGTTGTCCGCGCATCTTACTTTGGTTACATGAGCTCTGTCTCCTATGTAGTTGCTCTTCTTGGACCCGCCTTGGCATCTGCAAGCATGGGCATCCTGATCTATCTACCATTCTGGATCGGAACTTTGCTTTTGGTCATCGGAGCTTTGGTCATACCCAAGCTCCCCAACCTTCAGTCCGAGCACATCTGGAACCCCTCTCAGCCACACGTATCGTCACCAGTTCTCAAAGCAAGCTTGGGGTATTCGTCGTTGTGGTCGTTGACGCGAGAACGGATCCAGTCCTTCTACATCATTCTCTCCGACTATCCGAAGAACTTCATGCTGTTGCTCGCGAGCTTTCTGCTCACGTCCCTTGCGAGCTCCGATACCAAACTTCTTGTTCAGTACATCTCGAAACGGTACAGCTGGACCTTTGCTTCGGCAGGCTATCTCCTTTCGGGCAAGGCAGTAGTCAACTTCACACTGCTTGCCGTCATAATACCTAGGTTCCTGCAAAGACGGAGCACACGAGACGCCGATAGGTTCAATCTCTTGTACTCGAGAATCTGCCTGCTCGTCTCGGTCTTAGGAGCTGGGGCCATAGCGTTTTCAGCCACCATATGGCTTCTTATGCCATCACTACTCACCTATGCCCTGGGCTCCGCACTGCCCGTGTTTACGATGTCCTTACTGAAGTCGCCCTGCATGGCTCCTGCGAGCAGTACAGACGGGGAAACAGCTTCACCGCACGACAATATCATATTCTCCATCGTTATGCTGGTCAAGACCCTTGGCTCGCTCATCGGGGCACCGCTGATGGCCTTCTTGTGGGTCAGAGGCATCGCCTTGGGAGACATGGCACTTGGGATGCCATATTTTGTCAGTTCGGCATGTTACATTGCGGCAATCGCTGTCTTCTATGGTATCAGAGTGTACAGGTAAAACAAGACAAAGAAACCGGACCCATTCTGGCTAAACCGGACAAAATCGCTTTCAACAGATAATGATCCCAAACTCCTATCAATGCAGTGCGACTGTACACTCAGTCTGCTTCACTACTCGTTCGTTGGTGTGACCTCCATCATATCGAGCCACTCAAGCGCAAATGCCGTCATAATCTTCGACCAGTCCTGAACGGTGGCCGCATTGAGATGCTGCCCATCGTCTTGCGCCGTTTTCCAGACCGCTGGTGGTGTGGGCGGAATAATCGGCATCGTCGGTACTCCTCGCGATAGGAAATCAAAATAATCACCCTGGGCCGGCCCGCCCACAAACTGAGCCGTACTCTTGCCAGTCTCGTTGAAGATTGGCCCGGTTACATTGGACTGCAAGAGCCCAAGGTTCCTCATACGGCTCTCGATGTTGGCCAGCCCGCGGTATGCCCAGTGCGTCGTCTCAAAGTATGATGATATCATTGGGTTCGCCGCGCCGATCAGATCCACCGGAACGAACATACTGATCTGGTTCAGCGGAGTGCGATAGTTGGACAGCGCAGGATTGACCGCCTCCCACGCCTCGGCAAGCGAACTGCATCAAGCCCAGTCAGCGACTCCCTGATCAGGAACGAGGCAATCGTGAACAAACATACCGTAACCCTGTCCCCTGCCCCCGCTGGCCCTCCCTCCTGTCCAGAAACACGACCTGCACACCCATGTCCATGTCGAACTCGCCCCCCTCGCCGAGCGCGTCCATCTCGTCGTGCATCTGCGTCAGGTACCTGTCGATGCTCCGCGCGACGTGCATCAGCACGGCGCACGACACGGCGCTCTCCACCGCGCCGACCGAGCCCCCGCGCTGCGCAGCCCCAGCAGCGGTGGCGGGGCGGGAGTCGTAGTGGGCCGCCAGCGTCAGGATGTTGGCCTGGCCCGGCTTGGTCCAGGGCGGCTCCCGGCGGAAGACGAGATTCTGGGCGGCTCCTGCGCCCTTGCCGTCTGTCGAGTTCTGCCAGTCTATCGACCACTTCGGCAGGGAGCTGTGGAAGAAATCGATGAAGTGCCGCTGTGCGGCGGCGTGGCCTGCTGAGCCGGCCGTCCTTGCTGTCAGTAGAGGGGCTAGGAGGGCGCCGGTCTTGATGTCCAGGTCAGCGGCGCCGGCTGGGACGAGACGGAGGAATGCGTCGTCGAGGACTTTGTAGGCCGATGCGCATGTCATCCAGGATATGACGTAAAGACAGAGGAGGGAGATGGGTGACGTTAATGAAGCCATGGTGGCTTGTCGTGAAGATCCAAGGTTTTGGACGCCTGGATGGGCACCAGTATGGAGGCCTTGAAAGAGTGGCTTTAAGCCTCGAGAGGCATACTGAGTACCAAAGTGGTTCTTGCTATTCTTGACGATCTCGACCTGCAAATAGAAGATTGCAAACAAAGAGAAGAAACAACATTGGACCCTTCATCCATCTGATCTCACTGGGCCCAGACCCCTTCTACTCCACCGTGGCCCGTCAGAGCTCACTCATACTTCGTAGACAGTCCATCTCGTGAAGCTGTATCCAGTTCCCCGTTGCCTGATTGGGAGCGGCAGGGGTCAGATCCCCAGGCCGAGATGTGACGGTTCCTGGCGCATGGCCCCACCGCTGAAACGCAGGCCAACCCAGAACAGATCTAGTGCCAAGCATCGCCAGTCTCAAACTGACGGGAGTCAACACGCATTGAACGAGCTGAAACCAGGCGCGTCCCTAAAAAAGATGAAGGTCTAGCCGAGCCGGGGGACGGGAGCATGCGTGCCAAGGTCACTCTTAAGGACATCTGGAGATCATGGTGCAAGGTTTGTTGCCTTTCGTGTCAACCTGCACAAGTCCTGATGATGGGCGCAAATCCGAGAAGAATTGCGGAGTAACTGCAATCACCAGAGGGAAATAGCATGCTCGAGGGTACTCTGTAAAAGTTCCAGTCATCAGAGGCCACGGTGCAAACCCACGATCTAAGAATACCTGATGGACAAGGATCCTTGGTGTGCCACAGGGTCAAGAATGGCCAAGACCCATGCGCGTTCCCCCATTGAGCACGTCTCGCCAGTGTCTGGGTACCAAGCGAAGTGCTGGGGATCACGGCCAGATCCCGGCCACCCTCCAACGTCGCTTCGCACAGGTGCTGTTTCAACGCCAAGCGACAGGGCCGGATCCCCTTTCTCGCGTTGATATACCCATTGCTGCCATTTTCTTGTCTTCTCTGTCCTGTGCACGATTGGGGGCATTCCGTTCTTTGTTCTTCATTCATTCGCTTCTTTTCTCTCCCGAGCCGGTCTCTTGGTTATTAATCATTCCTCAAGGCGTCATTCTGTGAACGACGAGTAAGATGGATTCCCAGCGAAAGTACGAGAATGTCAGCCTCGAGGACCACCACAGCGACTCGAGCACTGAGGTCGCCGAATCGCTCCTCGGGGATGAGAAGAACTGGGATGCGGAGGATCAGCAGAGGCCGATGCCAAGGTCAAGGACGAGCAAATTCATGTCAAGGCTGAAGTCGTCAAGGTGGATGGTCGACACCGCACTCCTTCTCGTCATCCTCGGCCTACTTGTACGACAGCAGTTTGGTAGCAACAGCAAGGGCTCGGCAAACGAATGGGACTTTGGTGGAGACTTTACAGGTGTCGGTCCAAGATGTGTGTACTGAATCGCTGATTCCAGGAGGTCAGAAACTGACTTATGCCAGTTTCGCAACAAATCGTCAAGTTCAACCCCGACCCTTCATACGCACCAAACAACACGAAGGAGTTCTTTACAGACGAGATTCTGCAGAAGTGGAACAAGCTGATGCCCAAGGGCATGGGCTTCGTGGCCGTCGACCAGCCTGAGAAGTACCACGACCTGCCGACTCCCATCGAGTGGCCGGACAAGACCGTCTTCACCACCTCCATGACACATCAGCTGCACTGCTTGGTATGACTTGTGCCATTTTCCACTCGCCGCGCTTTGGCGCTAACATGGATCAATAGTACGCCATTGTGCAGACCTACTCCGGCATGTCGTCCAACACGCCCATCCCAGACGACCATCACTGGCACATGATTCACTGCTTCGACTACCTCCGACAGAGCATCATGTGCTGCAGCGACATGGCTCTCGAGGGCCACGCCACTACCTTCCCGGTCGACAACTCCGGATCTGATGGTTGGGACTCCAAGCACGGTATGTGACTCGACTGCGTGAAGGTTTTGCCAGAGCAATCATGAGCAATGAGCTAACATGGCCTGAACTATAGTGTGCAAGGACCCTAACCAAGTTCGCGAGTATCTGGAGAGTGTCAGGGCATACGATGACCAGTTGATCTACTAAATAGCGTTAATCCAATTCAACATTCGAGGAATGACCTCCATTCTCACAGACACAAACGCCAATGTTTTGTGACTGAAAATCATGCCCAGGCAAGGCCGTATCGTTGCCGTAACACGGCGTTAATATATCTCCCTCATTACCACCCTAGTCTCAGCTGTACTTCTAAAGAGGTCGCTATTGCTGAATTGCAAATGAGCTCCCGGGTTGTTGCGCTGCTAACTGAGTTGGGAAAATCCAATACTCGGAGGTAGAACACGCATGCATGTTTGCAAGCAATACTCCGTCCACAGTCGTCATCGGCTGCACCAAGTCACTGGACATGGGCCAGCGCTATCTACCAGAGATCATATGTTCTCTGCCTTTTGTGGCTAGCCGTAGATCGTACTACTGCTATGTACCGCGACTGGATCCAGGCACCACACATCGCTAGGCACGGCTCGACATATCCAAGTCATCTTACATGACGTGACAAAAGTCTCTAACATCGAGAACTTTCAAGAGCTGTCTTGTTGTGACACTTGGCTGAGTTGTCGCCTATAGACGATACAAAGTGCGGCTGGTTCGCATTGAGAACAGACCGCCCAATAAAGCAGATATTTGTCCCGCGGCCCAGTTTGCTGTACTTCAGAGGTGTTAGGACATCAATGCCAGCTTTGTTTTCATTCGGCAAGACAAATATGAAAGTAGACAAACGTAGCGCGAGTGAGGAGCTTTGTGACAATGGATTACTGGTTTGCCTCTGTATATCGTCCTTTCCACTAAGTGAGACCCCCACATCGTGGGCCACCAAAATACACCAAATATCCACTTTTTCCACTTTAAAATACTAGCTTAAAAGAATACTTATAAAAATAAAAATAACTGTTTTAGAGTGCTTATTTAAGTCTTATTAAAAATAAAATCATTAATAAAATATAAATATTTTTTATAGGTAATAATTAAGTATAAAAGCCTCTAATAGATTTACTAAGAAACTCTATATAAAAATGTTAAGAAGGTTTTCTTTAATATCTTTTATAAAGAATTAATTATAAAATTTAAAATTTAAATATAAGCTTTTTATAAAGACTATAATTAAATAAGACTATTTAAAAAGTTCTACTTTTAAATTTAATAAAGTTATTTTTAGATATAAAGTTTTTATATAGAATAATAATTAGTTATAAAATAACTTTATTAAATCTAAAAATAGAACTTTCTAAATAGTTTTTTTTTATTTATAATCTTTATATAAAGTTATATTTAAATTTTAAAATTTATAATTAATCTTTTATAAAAGATATTAAAGAAAACTTTCTTAATATTTTTATATAGAGTTTCTTAGTAAATCTATTAGAGATCTTTCTCTTTAAGTTTTAACTATAAAGAAAATATTTATATTTTATTAACTATTTTATCTTTAATAAACTTCTAATAAGAACTCTAAATTAGCTATTTTTAATTTTTTAAGTATTATTTTGAGCTAGTATCTTAAAGTGGAAAAAGTGGGTTTTTGGTGTATGTGGTGGCCCACGATGTGGGGGTCTCACTTATCATTTTGATGTTGCTTTCAACAGCTGCACTATGCAACTCCCAATTCAGAGCTTCCACCATACACAATTGCTTCTTAAAAGAGAAACTGCGTATGATTCAAAGGCACCATTATTCAGGGACTTCAATGACCGCCTGCTAAAGAAAGAGCTGTATATGTAGATCAACAACCTTCTTCGCTGCCTGGCTTCAGTTTAGCTTAAAAGCCCCGAATCAGCTAGTCAATCAATAATCCTAAACTGACTGAACAGACAGAAATACTGGTCTCTCAATCCTGAATCCTGAATTGGAAACACAGACCCAAGCCAACAACGCAGAACGCAAAGACTCTTGACCACCTACCGCGCTTGCTTCCTTCAGGATGACACCAGTAAGACTTGCCCTTGGGATCTGGTAGTCCTGGCCGGATAATGTAACTGACCTCTTGTATTACAGCGTGCGAGGCATCTGGTTCATCCAATGCCCCGAGTACCTTTAAGACGGATGCAGTCTCATGCTCCGCCGTTTTCGGGCATTCTTCAACTTTTCCAGCCGCAGCCCATGGGCATAAACCTCGACGGCATGGACGACGATCCATGGGGAGTAAGTCCATATACATATTACTGTCCGTGATGACAAGGACTGAACTGTCAACCAAGATGTCGCTCCTCCAGGGCGATGAATGGGATGCATTCGCATCCCAGCTCGACGACGATAGCCCCATGCCATCCCCAATTGGCGAAGGATCAAGCAATCTGAGCCCTCCAACTGCGGTCCAGGAAAGCGCTATCGCCCAGGAGTCTCCCGATAGGGCGGAAAAGGCCACTGGCAACTCTGAGGAAACGTTCAAGCTCAAGGAAACCGAGGCCGAAGTGGAGGCGCGTCTTGCCAAGGAGATGTCTAGCAGCATGAACACTGCGCTTTGGATCCAGGCGGCCATACTTGGTGTCGTTGCTTCCATCGCTGTGCACCACTGGCTCAAGAAGTGACGGACACGAGATGGCACGGTAAGGGCCTTGGGGCCAGGTTCACCAGCATGTTTATTTCTATCCAGGGAGATAGATGTACGGGGATTTGTCGTTAGCACGAAGTGAATGGTGTTGTTGGTTGACAGACTTAGCTACGAGGCAATTGAATGATGATAGTCCTCCCTCGATTTGTCCTTGACTCTTTGCTCACCATGGTAGAGTCTCTCCGCGCCAATCAAGGAAAGTACCAGATTCGTCCATTCCCACGGACTCCAGCACCTTGACCATCCCGGCAATGCACTCTTCCATGTTGTCTCGCGATCGGAAGCTTGTAAGTCTCGTAGCGACATAGCCGGGGTTCAACGCGATAGCGGCGATATTGTCACCGTTCATTTTGTACTCCTTGGCCAAAGTGACAGTCATCATGTTGAGCGCAGCTTTGGACATGCGATAAGCAAGATCCTCGCCTTTGCACACTGGGTAGAAAGGCACAAGTTAGATTTGGAGATGGACAATCAAGCCCTGCCCGAGCTCAAGTCGCTTACTAGTGATGGAGCCGGCATTTGACGAGATGTTGATCAGTTTGCCCTGTGCAAGCTTGAGATTGGGATGGAAGTATTTCGCGGTAAGAAAAGGGCCCTAAGCCAGGAGTATCAATTCTCACGTTTCCGGGTATCGGGCAAGGCAAAGCCTACTTACGACCGTGTTGATGACGTATTTCTCGGTCATGAGTTCAGCACTGTGCTCGTACCAATTGTCGGGTTCAGGACCGAGACCTATGGCCAGTTGTGTGTTAGAGTAGTTTTCCAAATTTCCATATGATGAGCGCAATGGCTGCTACTTACCAGCGATGTTGATGAGCATATCCAGCGGAGAATCACCGAACTCACGGGCAGCATCGGCTACTGTTTGCTCCTTTGCGAGATCAATCTCGAGGATCATCGACGCAACTTCCTCGATCTGCATAGCGACTTTAGCAGGACATGCCAACTGGGAACTCCTACTGGGATGTACATGTATGTCTAACTCACCTCTTTAATGGAAGGATCGTTCGATGCCCTGGTCTGGGGCCGGACAGAGGCGACGACATTCCAATTTCGCAAGGCTAGGGCGCGTGCCAGGTTGAGACCGATGCCGCGATTAGCGCCTGTCAGTGCAGTGGTGTCAGCCTGGGATCTCAAAATTGGTCACCTTTCCCTCAGGTGGCTCAAGGTAGTGAGGGAGGGGTGAGGTGAAGGGTGTATGTAGCCTTACCGACCAAAAGGACTGTGCGGTCCATCTCGGTGATGATGTGCCAGTTTGTGTGTATCAAATGTGCTAGATATGTCAAGAGGTCAAGAGGTTGCCCAGGAGTGCAAGACTAGAAGCATAGCGGGCCGTCATAGATAGAAATGTGAAAGAAAGCAGTTCTGAGAACATTGAAGGAGGGGGAATGGCGGGGCATAAGGCGTCCATGATGATATTCAGAAGGCGGCATGGGCGCTCATGACACATACAGCAGCACAGTATTGATTCGTGCCTGCCATTTCTGCGGAGTGGTGGCGCGCCGCAGCTTTCAACCTCTCTCTTTCTGCCAACAAGTACCACGACAAAAAGTGCCATAGAACAAGTGGTCAAACTGACCCTCGGAATTGATTGAGGCCCCCAGTGCCACTTCATGCAATGACCTGTTGCACAGCCTCCTTTCCGAGAGGAAACAAAAGCATAAATGGCACTCAGTGCCTGGCTGATGATGATAGCGACCTACTCTTGGTTCATGCAGCCAAGCGAGCTTTCGCACTGGCTATTCTTTTTCCCTGTCCCATGGCAGAATGTCTGGACTGCCCCGGTTCGACCTACAGTCAACTGCAGAAGCATATGCAGATGAGATAGACTCCTTCTCCAAGCGTACCCAGAACGATCATTTAGTCAGCCGTATTCACTATACCGATATTGCCCGTCTGCTCCGGTCACCTCCCCCGGATTCTCGATCAGCCGCCTCAAATCAACCGCCGCCTCAGCCTTCTAGCTCAGTTGACAACCTCTGCTTCATCACTGCGATTGATGTGCAAAGCTTAACAACGGCTCAATCATCTAGTTCACAAAATGATCAGGCCAGCTGTACAACTCGAGGCTTGGCCACCCCACAGGCCTTCATTGAAGGGCCCCTACCCAGTCCTTCTTGCACGATGAGATGATTTACACTATCGAACAACATTTCACATGCACAGTTATCCGAAAGACCCGTGGATGGGCTGGTGCGTTGGCATCCCCTTTTATCACCCGTTCCCCAGCACTATCCCAAAACCACAAGTCTATGCTTCCTTAACCCTCCTTCAGGCACACAATACATTTCTCTTTTTCAATAATTGTCGTCAATCCGTAGGCTAATCGAATATTAGCTTTCGTCTGGATGGAACTTGGGTAGACCACCTCGACCAGTCTACAAGGAGAGTATCTCGAGGCAAGATTCAGTTCTTGTCGTACAAGAACCGTGCTTGCCGGTCACCCAGCCGACATTACTGTCAGAACTCAAATCCAATGTTAGTGACAGGAATAATAGTAGGCCAGCTACCGTCCTCGGACCCAGCAGCAAACCGTTTAGTTCTTCTACCTAGAGTTCGACGCTACTTCTCTCGCAGTACGGCGTGAGCCTCAAGCTAGAACGCATGCACAAGTCACCATTGTATGCTTTGAGAGATGTCTTCTGGCATTCAGCATGCAGCTCCAATCAAATGATCAACATGCTTCAGGATCGTATCAAAGGTGCTTTAAGAAATGCTCATCAGAAGCAACAAAAGCAACTGGAATCAGTGTCGCTAGGGGATTTGAGATTCTGTAAAGAGGTCCTGGATGATCTACTGGAATTAGTCGCGTTCCTTGACCGTGGCTGCTCGTCATGGATTGTTCAGGACATGGTACCTCAGCGCCCACGGCCAGAACCTATTCAGTCCTCACAGCAACATCACCAATACCAGAGTGAGCGCAGTGTGAATAACGGGGACAGCATAGGAACATACACCAGTACGAGGATTGTAAAGGTTGCGACCCTGATGAATCGACTGGAAATGAACTTCTTGGCGACTTTCAATGCATCATGAGCCGGGTTGAGAACCTTGCTACGAAGTGCAAGGATGGGATAGAGGTGATTCTTAGCGTCGCACAGCTTCGCAAATCCCAAAAGGCCATTGACCAAGCTGAAGAAGTCAAAAAGCTGGCCAAGTTGGTCTTCTTTCTCGCTCCTCTTTCCTCTGCTTCCTCGTTGTTTGGCATGAACTTTGTAAACCTTGACTGGAAGTTGTCGCTTGGTATTTTTTCCCTGCTAGACTTCATTCTTCTGGTGATACTTTTGGCAGTTGCCTTTGATGTCCAGAGTGCTTGGCGAGTTGCTCTGTCAGGACTCGACTTAAGCCAGGGGTTACCTTTTTGAGGCATTGAAACACACATGTATGTACAGGTGATGTAACTTATGCGTCTATAGATGGACAGGCAGCATGGTCAATATTTGTACACAAAGAACTCACTCTAAAGCTGCCATGTTGTGTTGAGACTGCATTTAGCCTTCACTGTCATCTGACCAAAATGTAACCAACTTGTCAAAGTCGACCCCCCCCAGAATTTCCTCCTTGATACTCTGCGGGCGAAGCTCTAGGAACAGATTTCGCGCTTCTATATAGTGACTTATCGTCAAGTCGATCAAGGATCTCCGATATACTCAGGAACTGGCGACGAATGTGGCTGGCGATCTGTGTAATCGCAAGAGGAATATTGCCGATCTTGCGAACAAGCAGCCGAGTTCTGCTGGTCAAAACCTTCGCCGACTTGTTTGCAAAGAAGCAGTGCGCACTCAGATTCGGGCAAAGGTTCAAGATCCCGTCCCTGGACGGCCAAGTCAGTCTTGGCCAAAGAGTTGCGAGACGTGATCAAAACAGAGCCGTGCTCGTTGTCCAGCGGCAAAAAGTCCCCAAAGGTATCAAAGTTGTCGACATTGTCAAGTATCCCTTTAAACGCCGCAACTGCAGTCACATGATTCCCAGCGATCTCCCACTAATGGGAGGGGCAGAGACACTTGCTGTGGCTGATGACCTTATTCCCATGCTCGTTTCTATCAAGAAGACCGAGGCCCAGCCCGATGTCTTCGAAACTCTGGGCATGTTCTCCTCATCAGCTTGAGCCCAGAAGACAGCATCAAAATCCTTTTCTCGCTCAAAAGTATAGTGGTTTTACCCAATCCTCCGAACCCACAGAGAGCAAATGAGGGGAATCTCGGGGAGTCCTTGGGAAGCAAGGCATCGTCAAAAAGCTGGACGGTATCAGACCGTCCCACAAAGTTATAGTTCTGCATAATTGGTTTCCGTACGTAGCACGGCGTACGTCGCTGCGGAAGGAAGATTTCAAAACTGGACGAGCAGCCGGAACCGGCAGTCGTGCGTATCAGCTCTGAAGATGTGGTTGGCGTATTTCCTAGCATGGCGTCTTAGTGACCTGGGCTACTGGGCTGAGTCGTATTAAACTTATTGTGATCTGACGAGCCAGCGTTTGAATCCGTCGGGCTCCATGAGAACTTTGGTCTTGAGGAAACAAAATCTAACTCGGTATTCAGTTTCTTTTTGGCTACCATGTTAGCCATATGATCTCACTTACCGTCAGAGGGAACTCCTGTGTCCATCGCCCCAATAGAATCGGATGCACAGTCCTCAATAAGGGTTGCCAATTCTTTGTAGAGTGGATGTCCCGCCATAGTCTGTTGCGATCCCCAAGCATGTCTCTTGTCTGGGCAGCAACCCGATACCGCCATGTCACCCACGAGCTGAGACCAGTTGTAAGCACGACATTCTAATCTGCACCACCTGTATGCAAAAGCTTACAAGTTCTTCCTTGTGAGGGATAGATCTGATTCGAGTGGGTCTGCTTTTGTAGACCGACAGAACTCGCCCCGTGAGATCGAGGTTCTTGAATTTGTAGGACACATCGACAATCAAGGTATGATCTTCGTTTTGATCCTTGTAGAACCCTTTTGGGTACCCGTAGGATTTGAGCAAGATATCCAACTTGGGCCACAAGTCTCGGCGTTCTTGATCTAGATGAGGCACACCAAAGAGCACGACGTTGCGTTGTGCAAGGCACATCTTCCGGATCTCGGGATGGTCTTTGATTTTCTACATAGTCTCCAGCGCCTGCGAAGTGTAATACTTGTCAGTCAAGGCTAGGTGGTTGTTGAGTACTATGAGATACTGAATGACATATGGCGTGTAGATTCTACGTACTCTTTTGACGACAATACCGCCAAACCCATAAGCTATGAATATCAGTGGTCGAACACGACCCGACGACTGAAAAGGCGTCGGTCAGCTCTTGTTCTAATTCTGTGTTGAGATGGATCACATACTGGATAGACCAGAGTTTTCACTAAGCTTTGGACAAGCTTATCGCCGGAGTCAATCATAGACTGCCAGATTGATTCGGCCCCTCGGTGGTGGATACCAGTGTAATTAAAGCGCTGGAACCCGGTGCCTTCCTACGGAGCAGCTGCAACAGAGATTCCATTTGATTGTGCTTCTTACTTGTCAATTCGTAGTCTGGCACGATGATGATGCTGAGTGAGGCCGTCAGTGTTCCATTAGGGCCATTGCTACTTCATATTGTCACTCACTCGATGTCCACAGTGCCCCGGTTCGACAGCGCATCAGGGGCCAGCTCCAGTTTTCTCAGAACTAAAGTATCTGGCAATCTGCTTCGCGCGAGACACTTTACTTGATGATTGAGGAGGTGCTTTCCGAACGTGAAGCAGTGTTGAATGTACGAAATGTCGGTCAGTTGGATGAACTCGTCAGGGAGCTGATGCCCGACCATGGGTGTGACGAGGCTTATCCTTCCGCATCAGCCTCGAGTGCGCGGAGTTCAGAGGGCAAAACGGACACAAAAGGTGGCTGGTGCATCCTAGCACCACGGTCAGGAATGACATAATGCGGCATGAGATAGAGACCAACGTTGAATTCAATATGCGCCCAAAGGGTCCTAGCTAGCCTATCCATTCTCCTACGTGAAGCCGAAAGACCTCTCTCGCCACCTTGGATCAGCTTGATTGAAACTCTGAGCCCGAGCCAGCTCTCCAGAATGACAGTGCTGCCAGAGATAAAGCATTCATACCCGTCTCTAAAGTCGGATGGATAAGTGGCGCATTGAATGGAGAGTGCTCGATGGGAATGTCGTCAAGGAGCCTTCCTGCCTTTTTGGCCCTATCTAGAGCCTCGGCATCGGCTCTCCCCAAGAACCAGAACACATAGGGTACATTGATGGCAGTGGCGAGGATGGAAAAGTCCTCGCATGGATGGCTGGGCACATCATCCAGGACGCTCTGCGCCCCGAAAGCGGCCCAGAACACCTCCCTCACCTGCTCGGTAGCATGTTTGTCGTTGGCTGTGAGCGGAGCCCGAATCGATGTCCGTATATCCGGCGCTTCTACGGCTCCAGAGGCTTCCGCCTCGCTTCATACAATCTCAGTGACTCCATCCAGCAACCGCGAACGGATTGAAGGGTCATAAGCCTTCACGTCCAGGACTATGTCCGCATGTTGAACCCAATCCAATCCCGGCTGGCCCAAGTGCAACTCCTCCACGGTGGCCGACGCATAGCCCGCTTTGGCAGTTTCGTGCACAAGGTTCTCCAGCCGGGCTATTATCTTGCTGGCGACAACAGCAACGTCCACGGACACCTGAGGATTTGCAGGGTGGCCCTCGCTCGAGAATATGCGAATATTGACGGTGTCCGCTGATACCAAGACGGGCCCCGGTTTAATGCTGACGGCACCACTCGGTATTTGCATGAGATGCTGTGCCATGACAATATCTGGCCGAGGGACCTTGTCGTAGAGTCCGTCGTCTACCATGGCCTGTGCTCCGCCTGTGTGCTCCTCGTTAGGCTGGAACAAGACAAGCAACGTCCCAGCCCACTCAGACCGGGCTGCTTCAAGCAGTTCTGCCGCCGCCAAGAGGCAGGTCATATGAAGGTCGTGCCCGCAGGCATGCATCACTGGCTGGTCACGACCCCACCAGTCCGCCATCCGTTTGGTGCTTGCATAGGATATATTTGTCTGCTCCCGGATCGGCAAGGCGTCTAGCTCTGCTCGCAGGAGCACCACCTTGCCTGGTCCGTTCTCGAGCACACCCACCACCCCATGGCCACCGATCGCTTCGTGCACGTCATACCGGATTTCGCGGAGACGACTGGCAACGACAGATGCGGTCCTCTCTTCCAAGCGGGATAGCTCAGGGTTTGCGTGGATATCTTTGTACAGCTTCTCAAGAGGTTCCAACGGAGGAGCCCACCGGTCGACCACATCCCGAAGGGTCATGTTCTCGTTATGTTTGAAGTCCTGCGCTGTAATGTGGCCATGAACCATCGTCAGTGATCCCCATCCTTCGCAGGCCAACTAGCTTGACAAAGCGAGATCCCATACCTGAAGAGGCAGCACAGTCCCTCAAGTGTCTTGTCGCAGCAGTGCAGTCCAGAAGAAACGTTGTCACTCGGACGATTCGAGCGAGAAATCTGAGGCCCGTGGCGAGTCGTTCATGCGCCCGCAGCGTGGAATCTGGCGCGGCACATTCCTTTTGTCACTTTTGCACCGACGACTGGCACACTTGCAAGACCTAGTGACTTGGCTGTTGGTGGACACGGCAGTGAGAGCGAATGTAGTGGATATGAAAGTTGGGTGAAGTGAGCTTCTCTCTTGGAAAGGCCGGGCCGTGGGCCGATCAGGTCCAATTGACTGATGCCTCAGGATCAAATTGCTATCGGACGAACGAGGCGACGGTGAGCACAGTATCTAATACTATGAGTACTGTGGTGCTTTATGTAGATGAGGAGGGATAAAACAAAAGACTGGAGGGGCGGGAAATGTTGACGCGGGGGCTGCAAGGCTCCCTGAAAATTGCGGCTTGACGGCATGTGCAGACTCCAAGTCGTCAGGTAGGACAGGAGAGGGGGAAGGGTCATCAATGATGGGGCTCGTCTACTCCTCCCAATTGCCTGGCAGGCTGCCTGAATCTCTCACTGAGCCGTCGCAAAGTAATGGTGGCGTGCACAAAGGTGACCTGGATTCCAACAACTTCCACAGCCTGGTCCTCGGCCATGATGGAGGGTCACCTGCAGGTTGCAGCAAACCTGGGAGAATTCACAAAGTGCCGATCTGATGACTCAGACAGCAGAGATGTCGTAGTAAAATCTCGCTGCGATGTCAATCACTCACCAATTTCTCCTTGTTGACAATTTTCTCTACACACGCGCGGGCTTTATCTCCTTCTATCAAGAACATTCAGTGATCCATTCGCAAGTTTTCGAGAAAGCCAACCCCTTATCAACTTTGCCCAGTGAAACATGGCTCCCGCAGCAACCTCCTCAAGCTCTAGCTCAGCTCGCATGGATGATATTCCCACGAGTGAAGCTGCACGGCACCCTCTGGCTCCATCTGTCGAGACTAAAGATGAAAAGCTGCGAGATCAACCCTGGAGGCAATTCCTTCCGGACCGCTACTGGTCGGAGCCCCAGGCCTTCCGGCTTCTCGCAAATAAGGGTCCACGAAGTGAGATTCGTCTTCTCCAAGAGATGGACTCTGTCAGTCGCTAGGCTGATTCTTGTCAGGTACGGCCAACAAACATGGTTGAAGCAATCATTGGGACTAACTTTCCTCCCCTCAGGCTTCATAAGAATGGCAAAGGGCCGGGCCAGGACTATGATTGAAAGCTTTCATCAAGTGTATTTCCTAGCAGATTCATAGCAGGTTATCTCAATGATCAAACCAGTACTCCTGTGAACAATAGAGCGTCCTGTTGTCCTTCTCATGCCTCTGTAAATACCATTAGGCGGACGTCGATGCTCTCTCGCGGGTTCTCCAGGCAGTCAGGGGCGAACAACGACGCGGCGCCATGTGGAGAGATCTCCAGCTCTGTGCCGTGACAAAAGGGTGGCGTTGATTAGCGTTGTGACAGTCATCTCAGCGCTATATTCCAGGAACCTACCGGCAGTGTACTCCCCTTTCATTTGGTCCCACGTTGTGAAGATAGCAACATCGTCAGGACTCTGGTTAGACATGTAGTAGTATTTATGATAGGGCTGGTGTTTGACGTAGTAATTCCGCTCGACCTCCATCAGGTCGCTCTGTAGAACGGTACGCCGGTCAGCAATGACCAATGGCGCATTCTTCACAAAATTCAAGGGTCGCCAGACACTGTTGGTCGTTAATGAATGCGACTGGTGTGTCCGTTTAAGTGCGGAACTGATTGCTTACTTGACGATCTTAGCATCCCAGTGCCACTATTGACAGCATCCAGTTCCTCGGGCAATAGGTAGATGCATCTCAAGTCGCTCCTTGCCACCTCGATATGAAAAGTCTTCGGGGATCAGCATGGTATGTTCTATACGTCCTCTCTGCTCTGTTCACCATGAAAGGAACGCAATGAATGTCAAGACCCTGAGCCAGAGCCTGCTGATGAATGTCGTACACACAGTCAGCAAGGGCCGACCTAAATTCCAGGCCCTAATCTTCGCACCTTGGGTCCTTTCAGAAAGCACTAGTGTACGCCCTTCGCGATCGCACTCGCATTCGTCACAAACACCAATCAACCGCTTGCCATTCCTCCACTCCCCGAGCCGTATTGGGCTGCCTCTCACCCACCTAAGCTTATTCTAAATCTTAAACAACACTCCTCAGCCCCTCATAGATCAAAATCAGTAAGATTGTGACCTTTCCATACCCAAATCAGCTCGAAATCTGGTGAGCACTGGGCACCAGCATTCACCTTCAGCCGATCCTCTACATACGCATATTTGTCTCCCTAAACTGGAGCTAATGCCTGTAGCTTCAAACTAGCGATAGCGGTGTCAGCAAGCAAGCGAGCAAAGATCTGTCAGCTTCTATTCCGTGAATGAATCCCATCGCATCTTTCCGAACCCATTCTTCGACCTGATTTTGAATTCATCTTCAAGCCGTTCAACTTCAAGCCGGATCTCGGCCATGGGTGTCCCAGAAAAGGAAACCAGTGCCCCGGGCTCGGCACCGAGGGAGTATGCCATGCCGCCGCCCTCGTACGCCGACGCCAGCAGCTCCACGTCCCCGCTGCCGCCGCCGACAGACCCAGCTATTGCCTCGCGCTCAAACCCTGGGGCTGCAGCATCGCAATCACCGTCATCGCCAGCAGGAGCACCATTCGTCCCGACATCGCAGGTGCCGACGGCCGCCGAGCCGTTCAACTTCCCCTCCGACGCCCCCTGCCCGGCCTACTCGCCCGCGGCGCCGGACCAGCCCCGGCGCCTGATCGCCATCCCCCAGGCCGCCGGCACCAGGAAGGCGGACGCCAAGTTCGTCCGCGGCTACGCCCCGTCCCTGCTGAGCCGCGGCATCCCGCCGCAGACCTGGCGCGCCTTCCTCGACACGGCATCGGCCTTCCTGGCCGCCACCGTCTCGGACCAGGCCGTCGGCCACGCCGCCGACGTCGGCCGGCACGTCGGCGGCGTGCCCAAGCGCTGGGGCAAGGAGACCGCCAGCCACGCCAGGTCGGTGGGGCGCAGCATCCGCGACAACGCCCGCCGGGGCAACCTCGTCGGCTCGGCGTTCGGCGTCATCGGCGGCGGCATCGGCCTGACTGTCGGGGCCGCGACCCGCGGCGCGGGGGCCCTGATCTCGCTGCCCTTTGCCGCCGCGTCGGCCGTGGCGTCCAGGCCCAAGACGCCCCGCGAGAGGGCGACGGCGTACTTGGCCGTCGCGAACAAGGACTGGCTCGGCGCGAGGGGCCTGTGCGCGCGGCTCGTCGACACGGCGGAGCTGGCGAGGGCGGTGGGCTTGACTCCGGACCAGCTGCTGGCCGCAGCGCAAGGGAGCAAGGAGAGCAGTGCCGAGGCGCAGATTGCGTCGCTGGGGCAGTACGTGGAGCCGCTGGAGTTTGACGGGGCCGAGATGCTTCAGCTCGGGGTGAATACGCTGTGGCTTGTGGTTACGTTTGATGGGAATGCTGACGGAGCGATGTGAATCATGTACGACGATTAGCAGTGTTCGATATACAAATTGGCCATCCCCTTATGAAAACATAATGACCACACACGGGCGGCGCGGTTGTCGCATTTTGCTACGGGATATTTCAAAACTGTACGGTCCATCTGGGTGACGTGCCGGTTTGTGTATATCAAGCGTGCTGGATATGTCAAAAGGTTGGCCAGGAGCGCAAGACGAGAGGCACAGCGGGCCGTCATCGTCATGGATGGAAATGTGAGAAAGAAGGCACTTCTGAAAAGCTGGGTAGGTCTGAGAACATTGAACACAGTATTGATTCGTGTTGAATGTTCCTCGCGGTGCAGACAGCATTTCTCTCAGTTTTCACCCCGAGACAATCAAACGAGACAAAGCTCGGCCCACTCCTCCCCTTCCTTGACCCCTTCCCCGTCCATGTAGCCGTGCAGGTACGCCTCGCCGAGGAACTTGTACTCCCCGGCCTTCTTCCCCTTCTTGACGATGTACGCCGTCTTCCCCCCCTGGAACAGCACGACCAGCGTCCCGGGCAGCGTGGAGTGCGGGCCCAGCCCGGCCAGCCCGCCCTTGGTAGTGAAGATCTTGCGCCCCTGCGACGCCACCGTCGCCGCCCGGCTGAACCGCCACGCGCTGATCTCGTCGTGCGACGCGCCGGAAGCGGCCTCGCCGCCGCTCCCGTCGGGGATCTCGGCGCGCCGGAACGCCATGTACAGCTGCTCGAGGTCCGGGCCCCCGGGGGGGACCTCGGCCACGACGTCGGCGCCGCCGACGAGCGTCTGCTGCAGGACGCTGCGGATGTCCTCGCCCGTGGCGGGGTACGCCTTGAGCCGGAGGACGAGGCGCTCCCACATGCGCCACCGGCGCTCGCGGGACCAGCCGAGCGTGATGCCGACGGGCCGCCTGGCGATGCCGTCGCCGTAGACGCGCTGCATCTCGAGCTGCGCGGCCGACATCATGGTCTCGCCGATGTCCCTGACCTCGCCGACGACGCGGGCCCTGACGTAGAACCTGCTGCCGTCGTCCGAGAAGCGCACGGCGGGGGGCTCCCCGGGCGGGCCGCCGGCGCGCCAGGAGCGGCCTTTCGGGGTGAAGAGGAGGGGGTACTCGCGCGAGGCGCAGGACCAGTCCGGGACCCAGGTCGGCAGCTCGTCTTCGAGCAGCTTCCAGGCCGGGTCGCTGTTCAGGTTGAGGATGTCGAGGGACTCTTTGAGGAAGGAGGCGGCTAGGTTCCGGAAGACCTCCGGCGCCGAGAGGGAGTAGTCGGGGATTATCTTGGCGTCGGCGGCGAGGTTGAGGAGGGCATAGACCTTGTCGATGGGGTTCGTGGCGAGCGACTGCCTGAAATTCGACAGAAGACCCAGCAGATCGGGCCGTGTTCCCTTTTGATAGGTTTCTCTCATGGCCAAAAGGTTGAGCCCGGGAGTAATGTCAAGCCTCGTCACGCCTCTGAAGTTGCGGCGGTAGAAGAAGTGTGAGACAAAGGCAAAGGTCTCCCAGGGAATGCTGTCTTTGCCACAGATGATGCCTGCAGACCTAGCGACGGTGATTTCCTGCACAATCCATATCCTGCCGAACCACGGCTGCCAATACAACGACTCCAATGCCGTCCACTCGTTGCTTTCCGTCGGCGGCAGGCTGTATCTGGCAAGGTCGGCCTCGAACATGGGCTTGTCCCAGAGCTCGGGCGGCGTCTCCTCGGCAAGCTTGCCCAGCTGTCTCATCAGCTTGAACCCGAGCTCGGTATCGGTGCTCGGCTCGCTCAGCCAGACCACGACCGAGTCGGCCATCCGGTAGATGGAGTCCATGAGCTGGACCTGGACAGACCGCTCCTCCATGTCGCCCTGGTTGATGCACACGCCGTCGATCCAGAACACGCGCGGGCGGTCGGCCAGGCGGATGTCGCGAACGGCGGCCAGGAAGTTCCGCGTGACGAGGATGGATTTGCCGTCGCACAGCACGGTGTGCTCTTCGGAAGGGTCGCCCCACGTGTACGACAGCGCCTCGAAGCTTGGGCGGCCTTTGCCGTCGTCCAGCGACTCGACCGTCAGCGTGCATTTGACCTCCTCTTCCGGGGACGCGGCGGGCAAGATGTGCAGCAGCCGGATCTCGTTCGGCTTGAGAGGTTGGTACGTGTAGGTGTCGGCGTGCCTGGCAGTCGATCAGATGCCGCACTACCATAATATTCATCTCGCTGAAGCAGCAGACTCACGCCGGATCCTTGATAGCCAGCTCCTGTCTCTCCTTTGACCGCTCTTGGTACTTCTTGAGTCTCCTATTCGGGTTGAAGAGATTCTTCCTCGTGCTCCTGCCAATGGCCGATGAGTTGCAGTCTCTTGAACACGCGTGCGAACACAGCCACCTACTTTGGTATCAGAGCGCTCGACATGAACCGCTCGTTCGTCGCGATGGAGGCCTGGAAGACGGAGAGGTGGACCTCCCACATCATATCATTCATTTTCGACATCTTCGCACCTCTTTACGTGTTTCTCCGCTCATCGACCCGCGATCAGTTTTGTTCCTAAAACAAACGAAACCATCTCGGTATACGTGCGGAGGGCGCATTTATGCATATTTCTGTGGCGCCGGGGGTTCGTCTTTTTGGGGGCTGCTGTTTCAGCCCCCGAGAGGGGGCGCGTACAGGTGCAGAATCACAACAGTTACAAGCTAATGCACGAGAAACCCGCTGGCCCATTTAAGGAAAACGGTCTGTCCCCGTCTCATGCGTTTTATGCGCTCTAAAATCTGACATCTCCCAAGGATCAAACACCCAGAAGAATGAGATATGTGATGGACTGTGTGATCTACCATCTACACATCTACAGGTAGTTGATATGATTCGCGAAAACAAAACCTCTGTGAAGAAGGATAAGCCACCAGTCAAGATCGCCCACCTTCCTCCCAAAAAGAACCCAAACTACTGCCTCGTCAACGTCAGCCCGTAAGCAGGCAGCTCGATGCTCGTCGCCACCGGCGCCCCGTCCGCGCCCTTCTCGACGTTGAAGACAAAGTAGTCGAGCGACTCGTACTGGTACACGAGCCGGTCCATCGTGCCCCAGGCGATGCAGCCGTTCTGCGGCCAGGGGTACCTGGCGTCGGACGCGGCCACCTCCTCGGGCGTGAACAGGTCGAAGACGCCCCGCCAGCCGGCCTGCCTCCCGCTGCGCAGGTTGGTCGGGTACAGCCGCAGGCGCACGAGCACGCTGGGGTCCGGCTCCGTCGGCACGATGCCGATGCGCAGGTAGTTGGCCAGCACGTCGACGCCGCGCGCCGTGTAGTTGGTCGCGCGCAGGCCCGGCGCGTCGTCGGTGGCCAGCGTGATGGACGAGTTGGTCGCCCTGTCGGCGTACGTGCCCGTGAAGGACACGGCCGCCTCGTCCTTGCTCGCCTGCTCGAGCGCCGGCAGGAGCACCGTCGTGGCCGTGGCCTGGATGAGCTGCACGAAGCCGCCGACCTCGGGCCCGGCGACGTTGACGGAGACGACGAGGTCGTAGTCGGGCACCATGATGAGCGCCGCGTGGTAGGTCGTGATGTCGCCGCCCTTGGTGTAGAGCTCGATGAGGCGCCCGTCCCTGGTGACGTTCTGCACGCGGTAGATCTCCCAGGGCGTGCCGATGAAGGTGCCGAGCGACGACGAGGACGTCCAGGGCTTGAGCCACCGGCGCGTCTTGGCCGGGGAGATGAGCTTGGAGCCGAGGATGGCGGAGCCGAGCGCCAGCAGGTCGTGGGTGGACGAGTAGTAGCTCCCGGAGGCGTTCTCGAACCCAAGCAGCGAGGTCCACCATTGGTCGTCCACGGGGATGACACCGAGCTTGTCGTCCGGCTTGAACGCAGAGGTGTGCTTCATCCCGAGGGCGTCCAGGATCTTCTGCTGCACAAAGTCCTCAAACTTGAGCCCGCTCACCCGCTCCACCACGAGTCCGAGCAGGGCCGGGCCAATGTTGGAGTACACGGGCGCAGTGTTGGGCGCATAAATGGGCGGCCGCTTGCCAAACTTGGTGAAAAAGTCCTCCCACGTGCACGGTTTGCCGTCGAGCAGGCCGCTGCACTGCGGCGAGTTTGCCGGGTCGGGCTTCGGCAGGCCGAGCTTCTCCCAGGGCGGGTTGAAGGCCGTCAGGTCCGTTCCCACTGTGCGATTCATCCATCTTGATCAGACCAACCACCATTCGGGCGTGTGCCATACATCCTCGAAAGGGGAAAAAGAAAACTCACGATCTACCGGAATACCACTGGTATGCGAAGCCAGCGCCCCGAGCGTGACCTCGTCCCAGTCCACCACGTGCACCGCGTCCTGCGCCGCGGCCTGCTTGGCCAGCTCCCTCAGCTCCGGCACGTATTTGGTCACGGGGTCCTCCCACAAGACGCCGTCGATGAGCATGAGCGCGTAGGCGGGGAAGACCTTGGACGTGCTCGCGATGCGGTACATCGAGTCCGAGGTCACCTTCTGCACGCCCTTGGGGTCGAGCTTGGACGGGGTGAAGTGGTACTCGAACAGCGGCGCCTCCTCGCCCAGCGTCTTGACGCCGACGGAGACGGCCGACACGTTCAGCGGCGCCGTCATCTTGTCGAGCGCGGCCTTGAAATCGGCGAGGCCCTTCTTGACGGCCGGGTTGGCGCTGGCTCTCTGCGGCGCCGGCAGCACGGGCCCCAGGGGTGGGCAGTGTCCGTCCAGGGCCGCCGAGACCTCGTGGCCGGCGAGGGCCGCGAGGAGCAGGGCCAGAGAGCGGTGGGTAAGAGAGCCGATGTGCATCGTGACAAGGAGTAGGTGGCGCGTTCGACAAAAGATAGAGCACGTCCTTGATCTGCGACCATGAGGCTCTTAGGGAAGATGGCTCGGAAGCGCAAGACGGGAAGAGGTGCGAAAAGGCTAGGCTTTTAAGCATATCTCTTGGACGTGAGCCCGCCAAGCAGAACTGTATTCACTTCCTTGATCCGGCCATGGTCTCCGTGGGCACGTCGCGCGACAAGGCATGCTCAGCACCGATGCTAGCCTGCAAAGCACATCCGCGCCGCAAACGTGGGGACGTGTTCTTGAACAAGGTTCGCATGCCAAGTCTGCCCATGCCCAAGACGCAGGGGATGACGTGAGCGTCGGTGTGGTTCTGGTGCGAATTGGGCGTTGCAGCTTGCGATCTCTACAAGTGGAAGTGCGAGATCTGCGAGTTGGAAGTCGTATAAACGTCCACGAACAGCTAGTCAAACACCACTGTAAAAGGCAGTTGCCTGCACAGTGGGGTGTCTTGGGGGCTCCCGGGTTCGCTGAAGGATCGCCGTGCTTTGGAGAGGGGCTGGGTGGACGCCCGGGCGAGATTCCGGGGATGAGACAAGGACTGAGCATTCATCCGTTAAGAAATAACTACATAAGTACCGCATTATGGCACTGGGGCTTCAAGTATTAGATGATGACTGCCGCTGCTACGCCACGCAGCCACGCGTAGCCACGAGGAGCTCAGGACGCATTCCGAAGTCACAGGGGACATCGCGACAGTGATCGGTCCCGAGGATGGTATCCTGTGGACACCGAACTCCCAAAATGGCAGGTCGACAGCGCCCCCCGGCACTGTAAGCCGCCCCGGCCAGAACCGCCTGCAGTCCGAGATGTCAGTCGTCGAGACCGAGACCGGTGATGAGCCGAATTGTGAAAGGATTTGTCTAATCGATCCGCTATCACCGGCATCCTCGCACGGAATCGCCGGCTTATGACATTGAACTACAGCATCAGGCGGTTTCTACAAGGGTAGCAGTGGCAATCCCAACTTCCGACTCAGCCAACAAACGGATTCATTCTGCCCTGTCAAAGCATCCTGGCATGCAGGCATCCAACTATGGAGAAATGGAGAAAGTGGGAATATTTTATATATTTTTTGTATTGTTCCACTCCTCCTTTTTCTGCTAGGTAGGAAGCGGACTTGTCAAGTTATATAGTACTAACAATGATAATAATAATAATAAAAGCTATGTGCGGAAAGACCTCGTATACCAAGATGCTTTTTGTATGGATGAGCGAGTGTTGTGTTGTATTGTGTTTGTTCTTGACCACCAAAAGAAAGTCTCATAGCCCCCGCGTTGCGTAGTCCCATGTCAACAACGTTAATGCAACTCCCGAGCCGCGACCGCTTTGTGCCCGAGAGAAAAAGAGCCGAAAAGTATGTACAACGAGGCCATGAAAAAAAATGGTACTAGAAATTAAATCCCATCAAGAACCCCAGCCGCTAATAAAACTCATTATGAAAACAGGGACCCCGATATGAAAAGGGATACACCCAACGAAAGAATGTTGAAACACACAAAAACGAGGGGAATGGTCCGGTCTATCTCATCTATTACCCAAAACAAAAAAGGTATGACCCGCTTCCTTCGCATTGGAATTCATGCAATCTCGCATCCCCATCAAGTCAGGACAATCGACCTCTTGGCGTAGAGGTTCAGCCTCACGCCCGCGCCGCAGAACTCGCTCGAGTTGCCACGGCACGTCATCTTGCACTGGCTCTCGGAGATGTTGGCTCCAGGGGTGGCGCCGGTGTAGCCGGCCCAGTTGAGCTTGTTGTCACACCAGCACTGGCCGCCGTACTCGAGACCTGCGTAGTTGTAGTTGTAGCACATGGAGAGGCAGGTCTCGACCGTCATGGTCTTGGTATCGGCCATCAGGTTGACCAGGAGACGGCCCTTGGACGGCTCCGACACGCAGTGGTAGTAGGTGAAGTTGACGTCGCCTTGCGAGACGACCGGGGGACCGGTGTAGACGGGAGCGAGCGAGGAGCTCGTCGAGGTGCTGGAGCTGCTGCTGGACGAAGACCTGCTGGACGACGAAGAGCTGCTGGAGGTCGTCGTGGGCGTCGCACTGCTCGAAGTGGAGCTAGTCGTCGATGTTGACGAGACAGTTGACGAGGAACTGCGGCTTGAGCTCGAGCTGGAAGTCGAGGTCGAGGAGACAGTCGATGACGAGCTAGACGACGATGACGAGGTCGTGCTGGTTACCGAGCTAGAGCTAGAGCTGCTTGATGAACTGGACGAGCTTGTCGAAGTAGACGACGGCGAGCTGGTCGAGGAGCTGCTGGACGAGCTGCTGGAAGACGAGGACGAAGATGAGCTCGAGCTCGAGCTCGAGGACGAAGTCAAGGTCGAAGAGGACGAGCTTGAGCTAGTCGGCGTCGCCGAAGATGAAGTCGAGCTGCTAGTGGAAGTCACGCTGGAACTCGTAGAGCTGGAGCTGGAGCTGGAGCTAGACGACGAGCTGGTGCTAGAGGACGACACACTGGTGCTCGTCGCACTCGAACTCGCAGAGCTGGAGCTCGAGCTCTGGCTGACAGCAAAGTTCGTCCCGTTACCCTTCTTGTACAGCTCAAGCCTGTCGCCAGCGCCGCAGTACTCGGTGTTATCGCCAGGGCACAGGAACCAACAGTCGGACAGCGGCGCAAGCGCGCTGCCGTCACGCAGGACGTTGCCGCAGTAGCACTCGCGGCCGTACTCGACGCCAAAGTAGGTGTAGGCGGCGCAGAAGGCGGCGCACGAGTCGAGGGTCATGCTGTCGTTGGCGTACGTCGTCGAGTAGAGCGCGCGGCCGTTGAGCGTCTCGGTCCAGCAGCCCTGGAACTGGTAGGCGGCGACTGTGGGCCTGTGCCAGGGGCCCGTGGCGGTCGGGGAGGCGCTGCTACTGCTGCTGCTCGTCGAGGTCGCCGTGGACGCGACGGTCGGCGACGACACGGGCGAGGTGATGGTGGACGAGGTCACCGTGGACGAAGTGGCGGACGACGTGCTGTTGGACACGGCGGCGCCCTTCTTGTAGAGCTCGAGCCTGTTGCCGGCGCCGCAGTACTCGGTCTTGTCGCCGGGGCACAGGAAGCTGCAGTCCGACAGGGTGGCCAGGGTGCTGCCGTCGCGGAGGGTGTTGCCGCAGTAGCACTCACGGCCATACTCGACACCAAAGTACGTGTAGGCGGAGCAGAAGGCGGCGCACGAGTCGAGGGTCATGCCGTCGTCGGCGTAGGTCGTGGCGTACAGGGCGCGGCCGTTGTTGGTCTCGGTCCAGCAGCCCTGGAACTGGTAGGGACCGACGGTCTGCCGGCGGTAGGGGCCGGTGGCGGTGGGCGAAGCGGCGCTGCTAGTGGACGTCGTGGAGGTCGAGCCGGTGCCGGTCGCAGTGCTCGACGTGCTGGACGCCGTGCTGCTGCTAGAAGTGCTGGTGGAGTTTCCGACGCCGCCACGGACATAGACGTCCAGACGGTTGCCGGCACCACAGTACTCGGTAGCGTTGCCGTTGCAGATCATGTTGCAGTCGGTGATGGGGGCAACAACGGAGCCGGCGCTGAAGCTGTTGCCGCACCAACACTCGCCACCGTACTCGACACCGGCGTACTTGTACTGGGGGTTGCAGGAAGCGATGCAGCCAGCGACAGTCTTGTTCGGGTTGGGCATGCCGTTGACAAGGGCACGAGCGCCGGTAGCCTCGGTGTAGCAGCCCAAGAAGCCGTAGCCGTTCACGCCGGGGTTGGTGACCGGGCCGCCGGGGTTGACGGGAGTGCTGCCGCCGTTGATGTCATGGAAGAGCGAGATGTAAGAACCGCCGGCGCCATCGTTGACACCGTTGCCGCCGCAGATCTGGTTCACGTCGCCGGCGCAAGGGTAGTTGCAGTTATCCTCGGACACCTGCTGGACGGGGATGTTCGGACCGCCCCAGCACTCGCTGTTGTACTGCGTACCGCAGTAGGCGTAGCCCTTGGCGGCGCAGGCGGCGATGCACATAGCGCCCGTGTTGTTGGAGCTGCTGTAAAGCTGGTAGGCGAGCTGGCGACCAGGGTTGTTCTCCTTGAAGCAGCCCGTGTACCGGTAGCGGCCAAGACCGTTGGCCTGCAGGGGAGGAGCCTGCTCGGAGACGGCGCCGCAGTCGAACTGGATGAACTGCTTGCCCCAGGTGGGGTCGTTCAGATTCATGGTCCACTGAGCATTGCCATAGTAGGGGTCGGTGTTCCACTGCTCCTTGGGGACAGAGCAATAGAGAGTGGCATAAGCACTCTCACCGGCACGAACGATGGTGCCTTCGGCGAGGTCAACCTGGTTGTTCGCGCCGATGATGCTACCGGCAACACCAAACGGCGGCTTAGAGACGGCGATCTGGAGGGGAACGGCGCCGGTACCGCCGTTGTTGGTAAGGCGGAGCTTCAGGGACCGGGTCTGGTTCTCCGTAACGTTGCCAAAGGTGAAGTTCTTGCCGGACTCATACTTGACCCAACCGGTACCATCGGGAGTCTGGAACTCGAGAAGGGCGACGGGCGCAGGGCCAGAGGAGGCAGTGACGCTCAGGGACTGTGGTCCGCCAGTCGAGTTGACCTGCAGGTAGAGAGAGTAGTTGCCGCCAGTCGTGGGGTTGAAGTTGATATCGACATTAGACTGGCTGTTGGCGGCAATCGTGGTCGGCAGGTTCTTCAATGTGAAGGGACCAGAAGTGGCCTGTCCGTTGGTCACGGTGATAGGAGTGAAAGTACCCGAAGCGCCGTTGGGCGAGGCCATGACGCTGGAGAGGGTCAGAGACGTGTTGCCCTGGTTGATGAAGAAGACGGTCTCGTCCGAGCCGCCGTCGGTGCCAGTGACGATCTGCGTGAAAGCAACCTTGTTGGGGTCGATCTTGAAGAGAGGACCTTGGCTAGCTCCGGTACCGGTGAGACGGATGGGAGTCTTGACGCTGTAGCCGGTGGCGGCGCCATTGGTGGTAGCGACGGAGACGCTGCCGGTGAGAAGACCAACGGTGCTGGGCTTGAAGGTAGCCTGGAAGGTGAACGAAGCACCGGCAGCAAGCTGCAGAGGGAGGGTAGCAGGCACACCGCTGATGCTGTAGTCGGAGCTGTTGGCCAAATCGACGCTGGTGACCGTCACAGCGATCTTGGCCTTGCAGGTCACAGTCTGCTGTGCAGCGCTGGCACCAATATCGACGGAGCCGAAGTTGACGGGAGTCGTGCAGTTCAGAGCAGGGTTGGTCGGGGCGCCGAAGCCATACACGAAACCCTGAGTGGTGCCCTGGTAGACGATGCCATCGCCAAAGACGGGGCGGGTAAACTTGGTGGTGCCGGGGACGGAGAACTGGTTGACCAGAGTGAGGAGACCATTCTGGGGCACGGCGTTGTAGATGCGCAGGTTGTAACCCTGGACATCGGAGATCCACAGCAGACCTGTTCCGGGCTGACCGTTGAGCGAGGTGACGGTACCGTGGCTCACGCCCAGAGTGTAGGCGTTGGCGACGGGACTGTCGGCAACCTTGGCGAAAGACGGGACACCATTGTTGCAGGAGAACTTGAAAACGTGGCTGGGGTACTGAATGACGTTGATATATATGTAGCCGCCCTCAAGAGGGTAGACACCCGCACCAGCGTAGACCGAGTTCTCATTCTGATAGGTCTGGAGCACCTTATCGCCAAAATCGGGAGTGTTCTTGTAGCCACCGAGATCATCCAGGTTGAGCCAGTACGTCTTGCCCTCCTTTCCGGTAACGACACCAATGCGCTTCACATCGCCGCAAGAGAAGACGTCGCTGGGCAGAATCTCGAGAGGGCTGGTACCGAGATCACGATCACCACCGTCCAGAGCCTGTTTGTCGAACGGCATAAAGAAGTCGACAATGGTCAAAGAGCCGTCGCCGTTGATGGTCATGTGCACGGCGGCCTCCTCCAGAGCCGTAGGCGGGTTGCGGCCGTTCACAGGAATGGTGGAGAGCTGGGAGGCATAGCCGTTTCCAGTAGCGAAGAACATGGAGCCCTGGTCATCGGACGCGAGACCACCGCCAGACATCCAGACACCACCACCCTTGGTAGGGCTCAGAACACCCTCGCCTTCCATAGCGTAGCGCTCGACAATCTTGCCGGTCGTCTTGTCCCAGCCGATAATCCAGCCGGTGAAGTTGTACTGGACGCAGTGGGAGGCGAAGCCGGCGTAGATGTACTGGCCAGAGTGCAGCAGAGCAGGGCGCTGGTGCTGGATACCACCGTTGAACGATCGCGTGGGGTTGTTCCGAGCAAGGGTGCCCTCGATGTCGACAGGGAAGTTGGGACGGTCGGTCAGGTCGTTTACGTTGAGCGCGATCAGCCAGTAGCGGCCGTTGGGCTTGCCCTGCGCACCATTGCCACCCTGCTGGTTCGCGTAGGTCTTGAGAGTCAGGTACAGGGTGTCGGTAGCGGGGTCGATGACACCGGTCGCGGTGATACCGACGAGGGGGTTGATATCGACACAGCCGTTCAGATCCGCAGTCAGGAAGGGGATGGCAAGGTTGCGCGAGGCGACAATGACACCGGTCTTGGCGTTGAGCTTGTAGACGTTGTTCTGCGTGGTGGCAAAGTAGACGTATTGCGTGCCGTCACCTCCCGAAGGGGTGTAGACGAGGGGCTGTGAGAAGATCTGCTCGGGTGCGCCGTTGTAGTTGCCGGGCAGGGCAGTCTTGAAGATCTGAGCAAACTGGTCGCTGCCCACCACGGCAGGGTCCATGTTGTGGTTACTGCATGTCCCCAACTGTTAGCGTCCCTGAGATCTTTCAAGAATTGGCTCCCTCGCCAAGATCGAGGGCCTTACGTTTGGTAACCCGCCCGGGAGTTGTCACCACCCCAGGTAATGGTGTCCGTGTCGGCGAGACCGTCGACGAGGCCGACGAGAGTCGAGAAGAGCAGCAAGGCCGCAGTGGCCGCCGCCGTAGCCATCCTGGACATGATGCCGAGTTCGAATTGACCTGGCGAACGAATGTGTGTGTCCGTCGACGACGACAGAGGGATGCATCAACAAGAGGGGAGGGGGGGGGAGGAAGGGACGGGATGGAGAAGCACGGCGGCGATCAGCTAGATAAATGAAATGGAAAGATTCTTGGGATCGCCTCTCCCGCCCGGGGGGACACCCCTGTCTGCGGCTCCACCTCCATGTTGCTGGATCCGCCCGAGATGGGACGACGACGTCAAGCTGGGATGGAGGTGGTGTCTGTGCTGGTCGTGCAGAAGCGCACGGGGGATACGAGAACGAGCAGCTTTGCTGTACGGACTATGCCTGTCTGCTGTGCTACTTGGCTGCACTAGGCTGGACCTGGCTCGCCGCTGAAGAGAACGCGCGAGCGGGCCAAATAGATCGAGGCCAGCAGAGCCAATGGCGGGCTGGGCATGCCGCCAGAGTCGGAGGATGACCCCTGAGGCGTTTGCAAGGTTTCGATAGGAGAGAAAGCTTGTCTTGGCCTGGTCCGGGTAGCTGTGCCTGGGCCGGGCGGGGACCGGCGCTGATCGTTGTGCGTGTCACGGATGGTGTCTTGTGCCTGTGGCCGTCTGGGCCATGGATGCGTGTGCTCTTGCAAGCCTGCAATTCTCCGTGTCCATCGAACTTGTGCGAATTGTACGAAGCTACGCCGTATGTGGGTGTGTGGAGAGCGAGGGAAGGAGAGTGCATGGTGGATGGATGGGCTGTGATGGGCTGCGCAGCAAGCCACACCCCTGAGCCTAGTCCCGCCAGGGAGGACCCCTGGTCTAGTCTATTGCCAAGACTACGCACGACAGCGGGGCGGCTGGCGGGTCTGGGCTGATATAGCGAGCCGTTAGCCGCAATTAAAGCACCCAAATTGGCATCAAGCGGCCTGTCCAGGTGCCAATAGTTGGTCCCCATAGTGCGCCCGTGGCTTCGAGGGAAATTGAGGTAGCGTTCCCTGCTAGGGCACGCGCAGAAAAATCGCCCCATTCGATGATGGACGTCGACAAAATGGAAAAGAGCATGGCTACTCTGTACAAGTAGGTACTGGATGATGTGAATGCTATTATGGAGTAACGGAGTGGTTAGGTCGAACGGGCGACAACGTGCGCACCTTCTAGCACGCTTCTCGACGACGACTGTTGAAGCCCACGCCAGTGGCGACAAAGCCCGCTATCGCCGACCCTGAGCGCTTTGCACTACAAGTACTAGGACAGGACAAGGACAGATCGTCAATCGGTGTCTGTATCGCTTCCGTTATGAGCCACGATAGCATTCACGTCGCGATACCACGTGGATGCAGGTGCTACGGGCGTGTCATGGCTGGCGATTGCTTTCTGCTGTTTTCTTGGAGCCATTTCATCGCAAAGCGCACCGGGCGACACCGGTTTTCGAAGAGTAGGTAGTTAGGTATCCGGCAGGGTGGGAGAGGCTAAACGCTAGCGATGATGGATGGCGCCGGTTTGTCTGGAATGCATCAGACCGTTTTTTCCCCAGAAGGTGCTTGTGACTAAAGTAGGCAGCCCAGCCAAAACCATCGAATTCAAGGTTCACAGCTACGAAGCGGACAAGCGCACACCTCCAATGGACAATGCCTTCTGCTCTGCTGGCCTGTATTGACAACAAGTGGTGGTTGTCTGGTGCGGGATGTCGCGCCCCTCCACGACAGTTTTTGGGTTTTTGGCTTTGGGGCACTTTTTCGATAGCGTGGGGCTAGCCAAAGTTTTGATGCGCTGATCTCCCCTTAAATTAGCAGCACTTGGGTGGGATTGCCTGCAGGTACCTTGCCAGCCTGCATGCATACCACCTCGACTTTCTCGTATTGTTTGTTCCTTGCCTGTACGGAGTACTCCGTGCTTCAGCGACATGGACTGCGCGGCATCTTCCTCACCGAACCAGTCGCACAATTGATGATGGGCTTGCCATCAACATCGGAAGAGGCGCCTCCTGACACCCACCAGGCGCACGACCAGGCGTTCCCTCCCGGGTTCGATAGGTTCAGCCATCAAAGTTTTGACCGTTTGCTGACAGGCAGGTGGCGTCGCAGGCCTCAATCAATAGCTCCCGGCCATGTCTTGCTCACATTGGTCGACTTTGTGACGCCCCAGACATATTTGTGCTTTTTTCGCCGTGGCTTCCACAACGCCTGGGCTGGCTTGGTGCTGCTGGCTCGGTACCCGAGGTGCGGCTGAGAGACTGGGCCGGCCACGTACGTGGTTAGGCAGTGTCAAAATTCAATAGTGCCAAATCCAGACCCAACGCTTCGACGCCGCCTACCAAAAAGAAGGAAAGTCGCCAAATTTTTCAATTGACTTCAGCACGCAAGAATTTGTGAAGAGGCAACGGTTCCGTGACGATGAGACTGCGTTTTTGTCGAACCATTCCCTCTCAGCTTCCAGCATCCTACGCCCGTTTGCTTGGTCGCAGTGTCCGACAGCGAGCTGGCTCCACTGATTGCCCGTCACCCCCAAATGCGGAAATGCGCCGGAGACGACATCCCGAGGCAGATCCTCAGATCAACCTCCAGGTGTGCACTGGCATTTTTTCGGGAGAGAAGATCCCACCAATATCTCATCGCGAAATCCTTGTGGATGCATTCCTTGCGAGCACAGGAGATTGACATCATTGAGTAAAGACCGCAAGTAGGGGATACCTCCCAGCCCACTTGATTTTTCCACGCCGGCTGTGGGACGCCGGTGTCCCAGTTACTCGGAAGCTTTTTAAGATGTGAGACCTCTTGTCTCACCGTAACGCTTCCCGTGACTCCTCTCGGTCCACCGTTGTCCGTCCGCGGTGAGACATGCTCACGTAAGGCACTTTGGACGATTGCCCACTAGTGCGCCGCCTGTTGCGACTTCAAAAACGGATATCGTTTGTCGAGAACCGCATGCCTTGAAGCGATGGATTCCAATGCGCAAGATCACCTACTGTCCGTTGATCAGAATGTGGCACTGAGGCTCTCCCGCGCCCATGGGCGCCAAAAGTAGGGCTGAAAGGTGCATGTGGGTAGGACAAAACGAGTGGGGTGCGGAGGTACATGATATTTACCGTGCACTCGCCCATGATGCGTTGTACCTGCCCAATGCCCGACCCTCCTGCTACGTGTACAAGTACGGTATGATTGCCAGTGATCCCTATACCTGCAATTGCACACCTACTGGCTTCATTTCACAGCGCCCAGCGGCTGGCTAATCGGGTGTGGCACTGGCATCAGTGAGCGCGCGCCAAGCCACTTGTATGGAAAGTGTGCATGGGCGCGGGCAGATCGTCGACTGTACTTGTAATTAACCACCCCGTCTCTGAGGTTAATTGGAGTGAAGAATGTGATTCTTGATTGATCTTTTGCTATCATATCAAAGTCCGAGAAGATTTTTGATTCTCAAGGACTTGCAGATCGACATTTCCATCTTACCACCTGTCAATACGGGACTTTGCCCTTTGCCAGCCCACGTGCCAAATGCTCGCTCTCCCCGGCCTCTGCCTCCCACTCTGCCCCTCAACACGCACCTCCCAAAAGTACCCCATACTGCGAAATGTCGTTAGCTTCGCCCCTCGCCATCTTTCACCACTCCGTATTACCTAGCCCGTCACAGTTTCCAGGGACACCCTTGTGCCTCTCGAGCCGCTACTGCGCTAGAGCTGCTGCATGTCTGACGATGGCTTCCCGTCCAATTTCCGCCAAGCTTTTCAGGCAGCGGCAGCATCCGAGACCTGGCCTCCCGTCTCCTGCATCTGGCTGCTCTCCTGCAGCTCCTGATTCATCACTAAATGAACCCGGGAACGGCCTGCCGCCGCTCTACCCACAGCCAGCCAGCCACCACTATTCGGAGGCGTCGAGGCTGCGGCTTTTATTGATTCCGCATCCGGGTTTGGATCAAGGGGGGTCTGACGTGTAACCAGTCGCCGGAACCGGCTGATCTTGTGCGGTGAGCCAACAAGTCGCGGCCGAAGTTCGCACCGCCATCGTTCAGATCAACGCTTACGCCGCCGCACCCGATGAGATCATGGATATCTCCGGTGTCGTCTCGTGCGGTCGTACAATGCACATGCCATGTCATGTGCGCAAGGGCATCACACCCTTCTCCGTGTAACCACTGGTTCACGGGATCAGTAATAAACATTGCAGCGCCCAATGCCCTTGTGATCAATCCATATCTGTGCCGCCTTGCACGACCCGAAGTACATGTTCTTGCTGCCATGTCCCGCCCCCCAACCCCCTACGAGGCTTCGAACCTCTCTCTGAGAAACTGTGGCTCTGCTTCATCCCACACTCGGACTCACAATGAACGAAGTTAGTTCCCAATGTCATCGTATATGTCAAGTCGTGGTACTGCATCAGAGTCTAGTCAATGTCAAGCTTGGGGTTCCACACTGGCAAGCGGGGGTCAGAATAGTTGACGGAAGTTCATTAAAAAGTGCCTTGGTGTTAACACTGCATATCCTTGCTCTGGAGCTTGGACGGGCTATCCTCCTGCCTGAAATCATTGTATATGACAGGTAGTCAAGTGCTTCTGTTAATAGCCCGTCAACTATTCTGACCATCGGTCGACTAGTTGGACTGAATCATGGCACCTCAATTGTTGCTTTTTATCCACATCCTTATCAGAACATAATCGAACTCTTAACCTCGTCCCAACTTTAACAATCACAAGTGATGTGAAGCGCATAATTGTTAGTTACATCTTTCACCCAGTAGTCGGGTGCACGACGGCCAAGGTGACCTTCATACACATCTTGTCACCGGGACGCGAGGCTAGCATGACCACAGCGTCAGTACAGACCGTTCCCGGGCCTTCCCGTGGTTTCATGCTAAAGCTTCTTAGAGAGTCTGCTCACCTGTGTTGCCCGGCGGCGAATAGCGGAACTCGTGGCGGTTGCCCGACGCCAGCCTCACGCAGATGTGCCCTCCCAGGGTCGGGGGGTTCGTCCCGCGCGCCCTGAGCACCAGCTCCTTCTGCAGCGCATCCGTGTCGGGGTTGCACCCGTAGGCGACATCGAACAAGGCCTTCGGGTCGCCCCTCTGCGTCATGAAGATCTTGGTCGTGTTATCGTCCGCTGTGTACTGTGGCTACAGTCAACACTAGTCACATTTCGTGATACTCAACCAAGGCTGTGCATACCTCCCCGTTGATGACGGCGTGAATGATACCCCTGTTGATAACGCCATCGGCGAGCGTCAGGTTGCTCGCAGCATCGCCCGCCGGGCTGAGGTACAGGTGGTTATCGCCGCCGCCGGCAGGCCAGAGGTTCATCATGCGGTTGTGGATGATGGGGTACGAGGCGTTCTGGACCTGAATGGCGAAGCCCTCCACGATGGTGTTGGAAGGCGTGTCCCCGGGGATGTCGCACGCCAAGGCGGTGGCCAATGCACCCAAGAAAACAGCGAGCGATGATGATGGCAACATGGTGAACAAAATCTTTTTCTTTCTCCTCTTCTTCGATGCTGTCAATTGCAACAGAGACCTCGAAGATCTGTTCTTCCCGGGCGGCGAGGTTACTTTATACCTGCAACTCAACCACATGTGTATGCGTGTGATGGGAACCATGCGGGATGAAGCGAAAGTTTCCTGCCGCCAAGGACTGATACGAGCTGCTGCGACTGGGCTGCATTTGCATGGGGCTAACACCAGAGTAGCAGTTGCCTCTCTGTTATTGCAAGGACGTGCATAACTAAGTAATGTGGTAGTATCGGAGTGGGGATCCAGCCTCTTTGCAATCTCATCACTCGGAAGAAGTCGATTTATCCGCGCAGAGCAACGCGTCGCACGCTGTAGGGCATCTCGATCTAAGTCCTGTAGTATTCTTGCGACTCTGGTGGCTGGCTGGGACACAGCCCTCCAGTCTCTTCCTAAGTAGCTATCACAAGTCAACTAAAACTACCAGTTCACTGAGATGTGGCTCATGCGATCATGAAGTTAAGGGACATGAAGAGAGCGATGTCCTGGAGTAGCCCAATCATTCGATGATCCGCTTCACCCAAGTCTTCCAGCTTGGATCCGCACACAGAAGTGCCATTGACTCTGTGTCAAGGGTCACGAGAACCTCGAAGTCGCTCTTATCCCTCGCGCTGGGCAGCAGCAAAGCCGCTCCCATCATGTTCCACTCGCCCGTCGCCCTACGGATCGCATCAGCGGCAACGCCGTCGGCGCCTTCCTCACCTTCCGGCAGGCCCGGCATCTTCCAGGCCATAGGAGGGCCGTGGTGGCGCCAGGTGTTGAAGTAAAAGGCACTGGGGTCGCGAGGATCGTAGTTGGTTCCGATGTACCGCGGGTCGGGGGCCGCATGGATGAGAGCCGTGCGCAGGGCAATGAATTGCTCGTCGACGCTGTTGATGGACGCATTGAGGGCTCGGGCTATAGCGGCAAGCGCTGGGGTGGCGGTGGTCCGATCGCCGGTACATGCAGCCAGAACAGTCGCAGTGTCAATGGAGGTGATCGGGAGGGCAATAGTGTTGCTAGCACTAGAGCTCATGATGTCGGAGAAGCAGCGGTGTCGCCAATTGACTGCGACCTGCAGGCGGACCTTCTCGGGAATAGGTCTCGCTTTTGCCGATGACGAGATGAAGTCTTTGCCGGTGTTTAGACGTGCCTTCGTAACGTGGGCAAAAGTAATTGCAGCAAGACAGATGAATGTTGAGGGGCCGTGTTCACCAAAGTAAGCTCCCTGCATCACTGCGATTTGTCCCTTGAGATTCTTCATCTGGTAGAGTCCAAAAGCAAAGATGCAGCCGGTCTTCTGGATGTCCTCGATTGGTATCCCTGTCGGTTGGGTGCGGAATTGAGTCGGGCCTGTGGGAGCCGGCAGATGACAATACTCAGGACACAGGTTGATGAGCTCATTAAACGTGTTGGGGTTTGGGTTGCCATAAGACCTATTGGTGACCTCGTCTGGCAGGTTCACGTGGATATCGGAAGGATGTCGGTTATTGAGAGCCTGTGTTGAGTCCCTTGTTAGATCGGCAAATGACCTTATGTAATTGTCCATGTTGCTGCCATCACAGACAGAGTGGTGGCAATAGATGCATAAGAGCAATCCACCCTCGATCACTCTGGCATGGACCTCACAGACTGGAACTCCCTCTTTGTCTTGAAGAAGCTGATATGGAAGGTCGAAGGACTTGTCGACAAAAGCTCTCGCTGGGAAGCCTTTGGTCTTGAGCTGGTCGTAGGTCCAGCTGAAAGTAGCTCGATGATCAACCACCTGAAGCGGAATCTCGGCAGGGCCATCCGAGTCGATATAGACATGTCCAGCCGGCTTCGATACGAGCGATAGTCGGCCTGAAAGTTGGGGGAAATGTCTCGCCAGTTGACGAAGAGCGGAGCTCAGGTGCGTTTCAAGTGCTTCGAGATCTGTATTGTTGTGATATGGGAAACAGTAGCCTTTCCGGATGTAAGCTCGCGGCGCAACCTGATTCCAGGTGCTGAGGAGCCGGCGATCTTTGGAACAAGTAGGCTCGGGCATTTTCGGAGTCTTTCGCAACGGGGCTTGGCGGACTAGGAAGTAGACCCCTCAAACAAATCGTAGTTATGATAGACAGATGGCAGCTATTTGAGGCGAGAGAGACAATTTCAACGTCTTTATACCTTTGCCAGGCTAGTCGATCAATCATCACTCACCAATTGGTCACTCACTCGACCACATGACTGCTATTACACCCACATTGTCACAACTAGGATCGATTCACCGACTTTTCATCCGATCAGCCACGTGCCCACCGCGTTCAGCCTCATGCCATGCTGTCAATCGCTGCTGTTACACAGCATGTGCCGTGTGATTAGATAATCTGTATGTGTATGTTTCACTGATCCTTATCTATGAATGCGCTCAATAGAGTTTATAATTAATTCGGCATCATCAGGAGAGGAATCCATTACAACTAGTAAGGGAAGGAAGGTCAGCTCACTCATGAGTACATAAGTAGATAAGTCACAAAGCAGATGTAGAATTGTGAGACTTGCAGGGTAATGATTGGAAGCCTTTGTCCTAATACAGTCCAGTGAACTGACATTTGGCCCGACTTCTATTTATCCCTTCCCATCCTATGATGTTGATATCCTTGACCATTGAGAGGTATGGTCAGTGCACGAGTTCCCTATTCTTTTACATGGTTGAGTCATGGACAACTCGCCAGAGTTCACCCCTCGCATAATGTCTTCCCTATCTCACAAACTCTTTGTCGCTCAATTTAGTAGAGTGATAGGGCCCATCTTTCCTTTTCTCTTTTTTTTTTCGTTCTTTTTATTTGAATCGTAATGTTCATTATGCTTCCCCCAGAGACTAGTGCAACGATACGAGGTGGGAGTAGTTCTTGAGAAAAAGGCAAACCACCTCCACGAAAGAGTCGAGTTCATCCTTGGTCGTGCCGAGAATGATGCTGACCATACCACGCTCGGTTATCCAGAAGCCTTTGGACAAGCACCAGAACCAGAACAGCCTCTTGAGAGGCGCGTTGCTGTGCGCCTCCAAGTCCTCCACGCAGACTGGCACCGCCCCGTTCGTCTGGAAGTGGACGGTCAACACTGCCCCAACCCCAGTCACCACCATCTGGCTGCCCTTAGCGACCTCCTGCAAGCGCTCGCGGAAGTAGTCTCCAAGGCTGTTGAGCTCTGTCGCTGCCTCTGGCGTGTATATCTGAGAAAGGCCCACAAAGCCGCAGTTCATGGAGAGTGTATTGTTGTTGAACGTGCCTGAATGGACGAGGCTTGAGGGTTGCCTGGGGTCGCAGGAGGCTAGAAGATCTGCTCTGCCGCCAAATCCGCCAAACGACATGCCACCGCCAATGTATTTGCCAAAGGTTGTGAGGCCTGGCCTCAAGTTGAACTTTCCTTGCAGTCCGTGTGGATGTAACCTGGAAGTCATGACCTCGTCCAAGATGAAAACCACGCCGCACTTGGGAATTGAACTGTGTCAGCTAGTCTCCCATCCGGAGGACTTGGACAGTAGCTCACCTTTTCAGCTGTCGCCTGGATCGTCTGCAGGAACCCAACGGTGGCGGGAAGGCAGCCTCCGGCGCCTTGCATTGCCTCAACGAGGACAGCTGCGACGTCCGGGGTATCTTCGATCAAGCTCTTCGTGCCTTCAACATCGTTAAACGTACCAAGCACCCAGTCATTTTTATCCACGTTGATCTCGGAGACGCCATGCCCGAAACTGAGAAGGCCTCCGTGGTAACCCCCATTGAATACGATGGCCTTCTTCTTGCCTGTGACGTGCTTTGCAATGCTGAGCGCATAGAGATTCGCCTCCGTCCCGGAATTGCAGAATCTCACTCGCTCGACGCTTGGGAATCTCTGGCATAGAAGTTCCGCAAGCCTGGACTCGCCTTTCGTGGTGGCACCGAGACTGATGCCGGTGTTTTCCAAGGTCGACACCACCGTCTCCTTCAATATCGGGTTGGAGTGGCCATAGAGGCCGGCGGTGAGCTCTCCAACCAGATCGAGGTATCTATCGAACATGTCAACTGTGACGTCCTCAGAGTATCAAGCCCGTAAAGAGAGCGACGGACTCATGCTCATCGATATCCCATAGCCTGTTCCCACGGCCCTCTCTCATTACAACGGGGAATGGCTCGTTGAACAAAACACTGCGGGTATTGCCGCCTGGCAGAAATTTAGACGCCAGTTCGTGCTGGGCTTTGGAAGCTGGCAGCCTCTTGACATATTCTGACCTCGCTGACGCAAGCTCATTCTCGATGGTCACATGGATACTGAGAGGCGCGGCGACGTGCGACGCCTCCAGTCCGAGGGCTGGTTGGGTGAGCTGAACGGCAGTCATGATATCGGCCTCTCAGAGAAGCTGATGAGTGAGGTAACCTGGATGAGACTGGGCATCCTTTGGCGCGACCTGAGTATATCCCCAAAGCGTATGTACCACTTATTTAAAGGGTACTCGACAGATTTAGAGTACACTAAGATGGACTGCCGAGGAACGGGAACTCCGACTGAGCCGTTCCGGACAAGCCCCTTCAGGTCGAGTATCTTGACCAGATGAGGGGAAGCAGGAAGCGCGGTGGGTCTCATCTCGAACTTCGGATTGGTCAGATCGCGGTGTTATCAGGGCGGATTCTCCGATGGCCGGATCTCTCCAAGCTAGCGGCAATTCCGTATATCTGGCGGCTACTCCCTCCTCCAACCTCACCATCACGAACCCGAATCCCGACAATCATTGACACATATCGAAACAGCACAAAATATGGACGACACGGTCGAAGACACGTTTATGCCGCATCATTTGCTTACTAATGAGCGACCCGCCGGCTCCAGACGCAAGAGAACAACAGCGAGAACAGCACTGGCCTGCACGTATTGCAGGTAAGCCAAACCAAGCACGTTGTCTATGCTCTGCTGACAATTGTGATATCACAGACGGCGCAAAGCGAAATGTTCAGGTGACTGGCCTTCTTGCCGTGCTTGCATCAAGAGCAAGCGCGAGTGCCAATACCCCGGCCTGCAGCCCCCAGCAACAGTCATCGAAGATGAAGACAGTGTAGATAGCTCAAGTTTGAAGAGGCAAGTTCCCAACCACAGGTTATCTGATGGTATGTCTCTCTGACACTATCATGCAGCCTCTCCTTCCCGTCCGACGATGTGAGGAGAAGCGCAATTAACTACTTTCGTATCAACTATGCGTCAAGTCTGCTCTGCTTTCTGCCTCCGCAGCAGCTGATCGACGATGACGTGGGAAAGGAGCTCCCGCTGCCCCTTTTTCTGTCGATTCTAGGTCTCGTATCTAGGTAAAAGCTCACTGGTCCTCATATGCCACGAAGGCTGCTAAGAAGCAAACGGCAGATTTATTCCGGACTTTGTGACCGGCGATGTGCCCGCTACCACCATAAGTGACAGGTATGCCGAGCTTGCAAGGAAGGAACTGGTTAGAATATACGAGGAGCCGTCACTCGTAACCATCCAGTGCTGCCTTGTCCTCTGCGTCCTCGATGTCGGTGAAGGAGCGGAGCTCCGTGCATGGTTGCGGCTGGGTCATGCGGCGAGGCTCTGCCAGTTGCTGCTCCTGCATAAACAGGACTCTAACCTGGGCCTCATGGATTGGGGTGGTCAAACCCCTCCGACATCCGTCACCGCAATTGAATGTCGAAGACGAACGTTTTGGAGCTGTTTCTGCCTGGAGAGGCTCCTGGCCAACGGTCGAGACCGGGTGGCCACGTTCGTGGTCGAGGATATCACTACCTGCCTGCCTCAGACAGAGGAGCGCTTCATATACGGCCAACACGACCCCACTCGCACGCTCCATCATCACGACTCCCACCCGGATCATCATGCTCAGGGGTCCGGTAGCTTACTAGCGTACACCGTCCAAATTGTAGAGATCTCGTCCAGGATTGTCGCGTGGAGTGGGCGTGGGGGCCGGCATTTGAACCACACAGCTCCGTGGGTGGAGGGAATGCCCTTCAGGGCTCTGGAGAACGCGCTTGAGGAATGGAGCCACCTCCCCGAACACCTCCAGTATACGCCGCAGAACGCGACAGCAATCACGGCGATGGGAAGCGGAAGGCTCTGGGCCATCATGTGGATGATATATTTCCAGGCCAAGACGATCCTCTACCGAGAATATCTCCCCTTTACCCCAAAGCCAGAGTACAATCCTGTCAACGGTAGGCCATGGAGGTCTATCATGTCCTGTGGACTAAGCTAATACTTTGGCAGGTCCTTGCGACGGTCCAGTATTGCAACCGGCTGCCGCTGAGGCACCAGAGGGTTTCTGGTACAATTCCGCAGTCCAGATGGTGGAGAGTGCCAACGCCATATCCGACTTGTACCAGTTCATGAAAACGCGAGACCTCGGCGCAGACACCTTCCCTTTCCACGGCCTAGGGTTGATGGCTGCGGCCAGTATTCATACAATGTATTCCATTTTCGACTGGAAGGCGATTGTAGGGAAAGACGTGTCCCGTGAGTTCCTTTGTAAGGATATGGACGCCTTCAATCATCTTGGTCAGCGATGGAGCCTCGCGGTCCATTGGGTACGTAGCCAGCTCTCGCGCATTGTTCCCTTCGCGCACGCTAATGTTTTGTACCATTTCTAGATCCGGCAGGTCTCTCTTTATTACAAACTCAACTATTTGACGAAACGGTCATGGACCAGCCGGTCCGAGATCAGCATGCCTATCAAGGATATCAAAGACGGAATAGTCAATTACTTGCGGCAGATTAGCCCAAACGACCGAGCGGCCAGAGATGCCAACCTGAAATCGACATTCGACTTTGAGAGCTGGATCACGGCCTTGGAGTCGTCAGTCGGGGATGATGAAGCGGCAGGGCAGGGCGTATCTGATGGTCAGTACCCAACGCCCAGCGCTTCCGAGGTTGCACAGGCAAGAGAGATCGTGTTCCATGACGACCCAATGGACACCTATGGCTTCTTTAGCCTCGATGGGCTGGACTCGATCTTCTCGGAGGATCGGGGTGTCGGGGCAGTACTTGAAAACTGGGGAAGTTGGCCGGCGCACGGGATGTAGGAGAGCCCTCCTACTGTCTGTTTTACTCAAGTCTACTGATTTCGGTACTAGGATAGCTCTTCCTGTGTCTGATTTGATTGAACCTATCGGTTTAGGTAGTGGGTAGCCCGTCGAATTCCGGAGTAACGATATGCAGCATGTATTTTCTGATTAATTTCTCCGAACCTGCCTCCCTCTGATCTCTTTCATAGCATGTAACCAAAAGAGTGAGGATTTGGTGCTGTTTAGTTGTGGGGCGAGTTCCCACGGTTCTCCGACCGAACTTCGGGCGAGACCACCCTCTATGGCTGTCAGCGAGAGCCTGCTCCAATGTCATTCTGTTTTGATCTTGCTTCTATTTTTGAGGGCCGTTGAGCCATGAGATCTACAAGCATTTGTCATGCCAGCTACCATGTCTCATACATGGTTTTATACAGAGCTTCGCAGAATAATGTGATCGCTCTTGACCCGGCCTCCATAACGCCGTCCATAGCAATAAATGGGTGGGGGTGACCGTTCATGATGGTGAATTCCGTCTTGACACCGGCCGCTTGCAGCTTCTCATTGAACTGTTCGCCCTCCGTCCGCAGCACGTCCAGTTCTCCGACGACGAAGCACGCCGGCGGTAGCTTGGAGAAGTCGCCCTCCCACAACAGGGGGCTGGCCTCCGGATGGGACCAGTCCTCCTTGTTGGGCAGATAGTGGTTGCGGTACCAGAGCATCTTGGGCGCCGGGAGCGCGGGGGAATGCTGGTTCTCGTTCCATGAGGCGTTGTTGGTCGTGTCGGCGGTGTTGTCCATGACGGGTACTGAGAGGAGCTGGAGGGAGAACTTGGGAGATCCCCGATCAGCGGCACGCTGGCACATGATGGCGGCCAAGTTTGCGCCGGCAGAGGAGCCACCTGTACATTTTGCGTCAGCCACTTCGATCGATCGTCGTCGTTGTGTCCCATGACTCGGCCGAGACTCCTCACGTACCTGTTGTCAGCTTGGACGTATCGAGACTGAGAATCTCCTTTCCCTGGTCCATCACCCAGAGAACAGCCTCCCATGCGTCATGGACCGCCGCAGGAAACGGGTCCTCTGGCGCTAACCTATAGTCGACGGCCACAACCACGCATTTGCCCCGAGCACACAAGTGCGAGGCTATCACGTTCTCGGTAGCAATGGTCCCGAGAACCCAGCCACCGCCGTGGTAGTAGATACACACAGGCCATCCTGCAGCCGGCTTCTCGCCCTCTGGGGTGAAGCACCTGACAGCTACATCGGGACCTTCGCTTTCCCTGCGCTTGACAGCGTAGTCGACTGTGGTGGCGACGGGCTGCAATGGGCCGCTCCCTGGAATAAGGACACCGCTGGTACGTGATACTTCTACCGGCTGTAGATGCACCTGCTGCTTGTCAAAGATATGCTTATTGTAGAACTCAGCATACTCGGGATGGATTCGGTCGACCACCGACTCGTGGAGGGGATAAGGAGGCTGGTTGCTCATGTTGGGCGACACCTTTCTCATGCGAGCATTGAGAAGGAAACCGGAGCAAGGGTGTATTCAACTGACTAACCAAGTAGCAGAGAAATAACAGTCCGTATCAAAACAAGAGCACCCAAAGAGTCGGACCGAAGATGATTGGACTTTGGATTAGGCTCTTGTAAGTCGAGGTGTGGAAGGTTGGTTCGTTCTAGAGGAATGATCACCGGTTTGCCAAAAGCGGTAATCCGCTCGAATATCAAGCTCATGTCGGCGTCGTCTGTTCACTTGGGTCGGATCGCCGCTCTAGGTTACATGGAGCGCCCACCTTCCCCCGCAATCGGTCAGCTTGACACACCGTAATGCGGGCTTATCGGTGCACAGTGCCAATTTTCTCGAAGCTTGTAAGGATGCATATCTCAACCCCGGGATTGGTCTCTGGAATTCACTGGCCAACCTGGAAGCCCTCCAATGATACCCCGGACACCAATACTGATGCCTTGTCAACGGTCAGACGTGCCACAACACCAAAGAATCGGGGAAGACAGGGGGGAACTTTGTACAAATCTCAGGCACTTCCTCTGACCACCACCTCCCGGCATCCTCAACCACGCCGTGAAAGATAGCATCCCGTCCAGCACAAGTCAAAGCCTTCAAGTTCAGTACTCGCCATGGATTCCAGAACCGATAAGGAACGCGACATTCTCGATGACCGGCCGCCCGAAATCACCGAAGGCGAGACGGCGCGTGTCGTCGACCATATCGCCGAGCGGCAGCTGTGTCGCAAATTCGATATCCGCTTGATGCCAGTGCTTGCCATCATGTGTAAGATGAGACGCACGTCGAGCACTCTTTAATAAACCCTTCTAATTCGGCATGCAGACCTTTTCAACGCGCTCGACAAGGGCAATTTGGGCAATGCGCAGACGGCCAAACTGAGCGACAGTACGGACGCAGCCTTCCCCTGAGCTGAGCCGTCGCAGAAAGGCTAACATGCCAATCACAGATCTCAACTTCAAGCCGAATCAGTACAACTTGCTCGTCTCCATCTTCTTCGTGCCCTATGTGATATTTGCTCCCCCCATCGCCATCATCGGCAAGAAGTTCGGCGCCGCGCGCGTGCTGCCCATCTTGATGTTCACGTTTGGCTCCATGACCTTGCTGTCCGCCTGCGTCAACAACTTTGGGGGGCTCTTTGCTCTGCGATTCTTCCTAGGCATGGCCGAATCGGGCTTCTTCCCGCTGGTCATCTACTACCTGACGACGTTCTATCGTCGTGGCGAACTCGCGCGCCGCCTCGCCATCTTCTATGCCGCATCCAACATCGCGAACGCTTTTGTATGTCTCCATGGCTCTTCCAAGCACCATCTTTTGTTCTGGTTCTAATGGCAGCAGAGCGGTCTTTTGGCATTCGGTGTCTTCCAGATTAGATCCAAGCTGCTAGTCTGGCGGTATCTGTTCCTCATCGAGGGCGCGTGCTCGGTACTCTTCTCGATCTTCGCATTCTGGTACCTCCCTCGCAGCGCAGCCGAGGCCAAGTTTCTCGGTGAGGAGGAAAAGTCGCTGGCCTTCCACCGCATGCAGGTCGACTCTTCGTCCGTCGTCCAGGAGGAGTTCAACTTCAGGGACTCTATTAAAATCTTTACCTATCCGACAACGTACTGCTTTCTTCTCATCGAGATCTGTCTAGGCGTGCCGATTCAGTCTGTTGCGCTCTTCATGCCCCAGATCATCCAGCGCCTGGGCTACGGACTGGTCAAGACCAACCTCTACACTGGTGAGCAAGCACTGTCTAACAGTATCTTGGGCAGCAAATAGCTAACTTCTCATCACCAGTTGCACCCAACGTCGGTGGCGCCGTCATGCTGCTCATCCTCGCATTCAGCTCCGATCTGCTCCGCATCCGGTTTCCATTCATCATGACGGGGTTTGCCTTGTCGTTCATAGGCTTCATCATTTACGCGGCCATCTCCGACGTCCAGGCCCAATTGCAGCTGGCCTACTACGCGTGCTTCATGATGGTCTGGGGCACCTCCGCGCCGTCCGTCCTCCTGTCGACGTGGTACAACAACAACATCGCGCACGAGGGCCGCCGCGTCGTGCTCACGTCCGTCGGCGTCCCGCTGGCCAACCTCATGGGCCTCGTCTCGAGCAACATCTTCCGCGAGAACGAGAAGCCCAAGTACCCCACTGCCCTAATCACGACCGCCTGCTTCGGCGGCTGTGGGTGCCTCATTGCGGGCCTGCTGGGCGGGTACATGGTGTTTGATAACATGCGGAGGAATCGCCGCGCCGGGAGCAAGACGACGGCGGCGGACGTGCCCACGCAGCGTCTGCGCGATGGGCCCTCCGCCCCCGAGTTTCGCTGGTTCTTGTGAGTGGGGGGAAGGCGAAAGGCAATCAGATTAGTGAAGGGGGGATCTGCAGGAGTGAGCGAGGGGACTGGCAAGATTTGCGCACTGTGTGGTGTACCACGTTACGTTGCAACCCTTAACTAGCCCCATGGTTCGGTGGGTTTCTGGTGCGGCGCCGTCTTCGGACTAGAACCTCGGATTGCCAGTTGGGACACCGATACTCTCTCACCCTGTTAGCGTCCATGAAGCATAGCTATTCACTATTACACATAGCGTACATCAACTGTCACCCGAGGGTATTGATCAGACCGAGAGTCAATAGATACTTGTTCTCATTACATTCACGTAACGTCTTTCCGCCTCCTCAACCTACTTGTCGCCTTGCGCATCCGAGGGCCCTTGCTACCGCGGACATGTACTCTCCCAAGGTAGGCGATGGCCTCGAGAGTCTCGACACTCCGTCCATGATCGTCGATCTCGACGTGATGGAAGCCAACATCAAAAAACTCATGGACCGTCTGCTGCCCACCGGCCGCAACATCCGCCCGCACCTCAAGACGACCAAGAGCGCCATCATCGCCAAGAGGCTCGTCGCCACTGGTGCAAAGGGCGGGTGTGTTGCAAAGCTGAGCGAGGCCGAGGCTATCACCGCTGCTGGCTTCACCGATCTGCTCATCACCTGTGAGGTTGTCGGCCCGGCCAAAGTGAAGAGGCTGGTCGAGCTGTTCCGCAAACACAGGGGTCTGAGGATAGTCATCGACAGCCAAGTCGCAGCCACGGCGATCAATGATGCCCTGGACAAATCGGGTATTGAGGACCCCATTGCTGTGCTGATCGATTTGGATGTCGGGCTGCACCGGACGGGCGCGCAGCCCAGCGAGGCTCTGCCTCTGGCACGACACATCGGCGGCCTGAAGCACCTTCGGCTCATTGGTGTCCAGGGTTACGAGGGCCACTTGCAACATCTCCACGACTTTGAAGACCGCAAGAAGCAGTGCCTCGAATCGATGAAGATTCTCACCGAGACGGCTCAAGCGCTGAAGAACGAGGGATTCAACATAGAGGTCGTGACTACAGGCGGCACCGGCACCGCGGATTTCTGTGCCACGGTTCCTGGCGTGACGGAGTTGCAACCGGGGTCTTTCATCTTTATGGACACGGACTACCGGAACGCCATCGGCACGTATTACTCTCATAGCCTGTCGCTTCTGGCGACGGTCATCAGCAAGCAGGGCGAGCGGCAGGTGACGATCGATACTGGTCTCAAGTCCTTGACCACGGACAGCGGCTTGGCGGAATGCAAGGACACCAGGTACACCTACGGCCAGCTAGGTGATGAGCATGGCTCGCTCAAGTGGGAGGAAGGTACGCCGGCTCTCAGCATCGGGGATAGAGTCGAGATGATCCCCAGTCATATCGACCCGACTGTCAACCTCCATGACTTCTACTACGCGTATCGCAACGGAGTCATTGAAGAGATTTGGCCGGTTGATTCAAGAGGCAAAGTTCAATAAATGCTATGCTTCCTGAGTCAAATCGAGTCCCGTGACCGCAAATTCTTTTTACACCGGTGCATGATATCCTCGTTAGGTCCCAAATCCAGAATCGTAAGGGATTTCTGTGCAACACCATACTGAATTTAGGTCTTCAAACAAAGTTGTGCCATAGGCGTGGCAGTCGACCTGCTACAGGTTGCGAGGCGTCGTCCGGGATAGGTGTCATGGCAGGGCTGCTGGGAATGGGACTCTGAAAGGCGGGAGCCAGAGGGGTCTGTCGTGTTGGACGCGAGCTCGGCGGACTGGATCAAGTCGATGGCTAGAAAGCGCCTCGACTACATCTGATTGCATGGAAACCCAGCCAAATTACTGGACTGGGTTCCAAGCTTGGCAGAGATGAGCATTCTGGTAATGGAAGTAAGTAGTTGATGTGACGAGGACACGATCCTTACGAATCGAATATGCGCAACCTCTAGCCCCCCTCCTCAAAGCTGACATCAGCCCCAAGCCTCAGAGCCTATTATAAGCCGGGGTCCTCGGCACGAAGCCAGTATTCACGCTCTGCATTTACAGCCACAAGTCCGTAGCCGTAATGTGCTCATCCAACACACAGTCAGCTTCGGATCGTCGCTTGACCTCAAGCGTCACCTCTGGTGGCGTATATACTCGAGAACTATAAAGAGTCTAGTCTTCGAACACCATTGGCAATAAACTATCGTCAATAGTTCAACTCAATCTTGTCACTTGTCTCACTTTACATCAAAAACAAAAAGTAACCCACAGGCTCTGAACACATCCGGCAAAGAAATGTTGCGTTATTTACTCGCTATCAGCATGAGTCTCCAAGCCCTACGCCGATTCGGGGTGAGCGCTGCACCCCGTCGCGAAGGTCTGGCAGATGACACAACTGGCTCTAAACCCATCGCAGCCTCGTGGATGTACCTCTCGGATGATCAAAAGTACGATACGATCCCGTCGGCTTGGAACTCAATCAACTTCAAAGTCGTCGACTATCTCTATGTGGGGCCACTTGGGGTCCAGGAGGACGGAACCTTTGGGATTTACAACTCGAGTGCAACAGGACCGCTCGCCCACCGACTCAAGTGGACAATCAAGACAGCGCGCGAGCAGAACCCAGATATCAAGATCATTGTCTCTCAGTGGTGGGGCAGCGGAGCTCACAGTTGGGGTGAGGCGTTGTCGGCTCTTAAGAACGACGAGAATGTCGACAAATACACGACTTCAGTCAAGACGTTCATGGAACACTGGAAAGATGTGAATGGCTACGACATCGACTACGAGTCGAATAACGTTGTTGACAGGGTTCCAATGGTTCTATCACAGATACGAAACAAACTTCAAAGTATTGAAGGGCGGAAGTTCGTCGTGACTGTTTCACCGTCCGTGACAACAAACCTCGACAAAGCAAAAGCATCCTTGGACTATGTCAACTTGCAGACCTATGCCGGCGGCATTTCCTTGACGCCGCAGCAGTTCGTGGACCTGGGCTTCAAGGCAGAGCAGCTGCTCTACGGCATCTGCGCCGAGTCTGGTTGTCAGAGTCCGTCCCTGGTAGAAGTGAAGAAGGCTTACACAAAAGGACACTTGACAGGTATCCACATGTACCGTCTGAACTCTGGAAACTATGGGGAAGAAGGGCAGGTACAGGAGAAGGTTTACCGGTTTTTGCATGGCGGATCTTGATCTCGTGTGGAGGCGTCATTGCAACCTCTTTCTCAGCTTAGACCTTCCATCCGCTTCGCAGGTGCGATCCACAAATGAAACTAAAGAGCTTGTTTTAACCTCAAGTCAAAGTCTAGACAGTTGGACAACCATCTTCTTAAGCATCTACTTGCAATCTTGACAAACGCACGCATATGTATGTTTCCACGTTCTCGCCCCCGACAACGGTTCTGAAACGACTTGGGACTGGGGTTGCCATCTTGAAACACGCCCAGTGCGGCATGGTGGGTTTCGCCAAGAAGCATCCAAAGATCAAACCTCGAGATGAAAGTCGGCGACTCTGGATTTTGACTTTGACTTTCCTAGAATCTCAATAAAACCCAGGCACTGTGCAATAAGTTCGACGCAAATATGCGTACAACCTGTTTGAGCCTGCTGCTCTCCGGCGCTGTAGCCCACGAGCAGCTGCAGCACTCCTTCGCTGCTTCGGATATATGTTACTGGAGTCCTCTACTAAGCGACACGACATCCTCCTTCTGCCAGGCCAGCCTCTTGCGCAAATTCCGACCTGCAGCCTCACCAGATTCCCGCAGTCGAAAGAATGCCACCCAGGGCACGACCTACCCAAATGTATGGGAAGGCCCATCACACTGCTGGGAGGGGCTCTGCGTTTACAGCAACAAGGGCTTCGCCGGGGGAATCGTCCTCGTAACCACACCGTCCAACGCCGACAAGGTCAAGCAGATCACGCAGAACTACCAACCGTCCTCCTCCCACAAGCCCTCAGGGGACGCAGACACCCGGCCGCCGCCACCCTACAGGGCAGCACACATCCCCGGCAAGGGCACGGGCCTCGTGGCCACGCGCCGCATCGAGATCGGCGAGCCCATCATGGCGCAGCTGCCCGCCGTGCTCGTCCACCGGAGCTTCTTCGCCGGCGGCGCCGCGGGCGCCTTCTCGCGGGCGGGCCACGCGCGCATCCTCGCCGCCGCCGTCGACGAGCTGCCCGCGCCGCGGCGGGCGCTGTTCGCGAGCCAGGCGGCGCAGCCCGGCGGCGACCGGTACACGAGCATCATGGTGACCAACTCGTTCCAGATGGACCTGGGCGGCGGCGGCGGCGGCGAGGATGACAGGGACCAGGGGGCGGGCCACCACTTCGGCAACTTCCCCGAGGTGTCGCGCCTGAACCACGACTGCCGGCCGAACCTCATCTTCCGCATCGCGCCGGACACGATGGCGCACGGGACGTACGCGACGCGGCCCGTCGCGGCCGGCGAGGAGCTGAGCATCTCGTACATCGACCTGTTCCTGCCGCAGGCGGAGCGCCGCGCGCAGCTGCAGCTCTCGTGGGGGTTCCGGTGCTCGTGCGCGGCGTGCACCGGGCGGGACATCAACAACAAACCCCCGGGAGGTGGTGCGGCAGTCGCGCGTGATCACCACGAGGAGGAAGAGCAAGAGGAAGATACTGAGGAGTACGAGGACGACGAGGCGGCGATCGCGAGGTCCGACAGCCGCCTGCGCGAGATCGAGCGGCTCGAGGCGCAGCTGTCGGACCTGCAGAGCGCCAACATCACGCCCGCCGTCGTGGACCGGCTCGTGCACCTGTACGAGCGGGAGCGGCTCGACGCCAAGGCCGCGGGCGGGTGGACGGTGGCGGCCATGAACTACGCCATGCTGGGGCAGGAGGACAAGGCGCGCAGGCTGGCGGGGATGGCGGCGCGGGCGGTGGCGCTCGAGTACGGCGAGGACGCGCCGGACGCGGTGGTGATGCGGGACCTGGCGAGGAACCCCAAGGGCCACTGGACGTGGAACGCGCGGGTGGGGAGGAAGGCATGAAGAAGAAGTGTCATTTAGCAAAATTAGCTTTGTGTGATTTCGAATGAATCGTAATGTACATGGATGGGTATCAAGATATTCCCCCGTTAGCCGCCAGAGATGTGTGAAAATGCAGTCTCGATAAAACCAAAACGAACCCAAGCCGTATTGACCGTCAATCCAAGAGCCTAAAAAGGAAAAAAAGGAAAGAAAGACATGGTGTGAAGATGGATATGAACGAAAATGCGAAAAGACCGTGTATTTTTGGTGAATGTCAACTCGAAATCGCTGCCATGATCGCCATCACCGCGCCATAGAAGCCAATGGCAAGAGCAAGATCGTTGGTCGAACCCTTGTGCGAGACATTGCCGGCGGGATTGTCCTCGACCGGAATGGTGCCGGCCTGCATCTGGGCACCAAACACACCCAGGGCGACGAGCAGCACCACCGTCATCCTGCCCACGAACCCCGGGATGACCGAGAAGGTCATGATGGGGACCAGCACTGCCACGGCCATCGAGATGGCCAAATGAGGCAGCTCGACTGGCGAGGACGACGACCTGGCGATATGCCCTGCTTGCCGCATCTCGTCTCGCTCTCGTAGTGCAGTTGCCGGGCGCGACCTGGACACCATGGATGACGCGCGAGAGGACCTCGGAGGCAGACTGGGCAGGAATGGGCCCGATCTGGGCATTGGAGTGAGAGCATCGTCGGACAGGTTGTTCAGGTAGTCCGATGCCGAGGACTGTGACGACGTGGAGGGCGAGTAGGTCGAAGATGGCGCCAGACTGACGAGGTCATCGACCGGCTCAAGGAACCGAGTCTCGATCTCGGCGATGGGCTGTTGTGTAGCCAGGTAGGTGCGATACGTTTCAACGTCGGAGAACGTTGGCGCAGGCAGCTTTTGTGTCTCTGTGAACGAGGACAGTGCGTGATCTGCAGAGAATCCTGGATGTTAGTAGTGGATACTTTCCATTCGGGGAGTGTTGGGACGTACTGTACTGGCCCAGCTTGTACCCAATCTTCCCCAGGATATCAGTCTTGTGCCATTGCAGCTCGCCTCCCGCAAGATACTCGGCCCTCCGCGAAGCTGGCAGGATGCGATTTTGGAGGCGGCGGGTCTGCGTGTCCGCCGTGTCGAGCCGGTGCAGCTGTTCCTCCAGCTCGCTCAGCTCATCCTGGAGATGAAGGAGGAGGCGGTGATTCAGCGCCTCGAAGCGCCTGTAGACGGGCCTCAGTTGCAGTCCGTCGTCGAACCCACCCCTGCTACTGCCGCTCCGCACACTGGAGGCGCCGATGCTTCCACGGCGTGAGCGGTCGGACATGGGAGATTGGGAGGAAAGACGAGCGGCAAGCAGCTCGTATCCAGACAATGGAAGCTTCTCTGCGCGAGGAAGATGCTTGACATGATTTTGATTCGGCGGCCGTGGATTGAGTGCCTTGGCTGGAAGGTGCGGGAGGTTTGCGGAGCCTCTGGGCATCTCGGGCGTCCCGTACTTGTCATGGCGAGATGAGTCGGGTTGCTTTTGATGGCCCGTCGCCGAGGATTTGGGCACCGGTGACCCGTCGCCCTTGACGCTTTGCTCCGGACTAGTGCTTGGGTCCGTGTCGTGGTCCGCCGTCCGGTCGCCAAAAGGATTGCTCTCGGTGCTAGACATGGAGGCGGTTGAGGACGACGAGTTACTCCTGGCGGACGGCGATGTTTTGGCCTCGGTGAGGTCCGGCCGGTGACGCCACCGCGCAGATTCGGCGACAGATCGCTGAATGCTCTCCTCGGTGATGACGGGCGAGTCTGGGTCGAGGAAGCTCAAAGCATCGGGTTTTCGCGCCCTCTTCTCGTGCGACCGCATCGGCTCTTCTGCGTGAGTGGACGCCTTGGGGCGAACCTGCGAGTGTCGGGTGTACGAGACCTGCGTGATGGTCGATCCGCTGCCGCTAGAGCTCCCAGATCCGTCCTGTGCTGTGAGCAGCCCAGTCGGGTTCATCTCAACCAGCGAAGAATCGCGCTCTTGGAGGGCTGGCTGCGCTGAGACCTTGCTGCGCTTTGTCGACGCGCTGTCACCCATCTCCTCTTCGGAAGATGCGATGTCTGAATTGTCGCCAGAATTGATGGGTGCCTGCTGGTGATGCCGCCGAGGCACGGATTTTGAGCGAATGGCGCGGGTTTCAGCAGGTATATTTGCACTTCGCGCAGTGGCACTGCGCGGCCGAATCCTGTCCTTGGATCGCACCGCGCAGGTAGGTGCTGCTGCCGTCTCTCGGATGACAGGCCTGCTGCGGCCCTCGGTTGTGGTGTGAACTGACGTGGCCGACTGTCGGTCATGCTCGCGAGCGTGTGCGACCTTTCGCTCCCCCGCGCCGATGGCCAGGTGCTGATCCGGGAGCACGTCGAGCGTCTCGACGACGGATTGCTTGTTTAAAGACATTTTGAGAGCGCAGTTCCTTTGCTGTTGGCAGCAGACGATGCCAGCTTCGCGTTCGGACGAGACGACGACTGGGCTGGCGAGGATGCGAGAGCGACTGGATTTGTACCTCGAACCCAAGGTAGGACGGGGTGACGGCAATGAACCGGTGGCTGTACGGTGCTGCAAAGCAAATACCGTGTCTCGAATCAATCAACTGCGGCGAAGGCGAGGGGCAGAAGAGCCAATGGATGAGAGACTTGTGGGAGGACAGAATGCAGCAACCATCCCCTCGTTGCTCGCAATCACTCACAAGGAATGTCGAGAATGACAACAGACAGACGAACTGATCACAGTCCAGCAGCAAGCCAAGCACAACGGCCCGTCGCTGGAGGCTGCGTAGATGATCGCACTATGGGGACGTGGATGGCAAGCTTTCCAGAGCAAGACGGAATCTGGGGTACAGGGCGAAACACCAAATCCCATCTGCAATAAAAGAAGAGCAGGGCCATTGGTCTTTGGGCAGCCCAGCTGCACGCTCGTGCGGGCGGGTGCTCCCCGTCACCGTCATCCATCTCTGTAGCGTTGCCAAAAATACGACGAGCCAGGCCCCGTGTGGTCTCGGCTGAAGCTCCAGAGATGTTTCAGAGTGCTTGCCTGGTCTTCTGAAACAGGTTCCAGGACAAAGCCCCTGTCAGCATCACCGATGAGAGATGTTCAAGTTGAATCTGGAGCTAGGAACAGGGGCGAGGGAACGTGCGGCCCCGTCCGTGTCTCCGCAAAAGCCATCCAACGGCCAGAATTCAAATCCAGGGGCAGGGGGCTAGCCAGATCGTCTCAGATTGCCCGGAGAAATACAAGTAGGTGCGAGGTGCAAAAAAGAAGGAGCAACACGGGATCGAACCATGGACCTTAGGATGGATTGCATTTGCTGCAATCCCACGCTCTACCACTGAGCTATTGCTCCAAGGCCATGAAAAGCCGGCCGCAGGATAGATGATTATATGGCTGAATCTGGAGGAATTCATCACCTTTCCAGAATTGGTCCAAGTTGTGATAGACTACATTATTCAAAAGAAAGAGCGATCAAGGGGCTCCTATGAGATAACTGAGTTAAGGGAGTGACCATCTCTGGCTTGTTAGCTCATGCTCTGTAGGAAGAACCAGATCTAGGTGTTCACGAGCTTATGAAATCGACTCCTCCCGCAGATGATTATGATCGTTGAGTAATATCGCTATTGCTATTTGTTGCCCCTCTGAGAATATTTAGTCTACTAAACGAAGACGAGACTTCCTGGATGCCGACTGTAAGGACATGTGCAGTGGCCTTCATTCGTGGACATTGCAGTTGTCCAGTTCGGACCCCATCGTCCCAGTCAGTGCAGTCAGTGCACTTGCATCGTATTGATGGCGGGGTTTTGCAGGTGCCTCTTCCACCTTGTCCTGGAGCGTCAAAGCAAGAGCCGGCAAGTAATTAGGAAGCAGATATTGCATGCAATACGAGGCGGACGCACCGTACTCAACGGCCCTTACAAAGTCTATCCAAATATAGCAATAAACCAGGAGTGAGCTGGGTGGCAGTCTGCCTCTGTCGCAGTCCCCAAAATCCGGTCTAAGCCAACTAGCTACAAGGAGTGAAAAGCCAATTACCACCAACAGGCTTATCGCCCAAAAAGCCACCGAGTCCAGTGTTCGTCCCGCCGGACTAAGTAAAGTTGCGCACCGAAGACCAATCAGATTTTCGAATTCGCGGGAGAATTTTGTGAGTCACGCTAATCATCAATGCGATACGGGTTTCACTGCGGAGGGACCACCACTTTATTTAACCAGCTGTTCAGATCTCCCGCCCTGCTCGCCTCTGCTGCTCTTGCTTATTGACCAAGAGCGCGACGTACACACAAGATGGCGACAATTCACATCGACGACAAGGCCGGCAAGGACGAGCCCGGCCAGCAGGGCACGCCCGAGTCCCCCTTCAAGACTCTCCAGTTCGCATACCTCCAACACCCCGCCCAGACCTACCTCGTCGCCGCCGAGGCCGAGGACGGATCCAAGGAGTGGAAGCCCGCTGCCAAGTCAGCCTTGAAAAAGGCCACCACCTACTATGAGACCCAGCAGAAGAAGAAGGCCAAGGAGGCCGAGCTCGCTGCTGCGCGCCAGCGCCAGGAGGAGGAGCGCAAGGCCACCCTCGAGGCCGCCAAGAAGATCGTGATCGAGCAGGACCCCTCACTACCCGAACCGATAACGATCAAGCTCGACGAGGTTGGCGATCACATCAAGCTGCGGAAGGGCGACGATGGCGAGAAGGGCACCCGAGTTCGCGTGCTGGGTCGCGTGCACCGGGAGCGCAAGCAGAAGGAGCTCCTCTTCATCACCCTGCGCGACGGCTATGGATACATGCAGATCGTCGTGGGCGGACAGCTCGCCAAGACCTACGACGCCATCACCCTGACGCGCGAGACCTCGATGGAGATCATTGGCGAGATCTGCGAGGTCCCCGCCGGCGCTCGCGCCCCGCTCAACCGCGAGCTGCGCGCTGATTACTTCCACATCCCCGCCCACTGGAAGGCCGCCGGTGGTGATGATGCTATTACCAACAGGGTATCAGCAGACAACCAGTCCCACGCTCACCTGCTCGACCTTCGCCACCTCACCCTGCGTGGCGAGACCTCGTCGTCGGTCCTGCTCGTCCGCGACGCCGTCGAGTACGCATTCCTGACTGCCTACCGGGAGCTCAAGATCCGCAAGGTCAGCCCGCCCGCGCTGGTCCAGACCCAGGTCGAGGGCGGCGCCACCCTGTTCAAGCTCGACTACTACGGCCAGGAGGCCTATCTCACGCAGTCGTCTCAGCTGTACCTCGAGACCTGCCTTCCCTTCATGGGCAACGTCTTCTGCATCGAGAAGTCCTTCCGTGCGGAGAAGTCGCTGACCCGTCGCCATCTCTCCGAGTTCACCCACGTCGAAGCGGAGCTGGACTTCATTACCTTCGACGACCTCCTCTCCCACATCGAGCACCTCATCTGCCGCGTCCTCGAGATCCTGTTCGCCGACCCCGTCACCGCCGCCCACATCAAGACCCTCAACCCCGAGCTCACCATGCCCAGCCGCCCCTTCCTGCGCATGAGGTACTCCGACGCCATCGACTGGCTCGTCAAGAACGACATCCCCAACGAGGAGGGCGAGCCGCACAAGTTCGGCGACGACATCGCTGAGGCCGCCGAGCGGAGGATGACCGACATCATCAACAAGCCCATCTTCATCACCCACTTTCCCCGCGAGATCAAGGCCTTCTACATGCAGGTCGACAAGGACGACACCCGCGTCACCGAGAGCGTCGACTGTCTGATGCCCGGCGTCGGCGAGATCGTCGGTGGCTCCATGAGATTGGACGACTACGACGCGCTCATGGCCGCCTTCAAGCGCGAGGGCCTGGACCCTGAGGCGTACTCGTGGTACGTTGACCAGAGGAAGTACGGCAGCTCCCCCCACGGCGGCTACGGCCTGGGTCTGGAGCGCCTGCTGGCGTGGATCTGCAAGCAGCACACCGTCCGGGACTGCTGCCTGTACCCGCGCTACATGGGCCGCTGCAAGCCTTGAGCGCGCCACGAGCGCACACGCGGGGCAGCTGGATATTCTTACTATAGACTCTAGAGTGGAGATGGAGTCGGTGTTGCGCCACGCGTTTCACTGGGGTTTATTGACGAGCCTTTATTGCAATTACAGCGTTTCTCGGCGCAGGGGTTTGTGAGAAGGGTGCATGTTTTCTGTCTAGACTTCGGGAGAAAGCCAATGGACGGAGACTGGGTTGCGGGGGAGATCCATGGGTAGGATCCGGTTTCCAAACATGGTGTGGAAATGGGCAAAGATAGAGAGGAATGCCGATTTCATCGTGTTCTCCCTTCCAGACAGACCGACAGCGTGAAGACGGTATGGTCCAGACTGGGTCGCGAGAGGGCCCTGGATGTGATGTCTCGCAACACCATATGCATCGAGTCGAATGGCAAAAGTGCGTTGATTGTGTTGCAGTGGGTTCCGAGAAATTGTTCCGTACGTGCTGTACTGGTAGCATTGGGTCTACTCTGAATGAATCACGTCCGTAGTGCTCGAGGTATCGGCGCTTGACAACACGGCAAGTGGGCGCCTGAATACTTGACGGAAGTTCATCAGGAGCTACCTCGATCTTAACAATCAATATCCTTGTCATATCCTTGCCCTGGAACCCGGAAGGGCTAATTATCCCACTACCTAAATCCGATGGGCTTGATGAGTAGACAAGTACTTCTGTTAGCAGTCCGTCAACTAATCTGACCCTCACTTGCACGGCTCAGATGCCCCTTTGGACGAGTTGATACCCAGCCAGAAGTTTCACCGATTGGGAGAAAAGGTTCTCTGAGCCAAATGGACACGACAGTCTGGCTCAGTAACTGGGCCTAGGGCGACGATTGTGATAATATGGGACGTGCTCCCCCCAACTTCTTCGACTGAATGCGGAGTACTTATAATGTAGTGTTGAGAAGCTACACACTGAAGCAATGCGGTTGAATGCGAGTGTATGAAAAGAAATCTTGACTCAGTAATGCTCGATTAACAACATGAAAGGTGGGCTTCTAGAGGTGTTACTCCAAGGAACGGGAAATGTGTGGCGGTGAGGGTTCTCTCGAGAATAAGCTTTGGAAGAAAGGCAGTAAGGAGAGAGCTTGGGAGAAACGAATACACTATGCTAAATTCGGTTTACTACGACTTAGCTGCAGGAGGGAGAGGTACCAAGCCACAAAACGAATTCCACTTCGGCGCCAATGCTCCAAGGTGAATATTGTTCACATTCTGCTCTAGGTTGAATTCACGGCCCGTCTTGCAGCCATACGAGCATATGTAACAGAATTCTGTTTCTGGTTACTTTGACGCTCTATGTGCCTTGTACACGCTGATCTCAAACAGTCAAACTGAACAGACAACCCTGCTGACGTGCATACCAGAAAGGAAGGCCATCCGTCCCACACTGACTGAAAGCTATAGCTTTCTTCTTCGAGTGACACATTGAGACGCGAAGAATTCAGGCTCCGGGGTGGATCGTGAGTACCGACCAATTAAAATCTTGACACGGCCCTCTCTTCGTGGTGTCTTCTCAGGGCCAGGCCGATTGGCCTAACTCGCCTGGACCCTGACCCACTACCGAGGTCCAGAATTTGTTCTCTATCGGAACGAATGCACTATGGCTTGCTAGTCATATTAGCTATTGGTTCGCCGGACAGGCCTGGGCCATTAGGATCTTGAGGAGGAAGCTCCGCCGTTGCAGTTGAGGAAGTAGGTTATCCTTGTAGAGCACCAGGGACAGCACCCTAGATGCGTTGACAGTTCCTGATCTCGTTTCAGGTGTACGCCCTCCCGAAGATGCTGAATACCTTCTTCTCTTCAGTCGCTGCCATCCGCGCGGAACTCTCCGTAGCTACATCGTTGTTTCTTAGTGTGCCGTGCCGCTGGACGAAATATCACACGAGATCATGAGACACATGAAGTGACGATGCCGCGGCCATGTCACCACGTCAGATCAGGCAGACCGTCTGGTTGGAACACAAGGGACTGTATGAGCACTGTGCTATCGCCGCCAACGAGGGAGAATCCAAAGCTGGGACAAGGCGAGCACTACCCTGTTAGGATTAGCAGACCACGCTTCGGTACAGGTTGCTGCTTGCACAGCAGGTCCAGCAGGCTCAACAGGGAATGTACGGTTGGTTCTTCTGGCCATGACCCACGAGGAGTGCACAGTACGAAACTCACTGTCTGAACTCTCCAAGAAAGCAACAAGGTTTTCATGGCATCATATCCCGTGGTGATGTGTGGCTTACAGGTACAGTACGGTACGGTTCTGCCAGCTGGTCCAATCACAGGGCCACAACCTGCGATCTCCGGCAAAAGCGCCGTGGGTGTGGTCCGGCCAATCAAGAGACGCGGAGCCAGGCCCGGCCAATGTCAAAATTTCTGGGACTGAGATCCCTGTCAGTGCCAGCCGACTTTTTGCCACGAAACCCCTATGCGGGTGTGAGTTGTTTGCTTGGGGGTGGGAGGGTTCGTGTGCTTGAACGCCGAGGGGAATCCTGCTTTGATACTTGTACAGTGCTGGCTGCCAATCAATGGGACTCGCATCGCCCAGCCAGGGCTCCCGCGGGAATCCATTGAGCTGGATGTTGCCACCTTCGGGCGGAGGCCGGGGTGTCAAGGATGTGTGCACACTTGTTCAATTACGGAAGTGTCAGGCCCGCCGCTGGCTTTGGACCCCCTGGCTGGATCCATCATCCACACTGATGCCGTCTTTGGGTTGTTGGGTTTGTTAGCGCCCGATTCGTCATTGTCCACAGCTTCGACACAGGCCGCAAGCAGCGGTATGCACTCTGCCTAGTTGTGTGCTTACCATCTACCTAGGTATCAATGTCATGGGTGTGGCACGACCCCTCTTAACCGCATGTTTGCGACGCGCGATCAGTGGGTATGGCACGGATCTCATGCCAACCATGCCGTCCGCTTGGGGTCAGAGAATCACGAGGCAGAAGCTGGTCATGATGATGATGATGATGGTGCTTATGAGTAATCCCTATTTTCTTTTCACCCATTTCATCCCTTCCAGCTTTGACTCCTCGGCGGCGGTCTCGCAAGATACGAGTGCTCTTAAATTTACCGGCCTGCCGACTTTCACACATGCGTACTTCCCAGGGCCTCCTCAGCTTGCCGTGGCCCATTCCGGACGGTCTTCCGGGTCCAGTCCAGGGGCTCTGCAGAGGTGCAGAGGCTCCAAGTACCGGTACAACCCCGACTCGCGCGTTAGATATCCGCCAGAGTACAGCCGGGTAGTTCCATCAACCATCAACTTCGCGTCATTCAGCCATTCTATTTGTGCCCGTCCGTCTGCGGCTCCATTGTCTCCCTTTCGAGGCAAGCTCGGCAATGTGCTATCGTGTAGCACCAGCGAGCCCTTCTTCTCCCAGCCAGCAGCAGCCAGCTCAACAAACCAGCTCGCACAGCGGCAAAGAAGCAAGGATCAGCTATTCTCCTTCCAGAAGAACGAACTGGCCATCCGGATCACCCACCCTTGCAAAATCCTGTTCTTTTCCCTCCAACTGTCACGACGACTGTGGAAACCCTCGTCCACACCCAAACCGTCAACTAAAGATCTCTTGCCCCCGCTCCCCGTCTTATCTCCATCCGCCCTGTCCACACTGTGTCGTCTTGGCCGGGTTGTTTGGTCAGCAAGGGATTTGACGGGATTCCCTCCGCTTGATCCCATCCTTCTAGGAGGCTGTTAGGCCCTTGACAAGAGAGGTGCAGACGGGTCTGGCGAAAACCCCCAGTGCTTCATCACAACGTAACTTGTAATAGCGCCCCGACACGCTTGTCATCAACACCCGCGTCCCACCCTAGCACCTCGAAACCCCCCCTTCCCCGTACCCCGAGGCGCGACCCCTTTTGCAGCCCAGCGCGCTTGACGGCACCTCCAGCATCGCAGCAGGAGACTAAACCTTAATCACGAAAGACTCGCTGGACCCCTACTTAGTCGGCTCCCTAGCCCTCTTACCATATCCCTGATGGACAACGACGACGGACAATACGGCCACGGCGTCGACGGCCACCACCTGCAAGACCTCCACGACGACGACGACGACGCCCACGACCCGGAGGCGGCGGCGAGAGCAGGGTCACACGCCCACCACCACCACGATGTGAGTTACGCCGCCGTGATGGGGATGCCTGACATGATGGGCGGCGGGATGCCCACGTTCTCCTCCGCGACGTACCCTGCAGTGGGCAGTGACGGGTCAGCAGCCGCCCTCGAGATGCCGCAGCTGGCTCCGGCGTACATCACGGACGGCTACCACCTCCAGCAGCCGCAAACATGGCAGGACCCGCTGATGGCTGACCACGTCGACCCTACAGACCCCGTGCAATGGACCTGGGCCAATGCCGCCGCCGCAGGCCCGCAGCACGTCGTCGCCATGACGCAGCAGCAGCACTACGGCGTGGCCGCGCCGCCCACGGACGCGGCGGGGCAGGCAATGGTCTACTATAACCACAACATCCCGTACGGGAGCATGCAAGAGGATCTCGGTGGCGGCGGCAGCAGCAGCGGCGTGGACGCCAAGGGGAAGCGGAAGCAGACGAGCAGCAGGGCGGCTACTACGACGACGACCAAGAGCCGGCCCAAGGCGAGATCCTCTCACTCCTCTTCCAAATCGACGGCCAAGTCCGCAAAGACGACAGCGACGCCGGCGACAGCGACAACGACAACATCCTCCTCCTACCCTCCCTCCTCGAAAGCCTCGCCCACCTCCACGATGAGCACGGCACCTACCGAGCCCGAACCGCCCTCGACAGGGTCGCGAGGCCGACGCTCGAGCACAATGGCCGACGCCGGCAGCAGTTACTACAGGGAACAAATAAGCGGCGGCGGCGGCGACTACGGCGGAGGGCCGTCGTCGTCCAAAAAGACACAGACGCAGCGGGACCGGGAGCAGAACCGCGCCGCGGCGACCAAGTGCCGGGCCAAGACCAAGGCGGCCATCAACAAGCTCGAGGAGGACGAGCGGTACGCGAGCGAGCAGCGCGCGTACCTCGCGGCCATCGCAGACCGCCTCCGCAGCGAGGTGCTGTTCCTCAAGTCGGAGCTGCTCCGCCACAGCGACTGCGACTGCGTCCTGATCCAGCAGTACCTGGCCCGGATGGCCAAGCTCATCAGCCAGGGCTCCGACGAGGAACCGGCCCTGCCCGCTGGGCCCAGCACGTACGGAGACGGGGACGTGGCGGCCCCGCCCGGCGCGCCAGACGAGCGTGGATGAAGGGGAAGAAAGGGCCGGCGAGAAGACGAGGGCGGGTGAACTGTTGGACTCTATTGGGCGGGCGCCAGACCTACTGCTCAGCTTGGTCTGCTGTCACGGTGCCCCAAGTGATACCCCGAGACCATGAACCTTGAGCGTAGCATCGCTTTTGTGTTGTGAGAGGAACATTTTATTTTCTTCCTATGATGAGGAGGACTGGAGGGCAAGAGCGGCTTTTCTCTTTTGGGATTCGGGCGAGGGACAGCGACTTTTGGCGTACTGGTCCCTCAAACGTCTAGCAAGTGCTGCGGGATGAGCGTTTATGCGATAATTTATAATATTTGAACGGTCCACACCCGTCCACGCGTGCCCCTTGTGATAGCTGTGACGGATCTATACGCTCTGCATGACGACCGCCAGGGGAAGCGAATGCCAAAATGCCACCGGGGCACCTTGGATGGTACTCTTGACTTGACTGACCGGATCGACTTACACATAGTCATTCAGAGAGCGGGTGACGAGGTACAGGGAGCCACAGAAGCCGGCATACGTCGTCAGGAGCTCCGAGCCTGTCGAATAGGCTGCCGCGGTGGCTCACCCTCAAACAGAACACCCTTGTCTGCCACACTTAATTTTTAGATAATGGCCAATCTCGTGACCTTTTCACTCGATGCAGCTTCCTCCCAGCGGTGAAGCAAGGATGGCCAAGGGGGTGTCGAACAGCGTACCAAAAGCGGGCAGGATTTCCCACACCTAGCCCGCGTCGAATGTCCAGTGATGGTGCCCGACGGAGGTCCAAAGACAGTCTAGATATTGGCAACCGAGTGAGCCTCCTAAACTCTGACCGGCTAGATACAGCTAGCTGGATGAGCGGTGCCACGGTTGTTGCTACTTCCGTGGAGATGGGTCTGCGGCTTGGTCCTGTTGGGTTGCCAGGGGGGGATTGGAATCAGTTTCACAGGCAGCAAACCCTCGATGCCTCCTGTTTCCATGCACCCAGCAATCCCTTGCATACTTCAAAGACCTGGTAACGTGTCATGGTGACATGGTTGTTTGTGCTAACAGGTGAGGTTGGCACGGAGTGAAGTGCGTACCCACATGGGGGAAACATCGAATAGAGCGGCTCAGCGCAGGGAAGTTGGCACAACAGTTCTGCCAGACGGGAGAAGGAATAGAGAGGATCCGGAGATTTGTTCTAGGACCATAGGAATATATGTGGACGGTCGTATCTCGCTTGATGTATAGTAAAGCTCAGGGCAATGACGTAGTCAACGTGACGTCGTGGTGTGACGTCGTGGTGTGATCTACAGAATCCATATACAGGTTGGAAGCAGGACTATTCAAACCTATGCCAAAGTGGCCTCAAGGCCAGATGATTCATCCTATCCAGGCGCACAGACGACACGAATACAGTACAGTACCGTTCTACGTCAAGAGATGATTTAGTCGTTATGTCTTGGTGTTCACATAGGGTTTTGACAACCATAACACGCGAGTCGAGAGCCTTGAACGGAAAGCAAGAAAATGCTTCATTCTATTGCTCAATTACCCATTCGGTCAAAGAATTCTTGCTGTTCATTCCCCGCGGGCATCATTGAAGGTGTCCTCGAAGGCCCACGGGTCCGTTAGGCATTTGGGAAGCCAAGGATAAGCACTTGACTATCCATCGAGCCTCTTTGGTTTAGGTAGTGGGATAGCCCTTCCTAGTCCCAGAGCAAGGATGTAATCACGATACTGACATTGAGGTATCTCCTGATGAGTGTCCGTTAACTCCCTGTGTATTCTGATCCGCCTGTCAGTTATGCTGGCCACCCTTTCAGAGTTCCAGGGCCCGGGACCGCAAGTATTTGCCTTTGCGTATCCCTTGGCCTTCAAGCGAGGCGATGGCCAATAGCTGACAGACGGAAGCATATCTTTCAATTCAAGACAGTCACAATTACGGCCATGGCACACTGTCCGACCCCTCTCGACACCTTTTGCTCCACAACGAAGAAGAAGGGTCCCTGCTTTGTTTCTGAATGGGAACCAGCTTCTCATTCACCTAGTACCAATTAGCCAATCCAAAACCGTCCGGAGGAAATGCCGCCAATGAAGACAAGCGGCGCAAAACTAGGGACGGGTCACCAATCAGGGGCTGAGCATCACCCCTACGTCACGGCCCATCCCAAAAGATTCTGTACTCCGTAGACTGCGGGGATGGGGGGATAGTACCCCTGGACATGTCTGAAATCCGGGCGAACTAGGCGGTACCCACGGTGGCAAATGTTTAATTTTTCCCTTGTTTCTCTTTCTCCTGCGAGGCGGGCGAGGGTGGGCATCGGCACGTCAACCGGGAAGATATCCTCGTTAGCTGACTGGATGCGGTGTAGAGTTGCATCAACAAGTACATTCCGGATCGGGTGTCTCGCGTAGAAGTCATACATCAAGAGTACATGCCGCACCTCCGCCCTGCATAGTGAGACACCCTGACAGATGGGCAACAAAGTATCGTGGCACGCATGGATTCTGTAATCCGGTTGCCACTGCTCGGTAGTGGACGGACAGATCTCCCCACACCTTCTTGATGTCTTGGTTGGCGCCAAGCAGATAAAGGCCGGGTCCCCGCTCTTAACAAGGATCCCAGAACCTGCTCCCGACCAATTGTGGTTCCAACCCCTCTAACTTGTATTGTTACCCCCCCGGAGAAGTCTCCTTGAGGCACTCTCTTCTCTCATTCGAACGTAATCCTGCAGCCTGCTCCATATTACTGGAAAACCTGTGCCAGAGTACCGGGGTCGCCGCGTCATATCTCCCACACCCGTTGAGCCATCCGGCCGTGATATGGTCATTACGTTGAGCGATTCGATATCCACACCCCTCCTAGGAAGATTTAGAAGTCGTTCTCTTATCTAGCACGGCCATGGAAGGGTACACAGATTACTGGTCTTCAGTAAACGACCCAAAGTCAATGCCTCACGGCGAACAGTTCACTCCTCGTCATCCACCACCACACACGGCACAGATTCACTTGGGCAGGACGACAATGACTACCGCACCGTACAGTACGTCTGGCATGATGGGTGGGCCCGCAGTGGCTCCTTTCCCTTACCTTCACAGCGACGATTCCTCCAATGCTTCGATGCCCAGGAGCTACGCGTACCCGGATGAGTGCATCCCGGGCTACCAGCAGCGGTGGGAGCAATCTAGCTCGTCGTCACTAGGCTTCGATCATGACTCTCAACCGTCTATTGCTGGAGGCAGGTGTATAGGTGGTCCCAATCAACCGTACCGAGGCTTGACGACGCAAGCCTCGGGTTCTGACGACGATGATGCGACGGTGTATCACACACCACCTCACGAGATGTTTGACGATGCTATGCGGGATGCGCAGGACGAGGAACGGGCCGCGCAACTACAGGGGCGGAAACAGGCGATGGGGCAGAACAGGCAACGACAGTCACATGTGGCGTCGCAGGAGGGTGGAGTCCCATCTCCGTCCGAGCACAGCAGAGAAACCTCGGCTTTGCCCACATCACCGTCGACAACAACGACGATGTCATCGCCGCCACCATCAAAAAACCCACCAAAGTGCACTTCCAACTCTGTACCTTCAGGACCTGGTCCTCCCAGTAGATCCCGGGGCAGACGCGGCCGCCAGCCCGGCGCTCCTCGACGGACCTCAAAGTCTTCATCAGAGACGGCGAGCGCAGATGTCACCGGCGAGGGCAGTTATGCCACCCCCCGATCGCCTCCAAAGCCCACGCAGCGCGAACAGAACAGAGCCGCCGCCACCAAGTGTCGGGCCAAGGCCAAGGCGGCCACGAGCAAGCTCGCCGAAGACGAGCGGTACATCAGCGAGGAGAGGATGCGCCTCACCGACGAGGCCGACCAGCTCAAGGACGAGGTCCTGTTCCTCAAGTCGGAGCTCCTGCGCCACAGCCACTGCGATTGCGTCCTGATACAGGAGTACCTCAAGAGGATGGCCAAGATCATCAGCGAGGGCTCTTTGGACCACTCGTCAGCCTTCCCCGCTGTTTGGGCAGACCAGGGGAGCGTAGGCTCGTCGTGCTATGCCGATGGTGCGCACGGCGATGTCGAAATGGTGAACGAAGGGGAATGAGGGTGTTTCTGCGGACTCGGCGGGATACTTATCCAATCTTTTCTTTCTCATTCCTTGCGCGTTCGTCCTTTTTTTTCGGCTCTTGGAGAGGCGTTCAAATTTCTTTCACGGTATGACTTTTCCCGTTCAACAACCTGCAACTTTGCCGTCAAACGCAGAGCTAATCAACAGGAACGAGTATGCTACCCGGTGCTTCACCTTGAAAAGGTGCGACAGACACAGTAGCAGCTGGTCTGTTTCATAGCCCCAAATCACTTTTTTTCAAATCTTTGCTGGAGGAATGAAATGTCTCTCACTCGGATCGTATGCACATGGGCTAAACATGTGCGATCTGAGTGGGACGTGAAAAGGTGTGGTGTTGTCGGCAAGAGAAGACCATGCATGACACTGGGCAAAGTAATGCCCGTGGTGACTGATACCTGGTGAGTATCTAGCCCCCCGACAAGCTGACATCGGCCTCAACTGCTCAATGGGGTCGGCAGGCAGGTATTTATGTACAAGACGTGACAGACCTCCCGCACCCGCTAGTCAGGGAGGCCGGGAGACCCGTCACACTTACGAGATTGGGGGGTGAGCATATGTTCCCTCATCCTTACGACACCTCTTGCTCGAACGACTGAGATCGGGTCGAATCTCCGTCAGAGACATGTCATGGTAAGCCTAGAAAACCCCCCTAGCTCACTACAGAGCACCCGTTCCTGCCGATCCTCCGCACCGATTTCGATGGCCAGCCGCGTCTCCGCTCCAACGCAGCTAAGCCCCCCCGGGGACCTCCACTATTAAACCTGCAGGTTGAGTGAGACTCCTGATGGAGTATGTCACTCTACATGCACTGAGGATTCGATCCGATGCCTCCTGGCTGGCTGGCTCTATAGCCATGCAAGGCGTCTGGCTGTAGAGATGGCACCTAGTCTGACGGCAATATGATCGAGCTACGGGTCATGATAAAGCAAGCGAGTACTAGGTTTGTCAAACTGCCGCATCCACAGTAGCCCGGAGACGCACGATGCTCTCGTTGGAAGATGGCAGTGTCCCAAGTGACAGTCGGACTAGTTGGCAGAATGCTCAATGAAGCATTTGGCTATCCATAAGCCTGTCGATTTTAGGCAGTGCAATAGCCCTTGCGGGGTAGCAGTGGAAGTGTATGAATTCTCATGTCAACAAGTAGGTGTCTCGAGATGAACTTCCATCAACTATTCTGACCTTTATGTGCCTCCTACTCTGCCACCGCTGTCGCAACATCGATCAAGTGGGTGTCTGGTTGACAGAAGTTCATCAGGAGCTACCTCAATCTTAACAATCATTATCCTTGTCACATCCTTGCCCTAGAACTCAGAAGGGCTATCCCACTACCTAGATCCGATGGGTTTGATACTTCTGTTAGCAGTCCGTCAACTAATTTGACCATCACTTGCCCGTCGAACCTTTGTCAGAGACATGTCATGGTAGGCATAGAAACCCGCCTGCCCTTGTCGACACCCAAAAAGTCCAGGATCTTCTGGACAGCCTGCTCATCGCCGTCCACAGTACCCGCCAATCCCTCATCCACCCAACCTTCTGTCCACCCGCCCCCAAAGTCAATCAGCCAAGTTTGATCCTCATCGTCGACAATAACGTTGCTCGCTTTTCCGTCACCCCAGACCACGTCGATGCCGTGCAGTTGTTCAACTGTCTGGCGGATCTGCAACGCCCACTTCTGCCTCCTCTCTGCCGCTGTCGCCGCGAGGTCAATCTTGCTCAGGCTCCGTCCCGAGACCCAGTCACGCAACATGCCTATGATGTTGCCCGTTCCGTCATGCCTCACATAGCCCAGGAGCTGTGGGACATGCATTGGCGAACGGCTCTGGCCTGACTGACAAGCATCACGTATTTTTTGAAGGGCCACCAGTTCATTCTCCAGTGTTGGGTCAAGCAATCCGTCCTTCTGCGCTCTGCAAATCATCTCTCGCCCTTCGGCCAACACTTGGCTAACTGTGCTGCCCGAGCCGCGTACAAAGGTCTCCAAGACAATGACGTCCTTGGGCGAGTATTGAGGTAGACTGGTGTCAATATCAAAATCCTGTTCCATGCCGCGGTCGCGAGTGGGCTCGAGGTCCGTATAGGTTTCGCTGGCGGGGATGGGATCTATTGAGGCCTTGCCGCTAATAGTCTTGAGACCGAGAGTGATCGTCAGGGGATATAGGAGAGAGTGCAAGTCTTGTTCATTTGGCTCGCATGCTGATGCGTTGCGAGAGGCGGCTTCTCTCAAAGTGGCTCTCCCGGCCTCGAGAATAAGCTCGAGAACCTCATCTAGAATCGCTTCATATTCCTCCATGTCCTCTGTAATGGTGACTCGACCAAGAAGATGAATAATGCGATCTTCGAGGAGTTCGCTATTGCACTGGTCTCGACGATCGAGTCGAGAGGAAGAACTTGGGAGAACAGATAGGTAGATCCGCTGACCGTTGAAATCGAAAAGAATACCGGCGCCATCACCATCCCCGGCATGAATTTGATACACGTCAATGTCATCCATGTCGCTGATGTCGCCGGAGTCACTCATATTGGGATATTGGGGAGACGCAGCGGGGGGAAAAGCAGATTGCTGCCTGATCGCCATGTATCTGCGAGCTGTTTGCGAGAGAAAAGTGACATTGAAGCATACTATTGGCTGTGAGCTTTGTCGCCCCATCCTTTCACAATCCTGGAACAGCCCTGAACCGCCGACATCGAGCCTCTAAATGCCAGTCCGATCGTTCAAAACAAGGAGTAAATCTGGACCTTGATTATCATGTGGTATATCCGACAACACAACGCGCGCGCCGCCCTTAGCACTGATTCTATGAAATGGGTCTCAAAAGTTGACGAAAACCTTGCCCTGCCACGGCGCCAAAACTCCGGGTTTCGGATCGCTCGATGTCGTCGTCTCCGTCTCGGCCAGCAGGCGGCACCGGGCTCCCTTGCAGCCCAGCGTCGTCCCAACGTCCGGGTGCGTCTGCTCCTCCCTCGTAAAGTTGATCACCACCAGGGCCTTCCTCTTGGGCGCGCCGGGCACCTCCTCCGCGGCGAGGGCGCTCTCCTTGACGTAGCTGAACACGGCCTCGTCCTCGGCGTCCACGAGCCGGAAGGTGCCAAAGACGAACAGGTCTCGGTACCGCTTCCGCAGGCGCAGCACCCGCCTGTAGAACTCGAGCACCGAGTCCCCGTCCCCGCGCTGCCGCGCCGCGTTGATCTCCCGGTAGTCGTCGTGCACGCGCATCCACGGCGGCTGCCGCCGGGCCGACGCCGAGGAGGCGGACGTGAAGCCGGCGTGCGGCGAGCCGTCCCACTGGAAGGGCAGGCGCGCGTGGTCGCGCGCCAGCACGCTCAGGCCGTGCAGCGTCTCGCGGACGCGGGCCGCGTCGCCGGACCGCACGGCCTCGGCGTAGAAGTTGACGGCCTCGATGTCCTTGTACTCGTCCACGCCCCACGAGGCGGGCATGTTGGTCTGCCCGATCTCCTGGCCCTGGTAGAGGAAGAGGGTGCCCGTCAGCGTGGCCTGCCAGAGGGCCAGGGCTTTCGCCGACGCGCGCCACAGCTGGGGGGTCGAGGTGTCGCCGAAGCGCGAGACGGCGCGCCCGTTGTCGTGGTTCTCGCAGAAGACGGTCGTCCAGCCGTCGGTGCCCTCGACAAAGGTCTGCCACCGGGACACGAGCTCCTTCATGGTGGACAGCGCGAAGGGGCGGTAGATGTACTTGCCGCTCAGGAGGCCGCCGGTGCCGAGCCGGATGAGGGAGAACTCGAAGACCATGTCGAGCTCGCCGGCCGCCGCGGTCACGTAGGGCAGGACCTGCGCCGGGTCGGGCGTGTTGGACAGCTCGCCGACGGACACGGCGCCGTAGGGCGCCAGGGCCTTGGCCTGCATCTCCCGGATGAACTCGTGTATGCGCGGCCCGTTGCACCACATCTCGGGCGCGGGCTGGTGGGGCATGTCGGGCTCCGTGACGGGCGCGTCCGCGTACTCGGTCCGCTTCGAGTACTTGTTGACGGTGTCGATGCGGAAGCCGTCGATGCCGCGGTCCAGCCAGAACTTCATGGTGTTCTCGTAGATGGCGTGGCGGCACTCCTCGTTCTCCCAGTTCAGGTCCGGCTGGTCGGTGGCGTACAGGTGCAGGTAGTACTCCTGCGTGTGCTCGTCCCAGGTCCAGGTCGAGCAGGCAAAGTAGCCGCGCCAGTTGGTGGGCGGCATGCGGTTGCCGTCGGCGTCGTACCGGGCCGGCTTCCATATGTACCAGTCGCGCTTTGGGTTGTCTCTGGAGGAGCGCGACTCCTTGAACCACTCGTGCTCCACCGAGGTGTGGTTCACGACGAGGTCCAGGATGAGCTTCATCCCCCGCGCGTGGCAGGCTTCTAGGAGTGCGTCGACGTCCTCTACCGTGCCGTATGGCGCGTATATCTTTCTGTGCGGCGTGTGTCAGTCACCTTATAGGTCTCTTCCGGGGAAATGCAGTGCGGAACGTACTGGTAATCTGACACATCGTAGCCCATATCCTTCTGAGGGCTCTCAAACACCGGTGACAGCCATATGCAGTCGACGCCAAGCTCGTGGAGGTAGTCTATCTCTGACAAGACGCCGGGGATGTCTCCCCAGCCGTCTCCATTGGTGTCCTTGAAGCTTGCGGGGTAGACTTGATAGAAGGTTGCCTCCTTCCACCACGGCTCCTGCGCGAAGAAGCCCTCCTCATAACTCCACGATCCCATGGTGTTGTACTACCTAGGTACTTTCAGGACTTCTTTTTGGTGGTGTGCTTGGGGAGTGAAGGTGGAAGTCTGGGAGGGCATCGGGGAGCTCTGGGAGTCGGACGAGGTCAGTCGAGGGGGGAATGGGAAACAACACGCCGCACGCTACTCCCGGAACACATGCGCGGACCCGTACTATGTATCCTTTCCCATCGCAGAGGAACAAGAGCTCCCGGGTTTCTGGGAAAGTTATTGGCCCCCGCAGAAAGTGCCGTGCGGGCGGCCCCCGCAGATTCTGCACCTCAAGTCTATCTCCGCTAGCCAGACTCCGCCATCGGGATGCCAGCTCCGACACCTTTGATGGTGTTTTGCCGGAAGGTTGTCGGAGTTGAGGGATGAAACTCCGCCACCACACGCTGGAGCATGTTCGCTATTCCCCGTAACGATTTTCTAGAACGCCGTTGACGACTACTGAAGCGAAAACTTCAATAGATCACAAGCTCGCGCAAGTGGGCATTTATCAATCTCCTGGGACGAGCTCGATGGAGTGAGTATGTGCAGATTAGCTTCTTGGCAATGGCACCCTTCAAGAGCTGCGAGGTTGCGCCCGGCAGCTGTGCTACATATGCACGGACATGCAAAAGGCGTTCCTCGTCACTGACTGGCTGTTTGCATGTGGTATCGCAGTGGATGATACGGTCGTCGCTGTCGGCCATTGAGAGGCCAGATCAGGATAGATGCATCACCTAGCATGGTAATTCCTCGTGACTATGGGTACAGGCCATTTTGTTCATGCTAGATACATAAACAAGTGCTACCTCAATGGTAACAATCAGCATCCTTGTCATATCCTTGCCCGGGAACTCGGAAGGGCTATCCCACTACCTAAAACCGATGGGATTGATGGATACGCAAGTACTTCTGTTAGCAGTCCGTCAACTAATCTGACCATCACTTGATAATTATGGATGATGTGCAAAGACTGTTGAAATAGAGCTTGATATCCGTGCTCCGGCTCAAGCTCAAGCCCCAGCTCCGACACCGTGACATCAGGTCCTCTCGGCTGTGCGAGGCGAGTCATGACGATGCGGTCCCAGTCGGCAGACATCACGGTAGAAAAACTCCGACAGCAACTCCGACACTCCACTGCCGAAATTTGCGCCAAATAGCACTTGGGCCCCCTTCCCCAGTCCTCAAGTACGCACGCCGTGCGATCCCCCACAGATTTTCGCATCTGTCTTCAACGCCATCCGCCATCCGCCATCCCCACAGCCCTGGGTCAGCAAGGGGAAGCTCTGCATTGGGAATAGCCGTGGCGCCAAATCGGCTTCATTCTTCTAGCCTCACGAGGACAGGAGCGTGAGCTCGAGGTGCCTGGTGGAAAGAAGATAAATATCACCATCATGCCACTCCATTGACACCTCCCGACAGCACTCTTCGCCTTCCCACTCCTCGTCCTGTATCTCGCACCCGCCTCGCGCCCGTCTCACCCCTTCTTCTTGTCACTACTCTCTTTCATCACCTTCCGCAGCTATGGCAGTTGACAGGTCCGTCGAGGACCCCGTCCAGCCTGTGGCGGCTGCCGGCAAGCAGGCTGAGAACCCTTCGGCCATCCACGACGAGGTGCTCGTCGCCGAGGCAAAGCATGGTGCCGACAAGGAACATCAGATGAGCCTCTGGACCGCTCTGAAGCTGTATCCAAAGGCTATCGGCTGGTCCATGCTCCTTTCATCGACCCTCATCATGGAGGGGTGAGTCCTTCCTTGCCTTGGCGACATATTGTCCGTGATTGCCTTTGCCTTTGCCCTTGACTAATGCTCTTTCCCTGTGAAGCTACGACCTTGCACTTCTGGGGAGTCTGTACGCCTCGCCCGTTTTCAAACAGAAGTATGGTGAGCTTGGCAGCGATGGCAAGTATGCCGTCTCGGCTGCATGGCAATCGGGCCTATCCAACGGTGCCAGGGCCGGCGAGATCTTCGGCCTTATCCTGGCCGGTTGGGCCGCCGATCGCTACGGTTACAGGAACACCACCATCGCCTCCCTGATCCTGCTCTGCGGCTTCATCTTTGTGCTCTTCTTTGCCCCCAACGTCAAGGTCCTGGTCGTCGGCGAGATCCTCTGCGGCATGCCCTGGGGCGCCTTCCAGAGCGTGACCCCTGCGTACGCTTCCGAGGTTGCCCCCGTAGTCCTCCGGCCGTACCTGACTACTTGGTGCAATATGTGCTGGGTCATCGGCCAATTCTTTGCTGCCGCCGTCAACAAGGGATCTGTGAACCGTACCGACGTCTGGGCATACCGCATCCCCTTCGGCGTGCAGTGGGTCTGGCCCATTCCGATCCTTGCCGGGCTTGTCTTTGCTCCCGAGTACGTTTGAGCCCCATCCCATTCCCTCAGCCTTTGACACAAACACCTACTCATACCATAGCCGTCAGGTCTCCATGGTGGCACGTTCGTCACGGTAACAAGGAGGCAGCAAAGAAGGCCCTGCTCCGCCTGACCTCTCGCAATCAACCCGACTTCAACGCCGACGAGACCATCGCCATGATCGAGCACACCAACGAGCTCGAGAAGAACCTGCGCGAGGGCGTCGGGTTCCGCGACTGCTTCAAGGGCATCGACCTGCGCAGAACTGAGATAGTAGTCATGGTCTGGTTAGTGCAAACGCTTGGAGGCCAGAATTTAATGGGTTATTTTGCGTATTTCCTGTAAGTGGCTGCTTTTCCCGGTGTTTTGATGCGATTATCATGAGAAAAAGGGGCTTGGGTTGACTTGGCTGACTGGGCCCCACCAGAACACAAGCTGGAATGGACCCCGGTAACTCCTTCTCTCTCTCCATGGGAAATTCCGCCCTTGGTATAGTCGGCACTGCTGGCTCCTGGTTCCTCATGTCGCGCGTCGGCCGTCGAACGATTCATTTCAGCGGTCTCTGCGCGCAGTGCACCCTGCTCATCATCGTGGGCAGCCTGTCCTTCGCGACCTCAAATGCCTCCGTTTGGGTCATTGGCGCCCTCCTGATCGTCTTCACCTTCGTCTACGACTTCACCGTCGGCCCCGTCACCTACAGTCTTGTCTCGGAGCTCTCGTCCACCCGCCTCAAGGCCAAGACCATCGTGCTCGCTCGCGCCGCCTACAACGCCAGCAACATCTTCGTCAACGTCATGACCAACTACCAACTGTCCAAGACGGCGTGGAATTGGGGTGCCCGGGCGGCCTTCTTTTGGGCTGGCTCCTGCTTTCTCAGCGCCATCTGGGTGTACTTCCGCCTTCCTGAACCCAAGGGTAAGTCTGATTGTCAACCTGAATTTCTCGGGTTGAATAGTTAGGACCATTGCTGACATTTCCTCTTCTTCAACAGGTCGCACATACGCCGAGCTCGACATTCTTTTCGAGCACAGAGTGTCTGCCCGGAAGTTCGCCAAGACCGAGATCGATCCCTACACGCATGCTTTGACCGGAAAGGATAGGATTGTAGTGAAGGAGAAGGATCTGGAATAAGGGTTTTCGGATTTAATGGAGAAAAGGGCACAGGGACAATTTAGTGACGGTGTGCATGGTTTGGAATTGGAGATATAGTGCAATTTCAGCCTACCCAGCGGGGATCATAATAGTTGAGAGAAGTTCATCGGGAGATACCTCAAGGTTAACAATGTTCCATTTTCTTCCTTTTCTTCTTTTTTCCCTCTTTTTCCTTTTTTCCCCCCTTCTTTTTCTGAACTAACCGGATTGTCGCTTGCCAACCTTGCTCTCAATCCGAGTGCTGGTCTCCAATATTGGGCAATGGTTAGTGTGCTCGCCACTAATCATCCGGCTGAGCTGGTGATTCTGTCCTTTGAAAATCTGGGTTATCATCGAGCTTTGAAGTTTCTTTATTTCATAACCCCAATGGCATTACGGGTATTCAGGAGACCTTCCTCGAATTCCCTTTTGAACCAAAACCGCTGTACAGGAACCGTTGCAAAGTGAGCAATAGTATATACATAAGTGGGCGTCAGGATAGTTGACAGAAGTCCATCAGGAGGTACCTCAATGATCACAATCAGCATCCTTATCATATCCAGAAGGGCTATCCCACTACCTAAAACCGATAGGGGTTGATGGATAGCTAAGTACTTCTGTTAGCAGTCCGTCAACTAATCTGACCATCACTTAATACACCAGACCCGCCCTGTGACTATGCATTGAAAAGGCAAGCCGGTGGGTTCACACCCCTACAACACTAGATTGGGTAGAGTATGCTGAATATGTTTGTTCAGCAAGTCGTCGTACGTCGCCTTGCCTCCGGGCAGCTGGGTGATTAGCTGCCGGACATAGCGCAGGTTATCCTCGGGCCGCGCGCCGACGCCATGCTTGACGGCATCCGTCAGTGGGATGCGGGCCAAGACGTCGACCACGGCGCAGGCGATGTCCAGGAGCTTTTCGGTGATCCCCACGCCGTGGACCTTGATGCTGTCGACGGAGAGATCTTGCGTCGACAAGACGAGATCCTTGGCGACCTCGAGCGGGTAGTGGTAGGTGAGGCTGATCGGGTGCGCGTCCTCGGCAAGGTGGCCCAGGTGCAATCGTATCTGCCACAGAATGATACGCAGCCACAATTGGGTCACCCTCAGGTTGGCCTTTTGCGTGTCGAGCAGGTCGCTTGTGTGGTCGACTGCCTCGTTGATAGCAGTCTCTATATTCGCAAGCGACGCAGCGGTTGGCGGGCAGGAGAATGTTTCCTGGTTCCAGAGGGCAATGAATGACGTGTCTAGGGGTCGAAAGAGAGCAGCCAGGTTCCAAAATCCGGCGAGGTCTGCCGACTTCTCGATGGCTGGTGTTCCGGGGGTGATCTGTAGGGTGACCGGCCGGCGGTATCGGATCCCGTGGGATCGCTCCGAAACAAGCAGAACCCAGAATAGCCTCTCCGATAGCTTCCTCGCATATGGATCCTCCATCGACGGACGAAATAATAGGAGCAGGGTAGTTGCTTCCCTCAGAAAGATGAAAGCCTGACTGTGGTGAAAGAGGACCGAGTGGCATGCGTAGAGGAAGAATGACAGCAGGCACTGCGTAAAGGATGGGGTCGAGCGACGGTACACCTGCTGGTGCAGGCCAAGGGCTTCCTCGAAGAGCGCCCGGCCGTATCTAGAGTTCTTCTCCGGGATAATTCCGGGGAATGAGAAGCTCTCGCCGTCTTCGACCTGCAGGAGGACCATGGCGCAGATCGCCGTGACCGTGGCCAAGGACTCGGGCCCCGAGTCGGGCGCGTCGGCGTCCCTCCGCAGCTTGACAGCATAGTCTTCTGTGAGGATGGGGATGGTCGGCCGCAGCTTGGAGAAGAAGCGGTCGAGGCAGTGGTCGAGGACGGGCGGTGGCAAGAAGTTCCTGGGCCGAGGCTCACGTGGCACCACCACGAACCCCCGCGGGGACGTCGCGGACAGGGTGCCCGGCGAGTTGTCGCCGGACCTCGTGGACCAGAAGCCGGCATCTATGGACGCCTGGGGCGCGACGCACTGCTCGGCGAGGCCCGCCTTGAGGCAGCGCTGACAGGGCCGGTGCTCACTGCAGCCCTTCTGGAGCTTCTTGCAGCGCGCGCAGGCCTTGGACACCTGCGCGCGCTTGGGCCGCGGGGCTGCCTTGTCCGCGCCGCCGCCGCCGCCGCCGTCGCCATCGCCAGGGCTGGCCGCGGATCTCGGGCGCTTGTCGGCGACCTGCGACGGCGACGGCGGACTGCTGTGCTGGTGAAGATGCTGCTGCTGCTGCTCGAATGCCATGTCGTCCCATAGCGGGGCCCGTTTTGGGTGGGCGGAATGGGTGTCGGGATCTAACAAATCAACAACCAGGGGTGGCGCATCGAGAAAAGTGATTCTTACCTAGTTTCGATTTCGCCTGCATCTGGCCGCGGGGTCGACAATTTGGGGCCCTGGGCCGGCCCTCGAGCTAGGATGGAAATCGCCTAGGGTGGGGGATATGCTTGGCCTGGGGTGCTGTTTACGCGATTGGGCCCGTGTCCACCAACGTGCATCCTTCGCGGCAGCAAATAATTGGACCTCAACTGCCGAGATGGTGGTCGACTCGAGGGCTCATCACCAGGCTGACAATCCAGCGCCTCGGTTTTCGCCCACATATTCTAACTCACTGCGTCTGTGTCTGACGTTGCAAGACAGTACTGCGCATTGTTTATGCCTGTGTTCAGAGTACCTGGTGTGCTCACAATTCGCCAGTCAGGTGTACGATGTGGAACAAGGGGATGGTGCATGCACATCACAGGCCTTCCAGAGAGTCATGATTCAGTCCCAGGAGTGCCTGAATATTTAATGATCTTAATCTATTATATGAAGACGGTCCTAGTCCCACGCAGAGCCATACATCGTCCAAAAACAATCAAGTGACGGTCAACTGCACCCGCTCCTCTACACCTTCCCAACATTGCCAGCCTCTCTATCGTCATTTCCAAGCCATCCTAAAAGCCTGAAGCTCGAATGTTGTCAGTCCTCCAGGTTCGATTGGCGGATATGGAGGTGAATTCCTTTCCGACAAGCTCTTCCCATATGCGGGAGCTGAAGTATTACCAACGAAGGAGACGTCCAGTGAGAAATCCGGTATAGAGGAAATGGTTCTGAATTTGTTTTCACGGAGCCTCGTGCTTGTCGATGGGTTCCTGGTGTTTCTTTAGGCAAGAATTATCGCTCTTGTCCCTTGAGGTCCCGGACTTAGTCGTAACTTGAGACAGGACGGAGTCGGCCTTGCCGTCACCCAAAGTTATACAAGAAGAAGGTGGATCAGAAACTGGCCCGAGCTTTTCTTCTTTCGCTTTTGGGTATCGATCATGGCTCAAGTCCACATGCTCCTTACGGCTTTCGCACAAACAGCAAGTCTTGTGGCCACACTCGTAGCAAGAGGGGTTGCTGAATCGCATACAAAACGCACGGCAATGACACTAATAATAAACCTGTCACTATCTAGGAACGAGGTTGACTCAACACACATGGACTCACACAGTGCCAGGTCTCAATCGTGTCTCCCATCTCATACAGCTTCGAGTATGCACGATCAGAAGCCGAATTGGTTCGTTCTGGAAGGCTTCTGTTATCCTCAGCGGCACATAATGCCGATGCCTTCTTATGCTCAATGTCGGTATTATGTTGGGTTCGATGATGTGCCGGAAATTTAGGTAATGGTAGAATGCGTTCTGATTGACAGTCCAATATGATCTTAAGAAACTGAGAAGATCAGAGAGAAGAATGCAGAGCCTACGACAATACCTGTTTCTATATCATATTCAATACAGAATCACGACAGTGATTTTCCACAGACATCACAGCAGTGATTTTCCACAGACATCACAGCAGTGATTTCGAGTGCTTCGGCTTATTCGTGAACATCAGACCAGTGAGATATAAGCAACTCAACCAGGCGTGCATGGCAGTGTACATACAAAACATATCTAAATGATAACTAAGCGAGTTGTCACCATTGTGATTAAAGGTTTGCACCGGTCCTCCTGAATGATTGTGATGTGTGGCACCCCTTGAGTTCTTCCGTTGACTTGATTTAGAAAATAGTACAAGAGTGATTTTTTGACATTCATATTCGAAATGCTGTTCATCATCCACAACCTGAGCCCTTTGATGTTTCAATCGTGTTTCTCATCCTCGTCGGAAGTCAAAGGCGTCGAAGGTGCAGTATCATGATTTGATAGATCCCGAGTATCGAAATCATACTGCAGAAATTCGTCCGAGAACGTAGCTTGGGTGCTTCTGGACACTGACGAGGCAAACGTATGTTGCGATTGAACGACATCCTGCTCCCATGCTGAAGGTTCGTGGTCCGGTATAACGGCATTCTCTCCACTGTCGAGAACTTCGGAAACTTGGAAGGAAGGTGAGTCCATGCTTGGTGCTTCCGTTGTATTGATGGCGAGGAGCCTCGGGTCTATCACTAGAAGATCGCCGACTGATGGATGAGGCGTGCTTTCCATTGATGACAGACCAAGAGCTTCACTCTCATTAAGGGCTGGCGGATGAGGCACCGGAAAAGCTTGGGCTGAAGATGAAGTTTCTGACATGGTTGGTCCGGCTATCACGGGAACAGTGCTGGGCCCAATCCAAGTTGATCTCGACTGCGCGATACTCCCGCCATCGTTGGTTGTTTTATGCGTCATGTATCCTTCCAAAAAGTGGTTCAAGGCCCGTCTGATTGCCGGAATGGTTGGCGTTGACGTAGGCGATGAAACGGTTGAGAATGATTCCCATATAACCAGATCCTCGCAAGACCCAATGTAGCTGTGCAAACTCGCCAGGTTCATCGATGCAAGGTCGACATAGTAAGGCGATGGGGGTCTTGGTTCTTGATCAGGGAACAGAATATCAAATATCGAGTACCACTGCTCCGACTCAGGCTGAGCAGACTTCAGCCGTGGCGCCAAAGCCTCGGCGACATGTGGCTCAGAGGGATGAGATCTCTTGATGTGTTGCTTGACATAACTCATTTTTGGAGTATGGAAGCGGCAGCAAGTTCCCCACCACCGATCCAAGTCCCTTTTTATGAAGGGACAGGCGAAATCGCGGTCACTCCCGGGTCCAGAAGTCTGTTTCTGCTTCTTTTGAAGCAATCCTGCATCCTCTGGTCTATCCTCCCGGCGCCGGGTTCTCTTCCCTTCTTGACTTGGTCCACTCTTCTTTGGAGAATCGCTTCCTTGGTTATCACAGTGGGATTGCTGAGGCTCCTTCTGATTGTGTTGCCGGATACCTTCCCAACGGCGCAATAACTTGTGGATTGTTAGATCAGCTTTGTTACCAAAGGGATGCAGTTGAGGATATTCCACTTCAAGTTCCGCCACAATGATTATGCGTCTGCTTGGATAATCCGCCAATGCAGTCAAGTTCGCTTCTTCCAATAGGTTCGTCACGCTCGGCTTGGACATCTCGGCTCCCGGTGTATCTGGGGGACGCCAAGGAACAACACGCTGACTCTCTCTCAGATCTATAGCTGTTGAGAATTCACGTAAGCCCTTCATCTCAGACAAAATTTGACCGTTCTGATCAACTTCTGTCCTCGGTGGCACTTCGAAGTTGGAATGACCACGTCCTTGTGATTCGCCACTGGAGGGCCGAGGCATGTTTTCCAGTATGGCATCAATCTCCTCGATCATCCTCATGGCCCTTCTCTGGTGCTCTTGTGTTGACTCGCGGGCATCCACCGTGCCGTGGCCCAACTGAAACCAATGCTGGGATTGCTGATCATTTTGCCAGTCGGTAATTTGCCGACCGGAAAAGTAAGCCTGTGCAGAAGCAGGTGCTGCGCCTTTGCCCTTGTCGATATGATGCGTGTGGTCAGTGCAGGAATATCCACCAAATGACCCAGCGGCCGCACAGCATGTTTGGTTATCGCTGAGATCTTGCGCGGCCGGATCGTAATGGCGGTGCCGCTGTTCGCAGGCATCTTCATTGGGCATCCCCTGAGTGGCTGACTGTTCGACATGGTCCGTATTGGTGCGGTCGCCACCCTCATTAGGAACTAAGGGAGTCTGTTGTTGATTGCCTGCCATTCTAGACACTGCTGCACCTCGAATCTCACTAACCCCCTGTTGTGGAATACTCTTGAGATCCAAGTCTTCTAGCAAGTGGCCGTGGTCAAAGTCCTAGGCGTAGCGCCTTTTGGGTAGAATGTTAGTGGATTTCGATTGCCGTTCAAGAGCCGAGCTTCTCTGGATGTCCCGTATTCACTCACTCTCAAATGCTATAAGACAACGAGCCCTCTGCGAGGTGGCCAAATTACAGGCACAAGCTCTGTGTTTCCTTACCTGGATGTTAAGAGATTCCTCTAATTGGATGGACATATTATCACAGGCGTGAGAAAGATCTTCGACCAATCAACCGGCTCTCCCATTTGCACAGCTGAAGTGCCAGATGTGCACCGGCCCCAGCATTTTCCGGTTCAGGCGGCCTGAAATTTTCAACACCTCACCTCATGGATGATGGGTATTCTGATATAATTACTAGATCGAAGCACATACTACGAATTGCAAACTCTATCTGCAGTCGTGGTAAATAGTCGTTGTCTGGAATATTTTAGCACATCGTTCTCGGAGCATGTACTTGAAGTCTACTCGAACTACCTAGGTCTGTTCAAGGTTGGTGAAAGACGGCGATGGCAGTGCGGTGCCCAAATTTCGAGTTGGGGAGACCGCGCAATGAGGGGCCAGCATGGTTGACAGGTTCATGAGAAGAGACTCCAATGTTCACAATGCATACAGTACCTACATTAGGCAGGCATCATGCCCTGGGAATCGGAGAGGCTATCCCACTACCTCAAATCGATGGTTTGATGGGATTTTGAGACTCAGGCATTTCAATTATCTGACCATCGCTTGCCACGGGTAGCGAATGACATCACCGGAGCAAAAGTTCCAGCTCGCTAAAGGTCGCGGTAGCTCGAATCCGTACCTACTTGTAGATGGATCTTGTAGGCATGATGCGAAACGTTTAGCGTACCGGGATCACTAGCAAGGGAGTGCTACGGGTCCAATCATAAGCTTCTGTGGGGGGTCTAGACGCGCCCGATCGATGCTCATCGTTGCTGATGGCTGGCTTGGAGGCGACGGAACATTACGTCACAACGACGAAGCTCCCAGCGCGTTTCCCCCAAAAAATCCACATCGAGCTTGGGGTTGACTGACATGTGCTACCTCCCATCGACTTGCCATTCCTTTGCCTGTTGCCCAGCAGTACCTGCCAGCAACATGGGGCGTTCATGCATGAGAACAGTACGGCGGACACACTTGACATTCCAAGCCGTACGGGACCAGATGGAAGTGAGCAAGCGAGGTACTCTGGTACTTGACCTGACGTAGCTGCCTCCCCTGCGTTGCGTAGTGCTGCTTGCTGGCTATTCGTCTTTGAGTAGGTATTAAGGGGACATCCATGGAAGGGAGGCGCAGAGGCAAGCCCCAGTGACGACTTCCCTTCTACCTAGTACCGGCTTTATTTACTTGGGGCCAGCTGTGGCTCCCGCTTTGCTAGCAACGCATCCTTTGTGTCACTTGTACCTTCCACCACTCTTGTCTCCAGCAGTGACGTGATTGATTCTACACAAACCGACCTCACCTTTTCTTTTTCCTCGCTGCCACCTCCAACTCAACATCACTTTCCCTTCAAAACATCGTCACATTCTCTGCCCAATCTCCATTATCGCGCCTCTTTTACCACATCATCTGCACAGCACACCAAACAATAGTGGTCGCTCAACACGATACTGCGCTTCCACCTTGACGCATCATGAGGATCCTCAAGGCCCTCCTCTCCGTCGCCCTTGTGGCCGACGTTGCCCTTGGCAGCACCTGGTTTTCCAAGGCCGGTATGTTTTCGGACTCCCCGTTCCTCAGGTTGGGATCATCCTCCGATAGACGTCGCTAACACTTCTCTTCCAGCATACAACAAGTGGCATGAGACCGAGCTCGAGCGCTGGCTCTCTGATCACGACATTCCCTACCCGACTCCCGCCGACCGCAAGGACCTCCAGAAGCTCGTCGAGAAGAACTGGAACTCCTATGTTGTCACTCCCTACAACTCGTGGGATGCTGACCAGCTCAGCGCCTACCTGAAGCTCAAGGGCATCGAGACCAAGAAATCGGCTGAGAAGAACAAGGACTCCCTCGTTTCCCAGGTTCAGAGCTCCTGGTATGAGACCGAGGACAAGGCTCAATCGGCCTGGATCACCGTCAAGGACTGGATTCTCGACACCTGGACCGAGAGCCAACTCAAGGCTTTCTGCGACCACCACGGCATTCCCGGTACGTCGGAAACCGCTGATACTTGACCCATCTCGAAGAGCAGACCTCGTGCTAACTGCCCTCAGTTCCCCAACCCCGCAAGCGTGACACCTTGCTCCACAAGGCTCGCGAGAGCTATGACACGGTTGCTGAGAAGGCAGGCGAGGCAGCTGCGTACCCTGGTAACTGGCTGTACGAGTCCTGGACCGGTAAGATCTCCCGTTTATGAGTGGCGACAAACATTCGAGCTGACATTGAAAAAGAGTCTGACTTGAAGGAGTGGCTTGACACTCATGGTTTCCCGGCTCCCCAACCCACTACTGTAAGTCGACTCCAGTGACCAGTCCAGGGAGCCCTCTCTAACGATTTGTACAGCGTGACAAGCTCATCGCCTCTGTTCGTCGCAACTCTCGCCTTGCATACCTGAAGATGCAAGACGAGGCTGCAAGCTCAACCGCCAGCGCTCAGGCTGCTTACAAGACCCTGACTGACAAGCTGATTGACGCCTGGGCCGAGTCTGACCTCAAGGAGTTCTGCGACAAGAACGGCATCAACGGTATGTTATGCCACTTTGCCTTTCAGAGTGCCTGGTCTGGATTCTCCTTGCTAACCCTCCGTAGTTCCCCACGGCAGCAAGGTCAACGAGCTGCGTGCCCTTGTTCGCAAGCACCGCGCCCAGATTCTGGGCGACACCGTCTCTGCCTCGGCTGCGTCCGCCTACGGCGCTGCTACTTCCAACGCTGGCAACCAGTATGCCAAGGCCTCCGACAGCGCTTCCCTGGCTGCCCAAGATGCGTTCAACAAGGCCGTCGACACGTGGTCCGAGAGCCGACTCAAGGGCTACCTTGATGCTCGTGGCATCCCCGTCCCCCATGCCTCCAAGACCGACGAGCTCCGAGCTCTCGTCCGCAAGAACGCACACAAGGCTGCCACAGGCTTCAACGCCTGGACCCTTGACGACCTTTCCTATGACCACTTGAAGAAGTACCTCGAGGCCAACGGCAATGCGGCAGCCAAGAAGACGGCCAACAAGGCCGGTGCTACCCGCGATGAGCTTGTCAAGGCGGCCCAGTCGGCGTATGCGTCTGCATCCAAGACTGGCGGCACCCAGTACGCATCTGCTACCGACTACCTCGCATCTGCCACCCAGGCCGCCAAGGACTCCATCTTTGACACGTGGAGCGAGAGCGAGCTGAAGGCTTATCTCGACAGCTATGGCGTGGTGAGTGACTTCCTGTCCACTGACGTCTCAGTAGTACATATTGCTGATTTTTGTTCATCACAGCCCGTCCCTCAGGGTAGCAAGATCGACGAGCTCCGCGCTTATGCCCGCAAGCAGTCTACCTATTTCAGATATGGCACCAGCAGCCCGACTGGCACTCTGTTTGCCAAGCTCAGCGAGGGTGTCGCTGGCACCTGGGAGTGGGTTAAGGACCAGCTCAGCATTGGAGCCGATGCCGCCAAGAAGAAGTCTCAGGAGGCGGCCGACAAGGCCAAGGAGGCGGCTGACAAGGCCAAGAATGAGTTGTAAAGGGGCTCAACATGAACCTTTGGAGACGACTCGACGGGCCTACAGCATGGTAATGAAGAAATACGAGGGATTCGATGAAAAAAAAGGAAGAGTCTGTAGGCCAGTGTTGCACTGAAACGACTGCTGGCTTGTTTACCGCACCTATTCTTTGCAGGAGGAGGGCCGACTTGGAGTTGGAGGTCAGGGGTTGCATGGTCTTCTTACCTTGCTTTGTCTCTGTTTTTCTGCGCCTTGTGTTATTGAATCGACTATTACACCATGATACTCTTTCTAGCTAGTGAAAAGAGATGGGACAGTATGCCCGTAGATGAAAGCACAGGTGCTTGCTTGTCTTTGGATGGTGAGCTTCCTCGATGTTTAGCACAAAATGCAAGTGAGGTCCATCCATGGATGTGCTTGAGCTGTTTGGTGGGGCAACGGCGGCTCAAACAGCTGGCTGGAGCTCTGAGAAGCATTTCTTTAGTGGGTGGGGCAATGCCTCAAGCTGGACAGCCGAGACAGCTTCACGCGGTTTTTTGCAGCTCCTTTCTCGGACCCCTGATCTGCCTTCATCTTCTTCCAATCCGGCTAAAGGGGGATCCAGAGTGGCTTGTCGTCCAAATTGGGGACTGGTTGACTCAAACGGCGAATTCTCTGTCCCCTTTCCCGTGATCCTTCAGCTCGTCCAAGTGGGGGGCGTTGGTCGAGCTGTTTGCCGTTTGACTCACTGTAGCTCGGAACTGGCAGTGGCGCAGGCAGCCCAACTTCAGTTGCTCTTCTAGTGCCTGCTCGATGCAAAAGTGAGCCGTCTTTAAAGCCCTTTTAGTGTCCCCGCATCTGTATCAAAAAAGGCAACCTACCTGAACATTGAACTCACCTCAACCTACCTAGAAAAGCTCTCTTGCAAAACAGAGCGCTGGCATCCTGTGCTCGCAGGTTGTCACTGTTTCTCAAAGACACCAGCGTGGGCCATTTTTGGAGTCCAGCCAGACACCGGCAACTGCCTTTCTTCCACCCTTCGTTCCCCTCCATTCCTCACTTTACGCCAAACTGCACCACTCACAACACATTATCCATCATGGATCAGGTCACTTCTGGAGAGGCCGCCAAGGCTGTCCAAGAGATGACAGCACCTTACGCAGCACAGGATTCTCATGAGACTGCCGAGCTGCTACATGCCCTCGAGGAGGCCACCCGGTCCAAGCGCAAGGCCGGCTTCAGCATCAAGAAGACGCGATTTGAGGTCAAGAACTCCCCCAGCCAGCTGAGCGTCGACTCCTGGCGGATGCAGGACTGGGATTACAAGCGCCCTGATCTACCCACATACGCCCGCGGCCTCTTCACCAGCCGTGGCAAGCACGGCACCCCCGAGATCGTCGTCCGTGGCTACGACAAGTTCTTCAACGTCAACGAGGTCAACGAGACCAAGTGGGAGAACATCGAGTACCGGACCAAGGGTCCCTACGAGCTGACGCTCAAAGAGAACGGCTGCATCATCTTTGTGAGCGGCCTGGAGGACGACACGTTACTTGTCTGCAGCAAGCATTCTACAGGTGACCGCAGCGATGTCGACGTCAGCCATGCCAGCGCAGGCGAGAGGCGGCTGGAGGCGCAGCTGCAGAGAATCGGCAGGACGAAGCGGGACCTCGCGCGGGAGCTGCGGAAGAGGAATGTCACGGCAGTGGCAGAGCTGTGTGATGATTCCTTCGAGGAGCACATCCTGGCCTACACCCCTGACAAGGCCGGCCTCTACCTTCACGGCATGAATTTGAACCTGCCGCACTTCGCGACTTACCCCAGCTCTCTGGTCCAGCAGTTTGCGGACGAATGGGGCTTCCTCAAGACTGGCCTGACAGTTATGGACGACATCACGACGGTCCGGAAGTTCCTGGAGGAGGTGGCCGAGACGGGAGCGCACGAGGGCCGGGACGTCGAAGGCTTCGTTATCCGATGCAGGATGTCTCCCAAGCCCGGCACCCACCCATACCAGGATTGGTTCTTCAAGTACAAGTTCGAGGAGCCCTACCTCATGTACCGCCAGTGGCGCGAGTGCACCAAGGCCCTGATCGCCGGCAAGCCGCCGCGGTACAAGAAGCACGCCAAGATCACGGAGGAGTACATGCTGTACGCCCGCAAGCGCCTGGCGGCGGACCCCAGGCTCGGCAAGCTGTACAACCAGAACCACGGCATCATCGCGCTGCGGGAAGACTTCCTTGCGTTCAAGAACCTCAAGGGCAGCGACGCGGCGGCCTTTGAGGAGCTGCACGGCAACGACGGCACGGGCGGCAAGACCGAGGTGGGCAAGGACGTCATCCTCGTCCCCATCGCCACCATCGGCTGCGGCAAGACCACCGTCGGCCTCGGCCTCGTCCACCTCTTCGATTTCGGCCACGTCCAGAACGACAACATCACGGGCTCCAAGCGGCCGCCGCGCTTCACGCGCGCCGTGCTCGACCAGCTGCGCGACCACCGCGCCGTCGTGGCCGACCGCAACAACGCGCAGCGGCACGAGCGCAAGCAGATCATCACCGACGTCAAGCAGCAGCACATGTCGGCGCGCCTCGTGGCGCTCAACTTTGTGCACGACGACATCGAGACGATCCGGCGCGTGACGCACGAGCGCATCTTTGCCCGCGGCGACAACCACCAGACCATCCACGCGGCGTCGGAGCAGGGCAAGGTCGTGGGCATCATGGAGGGGTTCATCAACCGCTTCGAGCCGCTCGACACGGACCGCGCGCCGGACGACGGCTTCGACGCCGTCATCGACCTCGACCCCACGGCGGGAAGCAGGACGAACCTCGAGACGGTGGTGCGGGAGCTGCACCGCATATACCCGAGCCTCGTGCCCGAGGTGCCCTCGGCCGAGGACATGGACGCGGCGATCAAGTCGGCCATCGAGGAGTACAGCCCGGACCTGCACCACAAGATCCCCGACCGGAGCAAGAAGGGCGGTAAGGAGGCTCAGCAGCCGCAGGCCAAGAAGGCAAAGGAGAAGCAGCTCGAGTACATGGCCGTCGACGTGCCGGCCAAGGACGTCACGGCGCTCATCGAGAAGACGCTCAGGGGCGCCGCGCCGGAGCAGGCGCGCTTCTACCGCCAGCTGCAGCAGACGCGGCGCGTGCAGGCGCGCTTCCACGTCACGCTGATGCACCGCGCGTCGGCCAAGGAGCACCCGCAGCTGTGGGAGCGGTACGTGGCGCTGAGCAAGGGCACCAGCACCGGCACCGAGGGCGAGGCCAAGGCGGTCCAGACGCTCGGCGGCGCCGAGCTGGGGCCCTGCGACGTCCAGCTCGAGCGCCTCGTGTGCGACGACCGGGTCATGGCCCTCGTCGCGCGCGTGCTCGACGAGAACTGGACGTGCGTGAACCGCGTGGCGCACGTCACGGTCGGCACGCGCGACGACGGCGTCAAGCCCCGCGAGAGCAACGACCTGCTGGCGCGCTGGCTCGACGAGGGCGCCCCCTCTGCGGACAGCGGGATCGTGGACCTGGGCATCGAGGGCCGGCCTGTGGTCAGGGGCACTGTCAGGGGTGTTCTGTCGAGATGAAAGATGAGGGTAGGGCCCCTGTTGTGGGATGTCGAGATTATCGCGCGAGGCAGGCTTGAGGAGAGAGAGTGACAAATAGAGTTGGTTGGTTGGTCCGAAACAGTCAAGTCACATTGGTGTGCGGGAATGGAACAATTATCATCATGATGGGATGGGGGAGGTAGAGTCAGCATAGTTTTTCGCGTTTCACCACTCAGCAGCATTTGTCGGGTTAACAAAGAAGATTCATTGAGCATGACAATCTATTACTTTTTCCAAAATCTTGATGGCTTTTTGGTATCCCGTGGTATCTCTCTTGTCCTTGTTTTTTTTGTAATGCCCAGGCATAGATATATCCAGCCAGATCCGTTCCGGTTCCGTCAAGCAGAGACGGTCTTCCGGATACATATCGCGTCCCCGCCCCCCTTTCTTTTCCTCTACCTGTTTGCAAACCCCCACCACTCAGAAGCTGTTCGTCACCTCGACAAACCTCTCAAACTGCCCCAGCGCCGCGCCGCTCTTGATCGCCCAGCGCGCCCTCCGCATGCCCTCCTTCCAGCGCAGGCCGCTGGGCCCCCTCTCGGTGACGACCCGCCCGTCGTCGCCGGCGCCCATGCTGCTCGTCTCGGCCTCGCACAGGCCGCTGACGGTGAAGAGCGCCGCCGTGTTGATGAGCACGAACTCGAGGATGGGGTCGTCGTCGGCCATCTCGCCGGCCAGTATCCTCTTGAGGATGGCCGCGTTCTCGGCGGGCTCCCTGCCCGAGGAGACGGTGCTCAGGGGGTGCCTCTTGCGCAGGCCAAAGTCCTCCGGGGTGAGCCTGAAGTGCTCGACGGCCACCTCGCCGCCGGGGGTCTCCTCCTTGACGCGCCAGCACAGCGTGGGGCCGGCGCAGCTGACCTCGTCGAGCTCCTCCTCGCCGCAGACGATCATGGCCTTCCTGACGCCGGCCATGACGAGCGCCTCGGCGAAGACGGGGCCCAGGGCGCGGCGGGCGACGCCGATGACGCGGGCCTCGATGGCCGGGTGGCCCTCGATCAGGTCGGTCGGGTTGACGAGGGGCCCGATGAGGTTGAAGAGCGTGCGCCAGGGCAGCTGGCGGCGTATGGGCGCGACGAAGCGCATGCCTGTGTGGAAGACGGGCGCGAAAAGGAAGGCGTAGTTGGTGCGCTCGTAGACCCGGATGATGGTGGCGGGCTCGACGGCCGAGACCTGCGGGGGCCGGGGCTCGACGCTGGCGAGCAGGTCGGCGGAGCCCGACTTGGACGTGCTGGCGCGGTTGCCGTGCTTGGCGAGGAGGAGGAGGGAGGAGGCGATGATGGAGGCCGTGGTCGAGACGTTGAAGGTGTTGTGGGAGTCGCCGCCCGTGCCGACGATGTCACACTATGATGGTGGGAAGAGTGAGTTGGTCAGTATTTTCACTTGGTGACTTAGAGAAGCGGTGTGTTTCCAAGGGCTTTGACTTACAAGACCACCCTTGTAGTCGCCCTCGCCGAGGTCGCGGTGCGCGATGACGGCCTTGAGCGCCTCGACGTCGATCTGCGCCGCGGCTTTCCTCATGCGGTCCGCGCAGGCGGCCATGACGTCGGCGCGGCGGTCCATCTCGGTGAAGTGCAGGCACATGAGCAGGGAGGCGGCCTGGACGTCGGACACGGCGTGGGTGAAGAAGTGGGCGACGGCGTCGGCGATCTCGTCGGCGGTCGGGGGCTCCTTCGCGTCCGGGACGGGCCACATCCGGGCCAGCAGCGGCTTGATGTCGACCGACGGGGCGGGGGCGTCTGCTGCCATGTTTTTTGTGCTGTTTTTGGGAGGAGGGGAGGCACCGCACCGGATTGAAACGATGGCAAGGAGACGTGCGGATTGGACCCCGGGGAATTGGGTCCTTTTCTGTCTCGGATCGGGCGAGTTGGACAAAGGAGAGAAGAGAGAGTCCTTTTTTGAGTCACAGTCTACTGGCGGGCAGTTACAACGCCGCCCGTCTGAGCCAGTTTTGGGACCCCGCCATGACTGAGCTGTAGAAGTTGCTGTTTTAGGGCCCAATTGCGGGGTGAATTAGCGACCCTGCAGGGCTAAATTGGTTGCGCTACAGGGGTTGTCTCATTCTGAAGGCGGTGAGATCCGGCAGTACGAAAAGTCTTGGATCGTGGTTCCTGGAGCTAACGACGGCGGCCTGGAACCTGGATTTGTCTGGACAGCGCCTGGCCCGTGCGCGCCTTTTGGAGATGTCGGCGGCTGGACAAGACCCATTGAAATTTTGAAGCTTCGGAACCGCCAATTGAAACGACACGAGACTGCTATTCATTGACGACATTGCTGCGTTGTCGGTGTCTAGTCTATCAATGTAAGTCCTCAATCTGCCCATGGTCGTTTGAATCAACAAGGCTGACTGTATACCCATGAAGCATGCCTCCCAGGCTCCCCCGTGCGTCTGCGACGCTCGAAAGGAGCATCAGCCGACCAGTCGTCTCGTCAGCATGGCTCGTCTCCGCGTCCTCGATGTCGACTGTATCAGCACCTAGGCCGAGAGGCGCCACCCCAAGGACACAGTCCGAAACCTGCCTGCGGTTGCAGTCAAGATCCTACGCCAGCCTGTCCATCCCCGGGCTCGCTCTGCCCGCCGACTACGTGCCCCCGACGCAACCCCCGAGCGCCCGGCGACCAGAGGTCCGAAAGGCCCAGCTTCTCCGAACCTACACTTCTCTCCTCCGATCCACTCCCCTGATCCTGATGTTTCAGCACAACAACCTGACCGCGACGGAGTGGGCTGCCATCAGGAGAGAACTCAACCTCGCGCTCGCCAACGTGCCCGTGCCGGGCGCCACCACCCCTGCGGCCGATGGCAGCGATGCGCCCCTGGACATCACGTCCAAGATCCAGCTGCAGGTCGTCCGGACGCGCATCTTCGACGTCGCCCTCAAGGTCGTCGAGTTCTTCGACCCGGCGGCCGTGCAGGCCGAGGCCGGCGCCAAGGGCGTCTACAACCACGATCTGTCGAGGGCCGCCTTTGCGGCCATGAAGGGCGCCAGCGCCGACCCCTCCAAGATCCCCGAGAGCTCGACCTACGGCGAGCTCGCGCCCCTGATGGTCGGCCCGCTGGCCCTGCTGACCCTGCCGGCCGTCTCGCCCGCCCACCTCGCCGCGGCGCTGTCGATCCTGGCGCCCAGCCCGCCGGCCTTCCCGGCCCCGACGCGCAAGAAGAACCCGGGCTACTACGACGCGACGGTGCAGAACGGCCTGCAGAAGCTGCTGCTGGTCGGGGGCAGGATCGAGGGCAAGGTGTTTGACACGGACGGCGTGAGGTGGGTCGGCGGCATCGAGGGCGGCCTCGACGGCCTCCGCGCGCAGCTCGTGGCTATGCTGCAGCAGGCTGGCGTCGGTCTCACGACCGTTCTCGAGGGCGCTGGCAAGAGCCTGTACGTTACCATGGAGAGCCGCAAGGAGATGCTGGAGAAGGACGAGAAGGGCCCCGAGGCTGGGGCCGAGGCCGAGGCTGAGAAGAAGGAGTGATCTGGAAAGGGTGATTGTATGTATACATCGAGATTGAGAGCGTGTATGATGCTGTGGGACAGAGTACACTGTAAAGCTACGTCTAGGCAAGATGATCTAGATGCCATTTGTATAATATGAGAAGCTATCAAAACACGACCGCTGGAATCGTCCAAGCCCATTGCCTGCTTGTTTCAACGACGACAAGTGCACCGAAGCTCAAAAGTCCTCGAGGCGGGCCACGCTGTAGGCAACCTCCTCATACGGGTGTGCCCTGTAGTCATGTCAGTCTATGGGTGCTCATCACGATCAAGGGTATCTGCATAGGTCGAAGGGTACTTCTTGAGCGCCTCGACAGCCTTGCGGGCGACGTCCTCGCCGACGCACAGCGTCTCCACGCGGGCTTCCTCGAGCTTCTCGAGCTGGCCGACGGCGCCGATGTGCGGGTTGGCGGCGTCCCCGGGGCGGAACTGGCCGGTGCCGAGGCTCGTCCAGCAGCACTCGGTATAGTTGCCCTGGCCCGGGTACCGGCCGGCGCCGGCGGCGAAGATGGCCGTCTTGCAGGCCTCGACGGCGGCGGGCGGCGCGAAGAAGACGAGCTTGAAGCGGGGGAGGATGGCGGAGGCCATTTTCTCTCTATCGGGGATGGTTGGTTGGATATATGTATGTTTTTCAAGGGATTGTGCTGTCCGGTGTGGTTCTTCAACTGAACTCGTGAGTGAGTGTTCCGTCTCGAGTCGAGCCACAGAGCAGGCGGGCTGGTGTGTGGGGTTCTCTGCCTAATTATCTTCAATGTTGCCGGGCTGCATGCATCAAGATTGGAGCTATTATTGGCCACGAAACAGCTACCGTGGCTCAGGCAACCTCTCTGCCCAGTCCAAAAACAATTACACATTTCGAACGCGGATCTAGAGACCAGATACCAACTACTACCATTTATTCTCCGAGCTGGAAATTCACCAGTTCACAAGAGTCCAGGTGCGACCAATTGCTATCTTCACACCTACTGAAGTGTCGAACTGAAGCCCGGGCGGGCGAACTACCTAAGATTGGCAAGACTAGATCAAAATCTGGGGGACGATTTCTCAAATTTAGGCTACATCCGTAGCTGTCCTAGCGCTAGAGATCGGCACCACACAGCGAGAGATAAAGCCGCGTTAGCACCCATCTTAGATACCAAATGAGCTCCTGCGCGTATCTCGCCCACGACCCCTTCCAGAACCGCGTCATCTTGCGCCTCAGCTTGGCCACACCACGACATCAATCGGCTTTGCCAACCGATCTCTCCTCTGCTCTCCCAGGTTCACGGCTACTCAGACAAAAAGCGCCATCCTTCGAGCATGCGATCGCATCCATCCTACTAGACCTCACAACCCAACCATCCCCATCCTCCCGAAACACACACATACACACACACACATACACACACACACACACACACACACACACACACACACACACACACACACACACACACACAGCCACAATGGACTTTGCGCCCTACCAGTCCTCTCCGCCGGAGCACTCCCGCCCTTTCTCCCCGCCGCGCAGCGGGCCGGCCTCTCCGCGCGCCTCGGTCGACCGCAGCCGGCCCTTCTCGCCCTCCCAGCAGCCGCGGCAGCAGTCCACGACCTCGCCGCCGCCCCTGCAGCACCCGCAGCCGCAGCGCACCTGGTCCGGCGGCATCCCGAGCCCGAGCTACTACCAGAACGCGGGCAGCCCCGCCAACAACAACGGCGGCGGCGGGCAGCGGGACGGGTTCCTGGGAGGCTTCGGCGGTGGCGGCTCGTCGTCGTGGGGCGACAGGGGCGGCTTCGTGAGCGAGTTCGACACGAGCCTGGGCATACGGCTGGACTACGAGGCGTGCCTGGCGTATCTTGCTTGCCCGCCGCTCGGGGCGATCCTGCTGCTCATACTGGAGAGGAAGAGCGATTATGTCCGGTAAGGGACATTTGTCGAGATCCTTGCGTTGATTATATATACTGACAGTAACTTGCTCGTCCAGGTTCCATGCGTGGCAATCGGCGCTGCTCTTCACCGTCATTATGATCGTCCACCTCATCTTCTCCTTCTCGCCGGTCATGAGCTGGCTCCTTTTCTTCGGCGACCTGGCGCTCATTGCGGTGCTCACCCTCAAGGCGTATCGAGACGCAGATACGCTGGATAGGTATGAGCATTTAGTCCCCCCTTGGCGCTACCTACCTAGACACCGGCTAATTGACGGCATTGCAGATTCGAGCTTCCCATCATCGGCCAGATAGCGAGCAGGATTCTGGACGACGAATAGATAGAGGCCACGGAGCTGGGTCTTGTGCATAGATGGAAGCACTTGTACACTTCTACATTGCACTTTTTGATATTCCTCGTTCTCTGCACAAGGGATACTTATGGAATTGCTAGAGCAGCCAGGATGAAGGTCGGCATGCCCGCGCCTCGTCCAGAGATACCCACACATAACGTCCTTTAGTGCAGTTTAATACTCGACAACTGCTGAGATGTTTGGAGCGTTTGAGAATTGAATGAAGCTGTGAACTTCAGTGAACCTACCTCTTGAAAAGAATGTCCTGGTAGTGATGCTTGATTGATGTGTAGTAGAGAGAGACAATCAAGCTAAGACTTTGGCCCTATTTATGTCCATCAGGCCTACAGGTGGCACCGACTCTACAGCTCTACAGCTCTAAGTCCGGGTGCATCTGTGAAGCAGAGATGCGCTTCAGGGACACACACACACGTGATGAGTAATCTCCAGTTTTGGCGACGGTCACAGTAGGTCTCCACTTTTCTCAGGTCGCCAGACCCGTAGCCAGAGGAGCCCAGACCAAGGCTGATTACGCGCCTTGCCTGCCTTGGGAGCTTCGACCACAGCTAAAGCTTCCCTAGACTTCCTCGCCTTCGCCTCATCCCCAGGCGCTTTCATCATCATCAACGACCCCCATCCCGAAATCACCTGCGACGCCCATCCGCACTTCATCAGTCGCTCTATTCCTTTCTCCCCTCTCCTCAATTGTCTCCAGTCCGTCTTTTTCTCTTGCCACCCCACCCACCATGTCCACCCTCGAGGAGCTTGACGATCTCGATCGCCAGGATCGCGACGACAAGAAGGACAAGAAGAACAACGACCGGAGCGGCGGAGACAAGAAGCAAGATGGCGACGCTGAGATGAAGGATGCTGAGCCGGAGGAGGAGGATGTGCTCGATGAGGAGATCCTCAGCCTGAGCACACAAGACATCCTCACCCGCAAGCGACTCCTTGAGAACGACTCCAGAATTATGAAGAGCGAGTACCAACGATTATCACACGAGAAGGCCACCATGGGCGAGAAGATTAAGGAGAATCTTGAGAAGATCGCCAACAACAGGTATGCGCCTGCTGGCCATTGCGTTTGATTACTGAAGGCTTTGGGGGTGGATGCTAACGGACGCTGGCTGCGCCAGGCAACTTCCCTACCTTGTCGGCAACGTTGTCGAATTGCTAGATCTCGACCCGACCGCAGAGTCATCCGAAGAGGGTGCCAACATCGATCTTGATGCCACCCGTGTCGGCAAATCAGCAGTGATCAAGACCTCTACGAGACAGACCATCTTCCTTCCCCTGATCGGTCTGGTCGATCCCAACACCCTCAAGCCCGGTGACCTCATTGGTGTCAACAAGGACTCATATCTCATCCTCGATACCCTCCCCGCAGAGTACGACAGCAGAGTCAAGGCGATGGAGGTCGACGAGAAGCCGACCGAGAAGTACACCGACGTCGGTGGCTTGGCCAAGCAGATCGAGGAGCTGGTCGAGGCCATTGTCTGGCCCATGAAGGAGGCGGATCGTTTCAAGAAGATTGGCATCAAGGCACCCAAGGGTAGGTGGAAGATTGATGTGTCTTGTGCTGTGAGCTCACCTTGGCTAACTCTACGCAGGCGCGTTGATGTACGGTCCTCCCGGTACAGGCAAGACCCTCCTGGCCCGTGCTTGTGCAGCCCAGACAGATGCCACTTTCCTGAAGCTGGCTGGCCCCCAACTGGTGCAGATGTTCATAGGTGACGGCGCCAAGCTAGTGCGCGACTGCTTCGCTCTAGCCAAGGAGAAGGCGCCCGCGATTATCTTCATCGACGAGTTGGATGCCGTCGGTACCAAGCGGTTCGACTCGGAGAAGTCTGGTGATCGTGAGGTGCAGCGGACCATGTTGGAGCTGCTGAACCAGCTCGACGGTTTCGCCTCGGATGACCGCATCAAGGTCCTGGCCGCCACCAACCGTGTTGACGTCCTGGATCCCGCCCTGCTGCGTTCCGGTCGTCTGGACAGGAAGATCGAGTTCCCTCTGCCCAACGAGGAGGCCCGGTCGCAGATTCTCAAGATCCACAGCCGCAAGATGAAGGTGGACCCCAACGTCAACTGGGGCGAGCTGGCGCGGAGCACGGACGAGTTTGGCGGTGCCATGCTCAAGGCCGTGTGCGTCGAGGCTGGCATGATCGCCCTGCGGATGGGCAAGAACCAGATCGGCCACGAGCACTACGTCGATGCCATCGCCGAAGTGCAGGCCAAGAAGAAGGAGGTCAGTATTCTCCCTCGTAGCTCACTGCTCCGTATCCAAGCACCCGTCACTGACTCGTTTACTAGACCGTCAACTTCTACGCCTAAATATATCGTCGCGGCGGTGGGGTCATCGAAGAAGGGCCGGTCATGGTTACATTTTCCAGAGGCAAGATGGCGCTTGCGGTCCGTGGGTCAAGTCGGGGACGGTCAGTATCCGAAGCGCACTGGTATCCATACGGGGCATAGAAGTGCAAATAGACTGGGCAATTCCCATGTACAATTACTGTGAGAGCGGTGGCTTCAATGGAATTGAGTGGTTCGAAGCGACGTGCCTTGGATCATGACATGATGGGCATCCTTGCTCGACGACGGGTTGACCGTATCTTTGCGACGCCATATGTCCTTGACAGGACTGAACTGAACTGAACTGTACCATCTCTGGTTGACATGAGATGCCGATGCCGGCGGTCAACATTCTCCTTTGGGTAGATCTTTGTGCGGACGCTTCGTTGTTCGGGATAAGTAGCCGACCCGAGAAGCATGTCAGCAGTACGGGTTGCTTTATTTAGATTTTTGTTTCCCCCTCCCAGGGTCCTAGAGCTAATTCTCTTTCCAGATCTGCGATGGTACAGTACCCCATTTGCCAGCCTTGTAAAAAATTGTAGATAAAGAAAAGAACCTTTCTGTCACGTTGGTCGGAGTTCGTAGTCTGGGCAATCAAGTCTCCGGTTTATTTCCCATTTGCTCGTGTGGGGAGGAGTCTTAGGTGATATCCCCCTCCTTTTCAGCCCAGCTCGTGCGCGGTGATCGTCTGGGGAATCGCCGCTTTGGACGTGCCTGCAGATGAGAATGACGGATGCATGGATGCATGGATGCGTGCATTGCAGTGCAGAATTTAAGAGTGTGGAGGGTGAGTGGGTGGGAGGAGAGGTAGAATGTGCCTTGCCCTTGGGTGAGGGATGCTTGATCCTTGCGCTGTTTTTTTTTTGCTTGATTTGCGGTGATGACAGTATCCTGGCTTGTTCGGGGGTGTGATGAATGGGGTTTGTCGACAAGATTTGTCTCTGTTTGATGCTTTGCTCGAATCCTTGTGTCTTGTCGATCGACTGGACCACAGTAACATGCTGCTTCCTGCGTTTGATTCGACTCTTCCGCTACGCATATGGTTTGAGGGTAAACTACAGACTATAGTAGAAGTTGCTTTGTGAGCATGTGTCGTCGAGACTCATCATAACCATGTCGGCGGTGTAGCATTTGAATGCAAGATCTGGATGTTTGATTGCAGTTATCCCAATCCTGTCTCCACTGACGATCAAATAACCTTAAAGACCTAGCTGGGAAGGAAAGGAGGCTGGAAAGGCAAAATCTCTAGTACATAAGTGGTGGTAAGTTCGAAGAAAGATTATCAGCATGCTCCTTCGGATATGCGAGTGCGCTGGAAATATGCCGCGTAGTAGATTATTTCCATTGAGCAAGACCCAAATCACACGGAGATGGAGTCACTCAATGGATATGGGAGTTTCTGTCGATCAATAGTCTGCCATAAATTCAGAAGACAAGTGTTTTGACTTAACCCAGTAGAAGAAAGCCAAATATCCAAGTTGTGAAGCGAAGCCCTTGGGCTGTATATGTGATGTGTCCGTGGCCAGTTTGAACGGCCTTCCTAGAAATGGCTGTGGATAGCTGCCTGGGTGAGTCACGGACCTGTTCCTTATTTCGGACACAACATTCTCGTTGATTCGTCCGGGACTGACAACTCCTTGTTCAACTTGACGATTGTGGCGGCGTCCCGAGCATCACCTACTATGTATCCCGCCATCCCTCCCCCCATCTCCCAACATCACTGGGGTTGATCAATCATGCAAAACAACATGACGTAGGCCATCTTCTCATCGGAGTGTTATTGCGTCGGAAACTGGGTATACAAAAGCGTGGTCTCATGGATAGACTGGATATCCTGACATGATTTGATAACAACGGAAACAAGGGAATCACCGTCGGAGATGAACTGTCACAAGAAGACAAATCAGGTAACTCGACCGCATCAACCACGTATCTCGGTCTCTAGACGACCCCGGAACACGGACTCTTTTGGTTCCCCGAACAGAGCAGAACTGGCGTGTATTCTCCACTTGGAAGACCACTTGGCCATCATTAGCTCGCTCCCTCGGCCGAAATATTGACGAGACAAGGAGTGCCACTCTGGCCGCAACAGTGGTCTAGAAGCGGCAAGTTATCGCTTGATCCTAGGCCTACCATGCTGGCTGCCGGGGTGTGGTGTCGAGCAAGGCTCGGTCTAGAAAGATAACACAAGCCCAGCTTGAAAACCCGTTTACTCGAGAATTTGAACAAAAAGCGCCCCGGAAGGTAAATCACCCGAGCTGCCAAGAAAGACTATGAAATATCGTATACATCCCCTGAGAGGTCAATCGAATCTATAACCCTTCGCTCGTCGTGAGATTCGTCACAGTGAAAAGGGAGACGATCCTTTCCTGGGGGGCGATAGCACTTGTTTCTATTTTTGAATGCAGCAGCACATGTGGCTAGCCTTAGCTTAACGGTGCAATACATGCACTTGAGAGGGGCGGAAGGCCTTAGTTCTCACGTAGAAGGATAGAATCATAAGCATCCAGGTTGGCCTGCATGCAAGGCGAGAGAGAACCCGGGATGTCACTGTGGGATTGTGGGTGAGACCCATCTTATGCGGACGGGATGGATCAGCTCAAATAGTCAATTAGGGACAGAGTAGAGCAGACCCCCAAGCTGACTGGTCAGCATGGGCCACTGCAGGGCACCCAAGGCTCAAAATTAAGCTCTTCGGGGTGACGTCGGTGGGCATATTTTTGAAGTTGTCGGAAGAGGTTTCCCACCTCCTTGGAGCCCCCTTTCAACGCCTCTGCTCCCCTCCCAGCCTTTGTCACTGGTTGAACGAGGTCTTGCCCTGCCGCTGGACTAGGAAAGCCGAAGACCCTTGTCCAAGCCAGACGCTGCTGTGTGGGTTATGATTACCATGGAATGCCTCTTTGGGAAACATACCGCGTCCACACCACCAATACCGGGGACCCGCAACACCAAGCCATTTGACAGGCCAGCCCTACAGCCAGCATGGCAGCGCTCTATCACTTGGAAGAGGGTTGCAGTAAGCAGGATGTTCATATCAAGTCTCCAATTATTCGCCTTCTGTGCCCAAGCTCATTTGTGCGTGGCGACGGGCAAGGGGGTTCTTTTGCAGAGCGGTTTCGTCGAGCACATTTGCCAGTCGACTGGCGATCTACACTGCTGCAGTCGGCCACACCGTTCATCGACACCGACTTCTCCGCCCGCTCCACCAGGCTTTCTGCGCACAAGACGTCCTACAGAGGCGGGATGCCAAGGCTTTTCGGTGTTCGGATGGGGGTCCAATGGACAGCGAAATGCTTTTCGACTCCGACCTCCTCTACGGCCCTACGACGACAAGGATGTGCGCGTGCGCAAAGCTTCTGCAGCCGTCGTTTGGGGTACCAATGCAGCGGGATGGCAGCTTGACGTGGATCAACGGTCTGGCCATCCACAATCTTTGCTGCACAATGCAGGTGACGAAATTCCATGCCTCTACCCCTTGCTCGTAGGGCTGTTCCGACGTGGACCGACTATAGAAGCTTGGTGGGATGATCGCGGCCGACGGAGCGGGAGTGTGTGTATTTAAGGGACTGTGACTGCAAGCCAAGGAAACCCTCGCCGAGTTGACGGATATGATCCAGGGCCGCGGAAAACCCAGTTGATACCGACCATCCTCGCCCATCTTGACCTCCTTCGAGACTCGAGACGCCACGCAATAGTGTGTTATTGTATAGACCAAGATGCCCGGCATACCGAAGAGTGACCGCTGCAAGTACTGCAAACAGCGCAAGATCAAGGTATGATAGACCTGCTACCGACTATTCAATGGTCTCCATGCTGCTTCAAGACCATGCTGTTGACGTGAACGGACAACCCATCAAAAGTGTGACGAGAGATGGCCCCAGTGCGGCAACTGCAAACGAAGCAACAAGACGTGCTCCGGCCCTCCCACCGAGCGCAAGTTCGTCCAAGCCACATTTGGCTCCTCCGAGTCTCGATCATGCTCTTCTTCTTCATCCGCTGCCGAGAGCCACCCCAGACAGCCTAGCCTTCCAACAAGGACGAGGACGGCGGCGGCGACGACGACGACGCCCGGCACCCTCGTGGGCCTCAAGTCCAAAACGACGCCCGAGGGCACGGGGACCTTCCACCAGATGCGCCTGCAGCGCGCGCCCTCGCCTTCGTGCCTGCACTTTGGGCCCAGCGTGCCCTTGCCCACGACGACGGCCGGCCGCGCCGCCCGGCGGCTCGTCTCGGCGCTCGTGACTCCCGGGGACGACAGGTACGGGCTGTCCCTGTCGCGCCGGACGCTGGCCCTCCTCCCCGCGCGGATAGAAGGGTCGCGCGCGCTGCAGCACGCGGTCGAGTGCCTCGTCGTCAGCCACGCGAACCTGCGCCGGCGCTGCAGCGGGAAAGGTGCGGCGGCGTCGCCGTCGGCATGCGGCGGTAATACGGGCGCTACTACTACTAGAGGGGGGGAGACCAGAGCGGCGGCGGCCGCGGGAGGATGCGGCGAGGACCTGCTCGACCTCAAGACGTACGGCCGGGCGCTGCGCAGCGTGCAGGCGGCGCTGGCGGACCCGGAGCAGATGTACGACGCGGCGACGCTGGCCGCCGTCTCGATCCTGCAGCGGGTAGAGGTACCGTTCTGCGTGTGCGTCGAAACGTATCTGTGCTGCATGTGTGTTGACTGTGGCCTCTCTCTGCAGAACTCCTTCGGCGGCGGCGGCGTCGGCGGCGGCGGCCTGCGGGCTGGCAAGAGGGCGCACACGGAGGGCATATACACGCTGATGGAGCGCCGGGGGCCGGCAGCGCTGGCGGCGGACGAGCTGGAGCTGCACCTTGCGCTGGACAACCTTGGTCAAATAGTAGGTTGTTCTTCTTCTTTTTTCTTTCCTTGCAGGGTATAAAGAGATCTCTCGTCTCTTATTATTTCCCTGCAATCGGTGCTGTCAGCCGAGGGTTGTATTCGTGTTTGAAAAAAACAGTCGGATCATGTTGATCCTCCACAGAGCATATCTTTGCTGATACAACGACAACGACCCGCACAGATGACATGGAGCATCCTCTCCCGCAAGCCAAACATCTATACCCTGCCAGAGTGGTCCGACGCCATCATGTCGGCCCTCGAGGCCGGCGCCGTCGCCAACCCGGTCCTGTCGGCGTCGTACCGCATGGTCCTGCAGCTCGCGCAGTGGCCCGTCCTCGTGCACGACCTCGAACGCATCCTGCAGGACCCGCTGCACCCGGACGCGACCATGGCGGCCATGAAGCTGGCCGAGGACGCCTCGGCGCTCAACGTGACCATGCTCGAGCACATACGCCTCTACGGCGGGGCCTCCTCCGCGGACGAGAAGGCGACCGGCAGCTGCCTGGGGCTGAGGGAGACGCCCTGCCCGGCCGAGGAGTCGCCCTTCGGCGCGCGGTACGACTTCCCGGACCTCACGACGGCGCAGTGCCACTGCTACACGGCGCTCGTGCTCATCGCCGTCAACCGCATCCTGGCCTCGGCGCTGCGCTTCCTGGGCTCCGACGACCCGCTGCTCGAGGTGCAGAACCGCGAGCTCAGCCGGCGCATCTGGCTCGCGCTGCCCTACGCGCGGCGGTTCAAGCCGCTCGGGTGCGTCTTCTTCGTCACGCCGCTGGTGGTCTCGTACGAGTCGGCCGTGGGCGCGGAGGAGAAGCGGCACGTCATCGACGCGCTGTACGACCTCGAGGAGTACAAGGGCAAGGCGGCGGCGCCGGAGAGGTGGACGGAGGAGAACATCTTGCGGGTGTGCATGGCGCTGACGGGGCGGATGCCGCTGGACCAGGCGACGGATCTTGGTGTCGAGTTGAGGAGCGATGGCGCGCGGTAGTTGACGTTGTTTCTTTTTTTATGGGTTTCCTCCTTCTGATTTCTCGTTCATATACCTTGTGTGTCTGTCGTTATCATACCAAGAATTTGATGGATCCGGAGTTCATACATTTGCATATAAAGTAGGAGTAAGAGTCGTTTTATGTTAGGTGTAGAGAATAAGAACTGTTTAACAAGGATGAATGCTCAACGCTTTGTGAATGTAAAGACTACAAGTACGTACTCCCTGTCCATGATCCCATGGGTAGATGGGCTCTGGACTTTATGAAATACCACTTAGTATCCGAGATGTTGTATTAGAGTTGCCACAGTCTATTTATATCAGCTTGGCGGATTGTTAATACGGAGTAGATAGGTGTGGGGATGAGGCACGGCACGCGGTCAACATCCGCCAAAAACGTCTAATCACTTTCCTTATCGAGTTTCATTTTTTCCCTCCCAAAGAGCTCCCCCATCCACACACATTGACGTCAGCAAAAAGCACCATTCGACACGGACAAAACCCTCAATTCCTCGTCAGTCTACTGACTCCCAACCTCAGTTCCTCCCTTATTGAAAAGAAATGCCCGCGAACCCCTTCCTCCTCGCCGCCGACAACCCCGCGGCCCTGCTGCCCCTCCTGCGCGAGCAGCCGCAGCTCGCCAGCCAGCAGGACGAGCACGGCTACTCGCTCGTCCACGCGGCCGCCAGCTACAACCACCTCGACCTGCTGCGCGCCCTCGTCAGCGACTTCGGGGCGCCCGTCGACCTGCGCGACGAGGACCGCGAGACCGCCCTGTTCGTCGTCGAGACCGTCGAGGCCGCGCGGTGCCTGGTCGAGGAGCTCGGGCTGGACCCGGCGATCGCGGGCGACGAGGGCAAGACGGCGAGGCAGAAGATACAGGAGGAGGGCGACTTCCCGCTGGTGGCGGAGTACCTGGCGGGTCTGGAGCAGGGGTCCGTTGCTGGCACGGTGAACGGAGCTGCCGCGACGAATGGCACACCATCATCAACAACAACAACAACTGGCGAGACGTCTGCGCCGGCGATGGAGCTCCCGCCGGTGCCGGAGGGACTGGCCGTGACCATGGGTACCATGGCCGAGCCGCAAGAGGTCGCTGACCTGCCGGATCCCGAGTTCCGCAGGAGGATCGAGCAGCTGGCGGAGCGCGAAGACTTCCACACGCCCGAGGGCCAGGCCGAGTTGCGGCGGCTGGTGCAGGACGCCATTGCGGGCGAGGATCTGGCCGAAGATCGCAATGTCCGGCAGCGACAGGAGTGAAGACGCATCATTTTTCTTGATGTGCTGCTTGGAAACCCAACCTCACTCGTGGCTCTTCACCTCCCAGAGCATGTACTCGCCGTCCGACTTTGGCGGCCTGAAGAAGGTGCATTCAGCACAGTCTCCGGACAGACCCTTGGAGCTAGGGAAGGTGGAGAAGGATACCGACAACCAGGATTTCGAGGGTACGGCCACCATGGCGTCGATGAGGATCTCGCGGGCAAGCTTGCTGGAAAAGAAGCCTGTCCAAGATACCACGCACACTTTGGCGTGGGGATGAGCTCCTTCACCCTCGCCGGGGACCCGGTAGCAACTCAAATAGGGATCGATGCTGTCACCCGTCTCCACGCGCGGGCTCTGCAGGCGCACCAGGGATAGCCACTCGTAGAGCTCGGTGCAGAAGATCTCGGTATCCTCCCGTGACTGGTTGAGAATGCCGTCATGAGGATCAAATGGAGGGAGAGCGACGTCGACGCTCTGCTGGACTCCCGGTTTCGAAGTGTACTTGGTGGGGAAGTGCGCCTCAAGAGGATCGGGGTCGGGTGCTAGATCGAGCATTAGCTGGCGCGCGCAGATAGCTTGAGGATACGCCACAGGTAGAAAAGACCTTACTCTTTGCTAGGTTGCAGAATAGCCACGTAACAGGAGCGTTGAGCACGTTCTTGCTGGCGTAGACCAGCCTCTCGAAGCCCTTCTTGCCGTGCCACATGGAATCCGCTTTGAGATCGAACTCGACGACTGCAAACGGAGTATCAATGTCAGCCATTCCTCTTGATAAGTGACGAAGGGTCGCGTACCCCATCGTGGTTTGAGACTCCGCTTGCCCTTGGCTCCATGAGGCTGACCCACGAGTCCTGCTCGCTCATAAGTCTCGCGGTCAAGGAACAATCTCAATTTGCCTAGGACGAAGAAGAGTTAGTGGATATTCGAGCTCGCTCAGGCTATGTTTTCTGAGAAAGAACCAAGAGACTCACCGTCCCTTAGGGTGAAGACATTGTCTTCTCCGATTCGGCCCTCGGAGAGCATGAGGATATCCCCTAAGGCTTCGCGTCAGTCATGACCCAAATCGTGCACAGGAATGAGACTATTTACCAATCTTGATGTATTCCTTGAAGAACTCGGGCTCAAGGAGCTGTGCAAGCGTCATGATGACCCGCTTGAACTCGGGCGCTTGCTTGACCGCGCCGACCTTATCCTGGACTGCTGGTAAGCATTCGTGCGGTACGATGAGATCAACCTGTGAGTTTCTCAGTTAGCTGACAGGTCGGAGATCTCTCAGACCTATGATCAGCAACCCAAAGACTTGCCTTATGAACAAAGTCAAGAGACTGAAGCGTTGTCCATGGCCGGCCCTTGGATGGGGGTTGCTTGGGGTCGATGTGAGGTAATCTGCCGTAAGAGAAGAAGCATTTCGAGCTCTGGTAGACGCTCGTGCTGGGAAACGACAGCATCTCGAACCCGTATTGCTGTCTCACTATGGCTGTCTCTGTCTTTGATCATGTATCGATCCGAGTCTCATCCCAAGATTGTCGATGGAGGCCTGTCCGATGCCGTTGTGAAATTTAGCGCGTTGCCGTACAGCGGGTTGGTCCCTAGAATTTGGCAGCTGCTTGTCAAAGTCCGGCAGCCCAAAGTGGAAAATTTCGATGCTAACCTTTTTGTACCTGTACTGCCACATTGCGGGGCCGCACACCAAGAAAATACGTACCGTTCATCGACCCGGACTGGATGAGAGGCTCCATGACACACAATCCATGAGTGAGTTGCTGCGAGGCTTTGAGATGATACAGCCAGCCGGCTTTATAGAGGGCCGTACACATCTCACATAGACGACTTGCCACACGCAGCGCCATAGCGGCGAGGGCAGCCGCCGAGCGTCGGGCGGTCTCACAGCTCCCTCCAAAACATCAATCATTCTCACTCTCACCCACACATGATGGACTACCTCATACGCTTCTCCCAGTCGCACGAGACTTTTCGGCGCGCAGAGATCGAGGCGATAGCGACATGCCTCGGCTTTGACATGCAAGTCGTGTTCTACGATGACGATGTAAGCTTGCCTTGACATCCCTGCCTCCCGACTACCCATCAAATTTGTCACAAAACCCCATGTCTAACAACAACAACAACACAACGCCCAGTCACCGTTCTGCATCGTCCGCCTCCCCTCCGAGGAAGCAGCCAGGAGCCTCGCCAAGCGCTCCATCCTCGCCCAGAGCATCCACGAGCTCTGGGGCACCGGCGCCACCCTGCCGGACCTGCACGCCGACGTCCGGCGCCGCAGCGCGCCCCTCTGGCCCCGCTACGAGACGGCCTCGTTCCGCTTCGACATCGACGCCTTCCGCGGCGCCCACACCTCGGCCTCGCGCCTCGAGCGCATCAACTCGTTCGCCTACCTGCCCCTCCGGGGCCCCATCCGCATGCGCGGCCCGGACCTCGACTTCGTGCTCTTCGAGCACTGGGCCCCCGAGGCCGTGCCCCTGGCCCTGCCGGACCCGGAGCGCTACTACCTCGGCCGCCTCGTCGGCGGCACCGCGCGCTTCGAGCTCTGCAAGAAGCTCGACCTCAAGAAGAGGCGGTACATCAGCACGACGAGCATGGACTCGGAGCTCGCGCTCGTCACGGCCAACATGGCCCTCGCGGCGCCCGGGAAGCTGTTCTACGACCCCTTTGTCGGCACGGGCAGCTTCCCCATCGCGGCGGCGCAGTGGGGCGCCGTCGCCTGGGGCAGCGACATTGACGGGCGGGCCATCCGCGGTGGCGGCGGCGGCGGCGGCGGTGGCGGCGGCGGCGGCGGCGGCGGCAAGGCTGGCGCTGGGGACAAGACAGTCAGGGGCAACTTTGAGCAGTACGGCCTGCTGTCCGGCCTGGGCGACATGTTCACGGCCGACCTGACCAACTCGCCCATCCGGCGGACGCCGCTGCGCCTGTTGAACGACGACAGAGACCCAACACAATCATCATCAACACCACCATCGACATCAATACCATCAGCCAACGGCACCGCCACGCCAACAGCGACAATAACAAGAGGCATCCTCGACGGCATCATCTGCGACCCGCCCTACGGCGTCAGGGAGGGCCTCTTCGTCCTCGGCTGCCGCGACCCGGAGCGCACGCCCTGGGTCGACGGCAAGTCGCGCCAGATGTACCGGGACCCGGCCTACGTGCCGCCCAAGAAGCCCTACAGCTTCCACGCCATGCTCGACGACATCCTCGTCTTCGCCGCCGAGACGCTCGTCGACGGCGGCCGCCTGGCCTTCTGGATGCCCACGGCCAACGACGAGGAGCAGGAGATCGCCGTGCCGACCCACCCCTGCCTCGAGATCGTGTCCGTGTGCACGCAGGCGTTCTACAAGTGTGAGTTTTTTTTTTTTTTTTTTTTTTTTTTTTTTTTTTTTTTTTTTTTTTTTTTTTTTTTTTTTGCAGCAGCAGCAGCAGCAGCAGCAGCAGCAGCAGCAGCAGCAGCAGCAGTTTTCATGGGTCCCACAAACGGATTGATGATGCATGTTGGGGAAAAGCGGTAGCATGTAATGCGCGTTGCTAATCTGGAAACAGGGTCCCGGAGGTTAATCACCTACGCGAGGATACCAGACAGCCAGGTCGACCAGGACGCGCTGGCCGCGGCCCTGGCCAAGCAAAAGTCACAGAGCGGCGTTGGGGGCACAACTGCGGACGAGCTGAATCCCTTTCGGCGAGGGTATTTCACGAAATTCCAGAGCCCGTCGGCCTCGGCCTCGGCCTCGGGCACCGCCTCACCAGCGCCGGGGTAGGTAGTCGTATAGAGATAGCTCAATGGCCACATGAGGAAAATAAGAATTGAAACATGGGGAACGAAATGGGAACAGTGATATAGATCCCATCAATCCATTTCTCTGGGGGAGCCCCAGTCCATATTGAGCACCCGGGGTGCTAGCTGCCCGTCCTCGCTCTCGTGCCCAAGAGAGAAGTCATCGCTAGATAGGTATGTCGTTATCCGTCTTTAAACTAGAAAAAACAAAAAGAGCCGGTATTGTTCCCCAACGTGTCCGCCGATGCGATATTCGATAGAAAAGATCGAATGAGAAGAAAGAAGGGAGAAAATGGCAAAAGAGAACCGCTGCAATGCTTCCTGAACTTGTCCCGTTATCTTATAGCCTTCTCGTTGCCCACGGGAAATGATTGTGAATGGATTACTTTTCCGTCCGGCGCCTCGTTTATTATCCCCAAGGCCTTTGTCGTCGCTGCTGCATGGAGTCCGCGGAACGTTAGGCGTGTCACCTGAATTCCATGGCGCTGTAGCAGCCTCTATTCTCGACGTGTTTGAGCTCGAGCTGTTGGAATCTAGGCAGCAATTGTCAGTACGCCTTCAAGACAGAAGAGCCACGGGGGTAGAATCTCACTTCTCGCTCTTAGAGTGGAAATAGATCCCGCTGACCTCGCCCTGGATCTGGTTGAAGCATATGTAGTAGAAGCCCTCAAAGCTGGCGCCATTGATGGTCCGGACCCGGTGGTCTGGGACCAAGAAGTGCTCCTTCCACCGCATGAATATGTGCTCCCGCTGTGCGACGTCCTTGATGGCCGTGTTGCCCTTCTTGGCCTGCTTGGCAAAGGGGCGGAAGGCGGCAAACTTGGACCAGTGCGACAGGTCGATGCGGTCGTTGGCGCCCCACGACTCGTGCTTGGTCATGAAGCCGTATTTGCTGCCGATGATCTCGCCCTCGAAATACGTCGTGAGCGTCGGGTGGTCCTCGGTCAAGCCTGCAGCATATGGGTCAGCCAGTCCGCAATTGGGTCTCATGACGAGAGGACAAGACACGGAAATCATCGCGTACCTTGTATTCGGAGATAGCCGCAGAGGAAGGATTCGCGAAGGTCGACGTGCTTAATCTCGACGTGCACGTCGTACACTTGGCGCTCCGACTGCTGGGTGCCGGTGAACCGGCTGCCCGGGCGGAGGAAGGACGAGGGTGTGGTGGGAATCAGCTGTCGCACATTGTGTCAGCCTTCTTTCGGTCACAGTCAAACCATAGGACAAGCCATGGCGTGTTTGACAAGGAGCGGCCGGGTGCCGGGCGGGGGCGTTGGGCGTATTTTGGTGGACCTACCCTCATATTGGAATATTCGTATCCCATCGAAGTTCCCAACTCGTCAACAAACCCGTCGAGCTCAGTGGCTTCCAGGTCATCCACCCTGTCATGGTAGCTCCCGCGCTGTGTCGTGTCTCTCAGCGAGTGCCGGTTCTGCCTTCTGCGACTGCCACCAGAGGTGTAGATCTGCCCCTCAATGACATGTGCTTCCGTTAGTCCGCTAACGCCCAGGGCCGCACTGCCGCCGACTTGGTCGCCGGTCCGCATTTCCTCGTCCGCATCTGAATGCTTGTTGGAGTCGTCGGGATCGCTTGGGCTGTGCAATGCTGGTCCTGAGGCATCACCTCCGCTCCCACTCCTCGAGTCGGGCCGCGGGGATAGTGTCGTCGACCTAGACGCAGAATCGTGGTCGTCCAGCATGTCTCGAGGGGCGCGTACCTCGTCCATGTCTAGTGGGTATGGCGGCGGCGGATGCCAGCTCGATGGCGAGTGTGGTGCCTGCTCATCTGGACATGATGATGTGAAGGTGTGCGAATCGTCCGTGTTGTGGGATGATGGAGTGGGCATGTTGTGCGTTTGAGGGGCGAGGAAGGACGGGTTTCCTGTGTGTCGGATGGAAGAACTCGCAGGAACCAAGGACCTGCGCAGGATGTAAGGACGGAGTTCAGTGGATGGTGACCGCCGTTGGAAGAGGAACGTGACCGGGCTCGCGACAATTTGTGGATCGCAGAGTCGGGGTGGTCGACCGGTAGCGGAGGAGCGGCGATTGCTGCAGAGTGCAGCTGCGGAGGGCCGGGAGGTCGAAGAGCGCAATGGGTGATGGTAAGAGGCCTTTGTACGCTTCCTAACCGTCGACGCCGTCGATGCCAAGTGCCGTGGCTGGCAGTCAAATCAATCCGGAATGCTGGTGGTCACCCGTTTGTCGGGACCCTACCCTGAAACCTCGTGCTGGTGCCCGTCCAGCTGCCAAGATGCACGTGCGGTCAGACCTAGCAGAGTGTGAGAGGCGGTGGCACGGGTGTCGCCAAGGTGCGGAGGATGGGAGGACGAGGTTTGTTTGATGCCGCGGATGGAGGCGGCTGAACAATTTCGGGCGGGAGGTAGAGGTCGGGGGATGGAGAAATGGCTCTGAAGGGGCGATGACGACTTGTGGGCACCACCAGTCCAGACTCAAAGTTGAAGTGTGAAATGGAGTGTCGGGGTGAGCACCACTTTTGCGCTTGTAGGGACTGGCGGCGCTGGGGAGAGCCACCACACAGAAGCGACCCCGGTCCTTAGTGGAGAAGTTGGGGGGGAGAAGAGGGGAGCGCACGGGGGTCAACACGATTCTTCGGGTGGTGCGCAGCATTGAGTTGGTAAGGTTCCTTCTCACTAGCAGGCCGCCTTGCGCTTCAAGTCTTCCTCTTCTCTGGTTTGATGTTTGCGCATAGCTTCTAACTGACTACCTTACTACCTTAGGTAGGTAGGTACGAAGCCCTCATCTCCTCTTCTCCAGTGTGAGTGAGGTTCCTACTAGCGGTCTGGCAGCAGCCCTCGCCCGCCGTTGATTTGCCGCTGCTGCCAGTCCGGAATTGGAGCCGAAGGACCCTCGCATGCGTCTAGGCTCGCTTCCAAGAAGGACCCGGCACGACACCACGCGTCAGCGCAGCGCCGACAACCAGCCTCCGAGAGCAGGGTGCTGACCTCGCATACAATCATTCAGTAGCATCCAATTGCAAACCGACCAGGCAGCTGAACCTACCTCCATCCGACCTTCCACTCTGATAAGCATAAAGTGTGTTTTAGCCTTGTCGTCCTCGTGAATAACTTTCGTCCTTCTCTCGCAGTATCGGGATATGTTTCGGGCGTTGTTCTACGTGCCGAAGCAGGCTGTTTGCTGCCGTCTCCGGGATGCGGAAGCATTTCGAGGCAGCTGAGACGAGGCACTGTATCACCTATTGCGACACACTCAAAGCACACCCATCCTGAAGATCGCAAGGTTGACTCAATTCGCAAGTCACGCCTTGCATAACCTATTGCCATTTGAAACTGAGTGGTTCTACCGTTCACGCCTAACTCCTATTCTTTTTGCTGGTATCATGTTCTCCTTGAACTTGCTGGGTAGCTTCCAAGTCCAGCTGCAAGTGGCCGATAATCACTGAGTCCCGGTCCTCTCGAAGGAATCACTCGGCGGCCGCGACTACGGCCTTCTATGCTAATTGCGGTGTGAGCTTCCGCCAGCTCAAACATTTTTCAAGTCTGCTCCCGCATGCCCGCCGTGTCTGCCCCGGCTAGACTTCCTAATGCTAGCTCGCTGGTTTGTATCGCTGGCTGGGCAGATGCTGGACCTATGACCATCCGTTGATAAAGATGATGATAGTGTGTCGCAACTAAGAGATCGGCTTGATCTTGAAGTGGAGAGATATCAGACTGAAGACAAGAGCCTTGAGGTCCTGCACGAGGTAGTAGAACACGCGGAGACCCTCGGGGTCAGAAGACTCGGTGACGTCGACGAGAGAGCCGATCTTCGCAGTCTATGTAGTCACGTATCGTTAGCAAGCAGGCAGAGGCTCGATCGCGTACAAGGCCGGCCGTGACAAACCTCGAAGGATATATGGTCGTTTCCAATCTTGATCTCCAACTCTTGTCGCCCGTCCTTGTTCTTCTGAGGCCATTTGCCATCGTCTTCCCTGTGTGTGTGTGAGTGGCATGCCCTCCTCGCCTCTACAAGGGGATACTGACTTCATGATCTCGCTCGACTTGACAATGCGTCTTATCTCATCGATGACCAGGGAGCTGACACACACTGCGATATTGTCACTGTCAGTGATCTTGCCCCATGACGCAGTGTTGGGAGCTGTCAACACTGACTCTCTTTCCTGATCAGACTGTCGTTGCGGTAGTTCGAGTTGTTGGCATACCGCGCCACCGCGCTCCGGCCGTCGCCGACCACCCGGAAATCGAACTCTGATACGGGATACTGTGTCAGTATAAGTGCGCGCGCGCATGGCTGGGAGGCTGTCGAGGGAGCGTACCCAGGAACTCGTGCCCGAAGCGGCCAGAGTGACCGGAGCTATGGCAGCTGTTAGCATAATGCGATGATGGCACAAGAAGGATGGTGCTTCGTACTAGTAGCGCAGGTAGAAGGGTTCGCTTGTTGACGCCATCGTGACTCGGCTGGTTGCTTGCGGCTTGCGTCGTGAAGGGAAGACTTTCGTGCAGGTCAAGAAGCAGGTACTTCGTACAGCCGTGCGTCTCCACAAGCAGCAATACCACAAGCAAATTGATGCGCGCGCGATGAAGGAAATGGAGGGGCACCCGATATCCAGGTTAGGTTTGGTGTCTGTTTTTCTCCTCTGAATGTCACTTTTGGGCCTCCACACTATGGCACCAGTACTTTGGTGGTGGAAGGCTCCAGCTGCACGTGATGAATTGGCTCGAGCGAGAGCTCCCTCCCTCCCAAGTGCTCTCCTCGCTTACTGCCACCTGTCCCACGAACTGCCTGGGGCCCACACACCGCCTAACGGGGGGCCACGACTTGCTGTTGCTGCACCGCCAGGCCACATCTTGAGAATCCTCCAGCTCATCATCGCGAAACGACACTGGAATTGGCACCCACCACCCTCCCCAGTACTCCTTTTCCACGGTGATGCCAGGCTGTGGCTCCCTCTCCCTCTGAACTCGACAGCTTTACCGCCTCTCCACCGTCTCCGTCCAGCTGGCAATTGGGCTCTGCTATTGATCCAAAAACCCAACAAGCACTGCGAGGCATCCCACCTCCTGGCTTGAAGCTCCAACGCCGCATACTCAACCCACTTCCCCGACGCTCTCGCAAAGGAGCTGCCCATCATGGCGTCCTTCCTCGAGAACGCGTACAGCCTGGTCCACATGGACAATGCCGCCGACATCCCCTCCGTCAACGATCTCAAGAACCAGCTGGAGAAGGGCACCGACGATAGCAAGGTCGAGACCATGAAGCGCATCTTGACCATCATGCTCAACGGCGACCCCATGCCGTCCCTCCTGATGCACATCATCCGCTTCGTCATGCCTTCCAAGTCGAAGCCCCTCAAGAAGCTGCTCTATTTCTACTATGAGATCTGCCCCAAGCACGATGCCGGCAAGCTCAAGCAAGAGATGATTCTCGTCTGGTAGGTTCATGGCAGAGCGTCTGTTTCAGGTTTGTGGTGTAGGCCGAGCTGATCGTGCCATAGCAACGGTATCCGGAACGACCTGCAGCATCCCAACGAGTACATTCGAGGCAACACTCTGCGCTTCATCGCCAAACTCAGGGAGCCCGAGCTGCTCGAGCCCCTCCTCTCCTCGGCCAGATCCTGCCTCGAGCACCGACATGCCTACGTGCGCAAGAACGCGGTCTTTGCCGTCTCTTCCATCTACCAGCACTCTCCCTCCCTCATCCCCGACGCTTCAGATCTGATCGCCACGTTCCTCGAGAGCGAGAACGACGCCACCTGCAAGCGCAACGCCTTTGCGGCCCTCGCATCCATAGATCACGACAAGGCTCTGGTCTACCTCAGCTCGGTCTTTGATGGCATTCCCAACGCTGAGGAACTCCTGCAATTGGTGGAGCTCGAGTTCATCAGGAAAGATGCGGTCCAGAACTCGCAAAACAAGGCTCGCTACCTTCGCCTGATCTTTGACCTCCTCGAGGCGGGCGCGTCGACAGTCGTCTACGAGGCTGCGTCGTCTCTGACTGCGCTCACCAGTAATCCCGTGGCAGTCAAGGCGGCAGCTGGCAAGTTCATCGAGCTGAGCATCAAGGAGGCCGACAACAACGTCAAGCTCATCGTGCTCGATCGCGTCGACCAGCTCAGGCAGAAGAACCCTGGTATCCTGGACGATCTCGTGATGGAGATTCTCAGAGTCCTCTCGAGCCCCGATATCGATGTGCGGAGGAAAGCTCTTGGCCTGGCGCTTGACATGGTTTCCAGCAAGAATGTTGAGGAGGTTATCCTGCTGCTCAAGAAGGAGCTCTCCAAGACGGTCGACCAGGAGTATGAGAAGAACACCGAGTACCGCCAGCTTCTTATTCACTCCATTCACCAATGCGCCATAAAGTTCTCAGAGGTCGCTGCCAGCGTTGTCGACCTCCTCATGGACTTCATTGCCGACTTCAACAACGCCTCTGCTGTCGACGTTATCAACTTCATCAAGGAGGTCGTTGAGAAGTTCCCCAAGCTGCGGCCGTCCATCGTGGCCAGGTTAGTCGACACGCTCAGCGAGGTGCGGGCCGGAAAGGTGTACAGGGGCATTCTCTGGATCGTCGGCGAGTACTCTCTGGAGGAGAAGGACATCAGGGAGGCGTGGAAGCGCATTCGGGCTAGCTTGGGCGAGATTCCCATTCTAGCTTCCGAGCAGCGCCTGCTCGACCACGTCGACGGCGAGGAACAGGAGAAGGAGCAAGAACAGGTCAACGGTCACTCCAAGGCTGCTCCCACCGGATCCAGGAGAGTTCTTGCTGATGGCACGTATGCCACCGAGACTGCCCTCACCAGCCAGTCCGCGGCCGCGGCCAAGTTGGAGGCTGTCAAGGCCGCTCAGAAGCCTCCTCTGCGACAGCTCATTCTCGATGGCGATTACTATCTGGCCACTGTTCTGTCCGCTACGCTCACCAAGCTCGTCATGCGCCACGCGGAGATCTGCGAGGACAAGGCGCGCACGAATGCCCTGCGCGCTGAGGCCATGTTGATCATGATCTCCATCATCCGTGTCGGCCAGTCCCAGTTCGTCAAGGCTCCCATCGACGAGGACTCTGTTGACCGTATCATGAGCTGTGTGCGCAGCCTGGCCGAGTTCAACGAGCACCCTGAGCTCGAGACTGTCTACCTCGACGACACCCGCAAGGCTTTCCGTGCCATGGTCGCTGTCGAGGAGAAGAAGCGGGCGGCCAAGGAGGCTGTCGAGAAGGCCAAGACGGCCGTGCAGGTGGACGATGTCGTTTCCATCCGCCAGCTCAGCAAGAAGAACGCTGGCGATGGTGCCGATGCGATCGACCTTGATCTCGAGCGGGCGACTGGTGGCGATACCAGCGGTGCTGAGGACCTGACCAGCAAGCTGTCGCGCGTTGTTCAGCTCACTGGCTTCTCCGACCCTGTCTATGCCGAGGCTTACGTCAAGGTCCACCAGTTCGATATCGTCCTGGATGTTCTCCTGGTGAACCAGACCACCGAGACTCTTCAGAACCTCTCGGTCGAGTTTGCCACCCTCGGCGACCTCAAGGTCGTTGAGAGACCGACGACCCAGAACCTGGGCCCTCACGACTTCCACAACGTCCAGTGCACCATCAAGGTGTCTTCCACGGATACGGGTGTCATCTTTGGCAACGTTGTGTACGACGGCGCGCACTCGACCGACACCAACGTGGTGATCCTCAACGACGTGCACGTCGACATTATGGACTACATCCAGCCGGCCACGTGCACCGAGACGCAGTTCCGCACCATGTGGACCGAGTTTGAGTGGGAGAACAAGGTCAACATCAACAGCAAGATCAAGACGCTGCGCGGCTTCCTGGACGAGCTGATGAAGGCGACCAACATGAACTGCCTGACGCCCGAGGGTGGCATGAAGGGCGACTGCCAGTTCTTGAGCGCCAACCTGTACGCTCGCAGCGTGTTTGGTACGTTTCTATCTCTCATGACATACCTTCTTATCGAACTGATGGCTAACTATCACTGCAGGTGAGGATGCCTTGGCCAACTTGAGCATTGAGAAGCAGGGCGAGGACGGACCCATCACAGGCTTCGTCCGGATAAGAAGTCGCTCGCAAGGTCTCGCGCTCAGCTTGGGGTCGCTGAAGGGGCTGAACAAGATTGGCACGGCCGCTTGAACGTCTCTCTCAGCGAAGGCTATAGGGCTTGTCCTGGGTCGGGACTGGGTGTGAGAGACGCATGCGAGGGGCATGAATGGGAGGTGCTTGTTTAGCTGACCCCTACGGGGGTCGCCAGCAAGACACCGAATGCCCGGGCATAATATGAACGATGGAGGAGGGGAGACGCCATCAAGACGGACATGTGGATGAGCGTTTCTAGTCGGGAAGACAAAAAACGGGGATACCCGGTCCAATGGGGGAATTCCGGCCGTTATCTGAAAATGGGAAATTAGAAGCTTTTTGATGTCTTGTGGTTTATTGATTAGACGAGAATTGAAATGCAGTGTCATGTCTATGAATGTCTTGAGGATCTTTGCCCCTATTGGACATGGCGAGTTATTGGGCGCGTAACGTATTTTGCTCAAATTGGTATTATCTAGGCCTGGACTAGGAGGGATGATGGATATATGAGAGAAAACAAGAAGCCGGGTAATCAAATTGGGTATCAAGATGAGGGCCTGAAACGCCTCGAGATTAGGTGCAAATGTTCCAAAAAAAAAAAAAAAACAAGAAAAAAAAAAGAGTCAAAATAATGACAAGTAGTCGTATGGGCGGCTCATCATCGCCCTTCTGTCATAGCCAGAGACTCCCGTTGTCTTGACAGGCTTGGTAATGCAGTGGACAACGAGGCTTAAGTCTTGTCCACTCGCGAAACAATCCAGGCCGTCTCTCGTGCCTCCGGAGGCGGGGGGGGGGGGGGGGGGGGGGGGGGGGGGAGGGTGGGGGGTGGGAGGGGGGGGAGAGAGCAGCAGTACAATCGAGTTCCCGTCAAAGTCATCAACTGCTGTGAAAGACGAGTGCGTTGACAATGTGGCCCTCCTGCCAGCCCTGCGAGGCCAGGGACGAGTGCTCGCGGAGGATCTTGCCGAGGTAGGCGATGCGTATCTTGGCCGTCGGGGCGAGCTGCAGCAGCGACGTTCTCTCATATCAGCAATCTGTAAAATGAGAACGTGGGGGGAAAGCAGAAACCATTTCACAAGAAGCGGAACGGAACCGTACCTGGGCCTTGTCCAGAACCCGCCTCTCCAGCGCCTTGACGTGGTCCCCGCGCCCGACGCGCACGACGACGTCCCGCCCGTTCTCGCTCAGCCGGGCCCGCACGGCGACCGTGTCCTTCTCGCCGCCGCCGCCGCCGTCGTCGCCGTCCCCGCCGGGCTGCTCGTGCGCCACGGCCTTGCCCTTCTCATCGCGGCGGCCGCGGCGGCCGTGGCGCCGCCTCTTCTCCTCTGCGCCGCTGCGCGGGGCGGCGGCGGGACTGCCCGTGCCCGTGCCCACCACCTCGCCCTCGTCCTCGGTCTCGGTGCACTCGCTCGACATGCCCCCGTCGAGGTCGTCGAGGTCGTCGTCGTCCAGCTCCTTTTCCCCGTGATCGTCGTCGTCGCCGTCGGGCACCATGTTGGACGGGTCGCTGGCGATCCACTCGGGCAGGGCGTAGTAGTTGCCCAGGGCGTCGTACGCGCCCTGCGCCAGGTCGCCCGTGGGCAGGGTGATCTCCCCGGCGTCGAGGATGCTCTGCGCCGTGGCGAGCGCGACGTCGTCGTCGTCGTCCCGCCCGCCGCCGCTCTCCTCCCCTTCGTCGTCGTCGTCCTCCTCCTCCCCGCCGCCGCCGCCGCCGCCGTCCAGAGGCCCCGGCCTCCGCCTGGCAGCGGCGGCGGCGGCGGCGCGGTCGCGGTCCGCCTCCCAGAGGATCTCGAGCGCGGCGCGCAGGGCCTGCCACACCTCGGCGC